TACTTTAAGCCAACTCGTAAACTTTTCAATAGAAAATATAATAGATTAAACTCCCAATAATAGTCATAGATTTTTCACAACAGATGGTGTTTTCAGTCAGCTCAAACTTCCTTTTAGAGAGACTTCCCCGGCGATATAGACCCACAAAGTTTTGCATATTGAGTGCGGCTAAGATTTATCGGAACATCTATCTCCGACAATGGGAGCAATTACCATGGCTAATTACGGGCAGAGCCCCGCACCCCGAAAATAAATCCCTTTCGGCTGTGATCTGGTTTCGTAAGTGGAAAGGTGGAAAAGTGGAAAAGCGTAGAACGGTTGCCAAGGCCGACGGCCCACGGCGGTGTAAACTTGTTCGCCAGTAATTAGATTCACTCCCGATTAGCATGCTATATATGTAGTATCTCTCTCCCTCTCTTTCCGTATAACTCTTTCTATTTAACCCCGCCCCCGCCCTCGTCAGCTGTTCTAGTTGGGATCTTCGATCAACTGGCGACGAAAACCCACAAGCTGAGCACTAATTCCCCGATAAGATCCGTTTGTTTGTTTACAAGCCACTTGGCGCAGTTACAGATACAAATACAGCTAGAGATATACATATAAATAGGTGTAGAAACAGCTACAGGTAGCACTCGCTAATTGGCAGGCGTAAGCTTCGGGGCGTCTTCTTTGATACTATTCAAGAAATCCCAATATTTTGGCAATCTATTAGGAACTATCGGTGATAATTGCTAAATTATACATCCTTAAAAATATTCTTTGGGTGGCATATAATCATTTTAACTGTAGTATCTGTATTTTCCATTTGAATTTTTATAAGTGCAAGATTAAATACTTTATGGCGTTATGAAAATAGATTTTTATAACAGCAATTGGTGACTCGTAATTAGAATTGTGAACATTTGTATAACTGCAACTCACATAAATTTGTAACTAACTATAATAGAGCTTTTAAAAAAAATGAATTATAAATATCGTTGTAAGGGACCAAAGATGGCACTTGTCAATTTTCACATGTAACAAGAAAGTGCGCAAATCTTTTTTTTATTTTTTCAACCACCGCAATTACTGCCAGTATTGATTGGCCTGTTAAATAATAAATTGTGGGGGTGTCTCGGGCCAACTTGTTTACCTTTAAGTCGGCTATAATTTTCTTGGGGGTTCGCTTTAATGCCAACGATGACTGTATTAAACAGATGTACAGATATAGCTACAGTTACTGACTAACTGTTATGCAAAGGCTGGGAAGAAAGGTTAAGCTAAACTGTGCGAAAGTGTGAAAGTTATGCGAAGACGGTGAATGAGTAAAAGAGACGGGGATTGAGACGGCTTAACGGCCTGTTCGCAGCTTCTTTTACGTTTTATCCCCCACATTTTGGTCGAAATGACAGAAAATTACCTCAGGTAAAAAAGAATTTGTATTCCTCCTTTTTTTGTTTTTTTCTTTGATTTGGGAATTCTCCTTTTCGCTGCTGATTTGTAGTTATTGGAGTTTTCTTTTCGTTGGGTTGTTGTTGCACCGGCAAAAAGCACGTTAAAAAAACACTTGATGGCAAGAGGTGTGACTAATCCTGAGGGTTTTTCTTTTTCCCTTTTAATTTCGTGCGAATGATAAATTAATATTAATGTGTTTAAAAAAAAAATAGGCGATCGTTGTTGACTGTTGTTGTGGTTGTTGAGCGTTGTTGTTTTGGGTAGTTGTTGTTTTTCACGGAGCGTCGGCACGTTGCAATCGATCGAGCACCAAAATCAGACTGAAGTTTCCAATCAGAATCAAAGCCGCCTAAAGTGGCCGCCGCTTAAACGCTGTCGTCACCGGCAGACGACGTCGACAGCGACGCCGGCAGCGACGTCGGCAGTGAGCCGAGATATGACCGAATACGAAATAGCGACGAATACGAAGATGACGCGACCGGTCGCACAGTGGGGCATATATAAAATAAGTTTTTCCCAATAAAACAAAAAACAAAACATATATTAAGAAAGTTACAATTTGTATACAATTATCCATATCTATGAAAAAAACTAAAGCAAGTGAATGTGATGTTTGCGGTCTTTAAATGCTATCTTTAACAATTCAAAACTTCGTCAAAAGTAGATCAATTTCAAATTCCAATTTCATATAAAGAAAGCCATTTGTATAAAAACAAGCCAATTTACAAGCACTCGAAAACTTGAGGTATCTAACATAAAATTGTGTTGAAATGAATTTGATATTGAAATATTAATATTGACAAAGCACAATTGGTCAACAATTAGGCTAAAACAAAAGAACAAAAGAGTTTGCCACATAAGGGTAAACCCCCTTCCCCTTGTTTCCGTTTAATACAAATATAATCAATATTTTTGTATATTGCTCATCCGCTGTTATTGCATTGAAACGTGTTCGATTTCGGTTTTTTGTGCAAAGAATCCGTGTCCGTGCGGATCGGCAATAATAAATCACTCGATCGGCGGCCGGAGGTGGGTGTCATTGTTGCAATATGTTAATAAACACCTTAAGCCCAAAACATATGTGTTTTTTTTATACAGCTCTAAACTATTTCTAGCGTTTTTGGAAAGCACTCGAGCCGCTGGCGCCCACCATTCCAACGAATCGTAACGATTTGTCTTCGAACAGGCCCCAAAATTACTCATCGACGTTGGCGCAGACGTTGCGCAGACGCAGACGTCGTGACTAGACGGTCGTTCTAATTTACCCCACTGTCCGCCGTCCAGTTTTGTGGCCCACTGTCCACCGTCCATTGGCCACTTGCTGCATTTGGCCATTTGCCATACGCGGGTGTCTTATTTATTTTTTATGTTTTCGTTACTCCGTGTGTGCCAATTCAACTTTGGCTCAACTCACTGATTTATTCAGCAGTCGACGGCTGGCGACCCACGCGATTTTTCGACTCGGGCCTGAATCGAATCGAATTGACTCGAATCGAACTCGAAGTCGAATTGAATCGCCTCATGGCCAATGAGACGGAGATCGTGGCCAGCCAACGCTGTCTTCTGGGGTCTTGTATTCTGTTGTATTCTGAGTCGGGATCTGATCTGCCAGGGATGCACTCACTAGCTTGGTAACCAGGTTTTATATTACTTAGAAATTGTGAAACTAAGAAATATATTCCCTAACTAGAGATATCTAAGATCACTACAAAAATGATGATCATGTGACTTGAACTCGCTCCCGAATGCACCACAAAAAAGAGACCTACTCAATAGGGGATCAAACTATCCCATAAAGATTTTCGAATTATTATAATTTACAAATTGAAGTGGAAATATAATTTTAAATTTAAGGCGCGGGTTTAAACTTAATATATGCACGGCATATTGGCTTCGCTCGTTAAATTAAAATACATTTTAGTTGATAAGATTAGAAAGTGTTTTGAAATTGCTTGGAATTTGATAAGATTTTGCATGGCAAATTATCGTGTGCTATTGATTGCTATTTTTATTGCCATTTCAGGTAGTGTTATTCGCTTTACACCTCTTAAGTTTGTTATCTCCAAGGCACCATTGAAATTTAATCATTTACACTAAGGCCATATGGTTACATTAAATTTGATTTTATTGAGCGAGAAACTGGTGGGTAGTTAATTATAAATTTCTTTAAAAAATAAATTTATTTTTGAAAAAAATATAAAGTTGATATTTAGTTTTTATTCAGCCATCCCTGTTTAAGGAGGAAAGGAGAATATATAGCTAAGAGAAAAGAGAAAGGAGAAAAATGATTGAAGGAGGAGGAGGCCATCAGCGGTCAGCGGGCTCAGAGGCCAAAGCTGAAATTGATTCATGGCCAATGAGTCATCATCACAGGCTTTTTATCAGCACCCGTCGCAGTCGCAGCGCAGTTGCTGCGCAGTCGCATTCGCAGCCTCCCAATTTGTCTTTCTCTCTCTCTCTCTCTACTCTTTCACTCAATCTCCTTCTTTCTCTCTCTCTCTCCAATGACGACTGCGTGGGCTGACGATCGTCTGCTGCTGCTTCTTCTTTCGTCTGCTATTTTTTTTCTGTTTGTTGTTGCTTTTGTCTTATACCCTCTAAAAATGTATTGGTATTATATTATAGTTAGAAACCTTATTTCAAATAATATAGGATCCCATAATATAATTTATGATTATTATGATTTATTAGTAGCAACTCTTTAACATCCTATCTTTTGGTTATTAAATCGTTGATTATTAAAATAATTATATTGTTTAGGATATTTTAATACATTAATATTGGTCCTACAAAATAAGATCATAAAAGGTTTATTTCAGCTAAGAGTTCCTTGTCATTACCAACAATCATTTAGATAATTTATGATGTCGTAAACTTAATCTAACAGTTCTAACCTTTGTATAAGAAATCATTGGTAAATTAACCTTAGTTTTGGATTTTCATGAATCACCATAATAATATAATATTAACTATGTTGATCCAAGGGTAGTTCAAACTTCGATTTAAAACTAGCCCATCTTCCTCTTTGTTATTCTTCACTAATGCAGATAGATAGATCAGTTATTAGGACAGGTCCCCGATGCGACATCGTCATCGTTTTTCCATTGACTTTTCTAACGACTTTTTAACGATTATTGCCAATGTCTGAGCCAAGTCAGCGACTAGCGGCCCACGCCGGCAAATGAGCTACAGTGAGCAACCCCATAAATGACCCAATTTGGCCAGGTTGAACTGGGTTGGGTTTGGACTGTTAGCGGGGACTGACTAAGCGAGTGAGTGGATCTCTGGCCATGGATGGTCTGGATCGCTTCTGGCCAGTTCTCGAAAGTGTCGTCTGGGGGAAAAACAGGGCTTTAAAGGCAATGCCATTGGCAATGAGCTGGGAACGGGGACACAAGTCCGGCAAGGAGGCAATGAACTGCAGCCAGATGTTGGCCCCACAATCACTTAAAAAATGGAATCTAATAACTGATAAGTAAAAATATGTTCTTAGGGCTTATAACTATAAAGATTTAAGAACAACACTTTAAAATACTCAAAGTAAATTTTAAAATAAATAAACTTACCATTTTCCTCAGCAATTCCTCGTTTTGTATATCACCCAAATCGCATTCCACCTCCATGGCAAAGATGATTGGCTATAAAACAAACATATGTATATATTACACAAGATTGTACAGGTTAGACTTAAGATTAATTCCATAGAGGGTGGTCAGAGATACTTTGTTTTGGCTGGTGATGCAATTATTTCGCTGCACATTTCTCAGCTTGATTTATTTGATGATTATAATTTGTCGCTGCTGCCTGGGGCTCCGCAAAGTTTACTGAGTAATATCAATTGCCATCGATCATGATCAGTGTTATGGGCACTGCGAACGAGGCAAGCCAGAATCGGACAGAATCGACCAGAATCGGTCAGAGTCGCTTCGATCTCCACACCCCAACAAGTTGTGACATTTCCCCCGTAAATGGATAACTTCAAACATGGACAGCAGCTGCATATACATAAAATACAAAAACATTTGCACAAAATGACACAGCCAAGTGCATCGCAATTGCATGGAGAGAAACTGATGATCGGTGTTGGATTCCCCTAAAAACCACATTCATGTTGTAAATATGTAAAGAATGAATTAATTCGTGTTAGGATTGTAAATGCTCTGAAAGTGTAGCCTAAAAGTAAACTGAATTTTACATGACATTTGCTGAATACAATTTTATTTTTAAGATATGCAGTAAAAATATATACAAATTGAATAAGGCCATTTATACAATAATATTTATAAACATTATTTTCAAATTGCCAAATTACAATTTAATTACTTCAACATTTCCAGTAAATACTTTAACTGGGTATTTTTAATTCTTCTATGTAATTTATATTATTTTTTTCGCTGTGCATTTTAGTTGCTAGCTTGATTAGCACGGCCGCAACATTTTGGCTTCGCTTTTGGTTAGCATCAACGGGCTCGGTCAACTGACAATACGTCAAAGGGGGCGGGGCTGGGGGCGGTTAGGAGGGGGTTGTCCGGGGAAATGCTCGGCCAAAAGCCAAACAAGTTCAAAACCACAATTGGGCAAACACTCGTTGGCCCCAGAGCCCCATTCAATCAAGCAATTGAACTTGAAAACTGAGCTAGCTTCAAAGAGAGCACCTCACGATTGATTTTTAGGGGTGAGGAGATGGTCAGGTAGAAAGGTCTGATCAAGTTAGTAACCTCCTGCAAAATTGTCATCTAAATGTCTTAATGAATTGTGGCAAATTGACATCCACCTGATTGATCAGTGGGCAGAAAAAACGAATACATTTCTTGGATTTTCTTATACATATTTCAAGATTTAATTTCTTTGATTATACAAATATACAACCTTTTCCAACGGCAACTAGTAAACTTAAAGTAAGATATCTCTTTCTGCCTATTGAAACTGTCTTGTCCAACAAAAATCTACCTAAATTAAAATTCAGTCTCAAAATCAAAACAATACCATTGTTCCTCACATTTATATTTTAAGCTACATGCATTTTCTGCCTATTTCAACCTATAATCATAATCCACCATAACAATTAAAATACAATATCTAAGTCCAACACAAATCAAAGCATTTGGACGTCAGACGAACATCCATTTAACGCATTTATGGATCATCAATCAAAGCAGTGGTCCAATAAAGATATGTCCGCCAGACCAAATGATACACTTTATACCACGATCCGTATGTCATACCTTATACAAATCGCGTGGGCTGGCGTGTGGCCAATGCCCTAAGAACGCCGATCGTCGATCGTATAAATTCATAAATTACCAAAACGGCAAAACGAAACCGTCATATTTTGCTGTTGGCCAATTAAAAACCGTTTTATTATCGAAAATCAGTCGAATTTGGTCATTCAAGATTTATGGCAAACAAAATAAGCATAGATCCAAATTCAAGGCATACTTATATGATAATGCCAGTATGACACTGTATTAAACAGATTTGCACTGAGAAAAAAAAACAGAATTTCGGCAACAGTGGTAGCTTTTTGAAAATCTTTTCAAAATAACATGTTCATTTCTAACCAACTTTTTAGAAAGCTACCACAGTTTTTAACCAGTGTCATATAGCCATAACTTTTTCATAAATCTATTGAGACGCCACTAGATGGCGCCAGGCAGCAGGAAAACCACAGAAATCACCGCAAAACTGTTAGAATTCCTCCATCAACATTGTAGTCAATCCGTGGCTCTGTCACCCTCTATATAGTTAATTATATGAGACTACATACATATATCTTTATGTACTACCTGTGCAATTGCACTCACCTGCTGTGTTGCTGCTAACTTTTCTGTTTATTATCAGAGGGACGTCGACTTCGAGGCTTTTGTAATTTTAGACGAGGCGACAGCGAGCAGCAAGTGTATGTATTTTTGTGTACTTGGCAAATATTTAAACAGTAAATAGTTTAATTTACGGAAAGATCAAATTGCGGCTGGCTCTCCGGCAAAAAGTTGTCAGCGACTTGAGCGCGGTTAAAAACGCGGGCGCAGCCACTCTTTTCCCACTCTGCGATTGTTTGATTGATTTGCGGTTTATTTATTTGCTGTAGCAGCTGTCACACGCGACTAATACCAGAGATTTAAAAAAATATGTACATACATATGTTTATTTTTAAGTTTAACAAAAATAAATATTTCACCAAAATAAAACACTATTTTTTGCAACAAAAGCAGTCAGAGAAATACACTTTAAAAACCGAATTTAAATGCAACATTGACTGAAAAAAATGCACCTTAAAGAATAATCTCACCAAAACAAAACACAATATTGCAACATTGTCAAAAAAAAATACACCTTTAAAATTGATTTTTTAAGCAACAATTACGGAGTTCGAAATTGGGCTTGTACGGCGAAAGGGGGCGGAGGGCTGAGGGGCGTGGCTGATGCGGTTGGCACGAGCGGAGGCTCTTGACTGATTGCAAGCCGCTGTTGTTGCTGCATTTAGGCGCGGGCTCTCTCGGCCGCCCAAAACGCCGGCGTCGACGCAACTGCCACTGCAACGCTCTCTACACTGGCGGAAAATCATTTGAAAAGGTTGAGGTTATGGGCATGCCTTTTTCTCCAAAAAAAATATCCAAAACTATTAAGAACTCCAAAACTGTGTTTCCCTATTGAATCATAAAAATCATTGCCTATTTTTTGGCACCAGCAACTCCCGATTTATCGAACAGACAATCAAGGAATTTAAGGATTACAGGTGAAAATTTATCAACAGGATCCATAGCAAAATGCCTTATCTGTAGCCTATAAAGCTTATATTTGTCTACTAAAACAGTTCACTTAGTTTACCAAAAAGTATAGAAACTCAATAAATAATAATTCAATGAACTGCTATCGTATCCAAATGATTTTCAAAGTAATAAAAATAAGATTATATTTATAAAGTAATTATGAATAGCTTCCTGGACTCCCATATAATACAACTTTTTTTTTTATACAAATATGGCCCTTTTATAATCTTTTTTTTTTGAGTATACATCTCTCTGTCCACGCCTCAGCTGATCCTGAGAGATAAGGAAAGTGAGAGCAAGCAAGAGAGCACAATAACTTGATAATCCCTGCTCATTTGCATGACTAATGACCACTGGGTGTGTGAGCGGGAGGGGGATAGTGGAAAGACAGGGACAAGAATAAAAAATAATGATTAAAAAAACCAAGAACATAAACAGGAACAAAAGTCAATGCCTGCCAAACCCTTTGCATATTTTTCTTATGAGACTTTGCTGGGCGAATCCAATACCAATGTCGCGTGCCAATTGGATTTTTTGTCAGGCACTTAAAAATTCTTTGAAGTTAAGATTTAAGTGGGGTCAAATATTGTTTTAAAACAGCTTTATGCTTGCAAAATAATTGTGGTTATTTAAATTAAATTAAAACCGGTACCAGATTTTTGTCAACATTTTCTTTATGTTTGGGATTTTATTGATTCATTATAAATTAATGTGCAAAAATGAGCACTTTCTTTTTTACGTTTTAAAAATATAAGAATGTAAGAAAGTATGAAAAAAACATTAGAACTATCTTTTCAATGAGAGAAAGAGAGAGGTTATAATATAAGTATATCTGATAATAGAGCTTAAGATAAAGTGGTTTTCTTTTTAATATGTATTTAGAACAGTAGATAGAGGGCTAGATCGGATGGCCTTATCGCCAGTGTTTATCACAAAATAAAAATGGCCGGGACGAGGCTGAGGCCAAAAAAAAACGCGAATGCCACAGGGTCAGTGGAGCAGGCTTTTTTTTTTGGCCAAAACCACCTTATTAGCGATCTCATCATCACGCACTTGCCACCTCTCTCTTTCTCCTTATATATGTTATATATGTCTTTCTCTATCTGCTGGGGTGCGTGTGTTGAATGTCAACGACGTCATTCACATAAAATCGAATAAAAATTGCACGAAATGCTGTAAATTCTAGGAAAACATTTGCTTATGCAACTGGCACAAGGAAAACAACCGCATCAGCAGGAGCAGCAGCAAAAACAGCAACATCAACAACAATTGCAAACAAGAGCAACATGTGCTATTTTCAGCTGCAAGGCCCAAAAAAAGGATTTTCTATTTGATACTGTAAAGGTTTCCTAAAACCCCTTTCCTTTATGATCTCACAAAAAACCGAAAGTAACGCCTTGCAAAAGCAACAATTGGTAATGTTCTTCCTGTAGTAGCAACATCGGCAACATGTGCAACTTCTAACCAAGGATAGGGTGTTTTATTTAACCATTTTTTGGCTCTTCAAGCCATTGCTACTTGTTGTTATAAAAAAAATATTGCTAATGCCAAACTAACGCCTTGCAACAGCAACAGCTGCCGATGTTGCAGCTACTGAAAGATAACCGCCCTTGGAGGAGCAGTGAAAGCCACCATTGAGCCACGTTTTATTGGCCACTTTTGGACACTGTCCTTGCGCCTGTCTGACGTCAGCACGTAGGCAGTTGAAGAGGCGACACAACGACAACACACGTCTGCAACATGTTGCCGCTGCGCCTTAAATGGCCCGGAGCAACTTCACCAACATCGCCAACATCACGCACTGTGCACAATGACAAAAATGCATCTGATTTTCTTGATTTTTTGTCTTTTATTAATTTATTTTAAGTGATTCACGGCAGCAACTGAAACCGAAAACTGCTAAACGGCAAACGAAAATGAAAACGAACCTTGAAAGTCCCAAAAATGTCAACTGATTGATTTGAATTGCATTGCATTGCAGAGAAACTGCCGATGCAATAAAAAAAACGCCAAAAGAGCACCCAATCGGAATTTTACCTTATTCCATGAAATCTGGTGTATCAATAGATCATTATTCAAAATATTAGTAGACAGAATACAAATTCCTTTTGGCTTAAACTTTACCAGATACATTTTGGATTAATTAAGGAATTGACAAAAAAGGCTTTTAAAAATCAAAGCTCTTTAAATTTGTACGATCTGGTCACTTGTTAATTCTAAATTTTTGAATCTTTATTTTCATTTAAAGATACGCACCCACTGAAAAACGTAAAACCCATTTGAACATGATTAAAATTACTTTATTTGAACTATGTATAAATGTACTGTATATGTAATATGCATATATTAATGGTGTGGAATTTGCTGTGGAATATTCGCAATGAACACTAAAAACTAATCAGTGCTAAATACAACTTAGTAAAATCATATCATATCAAATATGGTGACGCGGACAAAAGCTGATATCAATATGAAAGCAACAATTCATCAAATGTGTGCAAAAGTTTCAATTAAAAAAATATTTTACGTGGTATGCGGTATGATAAATGTATGTTTATGTATATATAATGAAATATCTGGCTGATTTACAACTATGCTCCCTATATATGCGTAGCAGGCTCTGTTTAATTATGAATAATTCAAGTTAAAATCACATCAAATTCGCTGAATGGAAGAGATTAAATGGCCAAGTCGAGTGAGACAAGTCTATCGAATCTGCCCATCTCCAGTCCTCTCTCTAAATATTATTTAACCTATAGCATCTTACGATCTAAAGGGATTCCTCAAGGCTTATAAAGAGCTGATAAAAAATAGAGAAATTTGAAACCGAGAGAGATGGAGAGATGGGCGATGGTTATATGCTATCTATATCAACAATATACATATCCTAAACGGGAGCACTACGATTTTGGCACAGCTTACACTCGAATGCTTGAGGAATGGCGTGGCGTGGCTTGAATCGAATCAGGAATCAGGATAATGCCTAATACTAATAGGTGTCTTGGGTCAAGATTCTCTTGGAAACTATCACTAAAACTAACTAACTAGCTAATACATATGATGTACGGAACCTTATCGGCTAAGTGCGTACAAATACGAATTGGAAGAGCGAAAAGGAAGCTACAATTGCAATTGTGGTTTGCTGTTGTTTAGGGTTCGAGCAGCTCGAACGCTATTACAATATATCTATAAAAAAAATATATCATAGTAAACGAGGATTGCACACACACTGAGATTATGTAGAAAGTAACTTATTAACGAATGGAAGAGAGTGATCTGGGTTAGGGTTTTCTTTTCTTTTCAGGGGCTTCGGTGGGTGGGTGGTTGGTTTTTCTGGGAAGGAGATATTCTTCCCTAATCATTAATCCGTCACGCCCAGGTGAACCAGCTGCTGCATGGTTCGCTGCAGATAAGTGGGATCCGGAAACATGTTGAATTGTGTCTTGTGATCCACACTGTTCCAGATCACTACATCCTCGCGTCCGGTGGTCACCGATCGTCCAATGGAGAAAAGTAGTCGGCGGTCGAAAGCGATCTTGAGAAAGCGCAGCACCTTTCGCCCCAGCGGGCAATCCGGCAGGTAGCAGATCCGTGGGAATCCCACGGCGAAGAAGGCCCGGCCCGGATGCGGATGCTCCTCCGTCTGCAGGCCCGATGCAATGCTTCAATAAAAATGGTAGGTTATTATAGACTGGACAAACTAAAAATCCATTCACACTCACTCGTAGACAATCTGTATGGTGTTCTGTCCCTCGTGTCCTGGCAGATTTTTGCTGATAATGCTCCAGGACATGCTGCCAATTGGCTGATTACCAACCTTCTCGCCGTAAACGATTCCGCATACCGGGCACTCGATGAAGAGGTTCTATACGACAAGTTTAGGAGTATTTTAAAAGGTTGTATATACTATCTCCCTCTTATTGGGGATGTTTAGAGCACCGCTCTTCCTTACCTTGTTCATTTCATTCTGCTGGGCAATTATCATCCCGTTAAGGCACTGCAAATGCATCAGGTGCTGGCAGCGACTCAGCGAGATGGCCGGATTCTGGGCGGAGTGCACCAGCTCCTCCATGCACATGGGACAGGGCTGGGCATTGGGCCACAGCGGTGGCTCCACCACCTTGACAAATCGCGATATCATATCGCTGGCCGGGTCCACGCCCACAATCGAACCGGCGATTGATTGCTGTTGCTGTTGCGCCTGCTGCTGTTGCATTTGCAGCTGTTGCTGCTGTTGTTGCTGCTGCTGTTGCTGGCGCGGATGCAGCGGCAATGGTGGCGGCACCGGTGCCCTTTCACCCAGAGACGATGGCGGGAGCGAGGGCACAAAAACCTCATCGCTACCCAGCGAACAGTCCAGCAGATCGTTGACCGAAATGGCAAAATTCCTGCTGCGCAGGCTCTCCTTGCTCTCGTGACTGAGGTAAGTGGACACGGTGTCCACGCTGGGTCTTCTACGGTGCGATTTCACGCTGTTCGTATCCGTATCCGAGGCACGCGTCCTCGATCTCGAGCGATGTGAACCCATCCGACTGCTCCTTTGCGATTGCAGGGATCCCTCCGAACAGCGACTATGATGACTGTTCATCGAGGCAGTCAGCATGTTCTTGGCATGCGAGAAATGGGCATGAGACAGGTGGTTGCCGTGGTGCAAGGAAGCCGATGAAGAGGATGAACTGGCACTGGCCGCCGTGGCCATGTTCGTGTGCTTGGTGCTGCTGCTAAAGATGTTCAGGTTGTTGAGTATCTGGCGGAGATTTGTGGTGGATATCTCGCTGTGCTTCTTCGGCGGTTTTCTAGGCGCAGTCTGATGGTGCATCTGATGATGCTGCATCTGGTGTTGCTGCTGCTGGAGATGATGTTGCTGCTGCTGCTGATGTTGTTGTTGCTGCTGCACTTGGTGGCTGGTGGGCAGTGGATGTTGCTGCCTGGTCATGGGCACTCTGTGCAGACTCTTGGTGTCCCCCAGTTTGGGCATAGTGTTGTACTGGCTGCTCCCGCTGGCGGAGTTCGACTTGAGTTGGTTGGCCTGCTGGGGCGTGAGTTTTACCAGAGGATACGGCGCCTGCTGTGTTCGCCGTATGCTGCGCATAGGTCCGCTGGGCTGGCGCAACTGGGTGAGATTGCAAAAGTTGATGGTGTAGGGCAGGCCGATGTGGGTATTACACAAGTCCAAAGTTTGTTCGCCCTGCGGGGGAGGTGGAAAATGCCAATTAGAAAAGGTTGTTGCTATGTGAGCGACAAGATTGCAGTTCATTTCGAATAACGCATAACATTTTTATAAAATATGATAAATTATACCCTATTCAGATGGTCATTAGTTTTACGTGTTCTATGTTTATACAGTTTATATATCGTCGTTATAGACCTATAGCCTTCTAACAGTAAAACTGTTGAGCATCTCAAGGTTTCAGTTGAGATAAAAGTACTTCCGAACACTTACTCTCGCCCAGGCGTCCTCGATGATGCACTGGACGTGCATGTTGTAGGGCCGCCAGTCGTTGTTGCTATCGGCACTGCCGCCCGACCACTCCCACTTGGTGCCCTTGCCCGCCGGCGAGCTGGGGGCGTAGAACATCCGCCGCACGCCGATGGTGAGAAGACCGGATCCCGCCGATTCCGCCTCCGATTCCTGGGTCATCGTGCGCACATTGACGTAGTACTGCTCCAAGCTGGGATCCGCGTCGCTCAGCATGACGCGTGTTAGCTTCTTGGCATGGGCACGTTCCAAATGTTGCGAGACCGCCGGCGAATATGGCAACCACTTGCCGCCCCGCGACTCAAACTCCCAGACGCAGACGGCGTGGGCGTGGTTCACGGGCGGACCGCCGGATCCGTTGGGGGGCAAGGCCATGGTCCCACAACTGGAAGCAGAGGATCCTCCTCCGCCGGAAACGATGGATCCGGGAATACTTCCCGCACTTCCAGCGCTGCTGGCCATCGCTGGATCTTATCCGTTTTCCCTGCGTTCACTCCATTTCCATTTCGATATTCAGCTCCTCCCGCTCACTCTCCCTTTGTCACTCTCTGTCTCTGTCGCTCGCGAAGATGGGCACAAAATAAACAAAGAAATTAAAAATGGTGGCCTGCGTTTGTTAGCCCTGTTTTTCCTCGGCTTTCATTTTTCCGCAGTTTCGCAGGCCACTTTCTAGTCACTCCGGTTAAGTTTTATCGGGCTTTGGCACTCGCGTTTAACGGTAGCAATTGGTTTTTAAAGCAATTAGCGCAAGCGCAGGGCGAGAAATTTTTTTGGGCAGTGAGTTAGAGATAGACAACAGCGGAAAAGCGCTAAAAGAGACCAGAGAAAAATACTGCACAGAAAATAAAGCAACAAATACCGCCACCAGTTGAATGTCTATCGATGCCAGGGCTGAATTCATAACAAGTTCCTATCTAGATCTAGCTAGTTTTAAAAAAACTGATTTTTTGTTGTTCTTACTAGCTAGATTTTGTATATATAAATTAATTATATTTACAATTCTGCAGGCTAATACATATTGTACCTTTGATTACAAACCTTTACAAGTTATATTGTATTTAATATTTTGGTTTACATTTTTACATTTTTAATCTATTTCAAATTTTATTTTTAAACAATTTTAAATGAGGGTGGATGTGTTCTTCATCGAATTAATTTATTTGTCAGCGGGTAACCTTCGAGCTTTAAGAGCTCAACCAAAGTAATAAATACTCACCATTTAAATTTTATAATGTACATTTTTGGATCACTTAAGTACTAGCATTTACATTTGTTAACTCCTTTGTTAAAAAAAATGAAAAATTGTATCAATATATCACTTAAATAAATATTAATATTTAAGGTGATTGGCCTTTTTATAAGAATCCGAAAACAAGCGGGTAGCGGGTGTATATAGTATATATATAAACTTGTAATATTTATAAAATAACTGTGATTTTCTACAAAAAACACGTAAAATTAAATTAAAAAAAAGAACAGGATCATGTCCCTTTGTAACCATTAATAGGTATTTTCGTATTGATATTTTTATAACCTTAAATTTTAATGGAAGGAGCAAGTCTTCGCTAAGTGGCGGTAACTGTTTTTGGTATTTAATTTTAATCTTTGGCCACTGATAGTGCCAAACAAATCAAACCATCGATAGCTAGTGATAACTGCGTTCAGCAGTAAAACATGATCACCAAAAACAGATGATTTTGATGTTACCAGGAATGTTATGCTCAATGCTGGAATTTCGCTGCTGCACGGAAACAATTGAGCAATATTTATTTTTAAAATAAGAGATTAGCTTTTTAATACACAATTACGGCACTACTACTAATTTTCAGACCGATTAAATTCAAGACGGCGTAAGCTATCACGAGCGTTCAGCAGAATAAACTTGATTACTGATTACAAATACACAAGTGATCAGTGATCATAAAGTTCTGCTGAGCACAGAAATTCTCTTGTTAAAGAACGATATTGACGCTATTGACCTTGTTAACAACTCACTGTAGTATTAACATTAAATATTTGAATTTCAGATATATAATCCAGGCTTTAGTTTCAACAGTAACGTTTGTAGGTATTATCTTCATATTGTCTCAATATAAATGCGAAATATATATTGTTTATTAATAGGTACTTATACCCCAACTTTTTGATTTAATGTAATCTTGGCCATGCAATCAATGTTTAGTAAAGCTGGCAGATAGGGTTTTCAAGGTAAGTGTACAAATTTTAAAATTTTATTAAGGCAAAATATGCTGGCATTTTTTTTAATGAAGATTGAAATGCTCTGTTTAAATAAATCTTTTTATGGCTAACCGTTTAAAATAAATACTATCGAATACTTAACTTAAAATATTGAACATCACCTCTATCGATGTCTTATCGATAGTGACATCGATGTTTTGACAGCCCTAACCACCTCTACATACTGCCCGTTTCCTTCTTTTTCTTTTCACGTTTCCGGTGAGTGCATGTGCTCCGCGAGCTCCGCTTAAAAATTGTACTTAAAATATCCCTTTTTAATTTACTTGCAGCGAGTATTTCGATACGTTCGTGGTCGTGTTAATCCCAGGTAATATATAGAAGCCAAAGAATCTGTAAAAAACGAAGTGGCCAGCGAAAATGTGTGCAAAACCCTATTTTTTTAATACATTTTTTTAATGTGGGCATTAAAGCCAAAATTAAAGGTGCTACTTGAAAATACAAGGTGTAAACAACACAAAAGGTGTATTTTATATACCCAAAACCTTTTTTTTTCTGTGAAATAAGACAAATTTAAAAAGATTTGTACAAAAAATGTGCGTTGCGGCATGTTGATGTGTGGTTGTGTGTGCTGTGTAAAAAAAATTGATTAAAACTTTAAAGAACTAAAAACTGCTAAGATAGAAGTTAGCTCACTTGAATTAAACAAAACTCTTCAATTTTATTGCAAAATTCAATGAGAGAATTGGTTGTTTACACCCTTTGTATCACACACACAAAGATTTTTTTTTGTGACTTGATGTTTTTGCACGTGTTTTGCTGGCTGCTATAATTTTCTGCCTTTCTTGTGAATTCTTAAGTCAAAAACTAACGGTTTCAATAATTCTCTTTTAGCAATTAAGCAACTGCTTATTTCGGAAGAAAACTTTGAAACTGCTTGAAAATGGTTGTTAAGAAGGTAAGTTATATTTACTAAAGCTGTTTAATTGACAGTCAATTAATATTATCTGTGTTTGAATTACAGCCCAGGCCAAAGAAGAAGCCAGTGACCAAGAAGGTGGCTCCAGCCCCACTCGCTGTTAAGAAGCCCGTGGTCAAGAAGGTCGTCAACCAGCTGTTCGAGAAGAGGCCCAAGAACTTCGGAATCGGTAAGTTATATATTTCCTATTGTTTTTAGGTTTTAAAAAGCTGCAAGAGTATTTTGTTGTGTCCGCATTGCTCAATTTCAATTATTTTTCATAACTTTTTCTTGAAAATACATGTTGCAATCAGAGAATCCATGATAATACCAATTTGATTATTATTAATTAGATGTTATAAATAATACTTCTCCAATGAGCCTTGAATTTATTATTTCCGTTCCTACGAGCGACGAGTACTCCCTTCTTTTATAAGAACACGTTTTTAGAAGTACACACTTCATTTGTGCATAATACCGGCACCATAAACCTGATTTTGTATACCAATACTTTGCCGTGTAGAGTTAATGCAGCCCATCAAACTTTGAATCGTTTTAGAAAGCAAATTTTTAATGTATTCTCTAATTTTACAGGCCAGAATGTGCAGCCCAAGCGCGATCTGTCCCGTTTCGTTCGTTGGCCCAAATACATCCGGGTTCAGCGGCAAAAGGCTGTGCTCCAGAAGCGCCTGAAGGTCCCACCTCCAATCCACCAGTTCAGCCAGACTCTGGACAAGACCACCGCCGTAAAGCTGTTCAAGCTGCTGGAGAAGTACCGGCCCGAATCGCCTCTGGCCAAGAAGCAGCGATTGAAGAAGATCGCCGAGGCCAAGGCCAAGGGCAAGGATGTGGAGCCCAAGAAGAAGCCCAGCTACGTTTCCGCCGGCACCAACACGGTCACCAAGCTGATTGAGCAGAAGAAAGCCCAACTGGTGGTCATTGCCCACGATGTTGAGCCTCTGGAGGTGAGTTTTTTGGAGTATAATGCACTCCAATCATGTTTGCACTTCCACATTCTCGATTATTGACCCAGAAATTACTTTAATATTTCTGGAGATTGTGGAACTACAAATTTGTATGTTTTTGTCTCGTTGCCATGATGTAAACTTTTGAATTTCTTCAACCGAAGGTCATCCCGCTCTCTTTTGAGCGGGGGGCTGCCATGTGGAGAATTGACGCCTGATTTTTTAATTCCTTGACAAAATTTATTAGATCAAAGCGTAAGCTTTATGTTAGTTACTGAGCTAAGGTGTTCTATTAGAGATCTCCGCTATATCTATAATTCGGTTATCGTTTCGATGCAGTTAGTTGTATTCTTGAGAAGAAATACATTTTACATTATAAAACAGCTTTTTCCACTTAATTTATGGGTTCCAATTAGTAAGCATTTTGACGTGAATAATGATTGCTGTTTTGAACTCAAAAATTTTTTATTTAGTTTAGACTTTACATCAAGTTTTTGTACTACTCGAATTTATAGAAAATCTAAAGAAAGGCTTGTAACTAAGCAAGATATTAAGCTTATGATGCCAAGGAATTAAGGGCAACACGATGAGACCAGAGACACAGACCCCCCGACCACGTGGTTTCTAAGTACATCAACTAATTCCTCTTTTACGCATCTTTTTGTGTTATTTCCAGCTGGTGCTCTTCCTGCCTGCCCTCTGCCGCAAGATGGGCGTGCCCTACTGCATCGTGAAGGGCAAGGCTCGTCTGGGTCGCATGGTGCGTCGCAAGACCTGCACCACCATCGCCCTGACCAGCGTCGACAACAACGACAAGGCCAACTTCGGCAAGGTCCTGGAGGCCGTGAAGACCAACTTCAACGAGCGCCACGAGGAGATCCGTCGCCACTGGGGCGGTGGCATCCTTGGCTCCAAGAGTCTGGCCCGCATCTCCAAGCTGGAGCGCGCCAAGGCCCGCGAGTTGGCCCAGAAGCAGGGTTAAACATGTTTGCGGCTAATTTGGAAGAGTTTTAAGTACACGATGGATGAAATGATTTGGGCAATGTGCGCCCATTGACTTTGATAACAAATAAACATTTAAGTGTACAATTTTTTTTTGTTTTTTTTATCTAAGTGTCTGTGAGTGCTTGGACGAGTCGATTTCTCATCGGCATTCAATAAATCTAAGTTGAATCCCATGTCACGCGTTGTTTTCCGCCAAGTACTCTTCAAATTGGGTTTCAAATTGGCTGGGGAACCTAAATTTATGCCTACAAGATCAGCTGTATCTATTCTGGAAGCGGTTTGGAGTTCCCTCGGACATGATACTACAATAATGCACTCGCAGAAGCACGAGTTTTATTTGATGAGGCAATTTTTGTCACTATTTCCTGCCCCAAAAGTTTGTTTTGGTTCCTGGAAAGTTCATCCATCAACATCGGTTGAAATTTATTACAAGTTTGTCTAGTTGTCTGCATAATTACAATCGCTCCAACAATTTATATTCCAGGAGATTAAATATTAGTATCTTTCTGCATGAAGCACGTAAGAATTTCTTAGGATTTGTGCTTGCTTCTCCATTTAATTTTTTAGATTTTCAAGATTATTATTATGGTTTCAAACTAAACATACATTTACAAAAATTCCAGCCATTTATCGATATTTAAAAGAAAAACAGGTGCAACGCCGATCTGGCATTATAATCGGTAATCGACGATGAATTTTCAGCACTATCGAAGGTAATCGGCGATAAATTTAAATTTTAATTTTTATTTAAAAAACAATAAACAACGTGATTATATTTTGGAGCGTTCGGTCTTGATCCCCAACTTGCTGCTCTGGATGGCCTCGTTCAGGATGCTGAGCACCATGTCCACGCGCTCCACGGTGGCGTTTTCGCCCATCAATCCGATCCGGAAAACGTGCTCCACAGTGGGTCCTAATCCGCCGCTGATCTCCACGCTGTACCTGAAGTTTATTTCAAATTATAAAATAAGATTGCGTCCATTTTTTTGGTATAACTGATTCATAATTCTGACTATAGACTTAAGATAAAGATTTAAAATGAAAATATAACTTAAGCAATCGATATCGAATGGATTCTCATTTTAATCATTTTCTTATTTAATAGAAAATTGTTGATGCTTTAATTTATTTAATACTTTTGGTTTGAAAATCTAGCTTTTAATTGAAATGGTTGATCTAAAAAGTGACCATAGTACTTCGATATTGTCTTAAAAAAAAAAATTTGGTAAAAATAGTACTTACTTGCGCATGGCGTATTCAGCCACCTTCTTCCAGTCCACTCCAAAGGGCACCTTGATCGTGTTCACCGTTGGCAATCGCTCATCCTCCCGCTGGACGAACATCTCCAGACCCAGCTCCTCGATGCCCAGTTGCAGACGCTTGGAGCACTCCTGATGACGCCGCACCACCGCCTTCAGGCCCACGGCACAAAAGTGGGCCAGAGCCTCGCGCAATCCGTACAGCAATGTGGAGGATATGGTGTGGTGATAGATCCTTGGGGTGCCATAGCAACCCCAGTACTGGCCGATCAGCAGGATGTCGAAGTAGTACACCTTTGGCTTGGTCTTGCGCTTCCGGATGCGCGTTAAGGCGCGTTTACTGAACGAAATGGGTGTGATTCCCGCAGGACCGCCGAGGGATTTCTGGGAGCCCGTGTACGCCACATCCACCTTCCACTCGTCCATCAGGAATTCGGCACCACCCAGAGAAGCCACCGTGTCCACCACCAGGAAGCAATCGTACTTGCGGCACAACTCACCCAACTCACGGATGTTCTGCTGGATAATGCCCGTCGAGGAGTCACCCTGGGCAATGAAGAAAACGCGGGGACGATGGGCCTCGAAGGCGAATGTGATCTCCTCGAGACTGAGGGCTCTCCCGAAACTCGCCTCCACGTAGTGGACTTCGGCTCCGTAACGACGCGCCATATCACCGGCCCGATGACCCCAGACACCCGTGATGCCCATGAGCACCACATCGCCATCCTCAATCAGGTTGCAAAGAGCGGCCTCCATTCCCGAGTGACCAGCGCCACTGATGCACATGGTGGCATCGTTGAGGGTCTGGAAGATGTACTTGATGCCCTCCTTCACCTCGTCCATTATCTGTAAAGTGCAAGAGGTAAAAACGTCAAAGTTTTTCAGGGAAAAGGAGGTGAGATCATATCGATCTCCTGATCGAGAATATACATATGTACATATATACTTTATAGGGTCGGAAATGTGTTCTCAATTTTTGCCAACTTCTGACTAAAATTCTAATACCCTCAAAATGAAAGCTCAAAAATATCGACCCAAAAATACAAACCAAGATTTAAACCAAGATTTAGAGAATTAAACCACAAATATTTAGAAGTATGCCACTTTGAAATCTGATAACTGTAAGAAAAGTTATTGTCTTAGAAGAGCAAGTTTTAGGTAACTTTTTAGCAAAGCCATTTTCGAAAATTTGGAAAGGGGTAACATCATTAAAATGACGAAAAATCGACCCCAAAATACAAACCAAACTGAGAACACAGATTTTTAGAGAATAAAGCCACGATCATTTAGAAGTATGCCACTTTAAAATCTGATAACTGTAAGAAAAGTTATTGGCTTAGTAGAGCAAGTTTTAGGTAACTTTTTAGCAAAGCCATTTTTCGAAAATTTTGAAAGGGGTAACATCATTAAAATGACGAAAAATCGACCCCAAAATACAAACAAAGCTGAGAACACAGATTTTTGGAGAATTAAGCCACGATCATTTAGAAGTATGCCACTTTAAAATCGGATGTCTGTAAGAAAAGTTATGGGCTTAAAAGTGCAGGTTTTAGGTGACTTTTCAGCAAAGCCATTTTTCGAAAATTTGGAAAGGGGTGACATCATTAAAATGACGAAAAATCGACCCCAAAATACAAACAAAGCTGAGAACACAGATTTTTGGAGAATTAAGCCACGATCATTTAGAAGTATGCCACTTTAAAATCGGATGTCTGTAAGAAAAGTTATGGGCTTAAACGTGCAGGTTTTAGGTGACTTTTCAGCAAAGCCATTTTTCGAAAATTTGGAAAGGGGTGACATCATTAAAATGACGAAAAATCGACCCCAAAATACAAACAAAGCTGAGAACACAGATTTTTGGAGAATTAAGCCACGATCATTTAGAAGTATGCCACTTTAAAATCGGATGTCTGTAAGAAAAGTTATGGGCTTAAAAGTGCAGGTTTTAGGTGACTTTTCAGCAAAGCCATTTTTCGAAAATTTGGAAAGGGGTGACATCATTAAAATGACGAAAAATCGACCCCAAAATACAAACAAAGCTGAGAACACAGATTTTTGGAGAATTAAGCCACGATCATTTAGAAGTATGCCACTTTAAAATCGGATGTCTGTAAGAAAAGTTATGGGCTTAAAAGTGCAGGTTTTAGGTGACTTTTCAGCAAAGCCATTTTTCGAAAATTTGGAAAGGGGTGACATCATTAAAATGACGAAAAATCGACCCCAAAATACAAACAAAGCTGAGAACACAGATTTTTGGAGAATTAAGCCACGATCATTTAGAAGTATGCCACTTTAAAATCGGATGTCTGTAAGAAAAGTTATGGGCTTAAAAGTGCAGGTTTTAGGTGACTTTTCAGCAAAGCCATTTTTCGAAAATTTGGAAAGGGGTAACATCATTAAAATGACGAAAAATCGACTCCAAAATACAAACCAAGCTGAGAACACAGATTTTTGGAGAATTAAGCCACGATCATTAAGAAGTATGCCACTTTAAAATCGGATGTCTGTAAGAAAAGTTATGGGCTTAAAAGTGCAGGTTTTAGGTGACTTTTCAGCAAAGCCATTTTTCGAAAATTTGGAAAGGGGTAACATCATTAAAATGACGAAAAATCGACCCCAAAATACAAACAAAGCTGAGAACACAGATTTTTGGAGAATTAAGCCACGATCATTTAGAAGTATGCCACTTTAAAATCGGATGTCTGTAAGAAAAGTTATGGGCTTAAAAGTGCAGGTTTTAGGTGACTTTTCAGCAAAGCCATTTTTCGAAAATTTGGAAAGGGGTGACATCATTAAAATGACGAAAAATCGACCCCAAAATACAAACAAAGCTGAGAACACAGATTTTTGGAGAATTAAGCCACGATCATTTAGAAGTATGCCACTTTAAAATCGGATGTCTGTAAGAAAAGTTATGGGCTTAAAAGTGCAGGTTTTAGGTGACTTTTCAGCAAAGCCATTTTTCGAAAATTTGGAAAGGGGTGACATCATTAAAATGACGAAAAATCGACCCCAAAATACAAACAAAGCTGAGAACACAGATTTTTGGAGAATTAAGCCACGATCATTTAGAAGTATGCCACTTTAAAATCGGATGTCTGTAAGAAAAGTTATGGGCTTAAAAGTGCAGGTTTTAGGTGACTTTTCAGCAAAGCCATTTTTCGAAAATTTGGAAAGGGGTGACATCATTAAAATGACGAAAAATCGACCCCAAAATACAAACAAAGCTGAGAACACAGATTTTTGGAGAATTAAGCCACGATCATTTAGAAGTATGCCACTTTAAAATCGGATGTCTGTAAGAAAAGTTATGGGCTTAAAAGTGCAGGTTTTAGGTGACTTTTCAGCAAAGCCATTTTTCGAAAATTTGGAAAGGGGTAACATCATTAAAATGACGAAAAATCGACCCCAAAATACAAACCAAGCTGAGAACACAGATTTTTGGAGAATTAAGCCACGATCATTAAGAAGTATGCCACTTTAAAATCGGATGTCTGTAAGAAAAGTTATGGGCTTAAAAGTGCAGGTTTTAGGTGACTTTTCAGCAAAGCCATTTTTGGAAACGGGTTATCATAAAAATTATGTTATAAACTTAGATTTATATGCAGATTTTTAGAGATTTAAACCACAATCATTTAGAAGATTTCGATTTCTGCAAGAAAAGTTGTGGGCTTAAAAATTCAGTTTTTGGACACTTTTCTGCAATGCCATTTTTTGAATATTTGGAAAGGGGTTTAAAAATTAGCAAAACTTGCCCTAAGGGTATAAGAATACCCTAACAATAATAATATATATTAGGTTTTATTATTTTCCAATTAAAAAAGTTATATATTTATTGACCTAATTTGTTGCTACTTTCTTGAATTCTCAGAGATTAACCCATTCTTCATCATTCCGATTGAATGATCTATATGGAAAAAAATAAAGTGCTGCATAGTATAAAAGATGAGGTGGTTTCAGTCGATTGGAAGTCCATAGATCTCTGACCCATCTCAGTAATTGTATCTCAATGTTTCACTTTGCCCCGATAAGGCAAATAGAGCACTCTCAGTACAGTGCGGAATATGTTTAGAAGTTTGAAAATATTGTTTGGTATTTTAATCTATTTTCTAGCCGCATTTGATATATGGACTGAGATTAGTGACCCTTTAGATGCATTTTGATGAAAATAAATAAGTGTTAATTTGCAAATACGTAGCACAAATATAAGATTTAATACAATAATTTAATTTAATATAATAAGAAACAAATATTGAAAAAAAAAATATATGAAAATCTGGATACTTGTATTAATATTGTATCTTTAATCTTTTGTTAAGTCCGCAGTGCGGTTAAGTGTTTCTGTGTGGTACCCACCTGCAGGCACTCGGGATGCATGTGGCCCAGCACCGGATTGCTCATGGCCTCCAGGACGCGATGGGAGCAGTTCGAGGGTCCCGGACCCATCAGCGTTTTACTGGGCACATACAGTGGTCGCTTGAGGACGAGCGGTGGCGGCACTTCCATTTTCCCCGACTTGCTGCTCTCTGTTTTCTGTTTACGTAACCAGATCTCTGTGTTTATGATTGTCTTATCGTCTAATCCGCTGGAAAAGGTGGACTTCGACTGGCCGGGGGGTACAATTTGTGGGTGTGCAATGTGGAAGAGGCGGTGTTTCTCGCTGGCTGGCCAAGATCTGACTGAAACGCCGCCCGGACTGCTGGCAACTTTATAGCTCTCCGGGTCGCAGCTTATCGCCGGAATTTTGCCGATGAACGCACTTGAACAAGCGGTAAGTGATGCGCTCTCCCGCTTATCAAGCATCGCGATCGGGAGCAACTGCGTCGTTGAAGACACAGGAAAAAAATATTTTTAAATGTTAATTATAACCGATAACAAAAAATATATATTTTTAAGATAGCATTGGATAAATTACAGCATTGATGGGGCAAAGCCGACCCTGCCAACATATATTTTCGTTTAAAGCATTATTATTCGGAGAGTTACAGAAATCAACCGAAAGTCCAGAAAAGTTTGGTTGGAAGACATTTCGATATAAAGATGAACCGATTTCAGCAATTTACAATTCATATAAATACATATTATTTTTTGGGTGCCCCAGATTAAATCATCCATTCTACATAGAATACAACCCGTCGGTTAATTGAAAACAGAAAATAAAACCTATATGAAAAATCCTTTATCATTTGATTTTGAAATAAAAAAAATATTCTGTTTATTTTCAGTGCATTGCTGCTGATTCTTTGGATGGCCTTCGGAAGGTTGGCGGGCCATGTTCATTGTGAAATACAAATTCAGCAATTCAAACCTTGGAATTGGGTGCGTATACCTTATGTTGTAGTTTTTTCTTTGGTGCTAGAAGAATCTGCAGAGAGCGGAGATCTTAGATGTCTAATACTCTCAAACCCTGTGTAAGCTGGTAATTGTTAAAGCATGATAAGATATTGATAAGAAGCCTGCAAGCTGATATTTCCATTAACGGAAATGTAGTGACCAGGAGGTTACCGCCTGCAATATGTCGGATAGAATTAATTACCATTTTATTTGTGGTGAAATTGAGCGACTAAAAATAAACCATAGCAAAAATTAGCTTCGAGAATGTGATAAATAGTTAAATTAACAGCCAATGACATTGAAACAATCAATGGTATTATTTATTTATTAAGTTGTTGATTCAACGATTAGAAGAGTTATTGAATTATACATTTGTGCACGATTTTCAGGTAAAGCAATGTACTGAAGAAGTAATAATTTTATTACTTATAAATTATTATTACTTAGAAATTATTATTACTTAGAAATTTTAACCATCGCAAATAAAAGATATTTGAGGAATATTATGGTACAAACATAAAACAACTGTAAGTAATATTGAATAAAGTAAAGCTAAAAGAGTAACTGTTTTTATGTTGACTAAGGTTATAAGCTTTTGCGACTTGTAAAATGCTTACATTTAAATTTAACCTATGGATGTCCTTCCTCAAATCATTTTACAGTTCATTACTTAGTCAAATGAAATATTGATAGCAAAATATTGATGCTTTATTCGTCACATTCGCTTCATTCATAATTGAGAATATTGCTCCCTTTAATTAGGTTTATTTGTTAACTATGGTCTGGTCCTGGATAAGCTGTGGCAGATTTATTTATTCTCAAAAGCTCGATTCCCAGCAGGCATCCTGAGAGTAAAAGCTCAATGAAATGTTCAATGGGACACGAGACGAGAGTTGAGTTTAACATTCACGTTTACCGACTTCGTTCTCCGACTGAGGGATGCTGTAATCTCCGGAAATTTTATATTCGCTATATTGCTGAAGACGACAGGAGACGTGCTGTACGAAAGTAATTTTCTTAAAAATAATTCCTTAAATGTGTTGAACAAAAAACTAGTTAATCGCCCCCGCCTCTTACTAATCTTGAAAAGTGCATAAGTACAAATTGGTTTTAACAATCTTCAGTTTAATATGCATATGTTCGCGTGTGCGATGCGCATATTCATACTCAAAGGACTTCGTGGAGCTCTATTAACACCTTTATACACATTTGTGAAATGCAAAACCTTGTGCCAAAACTACGCAGTCCATAAATAAATCCATGTGAACTCGAGCGAACCCGCCCACGTTGTGTAAATAAATGGATTATAACCCATAGTTAAATGAGTTTTTTTTTTAGAGTGCCGCATTAAATTTGTTCTAATGTTGGACTTAGTCCTAATATTAAGTCGGAAAATGTAACAATAAAAATGTTCAGGAACAGTCAACCAAGGCGTGTATAAATAATATAAATAAAAGTATAAGTTATATAAGTACAAAAGAACAGTTGTACGTATAAAAAATTGAAAACTAATCCACCCACTGAGTTGACACCCACGCACAAAAAGTTCAGTGTCAAGAGTAAGCCACACAACAGCTTCAGGTGGGCGGGATTCGAGGATATTACCATCAAATCCCCCCCCACACAAAATAAAAAAACAAAAACTCTTCATTATACATGTAATAATAAACACAAAATCGTTAACTAAATTGGAATATATAAAAAAAAAAGGTTTTCCCCAATTCCAAAAATTGTTGGCCCCCAAAACATATACCTTGTACCGCCTTTTGGAGATATATAAGTTATACGCAAGCGCTCTACACCAAAAACATCGCTCTCTTTTACATTTTTTAATAGAAACGCAACAGAAATCGCAACAGTAACAGTAACGGTAACAGCAGCATCCGGATAGCAGGGCAGCAGTGCTCGTGGGGCAGAAAAGCTCGCTACATTCCGGGACAACCTACAAAGTTACGTGCCTATGAGTGGGCGAGTGCGTGTACATGTCTGGCAATGTATTTGACAGCCTTCCCCTTTTGGCCATTGGTATGCTTTGTGTGGCTCTGTAAGTATTGCGCTTGGAAATGATTCGCCTAATGGACCACTGTTAACGCCCACGCAATGTCCTTAGATCACACAGAAAAGAAAACTAACCAAGCCCCATAAAATATATGTAACCACTTGTAACATTTCCCTTTTTAAGTGATTAAGTTATAAGATTTGGTTATGTTTTTTAAGGCTATGCTGATAAAAAAATGTCTTGGTCAATGTTTTTATAATTAAGTTAGTACACTAGCTCTTTGGTTCTATGGGTTATGTTCTGATTAATAATTTACTTACTTATTGAATATTTAGCTATATTGAATTTGATTAAGCTTAACATTTTTATTGACAAATCATCAAATGGGGCGGGGTCCATACATGAAGTATTATTTGTGTTTACTACCAACAAATTATTTATGTATATACTCGTTTGTATGTAATGCAATAAGTATGAAATATTAAGCACAAAGTAATCCCAATCAAAACATTTACATTATGGGGCACCTCACAAATCCAAATATTTTTGTTCATTTCTTTGAGTAGTTAGGCCTTTTAATACCTATATATTATATATATTGTGCCTTCTAACCACACTTAAGTGTAAGTCTAAAGGAATACCTTATAAACTGTGTGTATCGTTGGAGTTAGGTCTCGGTCTCGGCGACTTAACAAAACTTGCTGTGAAACGTAACGCGCCCCACTATGGAGTCCAACCCACAACCGCACTGGGTCGCTGGGACTGGCACAAGCACAAGCAGCTGCACTCGGATGCCAGGAGCGGGCATCTAGAGACGGGCAACGAGTCTCGGGAGGACCAGTTGTCCGAGGAGTTAAGCAAGTTCGGGGAGAAGCTCTTCCCCGTCTCCAACTATCCGCCCTACCAGAACCACAACGAAGACAGCCAGGAGGTGCACCACAGTGGCGAGGGTCGAGTGCTCACCATGGAGTCGCCGGTGCCCTCGAAGGCGCGAGTGCCCGGAGGAGGAGGAGGAGGAGGAGGAGGAGGCACTGGCTCCAATGACACGCCCAAGTTCCGCAACATCGGTGCGCAGAAGAGTCGCCCCGAAGTGGGAGGCCTGCGGGAGGTGGATCGCATCAGTTCACGGGGCCGGGATGGCTTTATAGGTGGACCCAGTAACAAGCAGAAGCCCTTCCGCGTCAACCTGGCCGTACTCGTCCAGGACGATCCCAGTCAGCCGGGCGAGACGTACGCCAATTGCCACGACTCCAATGAGGGCGATGAGAATCCCAATCCCGCCTGCAACACCGAGGAGGATGCGATGCCCAATCTGCAGCGGGACTGCGAGAAGACGGGCCTGCATGTGATGTGTCCACGCACCTTCCGCTGCATCAGCAAGTACTGGCTCTGCGATGGCGACGACGACTGCGGCGACTACTCCGACGAGACCCACTGCGGAGCCAGGACGAACTGCACGGACGACCAGTTCGAGTGCCTGAACGGGTTCTGCATTCCGCGGACGTGGCTCTGCGACGGGGAGAACGATTGCAAGGACTTCTCCGACGAGTCGCACTGCAACCGCACCAGCTGCACGGACGAGCACTTCACCTGCAACGATGGCTACTGCATCTCGCTGGCCTTCCGGTGCGATGGGGAGCACGACTGCAACGACAACTCCGACGAGCTCAAGTGCGCGGCGGTGATCAACAGCTGTCCCGAGGGCGAGTTCAAGTGCCGCGGCGGACTGGGCGGCGCCGGAGGTCCCAGTGGCCAGTGCATCCTCAATCGTTTCCGCTGCGACGGGGACAACGACTGCGGCGACTGGAGCGACGAGGAGAACTGTCCCCAGAAGCCCTCGCTGTGCACCTCCAATGAGTACAAGTGCGCCGACGGCACCTGCATCCCGAAGCGCTGGAAGTGCGACAAGGAGCAGGACTGCGACGGCGGCGAGGACGAGAACGAGTGCGGCGGCCTCAGCTCGGAGCATCCGATGACCTGCGGATCCGACGAGTTCACCTGCAACAATGGACGCTGTATTTTGGTAGGTCCCACAATCAAGAGCACTTCATCTACATAGTATGATACTACTACACTTTTGCCATCGCAGAAAACCTGGCTTTGTGACGGCTATCCAGACTGCACGACTGGAGAGGATGAGGTTGAGTGCCACCTACAATGCGACCTGGGGCAGTTCTTGTGCCCGACAAAACAGAACATTACCAATCTTAAGTGAGTACTGGGTAGTTCCTGGCCAATCTTCTGGGGGTGTGAAACCCCTCCGGAAACAAGCACCTTTTCTTTATTTTGATTTCTTGTCTTATGTATTGTATTATGTTGTTGCATTATATTTAATTGTTAGTCACAATAAATTAAAGTTACTAACAATAACGAATAGTATAAACTCAGAATTTTTTACATACATTTAATTTGTTTCGTTAGTTAAAATTTAAAATAAATTGTCATTTGAAAGTGTGTTCCTAAATTTTAAATCGTATGTTTACATTCTTAGAAGAGGTTTCAAAATTGTAGTTTTGAGAAAAAAATGCGATTGAACTAAAGGGCTCAACTTTCAAGGATCCGATCGATTTAAAGTTTTGATATTATGATCCGGCCTTCTGTTAACTAAATTAAATCATAAACTTAAGAAAATATATATTACTTTTACAACATCCTTTCAAGCCGTTAGAAGTAACTAGTATAATAGACTGCAAACTAATGCCAACGCACTTACATTTTCCAGGATTTGTGTCCATCAGAAGCACATTTGCGATGGCCACAGGGAATGTCCTGCCGGCGAGGACGAGGCGGACTGTCCCAAGGAGCGGAAGTGCCTGGAGCCCAGTCCGTGCGAGCAGTTGTGCATCGAGACCCATGCGGGATTGGAGGAGTGTGCCTGCCGCCTTGGCTATGTCATGGACAAGAACAAGGTCAAGTAAGTAGATGGGATTGCCCTCACCTGGCCCCAAAATCTGATTGGTATCCGTTGACCAGCTGCACGGACATTGACGAATGCCAGTACCTGACCAGTCCGGTCTGCTCGCAGAAGTGCCACAACACGATGGGCTCCTTCAAGTGCTCCTGCGAGACGGGCTACATCCTGCGGCCGGACTTGCGCTCCTGCAAGGCGCTGGGCGGGGCCATGACCCTGCTGGTGGCCAACCGGTGGGACATCCGCCGGGTGACACTCAGCAACAATAGGTACACGGCGGTGGTGAAGGGGCTGCACAACGCCATCGCCCTGGACTTCCACCACCGCAAGGGACTGATGTTCTGGTCGGACGTGTCCACCGATGTCATCAAAATGGTATACCTGAACGGGACACGGGTGCGGGACGTCATCAAGTGGGGGCTGGAGTCGCCAGGCGGGATAGCTGTGGACTGGATCCACGACCTGCTCTTCTGGACCGACTCCGGCACCCGGCGTGTGGAGGTGTCCAACTTTCAGGGCAACCTGCGCACGGTCATCGCCTCGTACGACCTGGACAAGCCCCGGGCCATTGTGGTGCATCCGGGCGAGGCGATGGCCTTCTGGAGCGACTGGGGTCCGAATCCGAAGATCGAGCGCGCCTACATGGACGGCACCCAGCGGAAGGTAATCATATCAAAGGGCGTCACCTGGCCCAATGGCCTGGCCATCGACTTTCCCAACAGCAAGATTTACTGGGCGGATGCCAAGCAGCATGCCATCGAGTGCTCCAATCTGGATGGCACTGATCGCAACAAGATTCTCAGTGACCACCTGCCGCACCCATTCGCGCTGACCCTCTTCGAGGACACCATGTACTGGACGGACTGGAACACGAAGACCGTCTCGGCGGCGGACAAGATCACGGGGAAGGGGTATCGGGCGGTGCACGAGAACTTCCACTTTCCCATGGACATCCATGCCTACCATCCGGCCCGTCAGCCGGAGTACTCGGACCGCTGCCAGAAGGATCGTCGAGGTCTGCGCGGCGGCTGCTCCCACTTGTGCCTGCCCAACAGGACGTCCCGGCGATGCGGCTGCCCCATCGGACTGTCGCTGAAGGAGGATGGGAAGACGTGCAAGAGTACGGCGGATAAGCTGGTGCTGGTCGCCCGGCGAAAGGACATCCGGTTGAGGCACTTGAAGAACAACCAGGCCGATCCCAACGAGGTGGACATGATTGTGCCGCTGGACAACTTGAAGCATGCGGTGGCCCTCGATTGGTGCAGCGACACGGACTTCATCTACTGGACGGACGTGGAGCGGAGCACCATCAACAAGGCCCACCTCAATGGGAGCTACCAGCAGCGGGTGGTGCACTCGAACCTGGTGTCTCCCGTGGGCCTGGCCCTGGACTGGATCACCGACAAGCTCTATTGGACAGATCCGTCCAAGAACCGCATCGAAGTGGCCACCACGAATGGAAAGATGCGCACGTTGCTCATTTGGGAGAAGCTATACAAGCCACGGGACATCGTTGTGAACCCTATTGGTATGTTGAATGCGCTTTAACCATGGCCTTCATTACGTCATAATACATATGTTATAATATATATGCTGGAGTCCTTGAACTGATTTTAATTGAAATGTTTATTGGGCCTTAACAACAAGTATCCAAGAACTATTCCTATACCTTCAATACTTACTTTCATGTTTCTCCCCTTCCAGATGGCTTTATGTTCTGGTCGGATTGGGGTGATCACCCTATGATTGAACGTGCCAACATGGATGGACATGACCGCGTTACTATATCATCGAAAAAACTAATTTATCCCAATGGACTGGCCATTGACTATGAGAAGAGTAAACTCTACTTTGTTGATGGTGGCACAAAAACATTGGAGTACATGAACTATGATGGCAGCGGCCGTCAGGTTATTATAAGTAAGTAGCCAATAATAAAATATATCACCAATTTATATTAACGAGTCTTAATCTTAGATAAGATTTATATATATATTACATTTACCAAAACATTTACACCAATCTTTTAGTACAAAAGCAAATATACCTTTGTATAATTCATTTATAATTTAATAATTCATTTATAATTATGATTAAAAAGAAAATCAGAATCATCAACAGTCAGAAATAAATGGAATCAACTTTATACAAAATAATAATCATGTATTTTATACACCATTTTTGATTTGTTCTAATGATTTTAAAATGATGTTAAGTTTCAGTTAAACATGACTAAATAGATGCATTTATAGAAATAAGATTTTCTTCCTAACTATTACAACTGGAATATTTACCTTTCCAAGGATTCTTCTTAATGAATATTAAGACTTGAATAATATACTTACAAACTTACTTATACAAACTACCTGTCTTCTAACAGACGGACTTGGCCATCCTTTCGGCTTGGATGTGAGCGAGGGGCGTGTGTTTTGGACGGACTGGGACACCAAGTCCGTGATGAGCGCCAACAAGCTGACCGGCAAGGAGACGAACGTGATCATTGCGAACAGTACGGACCTGATGGACATCCGGGTGTTCCATCGCTCGCGGAGGCGCATCTTCAACGCCTGCGACAAGCTGAACGGTGGCTGCTCCCACCTGTGCCTGCTCAATCCGACCAGCTACACCTGTGCCTGCACCGTGGGCGTGCAGCTGAAGGAGGACAGGCACACCTGCTCCGAGGGGCCCACCCAGTACATATTGTTCGCCCACCGGATCGACATCCGGCAGATATCGCTGGACTTTGACCACCTCATCGACGTGGTCCTGCCCCTGCCGCCCATCTCGAATGCGGTGGCCTTGGATGTGGACAGGCGGACGGGCAACATCTTCTGGTCGGACACCATCGAGAACGTCATCATGAGCTCCAGTCCCGACGGCCTGCACGTGCAGAAGGTGGTCGGGGATAGTCTGGAGAATCCGGATGGCCTGATTGTCGACTCGGTGGGCAGGACCATCTACTGGGCGGATGCCGGTCGGCACACCATCGAGGTGGCCAATCTGGATGGCAGCAATCGGCATGTGATCGCCCACAAGGATCTGGAGTCGCCGCGCGGCTTGGCCTTGGATTACGAGGCTGGTCTGCTGTTCTGGACCGATTGGGGTCACTACCGCAAGATCGAGCGGTCCCATTTGGATGGCAACGAGCGGTCTCGCATTGTGACCGCCAATCTTGGCTGGCCGAATGGCCTGTCGCTCGATTTGAAGAGCAAGCGAATTTACTGGGTCGATGCCCGTCTGAAGACCATCGACTCCTGCGATTACACGGGCAATCAACGCAAGCTGATCATGTCCTCGCTCCATCATCCGTATGCCCTGGCCCTTTCCGAGGACAACATCTACTGGACCGACTGGAAGTCGAAGGCGTTGCACATGACCGAAAGGCGCAACATAACGGCAAAGCGGGACATAATCACCAACATCGATGGGCTGATGGACATCAAGGTCATCTACCAGGATCAGCCGATGCCCGACAATGTCTGTGGAGCCAACAACGGTGGCTGCTCGCACCTCTGTCTCCGCAATCCATCTGGATTTTCGTGCCAGTGCCCCATTGGACTGCGATTGCGCCAGAATAGCACTACGCAGTGCCAAAATCTACCAGAGGTAAGCCCACACTGATCTAAAAAAGAGACTAATACATAGCTGAGGATTAATTGTTATTCCAAAAGGGTTTTAAATATTCATTTCTATTATTTATTATTCAAAACAGTAGCTTTTGAGATTTCAACTTCTTAAGTCCGATTTTTCAATGTCACGTTAAGTTTTGCTAACTTACAAACTAGAACCTTGACGTAACATTTAGAAATCGAACTTAAGTGTAAAAGTACAAAATATTAATATTTACTTATCATAATTATACGAGAGAGATTTTTTTTTTTTATATGATATGAAATAAGAAATTAAAAAGTTAAAAACTAAATTATTATTTAAATGATTTGGGCATTAAAACGAAATAAAATAAATTAATAACAATGGTGCAACTGGTAAAAGGTTTACTTAATTCAATTTAATATAAAATTAATTTTAAATGTATGTAATTTTCTCTTTATATATTTTTAATTTTAATTTAATTTATATAGTTTATAAAATAGTTATACATTTGTTTGTTTGCTGTAATTACAGGATTTCCTTCTCATCGCCTTGCGCTCTGGAATTGGCATGATATCTTTGAACTCTGCCGATTTTATGGACGTCGTTTTGCCCATCAATGGAGTACATGGAGCAGTTGTACTCGACTACCACTACCGGAAGAACCTGCTCTTCTTCGCCGACGTCAATCTCGACGTGATTCGGAGGGTTAATCTCTTGAACCTCACCGAAAGCAAGGTGATTGTCGGCACGGATGTGCTCACGCCCAACGGAATAGCCGTCGACTGGATTTCGGACAACCTGTATTGGTCTGATACCGATCGCAAGCTAATTGAAGTATCTCGGATCGATGGAAGCTGCCGCAAGCGGATAGTCGAGGACAATTTGGGCGACCCGCGATCTCTAATTGTGCATCCTAAAAAAGCGTACGAACATTATTCATTCCCCATTTTGTAGTTTCCTTCTTTTTTTATTTTTGCATATCATTAATATCGTGTCTCTGCAGTTATTTATTTTGGTCAGATTGGAGCTCTCCAGCGAAAATCGAACGCAGCTACTTGGATGGTTCAAATCGAACCGTTCTCATAACTTCAGGCATCGGCTTTCCTACGGGCCTCACAATTGATTTTAGGTGAGTTGGTCTATTGGGTAAAGAAACGTTCCTTGCTCTTTTTTTAATAGAGTCAAACATGTGAAGTATTTTTGACCATCTCCCAAAATATGTGAACAGTATTTGTGCATTCCAAATAACATTAAAAGATAAGACTAGCCCCACTAAATTAGGAAAAATTACCTAAAACATTTTGTAATGCCTTGAATTGTGAACTTTTGGAATAATTACTTAAAATGGTAATCTATTTTCATACATTTTGGTTCGTTTTGTTTTGTGTGTTCTCAGAGTGAAAGTAAAACACATTATACCATGTTTCCTGTTTTTAAATTTTTTGGAACTTCTTAAAAACTAGAATGTATAACAATGTAATGGTAACTAAGTGCTAAGAGATGGCCCAAAAATGTTTGACACGTTCGAGATGTGCATAGTTTGACTTAAAAACCCTATTATTATTAAACAGCAATCGGCGTTTACTTTGGGCCGACGCTTTGGAAGACAACATTGGCCAAGTGGACTTCAATGGAAAGCGTCGTCAGACGATTGTTCCCTACGCACCCCATCCATTTGGCCTGACTATGGTAGGATAATATTGATATGAATTAGAGCAATGCAAGGACTAATGGTGGCCCCTCTGTTTAGTTCGACAGTAGTATTTACTGGACCGATTGGTACAACAAATCGGTGTACCGATCTCAGCGATTGCCGCGATCCGGATTTGGAAATCCCTTCGAGGTGCGCGATGCCCTCAGTGGAGCACTGGACATCCGGGCCGTATCGCTGCACCGGCAGCCCAAGAGCTGGAACCACTGCGCCCAGGACAATGGAGGCTGCTCGCATCTGTGCCTCTATCGCTTCGTGGACTACGTGTGCGCCTGTCCCGATGTACTGGATCCCAAGGAGGCGGCATGCTCCACCAAGCCCAAGGTTTTGGTGCATGCCAACTTGGAGAGCGACCAGGTGCTGGAGTACTCCGACGAATCCACCGACGATGCCACACCCACGGAGCAGCTGGGCGATCCCAACAACCAGGACGAGGATGGCCACACGAAAAAGAGCGATCAGCAGAGAGAGTTCTTTGTCCTCGTGGCACTGGGCGTGGTCATTGTTATGGTTGTCATCATAATACTCGTTATTTTCAGTAAGAGAATAACACCATCACTAACTGAGTTCACTGTTGAAACCATGGATTTACACTTGTCTTTGCAGTGCTTGCGTTCAACACGAGCAAGAAAAAGAATAAACGCAACTCTCGCGGTTCCAGTAGATCTGTATTAACCTTCTCCAATCCGAATTACAACGTTGATGGGACGCCAATGGAGCCAAAGACGAATATTTGGAAGCGTTTTAAGTACGACAAAAATCATGTAAGATCTGGAATTAGTTCTTAAGCATTTAAATCGATTACCATATACCCTTTATTCTGTTGGCAGGAACGAGCTGGGGTCTACGAAGAGCGCAGTCTGACCACGGAGACGGCTTCCTCGAGCCTTTTTGTGCCGACACCATCTCCAATGGCGTCGCCCTCGACAAAAACAATCCAACTGACTACACTCTCGACTATCACATAGGTGGCATGAATAGTTCAAATGGCCCTGCATCAAAATGGAGGTCCTTGAAGCCAATCGATCTACCGACTCATGCAGTTTGGATGATTTCGATTGTAAATGTGTGGAAAGCAAACTGTTTTTTATTTTGCCCAGCAACCGACATTAATCATTGTTCTTTTTTTTTTTGGTTTTCATAAGTGAAAAAACATGTCCTGTTAAAGCTCAAAACAAAAAGGGGGTTTAAGATAATACGAAATATATTATATTATATGATATATTATTCAATTATGTAATCACTAAATTATTTTCCTATTTTTTAATAATAGGTAATAACTATTAAGTAATTCGGGTGCTTCGACTTTGAACAAAGAAATATCCTACTACTGGGCGCATTTTTTTTTTGCTGATAACAAATTGAAATGTCCATAACTTGGTTTATCTGATTGCCAATGATAAAATCATTGTTTAATCCAATCATGAAACACAGAGGGTGTGGAAGTTTTTAACATAGAGATTTCCCTAGCAAAAATGTCGAAAAACTTCTGTGCGTCTGTAAGCCAAATTAAAAGGCCTAGCTCTTATATTATAAGTGCTAGACTATTGATCTAAGTCTGTATGCAAAATTGTACAACATAATTAAAAAAGGAAGAGGCATCAATGTTTCTTTTTTCAGAGCCCAAGGATGCAAGCACCGGTTGGTTTAGTGGTTAACACAAATGTTATTAAACTGGATTAGTTACAAAATAATGATGATTTTCACAATATGAAAACCGCGGGCTTAATTCTATTCAGGGCTTCAACAAGATATCTGGAAACTTAAGTTTTCTATCAGTGTTTGTAAATATATTTTATGCTTGCAGATGTATGAACTATTAAATACACAAAGAAGCATTCTTGTATTTGCTCAACAAATTTGGGGCAAAATGATTTTCTGTCTTTTTTGTTTTTCGACTCTCAAAGTTTATCAAACTTTATTTCCACCAACAACAGGTACATACAGCCATTCCTTTTCCGAAAGGTGAAAAAGTAATCAATTACGCAAAATATCACCAGTGAATGGTAAAGTCCAGCTGAAGGTAAAAAGTTTCTTTGACTTCGACTCTTTATGTTCAATCATTAGCAACTTTTAATTCTTTTAAATTGATTTAATTGAATTGACTACAAATATCCTTTTTAAGTTCATTCTTAGTTATTCAAAATTTTACCTACGTGTGTATATCGCTGAAAAATTGTGTATATTTAGAATTTTTTTGGAAAGCTATTATCTTCGGTTAGTAAAAATTATTATTTTTCTTATTTACATAGAAATTATCTAAAAACAGGTACATATATAACTTGAATTTTTTAAATTAAATTGCAGGCAAATCGATATTCAGTTTATTTTAAGACTTTGGTTGCCTTTGTTAAATTATTTTTCAATTTGTTTTATAAAATTAAATTTCTATGTTTCAATTTTGTGTCATATCATTAAAAGATTGTTTTAAATTTGGGTTAAGATTAGGCTTTTCGAATGCTTTTACAACTGCTTTCGCTTTCTGGTGAATTATAAAAAATTTGACAAAAGGACTTTCCCAAAAAGCTTTCGATAAAGCTTTACAAAGGCTCAACTGTGCTTTTCCATCCTTTTTGCATGCGATGTTTGCCACAATCATATCCTGGTAAGTAAGTGGTTTCATTTCAAATCTTTTAAGGGGAACGGGATGGCGAATGAGATTTATTTTCCGATACACACGATGCTACGACGGCAGTATTAGTTCCCAGTCCAAAAGGATATTCGAGGGTCTTGTGACCTATAGTTCAAGTGCCGGCAAAAGCTCATCGAAAACTATAAGAGGATGAATCTAGGACCCAGGTCAACGCTCCAAGAAAATGGTTTTTCGTGACCGAAAAAGTTAGGAGTTCGGAGTTTTCAAAATGGCTTGATCGAAATGCGATCGGACTGTGTTTCGTACTAAACCCTTACGCGGTTTACAATCAGACAAGATTTTAAAAACACATTAATTAATTTTTTAATACGTAACTTTGTATTTAAAAAAAAAAAAAATTTAATAAATGAGTTTTCCAATAAAAAAATACGTTTTTGAATTTGCTATATGTTAACTTAAGGAACTTTTGACCAGCTACAAAGCATGTTATAGAAACAAAGTGTCTCATAATTGTAATAGGAACTACATGCATGGTTCTAATGCGAAAAAAAAGTGTTTTGTCACAAATGAACATGAAATAAAAGGCGTGCGGACTTAATTGCAACATGCTTTGCGCATGCCGAATACAAACTATGCCAGCGGCTATTGATGCTGCATTATATAAAGCATGTCACAACGTGCAGCAGTTTCAATACGGAATAGTCCAAATAGCGACGATAATGTCAGGATTTCGGTGTTCGGCTATGCTCGAAATATAATTACTTTCTTATTTACCCGTAAACCTACCGTGATATTAAATATGTTTCGAAAAACGCGAGTTCTACTTATGTTTAGCGGGTAAGTTAATCACGGGCTAGTATTCTATAAGCTGAGTCTAGAATTGATTATCATTTTTAAATATTTGAGAGAATGGGTTTTTTTTGGAATAGAACTTAGTTAAGTGATGTCTCAAATTGATATAGCTCAATGACATACATTTACAGCGATGAAAATGAAGCCGTTATCAAATATGCAATATGTGCTTGCCACCTCAATTTGAAAATGTGGGCTACGATGCTTGTCCCCTACTTAGCTTATGAGGGCAACAATCAATAAAAGTGGGTAAACAGTCGATTGATTTTATAATTCATACACTCTGGGGCAAATTGCTTTCACTCAAGGAAATATAGAAGTACACAAAAAAAGCTAGCAAGTAAAATTAAACAGTACCTATTTCTTATTTAGGTTGTTATACAGGTCCTTACAAAATCAAGAATACCTCGCTTCAAAACCCGTATTCAATAGCTTCAAAAGTGCACACTTTACAACATAAAGTCTAGTTTCCGAATTTTGATTAACTTTTTTAATCAAATAGATTTTTGAAATTTAAAATTTGAGCTATTTGAAAGAAAAATAACAATGGGCTCATACAAGCACTTACTATTTGACTGGTTTAAACTAAAATCGGAGTTGCATAATAATTACATTTCAGGTTGCTTATCAACATCTGTGTTTGTGTCGGACACGTAAGTGATAGTCCACTAGCGCCAACTTCACCAGATCTACTTTATATAAAGGCTCTAGGGCAGACTGGAATCTTAACGAAAATACCAAATATAACAAGTGAGTTTAGCTCTAGAATATTCAATTCTTTCCGCGTACTGCCGTCGCTAAAACAAATAGCAACTCGGTCGACAACGAGGCGCCAAAGCCCCAAAAATATTGCGTATTTCTCTGAGCTTTCAAATCGAAGACGAGTGCCGCGAAAGGCTTCTGCCGACATGCTCAGTCGCAATATCTCAATGATTTTGGAGAACCTACTGAAGCGCTACGAACAGTCGCAACTACCCACTCACGGACAAGGAGTGCCGACCGTGGTGCAGACCAACATTCTGATTCGCAGCATGGGACCTGTTTCGGAGCTGGACATGGACTACTCGATGGACTGCTACTTCAGACAGTATTGGCGGGACAAACGTCTGAGCTTCAAGGGGCCCATCAAGAGCCTGTCCCTCAGCATTAAAATGCTTGACAAGATTTGGCGCCCAGACACCTATTTCTACAACGGCAAGCACTCACAAATTCACATGATAACCGTCCCCAACAAACTGCTTAGACTTGACCAAAACGGAGGGATTCTTTATTCGATGCGGTATGTTAAGGACTTAATAAATATATATACTTTGTAAATAAATTTTACCCTAATATAGACTAACAATCAAGGCTACGTGTCCCATGGAGCTGCAAAACTTTCCAATGGACAGACAATCATGCCCCCTTGTAATTGGAAGTTGTAAGTTTTACATTGCACTAATGCTTGAATCAAATTTGAATCTCGAACCTGAAAACTTTAGATGGATATATCAACCAGCAGCTAATCTACGAATGGAAAAATCAAGATGATGCCGTCTCCTTCGTGCCCGGGATGACTTTAAATCAATTTGATCTCATCAGCATGATGCATCGCAATTTTACTACGGTGCGTCGTGAAGGCGACTTTTCAGTCTTGCATGTGGCATTTAATCTCAAACGTCACACTGGATATTTCCTGATTCAAGTAGGAAACACATTCATTATGTTTTATGTTATTAACCATTATTAGTAACAATGCCATTTAGGTGTACGTGCCCTGCATACTGATCGTGGTATTGTCCTGGGTCTCGTTTTGGATACATCGCGAGGCCACGAGTGACAGGGTCAGTCTTTGTGTGACGTCGGTACTTACCCTATCTACCATTAGTCTGGACTCTCGAACAGACCTGCCAAAAGTGAAATATGCCACGGCCCTAGATTGGTTTCTGTTGATGAGCTTTCTCTATTGCATTGCCACACTGTTGGAATTCGCAGGAGTCCACTACTTTACCAAGCTGGGCAGCGGGGAGAGTCCCCAAATGGAGGAGCAGTGGGAGGACATCTGTATTGCCAACGAGCTATCGGATCACGCCGCCGAGGATGCTGACCAATTTGCAGACGAGGAGGACACAAGTGATGGCACCGAAAATGACGAGAACGAGGGGGGTGTTAGTGAATCGATTGACTCTAAAAATGGTGTCTGCGTTTGCAAAAAACGCGATGCCTTGGGCCTAGAATACGATGGTTTTCTGAGTCGCGAAGCTATATTTTGTCCAACATATAATGTGAGTAAGGTCCGAGTTGCCTGTAAACACTGCTACTTACCCATTTTCTCACGATCAGAACCCATCGTATATCCTGCCGGCCACCATGGAGAGCACCACTCAAACGGAGCCTCCGGCTGTTTCCCGGCTGCACCAGATGTGGATGTGCCTGAAGAGCGACAATAGTTTCCGGAAACAAAGAGAACGCAACGCAGCGGCGCAAAAAAGCGAACAAGGGGGCGCCAACTGTTATGTGAACAGTGTGTCCTTAATAGATCGTGTTGCCCGAGTTGCCTTCCCCATGTCCTTTGCATTCCTCAACCTTTTGTACTGGCTGACTTATGGAATGTATAAAAAAGAGTTCTCATGGTCTAACATGAAGGCATAAGAATCAATATTAAAGTCATACACATTTTTAAATTTTTTTAATGTCCAAATTTCGTTCCTGCTTTTATTTTGTGGTTTTCAGCTGGGTATGCCAATCTATTGGCAATTTAATAACGAATTTAACGAGCCACGACAATCTATAAATAAAAAAATAATTTTTGTAGTGTTTTAGCGGTTAAAGAACATTTTCATATTCATTTTAAACTTTTTATTCTTAATACTTATGGCTCAGGCTCGGCCTAAAATTAGGCAGATTTTAATGAATATTTAAAGATCAACTGTAAGCGCCTTCATTTTGTTGCATAATCGGGCCGTTCATTTTGATTAAAAATCGGATAAAAGGAATGCGTTGGTATTAGTTTGAGAAGCATTGGACTCTTACTTTTATCAAAAACGCAATTAGGAAAGTTGTATGTTTGCCTTAGTTTTACATTCAGATAACTGTCTTCTGGTGTTAATTCTGCTTGATTATCGATGCTGTTCGATGAATGAGTTCACTTTTTTTTTTTAATTTAAGTACCATTTATGGCGGCCAAAAAATGTAGAGCTTTTAAGGAGCCAAGTTTCAACCAACGACCGCAGGATGTCGCTTCGAAAAGCTTCATGGCCGTATGGAAAAGCAAAAGGACATCCATAGAAAGCACAGGCATATGTATGTATTTGATAAAACGAACAAACTTGGATAATAGGGATGCGCAATGCAGGTCAAGCCGAGCGAAATGAACTCACCCGAGAAGCTCCTGCATAAGCATCTCTATAAGCAATTATTCATTAGATAGATACTGTGGGTGCCCACACGCAGCAGTTCGAGGCTACGCGTGGACCAAAATACTGACTGAGTCGGGAATCGAGGTACCAGCGATAGAAGTGATTGAGTTTGCCAATCCATTTATCTAAATGTGTGCGATTGCCAATTCCCTGTTTATTGGCTAGTGCTGGTGATATGGACGAAAAGGCAAGCCAAACTGCCATCGTAAATGCATAAGTTATATGTTCCACAAATGTGCGCGACTTTAGTTGTTTGCTCGCGATTGTAACGTGTTTCTACATCAACAAACATTTATTTTATTGCGCTTTTTTCTGCCCGATTCGTTAGTATCCTCTTATCGGCTCCTTCAAATGCAAATTATGTTTTGAGGGCAGCGAAAAATTCATTCAAGATAGCCCCCCCCCTCCTCCGCCAATTATAAACCTGTCTTCATTTAGGTTTTATTTGGGCCTTCAAGTTAAAAATATTTATATTTTATTATCAAGACAGAGCACGTTAATTTGGAAACTGAGACCTCGAAAATGCGTTAGGAAAAAAGAAAAATTGGCCTTATTAATCACTCGATAGAATGGTAATAACAAGGACACTGTTTTCGGCGTTGCCGTCTAGTTCAGTTGTTCTCGAAAACGAGCAGTTCATTTAAGGATAAAGGAACTTTAAAATTATTTTCTATACAATGCTAATTTCGGCCACATTACATAATACATTGATTTTAAGGACAAAAGGACAAAATGTCGCATATATGTACTACTAGCGCTATTGTCTTCGAACTTGTTTGAGGTGTCTTGAATCGCGCCATTAATTTTGAATTGATGCGGATGCATATTCACTGACGCTTTTGAATTTATGGCTTTTAAGTAGCTTAGAATAATTATCTTCTGTTTATTTCATTGTTATTTCAACCATTAATAAATGCCATTTCGAGTAAGTCTAAAGAAGTCGCGGCATTAAGTTAAAAGCGATGTTCCTAACAGTATAAAATTGAAGAGTTGATGCAAATATGTTAATCTTTAATAAGTAGTAGTTAATTACTTTTTCCCATTGCAATCGTAAATCCACAGCTCCTCGAAACATGCCAGGATAAGAAAGCCGGATGCACTTCATTTTTCTACCGCGATGAGAGGAGCAAAGCTGGAAATGACAGCGCAATCGATTCCAAAAAGTTGAGACCCGACAACGACACAAGCAAGAGCTGTCAATATGCCATGTTTCACGCGCGTCGGAGTAACCTGTAGTCTGCTGTTCTTCCTTCTGGGGGCCCAGCTACAATTCATTCGGTAAGTGGTAGCTTACGTATCGCAACTACCTTTAACAAACTCACAGGCCAGCTCTTTAACTGGTATATATATAAATATATGATTTATAATAAAAGAAACAAGAAAGGAAAGCTAACTTTGGGCGAAGCCGAAGTTGATATACCCTTGCAGAATACTCTGTAAATTATATTCTCCAAAATTACTCATATGATGTATTCTTAATACTCATAAAAAGTCCCAACTTCCTAATTTTAAAAACACCAAAGTTATGCTATTTCCAATCGTTCAGTTATATGGCAGCTATAAGATATAGTCGGCCGATCCTTATGAAATAAGGAATAATTGGCCAAAAATAAAACCCATAGAAAATCCCAACTTTCTAACTTTAAAAACACCAAAGTTATGGCTTTTCCGATCAATCATTTATATGCCGGCTATAGGATATAGTCGTCCGATCCTAATCAAATTCGGTAGGTCGGATTGATTGGCCAAAAATAAAAGCCATAGAAAATCCCAACTTCCTAAATTTAAAAACACCGAAGTTATGGCTTTTCCGATCGTTCAGTTATATGGCAGCTATATGGTATAGTGGCCCGATCCGGCTCGTTCCGACTTATATACTACCTGCAATAGAAAGACAACTTTTGGGAAAGTTTCAAGCAGATAGCATTAAAACTGAGGGACTAGTTTGCGTAGAAAGGGACAGACGGACGGACGGACAGACGGACATGGCTAGATCGACTCTCCTGGTGATGCTGATCAAGAATATATATACTTTTCAGGGTCGGAAATGTATCCTTCACTGCGTTGCAAACTTTTGACTGAAATTATAATACCCTCTGCAAGAGTATAAAAACAATAGTATATCTGTCTGTCTGTCCGTATATTTAGGCCTTAATGGTAAATTTAAAAATAAATACATTGCAATATTTCAGAATCTTCATTAACGTTGGTAATCAATAAATAAAGTTTAATTAAATTTGCAATAAGACTTGTCCATTGAATTATGTATTAGTTTTTACTTTACCCAAAGACATTTGGGTAAAAGCAACTATCGTATAGCTATGAAACTGAGTGTACTTTCAGATGTATTCGGAAGGATGTGCTTGCCGGCCGCCTTGAGAATGTTACGCAAACAATATCAAACATTCTTCAGGGCTACGACATTCGACTCAGGCCCAATTTTGGGGGAGAACCTCTACATGTCGGCATGGATTTGACCATAGCCAGCTTTGACGCCATATCAGAGGTTAACATGGTAAGAAGAGCTTAAAAAAAGAGTTCTTACTAAACAAAAATAATTCATTTTCCCATTTGATTATTAGGATTATACGATAACAATGTATTTAAATCAGTATTGGCGCGATGAGCGTTTGGCATTTAATATCTTTGGACAATATTTTGATGGCGATGAGAGTGACGATGGCATAAATGATGTGCTAACATTATCAGGAGACTTTGCTGAAAAGATATGGGTACCAGACACGTTTTTCGCTAATGACAAAAACAGGTACTATTGAGCACAACACTTTCGTTCAACTAAATCTTCAACATATTCGCATAGCTTTCTGCACGACGTCACTGAGAGAAATAAACTGGTGCGTCTCGGCGGCGATGGTGCTGTTACATATGGCATGCGGTTCACCACAACCCTCGCGTGTATGATGGACTTGCACTACTATCCATTAGACTCCCAGAATTGCACTGTCGAAATAGAGAGCTGTAAGTAAACTCTTTGGGGAGCCTTTGATGTTGCGTAATGGTACAAATTAAATAGATCTCCCCTGTAACAAAATGCATAAGAGTAGCCCAATGATTAAATAACCATCAATCGATCATGATGTCCGCGATAAATTTAATCGGTGACCTTCTAACGAAGTCAGAAGCATTATTACTAAGTATATCTATAAAATAATGTGTGAAATAGATAGTTTTGAGTATTGAAGACCTATACAAATTGTTTTTCGACCTAATAGATTTTAAATATTGATCCCAAGCACGTTGTTCACCTCGACTCAACTTCACTGTCTTGGCACGTTGTCAATATGTTTATTACCTTTGATTATTGCAGATGGATATACGGTCAGTGATGTGGTCATGTACTGGAAGCCAACGCCGGTCCGTGGTGTGGAAGATGCGGAACTGCCCCAGTTTACCATCATTGGCTACGAAACCAACGATCGCAAGGAGCGACTGGCCACTGGGGTCTATCAACGTCTCTCGCTGTCATTCAAACTGCAGCGGAATATCGGATACTTTGTGTTCCAGACCTACCTGCCCAGCATTCTGATTGTGATGCTGTCGTGGGTCTCGTTTTGGATTAACCACGAGGCGACGAGCGCCCGGGTTGCACTGGGCATCACCACGGTCCTCACCATGACCACAATTAGCACCGGTGTTCGCAGTTCACTGCCTCGTATATCGTATGTTAAGGCAATCGACATTTATCTGGTCATGTGCTTCGTCTTTGTGTTTGCAGCCCTTCTCGAATATGCCGCCGTTAACTATACATACTGGGGCAAAAGAGCTAAAAAGAAAATAAAGAAGGTCAAGGATTGCTGTCCAGGGAAGATCGGTGAGCTTACACTTATAACTTTGTCAATTTAATATAATAATAAGTTAGCTTGCTTTAAATTGGTAATAATTGTATTATTTAGCAGGTTTTTCTTTTCTTTTCTTTTTTTTCCATTATTGAAAAACTATAATAATCCCAACACTCAAATCAATCTTGCCATATTTGGTGTTCTTTGCAGTAAACTTTTACTTGCCAATCATATTTTCAATAGTTTTGAAATAAGTTTAAGTTATTCTCCGTTATTTTTGTTTGTCTGCCACAGGAAAGAGTGAAAGATCCGAAACGTGTTCAACGACCGAGGACATAATCGAGCTGCAGGACGTCCGCATGAGTCCTATACCATCTTTGCGAAGAGGCACATATAACGCCACCCTCGATTCCATTGGCACCGAAACCATGAATTTGGGAAAGTTTCCGCCAAGTTTTCGAATAACCCGTAACTATGGCACCGGACACAGCCAGCTCAGGCGACGGGCACCGAGGGGTAAGCAAATGGAACAGGAAAGAGTGTAGTCTATTGTTACCCTTTTGTATCAATTCACAGGAATCTCGGCCCGCCCACGCATGTTGCATGCACTCAAAAGGGGTGCCTCTGCCATCAAAGCCACTATACCGAAAATCAAGGACGTCAATATTATTGACAAATACTCCCGCATGATATTTCCGATCAGTTTCCTTGCGTTCAATCTTGGCTATTGGCTGTTTTATATTCTGGAATGATATATATATGCCGAAAACGAGTAGTTAATTCCCCTAGAAACAGAACCACAACATCCAAATACAACTTTTTATAACCTCCATAATAAAGATTGACATCGCCATAATATTTGGGCGTACCTGATTCAGTGTTTTGCCAATTCTTTCCAGTGGGTATTCCTTTAAGTAAACTTGACTGCCTAGCTGTTCCACAAATTAAATTGAAATTGAACCCCAAATCCAGTGAGAAGACACAGATTTGCAGTATCTACTATTTACTAATTTAAGTAGCTTATTGGTAGTCTTACGTCTAGCCATTCAATATTATTCTGCTTCCATTGTCGTTCCGATCCACCGCTTCACTCGGAACACCACCATTGTTCCTCGAGCTCTCCATTCGCACTAATATGGCGAGGACTCTGACTCGCAGGGTTTAAATCCACCGCCGCACACTGGTCGATCACACGAAAGCGCTGGCCAAAAGTCCAGAAAATCAGCATTAGGAACACTAGTTTATTTCACATTATTATATTACAACGGCTTACAAAAGGAAGTTCAGGCAATACTCAAGAAACAAAACTATGTTTATTCCCTGAATAAGATAAACACAAGACCGATTTTTTGCATTATAACATTTTCAGAGCAATTTCCGTTTCTCCCAAGTACAAATGTTAAAACAGAAATTTAAATAAATGACCAAAATCGGTTCGTCAGAAATAGATTTTAATAATTAAGAAATAACGATATAATCGACCTGATATACCCGTTACTCAACCCGCAACTCGCTAACCAAAGAACCACATTAAAATCATTTTTTGTTAATAAAAATTTACTTTACTTTTAATTTTTCGGGGTGCTTCTTTAATTAAGACTATATTCTATGTTATATCATACAAAAATTGGGGTTATATAATTTTTAACGAACACAACGTAACCTTTAACTCAAAAATTAACGGGTATAATAAAATATACTTAAAAAATGTAAAGAAAATATTACCATACAAAAAAGAGAATGCGTTAAATTCATTTTTAAAGAATTCACTGCACCGGAAGAACATATTTTCGTTTCTCGAATTGTTACTTTATTTTAGTTTGTAAGCTGGTGATATCAAAGGGGATTATATTGCAGCTACCGGACATACCAGATGTGCATGGTTCGCAGAAGTTGCACTTTGATGCGCCGCTGAAGATGCGTGTGTCGCGATGTGATCGCCACCGCCTACATGACTTACAAAATTTGTAGTTTGCAGAAAAGGGGAAAAAATGTTTACAGTAAGGTAAAGTCAACAAAACACAAGTTATTTAACAATAAATAATTCAATGTTTATATACCCTTCCGAATTTGAGCTATTCCCTCAATCCACAATTTTCAAACTTTATCCGATCCAAATATGAAAAAAATATACTATTGGAAAAGTTTTTAATAGTCCATAAAACAAAATTGTTGGTACCCAATTTGCGAGATCTACACAAATATCTACAAAATCAACAGAATGTTTCTTTATTTTTACCCCCTTCGTTCCGAAAATGCTTTAAAAACATGTTATAAAAAAAGAGCGAGATATGCACAACAAAGTTCTTTAAAACTAACGAAATTTGGCAAAATTTGACCCAACCGTTCCTAAGGCACCATTAACGAAATAATGGTACGGTTTTGAAAAAATTTAAAAACCATTTGTTGAAATCGTATATTCATTTATATTGAAATACTAGGAAGCTTTAATTCGGCCAGATTTTCCTATACATTGTCCGATCGATCCTATATATAGTCGTCTGATCTCGGCCGTTCCGACTTATATATCATCTGCAATAAAAAAAACAATTTTGAAAGCTTCATCAAGATAAGATTAAAACTGAGAAAAGTTTTCGTAGAAAGGGACAGACTGACGGACACGCTTATAAAGACTCGCCTGGTAATAATGGTCAAGAATATATATTAAGTAAACTTAAACATATTTTTAAATATTTTTTGCAACATATTACTACCAAAAACTAAGCCATTGGCATTTAATAGGATTCATTTTAGTGATGCTCCCCTTACATATTTAATAAACTAATTAAAGATAACCAAACTATCAATATATTGCTAATTTAAATAAAATGATGGCCAAAAATGTCACATGCGAAACTTAATTTATAAATAATAATTAATCATTTTTGGAAAAAACTAAAATAATCCTAAGAGAAAACATTCTAAAAACGAATTACTGCCTTGTGCGTTTCTAAAATCGTCGTATAAATGGCGAGATAAAGGCATTTGTTTGCAAATAATTATAATGAAAAATATCTATAAAAACTTCTGGGCCTAAAGACCATTTAAACCTAAACTCATCTAACCACTCAAACTGTGGTTACCATATGGTTTTGCAGTTTTTTCGGCCTAAGCCTTAAATTTATTTATTTAATGAGTAACGGGTATATCTTTAATTTTATAATAAAACCGCAAAAGACCCACGTAAATGCTAATGTAAAAGCTCTGCACCATTGCATCGAAAAAATACGAAAAGTATATTTTATAATCGTTTTTACAATTTTAAGAATATTTAAATTAATAGGTTTATCTTTAAAAGTAGAGTATTAAGCCTATATTTAACTGCAAGAGTTTAGTCAGTAAGTTCTTTCCCAGCTTATCAGAGAGCTACCAGACAAATGGATTTATAGCTTCATATTAACATCCGATGGGAGGATACTGCTAGCCAATATGGCCAAATTAGATTTGGGAAAACCTCATGATCCAATGGACCGAAAATGGTTTAAGTGTGTTAAGCCTGCGTTAAGCTACATATGATCGGAAAGGCTTCCTTCATCTGTTACTTACACTGCACGAATCTAGAATACCCTTGAACTATAAGAGTAACTGATTTAAAAACGAAACACATCAAATAATACTATGTAAAAGACACACCTGTTAAATTTCCGGTTGATTTTGGTAAGCTAACCACATCACGGCGAAATGTTGACAAGTTTTGAGTAAATCTAAAAACAATAAGAGGTTTGTTGTTATAGTTAATGGCACAAAAAACCTTAAGAATAATATATGATCATATTCTAAGCACATCCAGTAAAAAGACCAGATTGTAGATGGCACAGAATTTCCTAAATGTATATTGTAGACTCACTTTTCCTTGTTTTTACTGGACACATTTCGCTCAATTCCCACCATAAGATCGTCAAACCACTGAGCCATTGTCTGTTGTTTTTCCATTGGTTGCCCGCAGATAATTCGGTCCTTTAGGGAGCTGGTAAATAAATAGATCATAATTTGTAATCTTTAGAATATAATTTGAGAGCTATTTTGTTAATTTTATTGGATTCTTGTTTTTATAGTTTTTTATAATATACAATAACAATAATAACGAATGCAAAATAAGATTTTATAAAATGAATAGGATTTTTGTGATTTTTGTGATTTTTGCAAATTTATAAAAATGTTAGCCTAATATAAATGTTCATACATGATTAGTGTCTAAAATATTATACAATGTCGAAGGATTCAAAAAATGTTTATTGATTTTAATTATTTTTTAATCACGTTTAGTTTTATTTAAATAATGAAATAATAAAGAAAAGAGACTTACCGGTAATAGTCCTCATAAAGTAAAATAAGAACCAGCAATGGGCGTGACATGGACCACTGATTTCGACAATCCTCAGCCAAAACGTTGTTTAGTAATGAGGACATCATACTCTGTAGCAACTCAGAGTTAATTTCAACAACCTAAAACGAAATATATTATATGGGAAAACATGTTTTTGAATTATCTGGAATACCAATTCATGCTTATGGATAAGAACCTTTAACCTTATGGATACATACCTTTAAAAATTGCGCATTTTCTTGGTTTAAACTCCGAAGTTTTTTGTTTGGAAATGTGGAAACTAAAATATAATAAGAGAATAAGTTCGAATGCTTTTTACGATAAACCTTTTTTCAATTGTACCTTTCATCTGTAGCTGTTTAAAGATGTATGAAACAATACTATCCAAAATTGTGCAGCAACTAATATAAATGGCTGAGTCTGAAAACAAATCATTGTTACATTACATTTTTTCAAGTATAGTCTTAATTTTGGCACACACCTAACGCCGCAAGTCCTTTAGTAAGACTCTTCAATATGTAAACGAATGCAGACGGTTCCAAAGCTGCCAAGTAGGAAACGTGATCTTGTGAAAGACAATTTAATAAATTGTAATACGCCGTGGATAGTTTTGGATATTCCTGTAACGAAATCGTAATAGTTTTAAAAATAATAATAATATTGGTTTTGAAGTTACTCACCAGCAAATCGCTCTGCTGTATAGAAAGAATTAACTTTGCGATAATATTCAGAACATTATCCAAAGTATTATCTCCATACAGTTTGAATACTCCACAATTCACATAGTTTCCACCTAGAGAATTTTTTAAGATTAAAAAGCATATGGCAATTCCTTTAAGTCTCATTGGATAGAGTCGATCACGTGGAACATCAAGATGCAGAATACGGTTGCCGTATATACAGATAAGTTTTGAAGCCTCTCGGAATAGCAGTATGCCCATGGGGCTCGATACATTGCCTGCCAACCTTTGTGTGCGGCAATGTACGAGCTCAGCAAACAACTTCAAAACTGGTGTTGTAACGGCAGGATCGTGAGCCCATAGTTCCATTGCCCGCAATAGTATGGGCAAATAGTCTGCATAGTAACTGTAATGATTAAGCTCAGTATTATTATATTACAAAAGCATTTACAAGATTCATACGCACAGCCATTCAAAGAGCATGGTGTATTGAATGCGAGCGTTGAGCGGCAGAGCTAATCCACGAAGGTCACGAGCCAAGCCAATAGTGGCCTTTTTAGCCTCATCATTAGGAAATATGTTTGAGTCCATTAACACTGAACCAAGGGATTCAAATTGATCTAAGTAAAAGAGGTATTTGTATCAGGGTATATGAGCTTCTTAAAGAGGCATTTCCAGGGTAAAGTCAACCTAATATTTTGCACACAAATTGTTTGTCTTATTTTTAATTTAAAAATGATTGTCTTAGAAACATAGTTGTTCTACTAGTATAGATAAAGCAAGCAAGTGAATTACTAAAATAATAAATTTAAGCATTGACCCTGAAAATGCCCATTTATAGATTAAACAACTGACTTGTTAAAGGTTCCAAAAAATTGTAGAATCTTTCCTCATCTTCGCCCAAATCAAACATTAACAATCGCCCCAACGATGTGTAAAACATGGTGCGACATCTCATTTCACTCAATGTAGAATTCGTTCCTAGGAATGGAAAATGTTCGCTTGTATGATGTGTAAGCATAAATTGAACTTCTTCTAGCCGTGCAAGTTTACGCACAGAATTGAAGTGCACAGAGAGATCGGAAAGTAACATCAGGGTTTTGGTAATGATCGGTTCAGAACGTCCCCAAAACTTTAAATTTGTTATACTGAAAATGCAAGTAGTATTTAACCACAAAGACGAATGCATTAAAAAGCTTGCTACTTACATTTTACGATTTATAAAACTTAAGAGCATTTGTTCGTCACTCAGTCCAAACACTTCGCTTAGTCTTTTGTATACATTTGCTTTTTGAGCTTGCTCACTACTATGCATCTTACGGACCTGGTCCAAAAAGCTGAGTATTGCAAGCTCCAGCTTTTCGCAGCCAGCCTGAGGCAATCGAGCATCTGTTAAACTCATTAGTTGCAACACTCTTATCACGAGCTCGGCGTCCATAGTGTCGTGCTCGTCACTTGTCGTAACGGAAAGGCGGCCCACTATGGCCGACCCGATTATGTACACCAACCAAGTTAATTGCAGCTCTCGTATGGTGATATCTACAGGATTGGCGTTGGGCGTTTGCAAGAGATTCTCATACATACGGGCCTTCTGATCAAAATGCTGAACAAGAAGACTACAAGTCTTATTATACTCGCATCTTTCGATCACCGACAATTGCTCCAGCTGCTGCTGCACCATACACAGATCATCTAGTGGGTCCTCTAAATTGTCATGGACAATTAGGGCGACGCCATCTAGACGCGATTCAATGTAAGCCTTGATAACTTCCGGTGTATATGTGCCCAGCAAGTGCGGATCCGGGGATTTTACGTATGGCACAGAAGCTACCATGCGTTGCCATAGTGTAAGCAAATAATGTACACTATTCGGTGCAAAAAGCCACAACTAAAGATAAAGAATAGATACCTATATAAGTTTTTACCCACTTCACAATATTCAAGTACATACATGCAGGGAGTGCACAGTAAACTTAGCTATAAGTTCAATTGCTTCTGGATAACATGGGACCGCTATAAGTTCACCTAATTGATAATTGGACTTAAGGCGAGCTAGCAAACGGCAGAATTCGTGATAGTTATCTGGGTCACTCAAGCCCTGAAAATAATGGATGGCGATATATATTTAATAAAATCTTCTTTAAGTACTCACGTGCAAGCTCGTCAATATATCTCTGACCCCTTCGACCAAATGTGTCAGAAATTTCGTTCTTTCAGAATTACTAAAAAGAGACCGACGCACAGATGTCATTTGAACCAGGCAGGATATGGAGTAGCTAGCTAAACCATTGGGCAAAATTTGGTATAAATCAAAAAAAAGTTTAAGTGTGTTCGAATCTAAGAATGCAGGACGCCAAGCTGTGGGTATCTACGTATAAGTTTAATTTAATAGAAATTCCAAATAAATTAATTACGTTTGCGTACATACCTGAACATTGTTCATATCATCTGCAGATTCATCGGTAGAACTGCCAATGAAGTCAAAGCTCAGACAATTTTTCGTTAGACGCAATACATGTGAAATTAACCTACGAGGTAAACAAAAGTTTTCAAATTAATTTCCAGAAATTAAATTTAAAACAAGAAGTAAAGCTAACTTCGAGAAGCCAAAGTTTAAACATATAGCCTTTCAGTTATAACAAATTTAAATAAAGGGGTGGCGATATTCGAATTAAATTCGTATCTCTGCAAATGAAGCTTTATTAGCACAAAATTAAACAAAATATGCAGATTAAGATTAAGTTTTTAAGTTACTATTCGGCCTTCTTGTTATTGTTCTGATCGTTAATTTTATATAGTTGTTCATATTCTATAAATCTATAGATCGTTCCTAATTCTAACTTTATTTGCGTAGACATATTAAAAAATGTAACACGAAAGCTTCACATAGATGCTTGTAAATTGGACTGCAAACAGACAGAAATGTTTATATCGTACTATAGTGCTACTAATTAGGAATACAAAATATAGGGACGGATATGCCTTTTCTAAAAACATCCTGTCTGTTGCTGCGACAACTTTATTAATTACTTTCAAAAATGGCTTCTCATTAAGAAATGAGCCTATCGAACCAAAAATAGAGCATAATTAACTCACGCTTGCTGCGATTCGTCCATAAAATTAATAGTTTTGCTGTTTTCACGGGCTGTGATCAATAGAGAGCAGGATAACAAAAAGGTGTCATAGAGCTGCTGGTCCCGATAAGAAGTGGCTATTTTCCGGTTTTTGGAAAAGGACAGGTGCACATCCAACTCGACGATGGAATTCATTTCACATACCAATTGTGATAGAATTTGCACGCCAATTGTGCAATGCTCGACGGAACCCTGAAATAAGTTAAGAAGAGTTAAAATTGCACATTGATATTGCCGAAGTAAGTAATAATACCTGCAAGAATTTTTTGACATCTTCTAATAGGTTTTGAAATACCATTTCCCCCTTGTACGAATCGAACCATCCGAATTTCGTGATTTTGGCCAAGAGGGTAACCAGAGCCTGTACAACGAAGTGCTGCAAGTTGGGTCGAGTAGCCAAGTAGTTCAGTGCGTAGCTGCGGATGTCGATTCGCTGCTCGAGACTGAGGCCTTGGATGAGTTTTGTGAGGGTGGACGCCGCCAGGAGTTGGGCATAGCTGGAATCGGCCCGGTCCAATAGCAATTGGCATTTTGGCAGCGCATCCGGGCTGTTTACGAATGTAACGAGGGCCTCTTCTGCTTCTGCACGAACGCTGATGTCTGTGGCCTCGTAAAGTTGCTTGCAGAGTACCTCCAGTTGTTGTATGTCCTACAAATGCGGTATATCCTAACACTTTACATTAACAATATGCGAAAAATACACACCATAACGACAACTAAGATGAACACCGGATTCGGTGTAAGACGATGCTAGAAGGCTCTATAATCCGGTACTATATCTTAGATCTAACCGATATCAATAACTCAGCTGAGTTTAAAATTGGTTCTGCCAAAGCAAATGCATGCAGTAATTTGTGACAGGTAGCCTACTTAGATAGTTCTTATTTAAGTTAATTTATAAATGAAAACAAAACGCTAAATTGTTCCTCAAACAAACAAGTGTGACCAAAACAAAGAAATTAAAAATAGTTGAGGTATTCATGCACTTGTTGAACTGCGACTGCATTTGTTAAGGGCACGACGCGACGACAACAGCGACTTTTCCCAACTAGAAAGAGACGCAGCATATGTATATACTCGTAAATGGTTAGATTTATTAAATCTTTTTGACATATTTAAGTATTTTCTGAATACTGCTATTTTTTATTTAGTGTCATTTCCAAAAAACCTAACTTAGCAGCGCTTAAACAAAAAGTAGGTTGTTTTTAACCGAATTTTATTAAATGCATATATAATTAATATATTTTCAATCAGAAATCAAAAATTGGTCAAAATTAAGCGAATTCCAGGCAAGTGGAAATGATCTAGTTTAATCCAGATTCACGGTTTTATGTTTTTAATAAAATACCACAGTTTTTTGCATCGCTGAGCATAAAATATTTTTTTGTACTCTATCCCACATGATCACAATCACCATTTGGGCATTTTCCAAAATAATTTAAATTTATTTTACTATCTTCCTGGCATATTAATAACCATACATTCTATTTCTTGTTTTTGTGTTTTTTTTAAAGTTATTTATCAGTAAATATTTATCGCTGATCCATTGATTTTGAGTTTATTTTGAATGACACGTTCTATTGACTGAAACACTTTCTTAACCAAAAAAAAAAAGTTGACTGGTACGCAGAAAACCAGATTTTCACATCTTAAAAAAAATTCCAACCGTTCCTTAAGGTAAACTCTGTGTTTCATTCTTAATAAATTCCAGCCATTCCCCAAATGAAAATCGCAGTGTTAGAAGCCATGTTTCACATCCTTAACATTTGCCAAGCATTCCCCTAGTCTGTGCTTTTGGAGATTGCTTTATCCAGCACAGCTCCATATTATTTTAATTGATCATAATTGCAAAAAAAATCTTAGATTGATTCTAATCGATTATTTCTATACATTTTAACAAAAATCGATAGACTACGTATCAGTAAAAATAATTTATTTGTTGAATGTAATTCTTAATACTGAAATCTATTTAAATTAAAATGTAAGATATTATGTGTCGGATGTAGGTAGGGCTCTGTAGGTTCCACCACTTCTCCATAACTACGCAATAATTATTTGCAGTCTCCCGGTCTGTTATTGTTGTTATGTAAACTCTTTATTTCGAGCAATGCATCAGCTGTTTTTTCTTTTATTCAAAGACACTCTGAAAAACCAGCAAAATATGGGAGACGACTAATTGATTTTATTATTTATTTATTGTTCACATGTAATTTACTGGCCTACTTTAATATTTACCTTTGGGGAAGAGAGAACTAAGCATGGCTTGAAAGACCAGTGTGGCCAGATATTGTATACCTGTGCCAAATGGGTCATGCTAAGCTCCCCTAGATCCTGCGACGTAGAGAACATCAACCGATTGCCGTATTACAAGGTAATGCCTTTAATTGTAATTTCAAATTTGCACTAATTAACCTTCGACGAATTCCAGGTGACCGAAAAGGCTGCATCGTTAAATTGAGGCCAATTATAAACTTTTCTTATCTCAATGATAATCAAACAGGATTTGTGATCTGTGAGGTATGATTAAAATTGATGGCGACGTCGACTGGAACACCGTTACTGACATTGGCGATGAGAGTATGAAGTACCATTGGCCAAAGGAAAGCAAGAACTCCGAAGAGAACTTAGATTGTAGAAAACCGAGAGCTTCAGTTACTTAAGAGTTATCAGGAAAGTTGAGGAATTCTTATAGATCTCACCTTCCAATCGTATACGAAAACCTTTCCTGGAAGAAGCTTTTTAGCCTAACTCCGAATTTCGATACTTAATTTCCTCATAAATATGTTTATTTAAATAATTTGCCAATAAAATAACCACCCTTAATAAGTTCATTTTCACATACAAAACTCAGTTTAGTTTTATAGTATTCGTTGTGTTTGACAAATATTTAAGTAGATGACATTTTGTATACATCAAAAATAAAATGGATATATTACAAATATAAAGATTAAAATATCATACACACATAATGTTATATGACCTTCATTAATACAGAGCTTAATGTAAAACAGATTTCATTCAGGGTTCAATAAGCGGTTTTAAATTTTATTTAGTTCGTCAAGTAGTATGCTTTGACTGAAGAGCCGTGTTTTATTGTCCTCACAGACCGAGCGAGCGCACAAGCCTTATTCCGTGGCAAGCAACGAAAAGTTCTCAAAGTTCAGCTTACCATGAACAGACTCATCATCCAGGTCTTCGGTGCTGTTGGTAATACGTGCTGCCAATGGAAGATACAAAATATGTATAAGACTCTATATAAAATGAAACATGATGTATATACGCACTTCTAGACCCTTTTGTGGAACTCATACCCCCCATAGAACTTTGTAAGCCTCCATTTCGCCCATACAGAACATTCTCCAAATAAGGCAGTCCATTGTTGTTCACAATGTTTAGGCCGAGACATGTCTCAATTTGTTTCCAGCGATGAAGACGTTCTTGCAACTCATTTGTTACATCACCAAGGGAATTTCGTGCCTCAACAATTGATCGGTCGACATCATCAATACTTTTTCCATGGGTGGAAACAAACGCTCCCACCAAACTTGATCGCTTCTTGCGCAGTTTTTCGCAAGCCTCTCTGGCTGACTGAAGCTGTTTCTCAGCAGATGCGCGCTTTTTCTGATGATTCTTATTTTCTAGCTCATATGTATATTGCAACCACGATTGAAGCTGAGGTGGCGGTGCCCAGCAATTATCAACCAATTCGAATTCTGCACGCGACAATTCATTTCGCAACATCTCAATCTCTTTCTTGAGCTGCTGCACTTCTAAATCTGAGTTTGATGAACTGAGTGTGGGGGCTTCCTTTAAACGTCGCTCCAAATCTAGTTTTTCGGTTGCTACATTTTCTTGTTCCATTCTGGCTCGTTCTAGTTCCTTTGATAAAAATATTGATACATCTCATAAAAAGAAGCTTCTTAAAAATTAAAAAAAAAAACAAACCTTCTGCATCTCCTGTAGGCTTTGCTCAGCTCTCTGCAATCCTTCCATATCTTGTGCCATGCGGCGCAGGTGACGTTTGGCATTTTTATTTTGCTGGTACGCATACCAACAACCAATAATAGCGCTAAGCAACAAGGTAACCAATATGTAGTCCTTCCAACGGGTTCCGGTTTCTAGCATTAAATAAAAAATGTATTTTAATATGTGTTTCTATAATGAAGGATGAAGCTTTGAAATGGTATAAGCTTATATCCAAATGGCCTAGCAAAATTAAAAGTTTTTCGAACATACAGACCTCTAGAAAACCAGAAGATTTTAAATGTATATAAAATTTCCACTTAATTTTGAAATAATATTTTACTTATATATTGCAAAGCTTACCTCTCGGTGGCCCAAAAAGAACAACGTCCATAGCTTTTAATGAAATTTTTTGCTTATGAATGGGGTCTTTTATTCCAAGGACATTGCCCACATACTGAAGATTATTCACAGCTAACCTAAAAGTCAAAATATAATCAGAAAACCAAAAAACGCTTTTGTTGGGTCTAAAAACAAAATATAAATTTGAAATCAGAAGTTTGCTTCCTTTCTTGTATTGCAATATTGTTATTTGGTTTAATATTATTTAATAATCTTTTAGTGACAATCACTTTTGTTTTATTTCATGACAAATGGAAATATTTCAGAACTGACTTCAAATTTATAAATTGTTAATAATTTATAGCGTACCTTGGCAAAGCAGCTCCAGTAACCTTATGTAATTTGAAAAGATCAACATATTGAGGTAGCTGTACAGATTGTGCTAACCAATCCGTGGTCTGTTCGATCGTCCAATTATGCACCTCTGATCTCAGCCAAGCCTCCCACAGTTCTTTGACAGATATATGCATATCGTCATTAAAGTGAAACGCTTTCTGCCGCTTTTCATAACCCGAGTCGTACTTCAATTCTTCCCGTAAAAACTGTAAAAATCAGTTTAAAAAGTGATAAAAAAATAAGGCAATGATGTTTATTTGATGATTCTAAAAATAAGCATGAGAAATTATAAGGTGTGCCTTACGTTAAACATTTTTGAGCCAATAAGAATTGGTCAGGACGAATCGGTTTGAATTAAACAGCTTTCTTATAAACTGAAGGCCTCAAAAGCTGTCAGTTTATTTGGCGCGGATTATATTAAACCTGAGATCTGGCAGGGCAAATGAAATAGGTGTGTTAATCGCGAAAGAAAGAGAGATGAATGCTCGTTATGTTGATTGAATTGATAACTGACCTTTTTGGGAGTTTGGTACTGGTTACGATATTCTTAGCGGAAGTATCCTTTTGCCCAGGCCTGATTTAAAATAATCTGAACCCATGTTAAAATAGAAAATTTGAACAACAAGAAAGGAAGCTTCGTTCGGCAAGCCGAAGATGTTTTGAACATCTTCGTAGTTATTATAACAATTAACAACGCAATATATTTAAAGAGACCATTTCTGAAAACGTCCGATCTAAATAAAACTTAAAAGTTCAATCGTTTCACTGCTAAAATTTAAAATGGGTCAAAACCATATTTAAATAATATAGATTTTTGTGTTGTAATTTAACAAAAAAAAAATTGAAGAGAAAAAAACCCAAAACCAAGAGCCAGTCAATTGTTTGTAAAAACTAAGGTAGACTTCGGCGAAGAGAAAGATTTGTTTTGAGGTAAAATGAGATGGGAATGGTACAGAAAGGAATTGGTAAAGTTTTAAAGATATGTTGACTTCTGAAAATCCCTCGTATTTTACAAAACATTTTTAAAACTAATTAAATTTTTAAATTTAATCTGCGCCAAATAAAATAAGCCAATTAGTAAAATTATGAAATGTGAAATATATTTGACCAAAATTATAATATCCGCTGCAAGGATATTACAGCAAATAAGCCAAAAGCATAACATTAACTAATTAAACCATGAAATTAAAAAGAAAATGTGCATTAAAAACCATGTTTTTTTTCGTAAACTAAAACTCACGCCTAGTCCGTTAGCGTTTTCATGTGATAATAATGAAATTTGTATATTATATACATATTTCTACTAATATCGAGCATGATTTGTGTCAGCTAAACGATCTAATATAACTTCTACTCTTGGGAACATGAGTTCCAAATACTTTGCAGATTAAGATTTAAAAGCATTATAACATACGTCATCAGATTCGCTCAAATCGATGTTTCCATTGTCATCATCATCAAGTTGACGATGTAAGCTTGCAATAGCCTCCATGCCAAAGCGATCCTGCACGTTGTAGCAGTCGAAGTCATCTGCAGCACACGCGCCATCTGCAGAACCGCTGCCCATCGAACCTGTTGAAAGTCCATCGTTTAGAAACATCACGTTTGAAAAAAATGTAAAACTAATTTACACATAAATGATTGGACTTACATATAATAAAATATAAAAATATAAATATATTAGAACAAAAATATAATACATACATTTATAAAAATAGGTCCTTTAGATGATAAAAAAAGATTAGTCAAATAACGTGAACATAAACCATGAAAAAGGTTGTAATATTCGAACATATTGCAAAGTATGTATAATTGAATGGTGTAAATCAAATTAGCCCAAAGAGCCTCTTAAATGTGTCAATCGTTTGAAAATAAAGCAAATTAAGTAAAGTAGAAAGCTAACTTCAGCAAGCCGAAGTTTAAATACCATTGCAGTTAAATGTTCTAGTCGTTCTACCTATGAATTTGTCCAGATCGTTTCTATGACAGCTATATCTTGAAATCGTCCGATTCTCAATGTCCTACTGAAACTGTATAAAATGATCATATCTCAAATTTGACAAGGTAGTTCCTACATAAACTATATTTAAACATAGGGTTTCGGGTTTAGTTAAAATAAAAACCTGTTACTGAAATCGTCTAGATCTCAAGTTACATGCATATACTCTTAAATTTAAAAACGACCAAATGCCGATTTGTCCGTAAGCCTATGGTCGGTCGGATTTTTCCTATGGAAAGTAAATTAGGTAGTAAAAGTTGTAATAAATTAAAAACCTATTGCTAAAGCCAAATAAAACGACTATATTTTGAGTAGTATTTATATTTAAAAACAACGAAGTTTTACCAATTTGGCCAGATTGTCCTATAAATTGTCCGATCGTTCCTATGGCAGCTATATGATACAGTCGTCCGATCCCGGCCGTTTCGACTTATATACTACCTGCAATAGAAAGAAGACTATTGTTAAAGTTTCATCCAGATAGGCTTCAAAACTGAGAGACTAGTTTGCGTAGAAACGAACAGACAGACAGACATATGGACAGTCAGACGGAGATGCTTATGTTTTCTTAATAGAGTCGGGAACGTCTCCTCCACTACTGCGTTGCAAAATTCTGACTAAAATCATAAATCCTTCTGCGTGGGTATAATAACTTAAATAATTTTAATTATATAGGTCACATGGTTGAAAATATTATGCTTTACTTTTAAATTTCGATATGGAACTTTAGTTTGGCATAACTCAAATAATATAGTGAATTTTTCGTGAGGATTTTATCTTTGATTTGTGGCTCAGTGTTATGAGTTGTTATATTAGTTTCTCAGAAAAGGAGACTATTTTAAACGGGTTCAAAAATGCGTTGTAATAGAAAGCTTAAATTTATGCATAAATATAGTATGTTGCGTATAATGACTTGTTTTAGGAAACCTATAACCTCATTACAAAAGCGTACAAGATACAAAAGTATTGTGTCCAAAGGAAACTTACTGAATTCATTACTGACAGCCTGGGACATAGCCTCGCTTAGAAGATTATATGAACTTCTATGTAAATTTTGTTCAAGATGAGTTGAATGTTCTCCACCACTTCCAGCGTGCGACGCAGCGATGTGTGTCACATGTTCCGAATCGACTGCCATTCCGGGTGAATTGTGTAAACTTTGGCCAGCCTCATTAGATGAGTGACGTGATGCTACATTTGGATTTTGTTTGAATTGGTTTTGCGCGTTGTAACGATTTGAAACAACAGAAACTGTATGTGTGCCATGATCTTGCGTACTTATGCTTTTAAGCACGCAGCAAATAAATATAAAAGAATAGTTCCAAATAGTATTCTTTCGCATTGTTAGAAATGTGCGAACTTCCTCAAAAAATATATGTTATCGCATATGTCTCTTTATTATAAGTAATCGTTTCGAGTTCTTCTAAGATTCCAGATCACATTTGACGATTTGCCGTGAAATTAATAGTTTTCAACAGATGATATTCTGAAATGATATAAAGTAAACGTTAAGTAAGTTCCACAGATGGAGGAAACCAAGTTAAATAAAACTATCCGTTTGTTACAACATGATGACGTTGTCAAAACCGCCATTATTCAGTCGTGAGGTATTATTAAAAACAATATAAATAAAAGTTTTCCTTAAAAGGAAATGTTAATTTTTTTCTTTTGTATACTTGTCGGCTTTTTAAGGCAAAACTTACTTATATTCATGCCAATTCTATTAAATCTTGAAAAATACTTGAGCATAATGAGCCCTGTAGATTGTTCTTTAATGTATTTTTAAATTTAATAAGCATAAAACCACTGTCTAATGTTAATACCGAATGGAATGGCTCGAATTCTAAATAAACGATAACACGTACAATTGCAGAACACCTTAAATGAAATCTAACGATTTTTGGAATATCGTGTGTAGGCTGCGCCAATATTTATCATAACGAATTAAAAATGGGATCATTTTTATTTGTCCATCTTATCTTTTTTAAAACCAATATGCCCCTACCGGTTTTGTTTTATAATAACCATTTTACTGAAGCCCCTCGAAAAATAATAGACTCGTGGAGTCTGCTGACTGCTCGTCAATTAGAAATTTAATTTTGATTTTTATCGCAATTCTGCTTTCTCTTAAATTTCATAGTGACCAATGCATTCAATACCTAAGGAAAATTGATTAAATAATCAAGCAAAGCCAACTGTGTGCAAAAGTTTAATTGCGTTCGCCAATAAATTAAGATTTACTGTGCACAAACCTTTGAGACTGTTATTTGTATTTGTCGAGATTTAATTGTATGGTTATAAAAAGATAACCGCCGTGCGCATATTTGTTTAACAATATAAAAAGGGACAAATGTATGAGTAATAAAGTCAATGAATTTTTGATTTGCCATGATAAATATTAGTAGGGTGCTTGGATTTTAGGATTTTGTTAACAAGTGTAAGTAGCCGTCAATGCTTTATAAAACATTTTCGGGAGGTAAGTAGACTTATACTATGATTCCAATCTATCATTGTAATATACAGGCGTTGTACATTTGTATAACTGCAATACATCTATAATCTTTTGATTTTTAAGATGAAACAAATGAATGCAAAAAAATTAGCACGACAGCATTAACAAATATCGTAACAAACTTAACACATGACGGTTGAATTACATGCCTGCAATGAATCGCCTCTAGATCATACGTAAAGCTTAATGTAATACTGTTTTTTTTAATATTTTTAATATTAGACATTGATACTATATATGTACGTATGTACATATGTAAGTTTTGGAAGACATAAACATTTGTTTACTTCTAAACTTGTAGAAAACTCCGAAATTGCAAAATGTTTTATTTTTTTAAATAGCGTTATGACTGCACAATTTACGATGTCATTGCTGAACATTTAATAACCACACATTTGTGAATGCCCAGTTGTAAACTTCCACAAGTTTTTTTTAGACCTCAAATAAAAATAAAAGCACTCACACTAAAATTCCCGAGTCAGTTTGGGTTGAACGATGTGACCAGTCGACTGAAAGAAAAAAATACACTCTTCAAAAATTAATGGCAATAAATATGTAGTGTCAGACAATAATATTTTACACTTTAACAATTAAAAAATATTAAATACTTTGAACGAATCAATAAATCGAAATAAATAAAGGTACATCATTTAAAAACTAACCCGCTCAGGTTTACGGAAAACAAATTTAACACCAAGGTTACAATATTTATTAACTTTGGGCAGAGCTTATATTAAACAGCCTGAGTTTGTTTTGCGGCTAAACAGCTGACTTTCCATCAAACTAAATGCATGGAACACATTTCATTTGAATACGTGTTTCTTAAACGATTAATATTATTAATATTATTATTGCATATTATATATTCCCCATATTTTATACATGTCAATCCATTGTTTTGTGTAAATATTTGAAGTTATAAGTCTATAGAGCTCGCATTTACAAAGCTACAAGTTAAACAGAAAAATATACAATTATTATTTATTTTCGCCATATACCTGGGCAAATATTTTTACACCATCTGGGTGTGATGGTCTTTTTGTGCAATCGGAATTTCTTGGGACTCACATATATAATATTCCACTAAAGTTTAAATGAGTTTTTAACAATGAAAATAAAACATTTTAAATTCACATTTTAATTCCAACCATTCCCCAGTGGGACCACCGTATTATTCATTGTATGGGATGGTGGTTAGCAGAAATCAGAGTTTCACATCTTTCATAAAATCCCAACCATTCCCATTACTAAACACTTTTTGGGAAGTAATAAATTATTTTTAATAAATTGATTCTTAAAAATTATATCATATTATAACCATCTAACTCAACTTAAGTCGATAAAAGAATTTAATAATCGATTTTAAAGCATCAACAGCCTTTTCCGCATTCGGTTTATTTCTTCCACAAACCCAAATTGCAATACAAAATCAAACTCAAAAAATTAAAAATTAATTTCGACAGAATGTGTCATTGTTATCATACATTGTTATTAAAGCAATTAAAAAATATTCTTGATTTGGAAATAAAAAAGGGAGACCCGAGGCTCCAATTTTTGTTAGAGTATATGGAGAGTAAATCACAATAACAAGAGAAATTCATTACAATACTGCAATAATAGGCATTGGAATTGAATTGACCAATAAGGATGTTGTATAAACCTAGTATATGATCCATTTACTCAAAAACGACATTATGAGTATGCCCAAAATACCAAGTTTTATTGCCTAACGCGTAGTTTAAATAACAATTGATTACTATAGGAGTTGTCAGCGCGAAAGACAATATTAACTTTATAGTTTAAATAAATCGAAAACAACGTTTAAAAACGGCGAATACTATTAGTTTATGAAAAACCCGATCCGACACTTAAATTTGGCTTTTATTTGTTGACAGAATGTGAAACTATACGAGACGCAGGTCGAAAAAAAAATTAAAAACGCGCGCATACAGTATGGCTTGTTGAAATAAACATTAATAAAATAACTATTTGAAAGAGATGCACAGTAAACCATGAAGAAAAGCAAATAGAAACATTCGGTAATGCCAGTGTACATATTTGTTTGTAATGTGACCGATGCAAGAATAGTGTATTTTTAAACAAGTCTCGGGCGCTGATAGCTCACGCGCACAGGACACAAGTCCTAACATAAAATTGTCGATTCCACGCCATCTATGTAACTCAAAGCGTTAAAAAGCAGCAAAAGTTTCGATTCCTTTGCAAACAGGTATGTATTAATGGGGATGTGTACATAATATACATGTAAATGCCTACATCCTTATTACTAAATATAGAAGGAGCGGAAACCATTAAAGTATTTCAAATTGTGCAAAATTATAAGTGAATATGTATGTACAAATGCTTGCGTTTATGCAAACGGTTGTGTGTGTATGTAGACTTGAACATTGCATGTGTAGATTTGTATGTTTTTTTTGTTCAAATAAGCACTGCGGCTAGGATATTATTTACTAACATAATAATCACATGTAAATAAGCGAATATGCATGTATATATGTATGTATGTATATACAGTGGCTCCTAGCATAAATAAAACAGTGAAGCTGTGAATACCATAACTGAACTTTAAACAAAAAAGCTTGAAAAAAAGGCAAATACACTGTATGTTGACAATTTTAACTTTAACAATATTGAAATAACGTAATTTACTTCAACGCGATTTCGAAATCACGAACTATTTAAATATGTATTTCAACCAACACTTTGCTTTGATAAATAAATCCGCTGCTTATTCTACCTGTTTAAATCCAATATTGAGATAAATTTTATTTTACCCTATTATTTTCTTAACTACTTTAATTAATTTCTAAATTTAACTAATAGTAAAGCGTTCCAGCTTTTGGAATTATTTTTTTTATTATATGAAAAAGATCTTCTTTTGAACAGGACATTTAAACTTTACACGTTAATTTGATTAATCATTTAGCTGTATTCTTATGTACTTCCTCAGTAGTTCTCGATCAGCGATGCTCCTCTTCATCCCTCTAAAGATTTTTGGGTACCCAAATCGTCCTAAAGTATAATCTTGTCCGTACTTATATGAAGATCTCGAAAACTACAAAAGCTACAGAATTTGGAATGTCTAGTTTGAAAGTCTGACTTATGTCCTTATGTGGCTTATGTCAGATTCATGAGAAAAGTAAACCTTTTTGATTGCTTCTTAAAATTTATAAATACATATTTTAATACGTTTGTTAATAAATGTATTTTAAATTATTTGCAGGCTTAACAAGGACCCCATCTTAATGCACATATTTTCAAATATAATTTTGTGAAAAACGGCAACTATTTTGAGTACGATGAGCAGCGTCACCCAAGAATTTTGTGTACGCTGGAACAGCCATTTGGGCAGCATTGGAGCTGCATTTCCACAGCTCTTAGCTGGTCAGAGATTCGTCGATGTAACGCTGGCCTGCGAGGGTCACCAGTTGCATTGCCATCGCTTGGTGCTGGCCGCGTGTTCCACCTACTTTGAGGCGATACTGGCAGAGCATCCGTGCAAACACCCCGTCATCATATTACCACGGGAGATCAAGCTATGGGAGATTCAAGCACTCGTGGATTTCATGTACAAGGGGGAGGTTAATGTCACACAAGCCGGACTTGGTCAGTTACTTCGCTGTGCCGAACAACTTCAGATTCGCGGTCTATACGGTTCCGAGGCGACAATAAACTACAAGAAACTGCATCAGGCAAGTCTGGATGGAGGTGTCAAGGATTTGGTATCAACACTGAAAGGCAATAAACAAGTGGATGGTACCGAGACAGATGACGCAGCCACTAACTCAACCACCTCAACGATAACCACCTCCGCTCCACCGTTACCTGTTAACCAGCAGCAACCGACAGTATTGAAGCGAGAGAACCAGGATGTGCGCCAGCGACCACAGCTAAATGGTAGTAATGCTCAACAGCCATCGAAGGCGACCTCTGCCGTTGTTTCCGGCAGCCACTCAAATGCAGCAACTGAAGATGACTCTGCCGATGAGGTCTCCAACAATTGGAATGCCTACAGGGATCATTTTGAGGATTATAAGGTGTCTGCGCCAGCCGTTACCAACAACATGAATGCCCAACTATCTCTTCAGCAGACTAGGTTCGTAATAATAAGTGTCCGCTATTTGAATTATATTTTTATATTATTGTGTTTTGCAATATGCAAATAATGTAACCACAATAACTTGGAAATGCTGTTAAAACCACAATTTTTTTTGTATAGAATTCAAATTCAAATTGTTTGTGTAAGACAAAAATGAACTTTTTAAAATTGAGTTCATAAATATGCTGTTGTATATATTTTTCAACTTAGTTCAACTTAGTTCAGTGTTTACAGCTATGGCAAATTATGGCTGCCAGGGGACTATGTTCATAATTTTTTTTTAATCTACATGAGATAATTTAACCTTTTCAAACGATAATCTCAGAAAGCATTATGTATCCTAATACCTTATCTTTTACAGGATACAACTGCAACTGCAGCAGCAGCATTATTTGGATTCTAATGTTGAGGACGACCACAACTATGTAGCCGCTCATGATGAAAATAATGATAGCAGTTTTACAGCAGGAGTGGGCTGCGCATCCGGTCTGTCTGTCAGCCTTGACACTGATCTCGACACATCTGCAAACACTTCCGTTGGATTGATGCACAATTCAATCGATGGCTATACTTCATACAAACGTGTCCGGCGTTCTGAAGCATCGCTAGCACAAGCGGCCAAATGTGTTTCGAAAGGCGAGACATTCCAAACTGTCAGCAATATGTTCAATATTCCCGTCTCCACCATTCGCTTCTATATGGCGCGAAAAGGAATTCTTCCGAAACGAAAACGTGGCCGTGGAGCTTCCCATGCTGGAAACATAATAATCACAAACTCAGGAAAACTCTCAACCGTCCCTGCGAACGTAACTCATCCCCAGTCTCATCACATGTCTTTGGACAGCATACATCTAAAGGCCGGCATCACGAATACCAGCGGTAGCAATAGTCCAGCGACTGCTACGGCTACGTCAATGTCACCATCGTTTGACATGGCCACATCAGCGGATATCGTGCCTTTTCACCTCCATAGTGATGCGGCGGATTACAAACTGAACGAACAAAAGTTGCACATGATCTAACCACGCAGATTGCTAAGCTGTACTTTACTAGTAAGGCATATATATTAATGGAGAGCGACTTTCGAGCAGTTAAAGTTTGGGAAGCTGCTTTTTTTTCAATTTTGGGATACGCATCGGCTCGTGTGGGATCTTTAGTCATAACATAGTCAACGAAATACTGTACAACTTTTTTCCTTATATTTTTTTATTACTTTTGAAGTCAATAGTTTTATCATTGGTTCATTATACATACTGTTCAACCATTATTGATCATCAAATTATTTAAAAAATTATTACAGTAGACGTATTCTATATTCAAGGACTTTGACTAAAACTTGCGTAAAAATTTAAAAAATGTTTTTTGTCGCCCAGTACTTTAAGAAATTACTGTATTGTTATTAAGCTAAATAAAATCAAACCTGGAAACTTTAACTAGGTTTTTGTGTGATTGAAAATATAAGATGACAATTCATAATAAAAATTAAATGTCGTAAAGACATAATCATTATGCTTATAACAAAACAATGTTATTACAAAACATTATTTGTGGTATTATATGTTAATTACTTTCGAATTGTTTGAAGCAATATAGTTTTTTCAGAGGGTACACAATATTTACATATTCGTTTTGAGCATGAACCGGCGAGTAGTTATAAAGTCAACGTCAAACCCTTAATTTTTTTATTTCAAAAGTATATATAAGTTAAATTAAAAGCCAGCTTTTTTTCAAAATGTATAATTTTTATTTTATATTATAAGAAAGATGAGTGTTGTGAAAGTAGTATTAAATTCAGAACAGAATCATCCACTCACTTGGGTAACCCCGCCTAAAGCGGGGTCCAATGTGATAGATCCAGTTGGGGAAGGTAAGTTTAGAAATCGAATTTCAAGTGCCGGAAGGATCAAGATCACAAAGTCAAAACTTAAAAAGTATTAACTTCAGGATCTAAGGAGTCTTTACATGGAGTCGTGCGATGCCCTAGAAATAGGAGATAATCACATGTTTGGAACTGCAGAGATAAACATTATCCAGGTACAGCTACGGAGCCATTAAGAGCAATATAATACGAGTATTCTAGCATAAGCTGTAGATGTAAGTTTATAAGTAAGTCTATTCAATAAATCCCATTATGTTTATCCATCGAAATATCCCTGAGTTATCTTTGGTCAGGGGCAGTCGCGTTATTAAAATTTGTTACAAATGTTAAATAAAAGGAAGTAACATATTTCAATCAGTCAATACAGTAAAAAGTACATATAAACCATTGGATGACATAGTATCTATACGCCTTTCGGATACATTTTTCTGAGCCAACCAAGCTGCCTTAGTTCCATTTTTGAAATACCAATTGATATTTTATTTTAATTTATTTATATAATTTATTATTTATTTATATTTATATTTTACGTGGTTGCCATTGATACAAATAAAAAAATATAAACGGTAATTTTTAGTATTCCCTACTATTTTTGTAAACGCTATTTAAGTGGAACCGGGGCATTAAAAGGAAGTTAGTATTATTACTATTTGTAAGCAATATGGTATTTGTTCTCGCACATGTGATGGTCACACTTCGGCATTTAATGTAAATATTACCACGCCGTTTAAAGAGATTCCATTATATTTGTAAATAATGTCCCAAGGAAACAATGACGATTGTAAAGGCTTGCCGATTGGTTTCACCCTGGACCAACGACTGCAGGATGACAAAAATATGCAAGGAATTTTAAAAACCTTTTACAGTGCCATTGAAGTATTGGAGGCTGACCTAAAAAAAGCACTTGCACTTCAAGAAAAACGCAATTTACCCCTAAATGAGCAAATTAAACTGGATAGTTACTTAGCATATTTAACCAGCACATTGTTTTGGATACACTTAAAATTACAGGGAGTCGATGTCTCAAAGGTGAGAGAAAGAAAAAGAATTTATCATTGATACTTTAGAAGGATTTATGTGAAAAAATAACTATATATAATGCTTCAAAATGTCAACTTTAAAAACTTTCTGAAACATGCTTATTACTAATTTGTTTTCTTCTTATTTTAGCACGGAGTGTTGCACGACTTGGCCCGTGCCAAAGAGTTACTTGCCCGCGATAAGGAAATAAACGCTTCGCTCGCGGCTCCAAGATTGGACATGCCGGCTGCCAAGCGCTTTATTGCCGCTGGAACCCATACCCGATTTGTCGACATGGACGGAGTTATGGTCACCGAAAAGCAGTATAACCAAAGTCTGAAAAAAGCTGCCCAATAAAAGTATCAAATTTAAAAATAGACACTTAATTCCTTTACTATACTATTGAATTAAATAATAATTTATGTTCTTAATTGAAAAGTGGAACCATCAAGGTAAGTATTCTCCTTTTGGGGAATATTGTCCCCATATTATTGATGCATAAAAGGTGTTTCCTTATTTGATTTTGGATTTAATGATATTAAAGCCATTTATAACCCAAAAATTCTTTATTAAACCATTATGTTAGACAAAAACAACAAGAAATGCAAAAATTCTAATCAATTTAGGTCCTTAGCTGTACAAACCAGTCATTCTTTTAACTTTTAGTAGTATTTTGGCAAACTTAGAAAGTATAGCCCCTAAACAAGTGTTTTTTTTTGTCAAAATTCAGAGAAAATCAACTCAAATTTAATTTTTTGAATAATTATCCTGGGAGATAGTGGTCGAATGTTGGAATGGAATTGAATTTCTTATTAAATTAAGGCAGGTAAAAACCAGTAATTGAATTGCTTTTAACCCATGGATTAGATATATTTGCAGTACACAGTGCACTTACAGGTTACATCGATGACGAGAAGAAACACGGCTAAATGTTTTGTTAAATGAGTATCAATGATAAATAAATATGTCAAAAAATACAGTTTAATACTGCTGGATGAAATGCGACTTTCACAAATAACACGAGACACACATATATTAATCCCAATTGCTGTTTTTACCAATACTATTTAACATTAATTAAAGAAGATTGGAGTGTTCTAAGTTACGATTTGAGTAAATTTTATTAAAATTTGCTTAGCGTACAATAACGCTTTAGCGAAATATTTCGTCCAAAAATATGGTAATTCAAATTAACATTCCATTTTTGAGTATAAAGAAAATGCTTATGATCTTGTCTTTACAATCCTGAAATAAAAAAACGCATTATTTTATATAATATAATTTTTATAATTATAGATAATTTTACCTTTTCTAAACTGGGCTGTGAAATATTTTCTTATGCTTTCTTTATAATACTGAAATGAAGCAAAGCACTAAGATTACAAATATTCATATATCTAATATATGTATCGAGGATCTTACAAAGGTGGCCTTTCAAATTGTTGGCGCTGTTTTTCATTTAGTTCTCCCCATTTTCGAGCTGCCATTACTAACAATTCCTCGAAAGGTAAACGTTTGTTTAGTCTGCTAAATTTGCGTAGAAAGTGGATATAGCCACAAGCAGTGCCCGAATGACTTGCGTCATCGTTATTCCACTTCAGAGAACTTTTTGGCTTCGGCTTAGACCTTTTGGAGCGCAATAGGGCCCTCTCAGACGCCCTCTGTCGGGAATATGGAGAACCTATGCACATCTGGGAATCTTCTCCAATCTGCTCGCATTCAGACGACTGGGAAGTGCTTGCTTCGGGAAATACAGGATCGATCTAATATCAAATAAAAATGTATACTCGTCAAGATTAGCTATATTATATGCCAGACATCTCGGGAGCACTTGTTTGGTTTGGTTTAGTTCAATACTTACCACGTCGGCATAACATTCCTTTTCACTGGGTGTTAGCCGAGCCCATTTCCTACTTGCAAAACGCAACAATTCCCTAACGGAAATAGGTAACCCGTGGCACTGCTCCTTGTATGCGTTGAAAAAGTTGAGGAATGGACTAGAACTTGATTGCTCTTCCTCCATTGTATAGTTTTGGACAAACGTAGAATTTTTGTTTCGAGTGTTAGCTGCCCCAAAAACTGATTGTGACTGAGAAATCCTTTCGCCCCGTATGCTAAGTAGAGCTGAAGGCTTTCTCCACGCATACTATGTAGATCAGAACTTGAGCTATTGTGTTTCTAAAGGTCGGTTTCTCGTCCCCCTTTCAAAAATTATTTAGTCGAATGTTGGAGTGGCATACCTTATTGAATTCGATATTACATTTCCAATAAAGTGGCATTCATAGATAAAAAATTTTATTTTTCGAAAAATATCATGTTGGTACCCCTTATGAAAAATATTTTGGCTAAAATGCGGGAAAAATTAGCTTTGATTTTTCAATCAAAACCTTGGGAAATAGTGGTCGAATGTTGTCTTATCTCATCGAATTCGTTATTAAATGTCCAATAAAGTGGCATTCACAGATACAAAATTAATCAAAAAACATCATTAGGGTATCCCTTATGAAAAATATTTAGGCCAAAAACCAGGAAAAATCGGATCCCCTTTTTTGATTCTTTAGTTAAACCTTGGGAAATTTAAATAAAAAACAAAATAATTTTTTTATTTTTGTTTAATTTTACTTAACTTTTCATTTGGCATCTTGACACTAATTTAACATTAGTTAGACATCGTCTTTTAAAGAAGTTTTTGATTTAATTTTGTTTTTGTAAGTTACGCCACGTTAAAAAAATCTGACGATGTCATTGTCTTAAAAGATAGTGGCAATCCACTTATTGACGTGGCTATCTCGTGACATTTAGCGAATACTTACGTTACACAACAAAATAAAAAATATGTGCTTAATCCCTTTCACCTGAAATGAACGATTTTATAGTATAGATCCCTCTGGTAAATACATAAGCCAGACCCAGTTAAGACAAAAATAATCTTGTAAAGCTGGAAAATAATTTAATTCGTACGTTTCATTCTAAATGGCTTAATTTACGGTACAATACGATATATTACTGATGTTTCAAAACCGATAAATTAACATTAGCATTGTCCTTAATTTTATGTTGATCATATTCATACTTTAACCATACAGATATTTATATTTCCGATTTAATTTTTTCCATTTTCTTGAATTATTAATTAATTATGTATATAGCGTTTTGTTTTTTTTTTTTTAAGATTATTGAACGAGAACTGGCAATATAGCCCAAAATTTTCTATCAGTCGGTGTAAGATTGCCCCAATAAGGGGGTTTTTAAAGCCCGGGCTGGGCCCAGTGCACAATTGTATTTTTCCTGCCGCTTATCCGTGACCATCGAAATGTTCAAGTTCTCTACACGTCCTGCAAAGGATCGTATAATTTACTAACTAGCATAAATATTAATTTTTTATATTTACAGCTGCGTGTTTTTATTTTGTGAAAGTTTTCCTACTCGAACGTTGGCATTGCTTGGTCCGAGGTATGCAAAAAATATGTAAATATTTCCCAATTTTTATTTTTATTTCGTTAATGTATCTTCACTATACGTATGCACGACTATGAATATCAATTGGGATGTACTCACTTAATAAATTGTTTTATGTTTTAATCTATGAATAAAGTATGGCTATGTATTTACCACTCACACATAAGAATACACATTTTTGTTGCTTGTTAAGTTTTCCTCTTTGTTTTGCTTCTCTTCATTTACGTTAACTAGTTTTTTCACATTTACATATAGTTACTTAACTACTTAGCTTAAATTTATTTATGTGCTTATACACGAGCAACGTATTGAACTATGCTAAAGTAATCATAAAGGTCGATACAAATTTCATTATTAGAGAGAAAGCTAGCTGCGCGCTGGCTCCGGGCACATGTGAGTGGGCGTGGCAGATGCTGATGCTGATGCAGATGCAGATCCTGATGCAGATGCTGATCCTGATCCTGATGCTGATTGTTGATCCATGCGTGAAACTGATTCAACATCAATGCTTATATTCCGGGTAGCAGCCATTCTCGATGACTTGTTCGGACTGACTGTTGTTGCTGCTGCTGGTATCGCCTGATTGCTGCTGAAGCTGATGCGGATGCTGATGCTGATGCGGATGCTGCTGATAAATTGGCAGCTGGAGGAGCTGCTGCTGCTGCTGACTTACTGCCGCTGTGTCTGCCGACTGCAAAGCGCGACGTATGGGCGGCTGGATAACACTTCCACTGCTTTCCGTTTCCGTTGAGGGTGGGGATGGATAATAGTCCCTCTGACTTACACTTATACCATTTGGGACGACTGGCAAAGCCATTATGGAATTGCTGGCCACCGTCGCCGCCGCCGCCGCTGCCGCTGCGGAGGATTGATGATCGCCGTGGTGCTGATGCGGATGCTGGTGGTGGAGTACGCTGTTCGATATAGCCCCCGAAATGGGTCCGACGTCGATGTATGGTTGGGAATCCGACATTGTACCGGATGGCGGCTGGTCCAATACCACGACGGATACCACATCCTCACTCGCCCACCGGGCTAACTGTTGTTGAGCTTGAATAAAGTCATCACTAGAAAATAATAATCGTAGCAGGAACAACGGTACATGGTAAGAACAAAAGGAGGCCATCGGGGATTTGGATTGGAAATTCGGTGAGGATTGGTCAGTAGACAGGTTGGGAAAGATCTAATCTAATAAGTATTAAAAAACGAAAGAAAGACGGCTCCGCTAACCCAAACATATACCCTTGCAGGTTCATTGGTAGCTTTTTGAAATCATATATAACGACTATAACTCGATTTAATACAAATATTTTTCAAAAGTCCTTAATTAGCAAAAGCTTTATTCGATTTCATTGGCTTAGCTCTTTTTTGTGTATAACTCTGCGGAGGTATACAATTGTTTTGGGCTAGGGACTCAACCAAATGATAAACCAAACAATTACAAAACGGGTGTTAAACTGCTGCTAAACGATGAATCAGTGCCCCGTAGAATACCAATTCACATACATATGTATGTATGTATATCCTCTCAATACTGAGCACTATATTAAATCCAATTAGAAATGCTCGGCATAAGGAAGATGGCAAAAATACAGGTTTCACAGGCTCGAATGCTGTATGTAATTGCGGCTGCTTCATCGTCTGCAACCAGCCTCTCACGAGGACAGGACATTGGTAATGGCCTGGCTATGGTACGACTAGACAGAAGTAGAGGCGCAGACCTACCTTTCGCTATCTGGTGTCTCGTGGCAGTCTAGCCGGGCGTCAACCACGTTGCGTTCGTGGTGGTCGGCGGTCTCGTAGATGCCCTCGTCCTCCTGCTGCAAATGGGTGTGCGATGAGTGGTGCGACGAGTGCGGACCGTGCGTGGCATGTCCGTGGGCGTGGGAGTGGTGCGTGTGGTGCCCGAATGCGTGCGGTGAGTGGGACTGGTGCGGCGCGTGTCGTCCAGAAGATGCCGGCTGGCGGTAGCGTCCGGCGAACGTGAACCGAGACTCCTCATCGGAACGGGGACGACAGCTTCTGCTGTAAGACGCATGAATTGTAGCGGTTTTCTGAGATTGTGGTATTTGCTGATTGGAGCTATAGGCGATAAGGATAAGAAGGCAAGCAAATAATCAAATTATTTAGTGGCATGGGAGTTAATGGGGTGGGTGGGTGGTTCAGTTGGCTGGCTGGCTGGCTGGTGGATTGGGGCTCGAAACGACAGGCAAACGAGAGTTGGGCGTTGGACTGAGGCTGGGGTTGAGCCTGGAGCCTGGAGCCTGGAGCCGAGGGACCAAAACAGAGACCACCGATAGCCATGAGGAACTTAAGAGCAATGTCATCGCATTTATATATAGTTTATACAATGCTTGTGAAAAAATGTGCAAGTGATTACGTAAAGAGGAAAACGATGTGAAGTCAATAGACCCTTAAGAAATAAGACCACAAGATGGTATTAAGTTTAGTTAGTTAGAGTGGCAACCAACCTTTATCACACAAGGTATTCCAGCCTGAAGCCTGCAAGAAATGCGAATATAAATTGGCATTGGCTTGAATTACATTTATTATACTGCAGTACAAACAAGCAGTGGCTTTCATGCCTTAAATGGTAGGTCAGTTTTCTGTTTAAATTAACATCATGAATTTGTATATGCTTTTAATGAGTATGAAGCTTTTTTAGTCATTGCAAGTTATTATGAAAATGTGATACTCTCAAGCCATCAAATATATTTGGGTAATTAATCACTTGCTCTACGATTTAGATATAGTATGTATTTAGTTAAATTGGAAATTTTGGTACCATAGTTAGACTATTGGAAAAACAAAACGCGTTGAGTATTAAGAATACGGTTAATGAGAAGCAACATTTCACTGCCTACTTTTAATATACCATGTTACAAAGCATTACAAATATGTAGGTGTAAGAACATCTAAGAAATCGCAGCAGTTAGTCATTTATGTTGATTTGGTGTGTAAACAAATGAAGGACTTTTTATGTGGACAGGACAGAACGGGACAGGACAGGACAGGACAGGACTGGACAGGTCAGGACAGGTCAGAACAGGTTAGGACAGGACGGGACAGGACAAAACAGGACAGGACAAAACAGGACAGGACAGGACAGAACAGGACTGGACTGGACACATAAGCAATTGAAGGGCTTTTCGGGCTAAGGCTGTCTGACTCGGTAGTACCAATATTCAAAAGGTTACGGTGATTAAGATCTGAAGCAGAAATAACACTAACCCTTGAGATGACTCACTACAAGCTGCGGAACTTTCTAATCTATAGTGGCGATCGGCTTCTGTTTCCGACATGCGTATATCCTCGGAGCCGCTGGGGCTCATGTGCCGCGACGAGTGGTGCTCCAGCTGTCGGATGAGGTCCTCCAGATTGCGTATGCGCAGCGGTCCCGTCGATGGTGCGTCATCATCGTCCAGCTGCTGCGGCTGCAAGGGTATCGCCGACGGCTGGTGCAGCTGGTGCTGCGATCGATGGTGGTGGAGCAGCGTGCTCCCGTGCGGTATACCCCCCGAAATGGTGGCCGATCCGCCCCCGGCGGCACCCACACTCGATCCGAGTCCCATGCCGCCGAGTCCCGCTCCGCTGCCGTCGAGGATGATCGCGTGCACGGCCGCATTGTCGCAGATGTTCTCCCGCGAACTCGACTTGGACCCGATGTTCCGCTTGTACTGCTCGGCGGAGTAGCCCAGCTGGGAGTTGCTGCAGTCCTGCAGCGTCTTGCGCAACATCTCCTCGCTGAGGCTGCCACTGCCGACGGGCGTGTTGCCAGTGCCGGTGCCGCGGTGGGTGGCCGCGTTCCGGAGCGCCTCCAGGATGTCCTCGTGATAGCCGTTGAGGGACTTCAGCGTGCGCTCCACCTCCGAGGCCGCTGCTCCGCCGCTTGTCGAGGCCAGGGTGCCGTCTTGGGTTATAAGCTCGAGGTTGTCCGACTGATTGTCATCGCCCCATTTATCTTTTAGCTGCTCACCGTGCACCAGACCGTAGCCGTGCTTCTTTAATATACCCTTCTCTGTGTGGCAGCCAATAATAATGCATTAGGTTTGAAGTTAGTATTAAGTTCCAATGTGCATGTAAAGAATATACAAATTTGGTAGAGAAAGGCACGAGACTGCAAAACAGCGATTATAGTGGATGGACTTATACTTAATTGCACAAGAAACGTACATAAATATTTATTTACTTGGACTTGAAATTTGATTAATTTTTGTGTACTTGTATACCCCTGCAAAAAGTCTCCTAATTTACGTCGAATGTTCTAAGTCATTTTTCGACCCCATTTCAGTGCATATATATTTCTGATCATCATTACCAGGCGAGTTAAGGTTAATTAAACAATTCAAAGCTTCACATCACAATAGGTTCAAAGTTCAAATTATATTCAGAAATGTTTTTAGCTTATTAAAGATTATAAAGTTATAGTTATAGATAATATTGGAATCTGATATATTAACCAAAGTCAAATCTTAAGAGAACCTAGTACTTGTAAATTTATGAAAAATATCGTATAATTTTCGTTTATGCGGACATACGGACATACGGACATACGGACAGAGATATCGACTCGGCTGTTGATGCTGATCAAGAAAATATATACTTTTTCAGGGTCGGAGAAGCTTTTTTCTACCTGTCACATACTTTTTAACGATCCCTTCTACGAGTAACGTCTATTAAAAAAAGAATCCCCAATTGTTCGTCAAAAATTGTACTCATTACGTTACTTTGAAAATATTTTAGTAAGTAATCATTTCAGATTTAAATTACATAGTATACAAATTTGGCCAGAAATACAGTGTGTTTTATATTTCTATTGGCGTATATGTAAATAGGTGAAGTTGCGTTGGGTAATTGTGAAAATAAAATCTCGCGGAAAATTTCGCGTCGGGTGTTTTCAATTCAAATACAAAATAATTTCTCGATCTAAACTTTTGATAAACTGGGGTCCATCGATGGTTTTCCTACATTTTTTGCGAAGTCCTTTAAACTAGACAACATAAAGTAAGATAATAAACAAAAGAAGCCTTTAAGCGGAGTTAACAAAATTATATCTTTATTTACATAAATATTAATAGCTATGTATTTAAACGCCAATACAAAATACTTCTCTAATGTCCTAACGTGTTCTTAGGAAAACAAGGAAAAATGCTAAAGTTCCCTAATTAAACAATATCCGATACTCTCCGCCCTGATATACTATAAATTATCGATTTCGAAGTTGATTCAGATCGAATATTATATCCTTTACCATTCAAATAAGGATTGCACGCACATGTACAAAAAAAATGATTTTTACTTCACACTAATGGATTTGAAATTTTATTTAGTTTTTAGGATATTAACTAATTCTTAGGATGTTGAACAGTCCCACAAAAAGTTGTATTTTTTTGAGAAAAGCCCCGACAAAAGCAAATATGAAAGCTCAGGTCGCTTAAAGAGGACATAAGAAGCTTGTTAGGTGGGTGCACGTATATATAATATAATTAACATATGTTCGCTGAAAATAAACTTATGATTGCTATCGAAAGTATTAATGTAAAACTGTAACTGCAATAATAGAAGCTTTGAAAATTACAAGCAGTAAACGTTAATCAATTATTATTCTATTTCAATTTAGCTTGTTAACATGGAAGGCATCTAAACTGTTAAGCGGGAACATGGGAACACAAATTATTTCAATCCGATTTTTCATTAATATGCGGTTACAAAGTGTCTTTAGTGGAGATTCCCGTTCTTCGCAATTGAAAACATTTTCTTGCCTAATTTGAATCCCTTTGGTACTGCGAATTTGCGGGAGAACTAGGATTTCGAAGGATCTCGAAATAAACGAGATCGGGCGAAACATTCTGCTCTCAATTTGTTTTGTTTTTAAAAAGGATGAGTTTTTCAAATTTCGAATGATTCCGATCTTTGTGCAGTCCAACTTGCATAGCTTAAACCACAATCTGCTTACAATTTATTGGTAGCTAAAAACTGTACCATACAAATAATATATATATTTTTCATGTTAGAGGGTGGTGGTTTGAATTATGGAAGTTGTAGTGTATTAAAAAACAAACATTTTTGAGGCTTAAGAACGGGAATCCCGCCTTAATAAATTCAACTCTAAATTCGTAATCGAGGATCTCACTGAAATCTCAAGAGAAATAGGAAAGTCATAAAAGTCCTTCGGTGTCGCAGATATTTTTACACTTTTAGTCAACAAAACAATAGTATATTAAGTAGACTTTAAAAAATTTAAAAAGTTTTTTACATTTATATATCTTTATGGAAAGGATATAATCTTGTCAGATATAACGAGTCTGAAATTGAGCGGTCTTATAATAAATTATAAAAACGCTTTTTGAGTATTAAACTCTTTCATCACAGAATATCTTTGAAGTGAAGATCAAACACTTGCAAATAAAATTGTATTATGTATTTGTTCTATTTGCAAATAAGTTTTTAATAATAGTTAACCGATATAATAAAGAATTACTGATATTAATATGCTATATTCGTAGACTTCTGTGTCACCGAGATTAGACTTTTATGTTGAGCTCAATCTTAGAGGTTTCTGCGAGACTCCACTCAGGCACTTTGTTTGTGAATCTAGTCTAAGCACATGTTTGTATAAATTATAAGTTGTATTGTATTAACCTGCATGTGACTGGTCGTCCTCGCCACATGTCGTGTAGCGTCTTCCATGAATTCCCTTGTCCCTGTGGATGAGAATATTGAAGTAGGAGCATGAACTTGCCAACTCAGAGGATCGTAATCAATCGGATGGAGCTGGATGTAAACGATGAATCAGCTGCAGTGGAAAACTTTCCCATGCAGGAGACTGTATAAAATGATCTGATTGGTTTTTCCATATGTGTAACATTTCAATTGGTACTGTAACAGTACGGCAGGTACAAGTACTGCTGATGCATCGTCTAACACCAGCTCCAATTGGGATTATACGCACCTGAAGCCAGTCTGATTGGCATAGACTAATTTACTGGATCCATCCAAGGAGACCTCTTCAACGGAATGGTGATTGGGGGCCGTCGCAGCTCCACCGTAACTTTTGGCAATCGGTTTCTTCGAGTAGGGCGGATCGTACTTTAGCGTAGTTGTCTTGCGCCTATTTGTGGCCATCGGTACCCACATTGTTGTTGTAATTGTTTATTCATTTATATGCGTTATATATATTATAGATTTTGCATACACTCCAATGTATATAGTATGTGTAATAATTTAAAGCGTAAAGTTATGCGTGTTTTACAGATATATGAAGTCAGTTATCGTATTTATTTTATTTGATTATGCAGCAAAATCAATTTTACGTCAAAGTGTTTGGTAATTATGGGGCAGGAGGCGTGGTTGATGGGTAGATCGTAGGTTTGTATATGTTTTTTGGTTTTGGTTTTGGTTTTGGTTTGGTTTGGTTCAGTTTGGTTCGGTTAGTAAATAAATAAACAATGTTTATGGTTTATTTGAAGAGTATGAGGCAGAAACGGGCACCCATACACACGCATGCACCCGGTTTCATTTATTTATTATATCATTTTAATAATCATTAATATCATTTAATATTGCACGTGCATGCGTGTGTATAAAAGGGTCCGTTGAAATATGTATTGATTGCAGAGATTTTATCAGGATCGTTTTTAATTAGTAGATACCGATTTGAATAGGTTTAATTTGGTTTTTGTTGATTTTGTTTTGTTGGATCATTATATTGATGTTGTTGTTGATTGTTGTTTGGAAACGAAATGTTGCAATGAGAGTCTTAATTAATCAAATGCTCATAGATTTTGAATAAACATTTTGGGTTGAATATAAAGATTTTTGTTATGAATTGTATATATGTTTGTTAAAATGAACACACAGTTAAATGCCTGGTCTTTCAAAATATATTTACACCCATTCATGCATATGTTAGAAGCCATTGAAAAGGATTAAAAAGCTAAGAAGATTCGGCAAGCCGAAGTATTTATACCTTTGCAATCACGAGAATTGTACAATTCCTTATTAAAATAACAGTTATAAAAAATCAAAACAAACTACGATGCTCAATAATTGGTACCAAGCACACATAAACAGACAGATTTGAAAAACAACTTTTCTGCATTGCAAAATCGGACGAAAAAGTAGAATTTTGAAAGCAAAGGCATATATTCCCAAAAATATAAAATTTCAGAAGCCATTCAAAAGTACAAAGAAAGAAAGAAAAACACTTAAACAGGCGAAGATTGTTTAAAAACGCGTATAAAAAAATCAACACATTTTTACAGGAAATAAAAAATAAACAAATTATGCTCCAAATCAATTGAAAATAAAGGCCAGAGGAGTTTAGAATTTGAATCTTAAGAATTTTAGAAAATATCAAAGAATGTAAAGACAATTTTTTTGGTACTCCACATGCGGATCAAGGTGAGGACAAAAAACTATTTTCGAAAAATAAAATTTAAGAAACATGCCAACTACGCGCAGTGCGTCTTAAACATGTAATAATGTCCACGAATGTTTTACAAATTCTTAAATTGAGATTGCACCCTAAGTGGTAAAAATTTGGATTTGAAATAAAAAGAATTTAAATTGAAATTTAATAAATTCGTTTAAGTATTGAAAAGCCACCAAAAGATTGTTAACAAACTCCGTTTCAAAGTGTAAAACATACAATCTCAGCGGAAGTTTGTGCATGCACGAAAAGTTTAAATGTCGAAATGTTTTAACCGGGAATGATCCGTAGCATGGTTAACTATATCGTTATTTTGTACTTTGAGTGTTTCCAATTTCAATATATTTGTTATTTTTGACAGTGGCAGTAATAAAAGTGTATTCTGTTAGCATAATGTATCTGTATCTGTAACTGTATCTGAATCTGTACTACAATCTGTATCTGTTCTTGTAACTGTTCGTGTATCTTTCATGTTTTGATGTTCTGTTTTTGTATCTGTATCTGTATCTGTATCTGTATCTGTTTCTGTTTCCGTATCGGTGCTTGTTTTATTGATCCCAATTTGCATACCATATTACACAAACAAAACATAAATGCTTTATGTGTGTACATTGTATTCGTATTTGCATTCGCATTCATAAAGACGGCTTTTCGGAACGCAGCAGGCTTACTCTGCAGAAAGCACCACCATAGCTCAAAGTCAGTTTCATCTATGTTGGGCCCTAAGCGCAAAGAGAAATCAAAATATTGATCTGATCGCCCTCGATCGCAGGCCAGTCGCCTGGACATGGGCCTGGATATATATGTTATTTAAAAGATAAGGTATATATATCGGGTACACCCTATCAGCCGACTGTGGTCGGATGTACGCATATTTCTACTCTTGGCTTTGGGCTGCAAGTTAGCGGGGCTATGGGCTATACGAATACACTTTCACATTGTTTTGAGATTTGGGGCATATGAATTGTATGGAGGTTGGAGGTTGGAGGTCAATGTGCCCAGCGCTTCATACGGCATACGGCATACGGCGGGTATATGTTTATAATGGTGGTAGATGGTGGTAGAAACGGTACAGCATTATTTTTCTGGTTGGTTGGTTGGTTGGTTGGTTGGTTGGTTGGTTATACATACATATATATATGGATATAGTTTGGCATGAGATTATAGTGCTGGACAGACTAAACTGAACAAAAGTAGTAATGAAAAACGTCAACGAGATCACCGCCGTCCTGACGACAACGATAACATACACAAATGGCAATCCTTTGTATAGCCGCTCTCAAATTGTGTGCTTTGACTCAAAAACTATAAGATTTAAGGCCAGAATCGGTGACTAACTAAAGGATATAAGTAATGAAATATGTTTACAAAAAATATGAAACCAATATCATAACTACCAAAATTTGTTAATGTATCTAATCCTTTGTATAGTCTCCTTCACATTATTCTTTTTTTTATTTTTTCCAAAAAAAAGAAAACTAAAGAAATAATGTTTTTTTTTTTGTTAGATTGTTAAGACATTTAATTGTAAGGCGTTGAACCGTTCACTTTCGTTGTATCTTGCGGCCTCGAATGGACAATTGATTCACGAAGTAGCCAATCTTTGATCTTCAGCATTTATCAAAAAACCATATAGCGATTCCATTTGCACGTACCACAGGTTCCAACTTTTTATATTGATATCGGATATTTAGCAGTATAATAAGGGGCATCGCAGGCGAAAAGGGTTACCGCTGAGTTATCTGAATAATTGGAAGATCAAGTGAATGTAGCACAAAGGGATTTGCAGGTAATGAGAAACACAGAGAGAGAGCAGGGGAAAATATACATACAAAGAGCTTTCTGAGGGGGACGGAGAACGGAGAACGGACTTCCATATATTTCATATCATATTGTCTTCATAAGACGAACTTGCATAACTAAACTTTCTTATTACGACATCGCGATCCTAAGTCGCTCCATATACCCAATTCAAGATCCTTTGCTAACCTTTCAAAGCAAGCAGCCTCCAAAGTTGAGATAAATGATTATTAACTACGAGATCTCATCAGCTCAATGTCATTTCAAATACTGGCCAACATTTTCAAATCTGACCTCTTTTTTTAAATAGTGACTATCTAATCGTAAGTTATTATATTATATTATACTATTCTTTGAAACAGGGCAGTGACTAGCGGGCATTTCCAGTCGCGGAACTCGATTATAACGTTCTTCCTTGTTTTTTCACTGATAATACATGATTTATATATACGCTTTCAACAAATATTTTTTGTTCTCATTTTTTAAATCAGCGCCCCAAAGTACATTAATAACATTTGGGTTGTTTAAAAAAGATTTCTTTTGTCGACCTCTGCAATATATTATCAGTGAAAATGCAACTTTGTTAAAAGCGTACCAAAAGTGTAAGATTGTAGTACCTGTAACTTCTGTAAAATGCAAGAAAATCGTTTCTTATTTGAAAAGTCATTTCTTTTTCAAAACTAAACCTTGCTTCTTATTATAATATTTACAATTCATAGTTACAGCCATGGAATTTACTTTAGTTATCACAAGTAATTAAATATATTTAGCTAATTTTATGGGCTATTATTTAAAAAAGAAATGACAATTGAAATAAAAAAAAACAATTTTATTGTTTCATACAAGACCATTGAATTCAGAAATCAATTTCCTAGTTTAAAAGGCGACTTTCTAATTTGAAATAATAAATATTCTATGAGTTTTGTTTTGTTTTTTTTGACGATTTTAAAAATCTTAAAAAAGTTACTAATCGTCTAAGAACAAATTGTTTTTTTCTGAATTTAAAAAAGTTTTTTTTTGTAAAATTTACTGTTAAGAAAAGATATCTATGTTCAATTACAAACAATTCAAAGTCTGCCACAAGTTAAAGGCGATATTTCTAAAATTTAGAAAAATATTCTTATGAGTGTACGAATTATAAACATGAAAAATGTATACAGATGTGCAATTGTGAGTTAAGCAATTGCGTACGCAGATTAATAGTAAACTGAACCAAAATAAATGATTTAGCATTTAAACAAAAATACCGCCAATTCGTTAAAATATTATCAATAGGATATTTTACGTAATCCTGCGTACGCCACTGCTTATAAATTTGAATTATTACATTGTAGAAGTAAGTACGTTTGGGTTTTTTTTTTTTTTTTCATATGAAGCTTAACAAAAATGAACAATGACAATGGTTTTAATGCAACGACACAGACAAATTTATCAAAATGCGAAACAAAACAAACAAATTTACTAAAGTTTTTTCATATTTGCATTTGCAAGTGTTTTTTAAGTTTTAAAAATACTTTTATGTTACTTTTTGCTTGTTCTTTTTGTGGTTGTAATTTGTATTTGTATTTAAAGCTGGCTTTTTCATTACTTCTTTTCAACTAACCTTAGACACAGGGAGAAGTTTCTATGTACTACAACTGACCTGTAGCACAATGCCATCAAGGTGAATGTTATAAAAACGAACCCTACAACTGACATTAGAACACCGACTAGGAACACTGTATTTGAGCCGTGGTAGTTCTCTATACGAGACATTTTTAGCCAAGTTTTTCATTTTGTGCCCATTGTATTTCATTTGTGTGGAGTTTGTTCGGATGTTCGAATGTTCGGGTGTTCAGTGGTTGTATAGTGGAGTAATACATTCAGGTTGTTTTATTTTATTATATTGCATGATAGTTTTTTGTTTGGGTTACGTAGCGATACGCCGGGTGGTTAACGAATTTGTTCGAGGACGGTATTTCGTAGTTATTCATTTCATTATTGCAGTTGGGTTGTGAGTCAGCCGAAAAAAACAAGGAAATACAAAGTTTTGTTGCATTGGGGGAAATATGATTATAATAGGCATCTCACACATTCCTTTTAGGGATCTTTTTCATTTTTACTGATATATATTATTTTAAGTAGTTTTCTCTTAATTAATATGAATACATAAAACATAAATTTAAAACAACGATAACATGCATACGTTGTAGTATGTGTTCTCATTGAGAAATTCCTTCGGAATGCCAAGGCTTTCGAAATGGCCAAAAACGGATAAATGATTCTCACAATTGCTTAAATGTTAGTTTTAAGTTGTTCTTTTTGTTTGCTTTCCTATGACAATGGTAATCTTGTTTGCTTAATTACCAATTATAATAAGCTTTCAAAAGCCAAAACCGAGTGTTGGCTTCAAGATCTTAAATTGATCTACGTAAAAGAAAGAGCTCAAAACTTCTAACTTTATTTAATCTTTTTATTTGTGATTTTAACATTTAGTTTTTATTAATTTAACTTCGTTTTTTTGTTAGTTATTATATTTACCGGCATGGAGATAAAAAACTAAAAAATCAAAACTTTGCAAAACTTAATCCGATCAACTAGAAATTTTGAAATATATTATTTGTTTATAAAAAAAAAATGATATACAATATCCCAAAGCTGAAGACAAACACTTTCTTTCCAATACAAAAATTTTAAAAAGCTTTAAGCTACCTGTTAATTTCTGCTATAAATATCTGAAAAAGTGATTCGATTATTTCATTAGTTTTTCAAATAGCAAACCTCATAATTCCAGCAATATCACATTATGAGAAAACCATTAAAGACAATAAAAGTTCAGAAAGTCATAGTTTTTATACCCTCGAAGCTTTAAGAAACACCTTTAATATTATAATATTTGTTTTTGATATAATTAATAGATTTTTGAAGTGAAATTATGTACTTAATATTCCGAAATTTTTGGTAAATTTTTATTTAAGTGGGTCTTCGCTTTGAAGTTTTAAAACTTCTGGCACGATTTCAAACATATCTGATAATTTTCATTATTGTTCTTTTCTATGCTTAAGCACGATTTCTTCAGCAGAAAATAATCCAGAAAATAATATATATTGGACTACGTTCAGCTCGAAAATTCACTGTAAATACTCTTAACCACATTATGACATTTATCATTCAAGCATCCGGGCCGTTTTGGCGATGATTTTTAATATTTGTAAGGTTTTACCCCGTAAAAAAGATTATTATTTTTTGGTATCACACACTCAGGAAATTTCCGTAGACAAACATTCATTCCGAAAGCAGCAACAGTCCAGGAAATGTTGTTCTCCGACATTTTTGGCATTTTTTGGTGCACAATAATGTGAGTTATTTAATGTTCATATACTGACAAAAAAAAAATAACGACGGCGAATCCTGTTTGTAAGTCGACAAATGATGGCTGTTTAATGTGTTCTGATGAATGTGCCTACTGGAGGTGTGAATCAAACTGAAAAATATGGCCTAACACAGTATTTTATTTAATTATCCATAACATTTTCACGTAAACTCATAAATAATAATTTGTATTCCCAATTTATTTCGAATATTTTACTGTGGTTTCTTTTCATGTTTCTGGATAAGTTTTTATATGCATATTGTCATAAATAATAAAGAAAATGATAGTAGAATTCTATTAAAAACCCAAATTAAACACAAAATAAATCGATATTTAATATTTTGTGGATTACGACGACAGATTACAAGCACAATTACAATTTTGAAACTTATAAAAGCACTACGAATATTTTTACACACAGCGATAAAGTCCATAGAGCAGTCAAAAAAGAAAATGATTAATGCAAGTATGTAAATGTAGATATGAGGTGCACACACATAAATTATCATAAATATATGTGTGTGCACATCATATTGAAAAGTAAGATAGGATGTGGCAAAGATATATATACAAGTATATAGATTAACAACGAATCGTTTCTCTTGATTCTGTAAACAGGGAGTACCCTAATTGAAACTATATATCCGGCCTGTTCCACTTTTTATTTTATTAAAGAAAAACACACATCACAGAATTATCCCTTTTCATCAATGCGACTTTGCAATGAACATATGATATGCATAAAATCGAAGCAATAAATGGCCACCTTATTGAAGATTTAGTAGAAAGTAAGTGTTAGAACAGTTGAGGAAAATTGACTTTAGCTGAAACGTGCCATAAATTACAAGGGGAACAGGCCTAAATAACTAAGCGTGACTTCTAAAACTTTGTAAAAGTAATGAGATCTCTTCAAATAAAAATATCAGCTTTAAAAATTATATTTTCCTGAATAAGCCAATAAAACAAAGTTAACCTTTGTTAAGCTATTCCAAGGACATCTATTTCGTTAGTTCACGTTGATTCAACTTGAAATCATTTTATTCTAAATAAAGTTTGATAGCATCCACAAAACTTTATATCTACCATTATATAACATAGCTTGTCCAAAAAAAACCCTACTCATTCCGTTTAGTGTGGTAGATTTAGTATTTTTAGTCCATACAAATTACTCATACGACGTGTATGCTTAAAACCCATTCTTCCATTTCTAAACTTCTTAACCTATATTTCTTCTTCAAAAAACAATTAAAATATGGAGGAAACTTATATGCCTTATTATTGCCTAGTAAATGAAATTCATGAAAATAAATAATTTCTTTGGAGGCAACAGTACGTATGAGTAATCATTTTAAGTCCACAAAAATTACTCATACGGCGTGTGCGCTTAAAAACCTTTCTCCCATTTCTAACCTTTTTTTCTTCAATAAAAAATTTAAATATGGAGGAAACTTATATGCCTTATTATTGCCTAGTAAATAAAATTCATGAAAATAAATAATTTCTTTGGAGGCAACAGTACGTATAAGTGATCATTTTAAGTCCACAAAAATTACTCATACGGCGTGTGCGCTTAAAAACCATTCTCCCATTTTTTCTTCAATAAACAATTAAAATGTGGAGGAAACTTAAATGTCTTATTATTGCCTAGTAAATATAATTCATGAATATAAATAATTACTATAGAGGCAACAGGACGTATGAGTGATAAACTTCGAAACCATTTTCTTCATATAATAAATTTAAATAAAAATGTGTACCGCCCAACCATATATATTCCTAATCAGCATCGGCACTCGACTTGATCTAACCATAGTTAACTTTATTTTGATTGAAACTAATTATCTATTCTGGAAAATGTATTTCTTAAAGCTATCACTTTTAGTTGCAGAGATTTTCAAGTAAATCAGAGAGTACGCTTCGAAAAAAAATATATAAACATATTGACCGTAAAAAAATGTACTTGTATACGTATGTGTAATGATGGTAGTGTTGCTAAATTCATAAGAGGAGGAGCTTGACTTGCTTGGTACTCTACCTGTAGCAAACGGCCAGTGTTGCAAAACTAATGAAGACACATTTGACGATAACTGTTAAAATGATGACCATGGTTAATGTGCTGATCCTATTTTGGTCAGAGGTGCCTGCAAATGGTGGTTGCGTTTTATTTTAATCAAAGTATATAAATATATATGCGCCATTTTTCGTATTGCGACTTTTATTTACATTATAACATGCTCCAAAAATAAATAAACCCAAAAACATATGATTTTTCTGTTCGCATACAACATTTGAAAGTTACTCGCGGATATACGCACCGGAAGTATTTTATTTGTGTGCAATGCTAAGAGCCATAGGATTTATTTGAGATACCCGCTATTCACTCGCTACTTTATGAAAATATCCATCTGGATTTCCAAAAATGCATTCCAGAATAGTTTTAATGATATTTTCTACACTTGGCAACACTTTTTGTTACATAGCAGTGAGTTGGCAGGTATCTCAAATTCGGGGATTCTTTCTTTTTATATGTATACGGAAATCAGGTCAGACGACTATATAAGATAGTATTTCCCTCACCCGGTTTGTTTCTACGATTCTAGAAAGATCATTTTAGTTGTATATCCCAGATTCATATTTATGTATTATGTATGTTATCTAAACTGAGGAACGGTCTAAATAAGTATATTGGATAACTTATTTTTCTTATTTCTGCGAGAGTACAAAAGCTAAGTTTTTTCAAGTTAGCTCCCGTTGGCGTCGGAACTAACTATTATTTGGGTTGGGACCCTTCGTTCTGAACACTCAAATTCCTTAGAAACGAAAATGAATAAAAACTAACAAAAATGTGATTAAAGTAACAAAAACATATATGAATTCCCAAAATTCGGGTTGCTATAATGGCGAGTCGCAAATGTGTTTTTAAGAGGTCCAACCTATTTATTATTTGGTTGGGTCTTTTTCCATAGGTTATTTAAACAAATCGTGCTAAGAAATTTACCATTTCAGGAACTATTTGATTTGTACTAAAAGATGAACCCGTTAATTGCAAAACAATGAACATTTAAGCAAAGAGTTGGGGAAATATTGAATTTAGTTTTATTTTAAAACGGCCTTGTTTTTAAATTATGTAGGGCAATAAGCTCCATTGTAAGAATTTAAAAGAGTAATCCCTTAAGAAAACCAAACTCTCTGTTTTAATAATAGACTAGGTAAAACGCTTTTAGTATAATGTTTGATTAGTAGTAAAATTAGTTATAAGTTAATTATCAATTCACAAATTGGAATTGAGAATAACATTGAATTGGGGGGACTGATTTCTAGATTCGGATAAATTTTAAATGTGTATACTGTCCAAACATCAAATTGCCGACCTGACTACCATTGTCATACAAGTAACAAAAGCGAATTGTTCAAGATTGCACCCAATTATTCAATTGTGAGTTGCCAACGTCATTAAACCAGGCAATATTGACCTCGTTCAAAAACACTTAGTTAGTATTGAATACAGCCCTGCTTGAATTAATTCCAACACAGTATTTGTTCTATTTTGTAAATAAAAGTGGCCTAGTGGCTAGTGACTTAACTGCTGTGAGATGGAACCGTAGATTCAAGCAGAGCTCTAGTATACGTAAAAATCTTAAGATATAATATCATTGAATTTATCAGACCAGTTCAGTGCCATTCGATATGGATTTCATTCAATTCATTTAGCTTAGTTCATTCGCTCACAAGTCTCTTCCAGCTGGCGCAAGGTAAGATACGAGCATCGTGGAACCCGACGCCATAGACACTATTTCTTACCATATGGGGTTTCTTTCTTTTCCATCTTGATGGTGTTCTCCGAAGTTGGCACTGCTTCGGTGGGCACTGCCGTGGTGAGCAGTACCACGGCACTGCAGTCGTTGCCGCCCCATCCCATATCGCAGAAGCAGCGGTTTGAGTTCGTGCAGACCTGGAATAGCAATGTGCAGAGTGTGGGCATGGTAATGGGTTTGGTTCGGATCGTTTTATGTGTACGGTTATGCGGTTATACGGATATACGGTTATACGGATGTATGGATGTGCATGCCCAAGAGTTCTACATGTTTACACGGTAGAATGATGGCACAATTTGTGAACTTACACCATGTTCTGAGCACTCTTGACCCTGCGAATTCGCCGGGCACTTGGTCTGATCCACGTGGGGAAAGAGACTGACACACGTCTGGTTCAGGCAGATCAGACTATCGCCGCACGGAGTCCCATCCTTGACCAGGCCGTGCTCTGGGTAGCTGTTGGAACCCACCTGCCCGCTGGTCGCCCTGTGAATACTCAAATGATTGTGAAACTATTTTGGTCCGGACATCACCTTAACTCCTCCGGCATCGCCTCTTGGTGTTTTGCTACGCACTTGCATTCGAATTCCTGTCCCTTGATCGAGATGATGGTTCGCGAGTAGAGCTGGTCGATGCCATCGTTGACTGGTTGTCGTTCGCCGTCCTTGCACTGCAGTGTACCGCACTGGACGTTCCTGTGGGGAAAGTGAGAATTTTAAAACGGATGATTCAAAAAAAAAAAAAATTTAATTAAAAAAGAAAAAAGACATTTATTTATTTCATCTTATGTAGATGAACTTACTCGGGCTCGCACTTAATGTAGTGCTCATTGGCATCCCGTCCACAGTGTCCGTTGATTGAGCCTTTGGAATTGAACTGCTCGTAGCACTGACGATCCGCAGCGGATCCGCCGTAACCCCAAATTGCCTCACACTGCAAACTCAGCGTGGGACAATATCCTTGAAAACAGTAACCTAAAAGACAACCAGATGTGAGGAAATTTCCCAAGTAGTGAGATAATTTACTCACCTGAAACGCCAGTCTTGGTGTGTCCGCATGGGGATCCGTTTTTCTTATAAATATCAGAAGGACATTGGCCAATTTCGCCATCGCAGTATTCAGGCAGATCGCACTCATTATTGGAGTCACGACAAATTGTGTCCTTTGGGCGCAGCTGAAAATGGGTGGTACAATGCGATTACAAAAGCAATTGTGGGTGAACAAATGAGGAACTTACGCGGCATTGGTCACAGCATGCCCCACTGGCACATTGTGCCTCCGATTTTAGTTTGCAGGTGATGCCATCGCAGCAGGGATCCAGGGAACACTCCTCGAAGGTGCCGCAGTCGCACTCCTCATCCTCCTCAACCACCTTATTTCCGCAGTTTCGGCGCAACTCGATCTATTTAAGAAGGGAATTAAAAGCACACCGCGTTGTTTACCATATGTTGTAACTTGAAAACCGAAAGGAAAGCAGAATACTGCTTCATCGACTTCAAGCAGCGTGATAAGACTCTGATATGGGTGCTTGTTTAACCCTCACCTCGTTCGGTTTGTTGAGCAGACACAGCCCGTGGCCAGTCCGCAATGCGTCAATGTAATCTTTTTTGCTGCACTCCGAGAACTTGTAGGGCTGCACATTCTCCTGGCCCACAATCGACTGGGCCATGATGCAGCCGTGCCAGTCGCGGCAGAAGCACTCCTCGCCTACGGCAAAGTACAGAATGCGAGATGAATGCCCTGCTGGACAATGGTTCTATTTAAATGGATAATGATAATTCTTACGTCCGTCGTCGTGTCCCATGCCGATGTTATGGCCAATCATGTGGGCCATTGTGCCCGCGAGGAGGTGTGGCTCGTACACGTTCACGTCCACGCTGATGCCCACAGCACGGGGCGTGCAAACAGTTTCGGGCACGGCCATGCCGGCCTCGCCCCCAGCAAATGTCTCCCCACTGAAAGATGAGATAATCAATATGTACTGTGTATCAAAACGGTGGAAAAAATATACAGTAATTCATCAGTTGAGAACTACTGGACCGAATTGTTCTTTTTAGTAATTGCCAGATATTATTTATATTGCTACATAAATAGAAAAACATGTTTTGGTCACTCAGTTTACGAAAAAGTAAGTGCAAATAACAGAAAATGTTAAACTATGTAATCATTACACTATGTAATCATTTATATTGCTACATAAATAGAACAAACATGTTCTGGTCACTCAGCTTACGAAAAAGTAACTGCAAATAACAGAAAATGTTAAACTATGTAATGATTATCAATTTACACTGATTTTACAGTTAAAATGTTCCAACCGACAGAAAGTTGTTAAAAATACTTACTTTCTACCAATGATTATAGTAAGCAAACATTGGTACTACAAACACAGTAAATTGAGCGATGTTGCAGTAAAATTAGTACTGTTTATTAATGTTATTCCTAAGTGTGCAAGTATGTTAGGACTGATTATATAAATTATTTTGTGAAGTCTTAACATTTCAGTGTCTGGCTTGTGGGTCGTGCCAGGCACGCAGGAACAAGTTGGGAATTATAAATGAATTATAAAAAGGTATCGATTTTCATAGAGTAACTATATATACAGATAGTTACAGTAAGCAAAATAAGAACCAAATACAGTGCCAAATGTAACAGCAAAATTCAGGCTACCATTATCTCACAGTAAACTTACTGAATAACCAACAAACAATTTTCTGTGTAGTGTAATTACGTAAAATGAGATGTCTTACGTGAGCAATTGCGTGGTGTCTCGCTCAATTTGGAACAGATTCCTCGAGGTGTAGTCGTTGAAGCTGGATATCGCCTTGCTTATATCCTTGCTGCCATCGATAACCGCCTGGTTTTTTCCCCAGGTCTCGATGTACACAACCGACACACGGGTGTTGAGGGTGCGAAAATACTGAAATGCAACACAGAACATACTCACAAGGAGGATCGATGAGGGACTATAGTGAATACCAACCAGATCGGCTATGTTGGCCACCTGTATGGCATCGTGGATGACCTCCGCCCGCGTGCTGCCATTCCGCTTGTCGAACATGGCCTTGTCCACAATGATGGCCGTCTCAATGTACTTGGTGGCCTCCCGGACGTCCCGCTTGTTCCGCCCCACCCCCGCCTGCAGGATCTCCTCGACGACGCCGGCCACTCCGGCGGACAGGTGCTTGGTGCGCCGGGAGAGGCGCCACGAGTCCAGGTTGCCCGAGTTGGCGCATCCCTTGTTCGCCTTGGTCCGCGCCTCGAAGATCACGTGCGGGTGTTTCTGTTAATGAAGGAACCGATGATGGTTAGTCCCATGGGTAAGCCCGTAGCCCTTGACCCTTAGCCTGTAATAAAGTGGACTTACCGAGAGATCCCCGCCGTAGAAGGGGTGAATGACAAAGGTCTCGTTCCCAATGTGGATGACGCCACTCACTCCGTTGCAGGTGTGGAAGGCTGCACTGGCTCCGGGATAATCCTTCACGGTCCCATGGTAGTAGCAGTGTTCGATATCCTGTCAAAATAAAGAACCAAACGGCTTAGATCAGGAACGGGAGCTATAATAGGTTTTCTTTTTTAAATCACAAAATAATAAATGATAAAATAAATAATGATAAGCAAACAAATATTAAAAAAAAAAAAAACAAGAAAAAAAATTGAATACAAACAGCTTTAAAAATTATTAATATTGTTTTACACTTCTCTTCAAAATATTACGAACTTTAGAAATCGAGAGACTAACATAACGTTAGGTTATTACGTTAATATAATATTATATATATATTTTTCCGTATTTGTCGCGTTACTCTTAAGAACATACTTAAATGGTATAATATAATAGTCTCTAGAGAAACATGTTTACTTAGTAGCGCTCTGAAAATGTTGAAACCTTAACTCACATGTCGGTTTCCGTCCACAAGATATCCACCCACGTGGTAGTGTTTCTGTTGTATGTTTGGAGAAAGAAGTTGCCTGCAAAATAAAAATATATCACTGCATCGTTCCAACAATTATATAAATTAATAATCACTTACGAATTGAGCTCCAAGTCCAAACGAAATTTGTGATTAAATGCTTTAATTAGCAGCGATGTACGATGGAAGTGTTTCTGTAAGTAGGCATAGCAATTTAAAACTATCAATTCTCTTTCTTTAATGCCCATATGCTCGATGGAAAATAAATAGTTATTTATGCAATAATTATAAACCACAAATTCAAAAAATTTAAAAGCATTGAAATCCCAACTCAACATTTAGAGATAATATTCAAAGGCAATTAACTGGCAATAGACATATGTACCTTTGTTCTTCCTCTGTTAAATCCACTGTCGTCGTGAGGTCGTGGTCTTTGTCCCGGCTGCAAAATATAAAATGTGAAGTGAGAACCATTTAGATATTATAAACATTTTAAATATTCAAAAGCCTGCATTGTTAGTTTTTTTTTTCAAAAAAATTACTCAATCACATCTTTGATATTTTACCCACATATCTTACCTTCGGGAGACTGACTTCTCGCGTGGAAATGCCCATCTTCTCGTGATGGCGCAGCTGTACTGGATATATAATCTGGTAATAATGGCCACCAATTCGACGGACAAGCTCTTGATTTTGCCTGTATTCCTTAAGTAAACGTTCCACCTCACCTAAAACAAAACACAATTATAAGTGTTAGGTCTTGTTAAACTGAAAGGGGAAATTAGTTCGAACAGGGTAAAATGTGTACTCGAAAACTTAATTGCAACTTGCAATATCCAGGGTTCTCTTGGAATCATTCAAGAGCCATTAAATTGATTTGTATACAAAGTATTTTATATGAGTAAATCTCGTAATTATCCTGAAAGGTATTGTTTGGCTTCAAACATTATTCAAGCAAATTGTATAACCGAAATCAAATTCGCTTATTATATTCTCCTTGCCTTCCATTAGTGTTTGTAATTGCAATTTGATTGTTCTCAGAAGTGGCCTACTCAGGGGTCTTAGCTTTAAGGATTAAATTTGAAAATTCAAAATTTAGTATCCCAAACAATGGGACTTGTATGTGAAAGGGATGGGCCACTACTACAAACATATGTTAATGAGCCAAACAATGAGGTGTTCATATGTGAATACTCACCAACAGGACTTTCTTCATTCCAAAATGAATCATCTAGTGTGTAATCTGCTTCTGCAAGAAGATAATGTTATTGCATTTAATTCTTAGAGGTTAGTCCACTTGTTAAATTTGCTATTATACAAATACAATAAATAAAGAGCGAGGTAAGAAACGATTATTTTGTCTACTATTTTGGTGATGTTTTTGGATTTGTAAAAATATTCAAAACATATTGTGGCTCACCGAAAGTAATGTTTTTGTAATGGTTTTAATTTTGCATATCCCAGACTTAAATATTTCCAGCTATACAAGTACAGGGTTAAAATGCCAGATTATTGGCTACGGACTTATTAACCCGCCCACGTATTTGCACAGAAAACCTTTTTAACTGTTCAACTTTTACTTCAGTGAAACACTCAAAATTCCATAATTTATGGCATTAGTGCTTTAACTGATTGATGCGCTCTTGCTTGTTTTATTGTTAATAAAAAGATAATGGATTAGTAGGGTTTCAGAATCCAAACGCTTTGCCGAATTTCGTATGCTACGGTAAAGCGTAGGAATTCTAAAACCCTACAATATCCAAGGTGCAAGCCGCATTTGTAACATTTTTTAGTAATCAATGTGATACCCTTTCTATAGCTTCCACACTCGATCAAGTTGCAATTAGCCTGGAATAAACTAAAGTAATGCTTTAGATACAACTTGATCACCCGTTTGGTGTTCAGAAAGACGACCTAAGTAACTGCCAAAAATGCAAATAATCGATTGATTGCAATTAAACAAAGTTAGGCTACAAAAAAATAGGTGGGGAGTGGGTGGAAATGAAAGATTGTCAGTGATGACGGCATGGATTATATACTACATACGATAAATATGACGTAACAGTCTACTAAATAGTCTACTAAATAGTCTACTAAATAGTCTACAAAATAGTCTACAAAATAGTCTACAAAATAGTCTACTCACCACCTGCAGATGTGACGAAGGTGCACAGCTGAGCAATGATGGGAATTAAATAGGCGATTTGTATCCACATGACGGCGGCTGCAATGTTGTGATCAAAAGTGAAGTTGTCGAATCCAGCCCCACTTCTAAGTCTTAGTTTTCTCTCCTACGTCCTTCCAGTAATAATTTATAGAAAACTGCCTTCATATGGTACTTAAAAATATCCGTTTGTTAGTCGTTAGTTGTTAGTTAACTTCCCTCCTGTAGTGTTTATCTGTGGCAGCCGCAGGCCTTGAATTGATTTGCAGTAATCCTTTTGCTAAACCATCGCATCAGCCGAACATTTATCCTCGGGCTTGCTGAGTTTCTCTGTTTCTCTGTTTCTCTGTTGCTATGTTGCAATGTTGCAACTCTGCTGTGTTGTTGCTGTTGTCAGTGGCAGTGGTTTGGCCTTCTTGACCGACTGGCGATATAACCGATTGGGTTGGCTACAGTGCGCCTGAGGCTAGGTTATTAATGGCTTTCAGACTCAGCTGGGATTGTGCATTCATCACACGAACTCACTTGACTCGACTCCACTCCGATCCACGCGACTCGACTCGACTCAAGGAAGCTCGGAAAACAAGCAAGGTAACAGGATAGTTATTTTAAATTCGAATCTAATATTCACACTTTGGAACGTGTGCCACAACGGCTATTGAAAACAACCGCAGCAGGATTAAAATGCATCAAAATCCGCCGTAAGTTCTGAGCATGCGATGTCCTTTGGTGCTGCAAGTAAAAGATGTGATGATATTAGAAGATAGTTTACAACGAAGGATCAAAATATCTAAGAGGTAAGCAATAATGCATTGCTTATTAGTTTCAAATTCTGGTTTACAAACTATTAACGGGCTAAGATTTCAAGGAACAGTGGTTGAGATATTCAAGATTTGCTAGAAATCACAGTAACTGTACCACGAAACAGATTCCTAAACAAGTAACTTATCAAATTTTATTAAAAATATTTTAATTAATTTTAACCCCAAAACACCCAATAAGGGGCAATTCAAAATGATTATCACCTCAAAATTTAAGCACGATTTGAACTAAAGACTGATTTCAGTTTAATCCTTATAAAAATAATTCAAAATTGTATTTTTATAAGACTAAATTAAGCTCAATTGGAAAACATATAGTTTTCAGACATTTTTTTTGAGTTTATATGTAGAACACATGGAAAAATAATCAATTTATGATCTTCTATTCTTTCAGTTCAGCGAACAACGCTTATTAAGAAAAGTTAACTCAAAGGGTTAGTAACTTTATTTTGATCACAGTTTCATTTCCATTTATATTTCATTATACTAATTATTATTTTTATTATACTAAGTTTTTTAAATAAAGATGTTTATAACAAATAGATTTCGCCATTCGTAGTTAAATCAACTTGAGCTTAAAAACTAAAAGGGCTTCAAAACACAATATGATAAATAAACTGATAAAAATTCCATTTTTTCAATTTTCTTTATTTAAATTTGTTGTCCGATTTTTAGAAAATTGTTTTGGATATTTAGGAGCTCGTATTTCACTCACGGAATCCTTAATTTAAGGACTTTGTTATCTCCTGGCTCGTTTTTAAGTCCAATCGAAGCATTAATGTATATTATTTCCATTTAAAACAAAGAGTATAAAAACAAAAAAAAAAATAAACAAAATAGGAAACCACTGCTTATTGCACATTTTTGAACATATTTGTTCTCGGATATTTTCCCAGCCTGATGCCTCACATTGGTATCATAATGGTATATAATGGAAAAATGTTGTCGCAAAAAGAGCTTACAACTTTGCATTTTCTAATTTCCATATCGGCGGGTGTGGATCGTATACAAATATCACTGAATTACCAGGAAGATTTTAAATATGCCAAGGCTGGTCGGCATCATTTTTCCAATCTGAGTTCCGGGTTTTTCACAATGGGGAAAATCTTTGGTTTTTTAATGCTGGTTTTGAAATAGAGTATATATGAAGTTTAGACTTTAGATTTTAAGCGAGATTCTCGAAGTATTTGCATAAAGCTTGCGTTAAATCTGTTTAGAGATGTGCATTAGCGAATTGCCCAACCGAAACTAATGGAAAGCCACTTGGGCACTAAGGTGAATGTGAATCTGAATCTGAATGTGAATGTGAATGTGAATGTGAATGTTGGGGACCGGACAGTGAAGAGCACCACCGAGGCCACAGCCGACAATTTTAATTTGCGCTAATTAGGCAAGGACAGACATTTAGCGGTGACAGAGAAATTGCAGAAGAAGATTCAATTAGCAGAAAAATCCTATTAAATAATTAATATTCATTACGCGGGAAGAAAGAGGAATGCGCGAATGCATCACCAAATCACAGCGTATAATTTCAATAATAAATTTGCAAGCGTGCATCAAAATTCGATCAATATGAACATCCGCTGTTTGTCTTTTGTTTTCTTCAAGTTTACCTCTTTTGAGTCGTTCAAATCTTTTGATCTTGAGAAATTCGATTTGTCTTCAACCACTTTTTAATTTATACCGGCCGCTTGGATCTGAAACCGAATTATTGCTTATTTAACCGTATGGTTAGATACAAATCGACGATGGAATTTAAGCAATCGTAAGCGCGGATGGATTAGCAGAGACTAATGCGCAGAACAGAACCCACTTTATACAGTCGAAGGGACCGAATGTTTGTTTACTTTCGCGGAATTCTCATGTTTGCTTCAACATGCGCAATTACAATGACTTTATTCGAATGATAACTTACAGTGCCAGCCCGAAAATTGGCCTATACTTAATCGTTTAGATGAAAAATATATGTAATTAATAAGATAAACCATTTCACTCACTCAGAGCTAAAAAAAAAAAGGGGGGCATTTGAAAAACAAAGATATAGTAGCAAGTATTTTTAATTAGTGACTTTTAAAAAAGACAAAAAATATCTTAGAAATGGTTAATGAAAATAAAAAGAAATTGAATGTATGCTTGTTTGAAATATGTTCAATTTTGACCGTAGGTTTATACTTAAAAAATGCGTATTTTTTGGTCTTTTTAAGAGTTTTTTTACAAATGAAAACAAACTTACATACATACATTCTTAATCAGTATTAACAAAACAAATAATAAATATTATTTTAATGCGGCTAATCAACAGGTTTCCCTATTAATAAGTTTTAAGTTTAGACAGTTTTTCAATTTCACGAGTATCCCAATAATCTCTTCCAACATAATTTTTTTCGTGAATGATTTAAATACTGGTCAGGGGTGTAAATCTGACATCTCAGATATAGGTCGGAATAAATAATAATAAGCAAATAATGGTTCCCAAAGTCGAACCAAAAGTAGAGGGATACTTGAACAAAGAATATTCGAGCTAGAACAAAACAAAATAAAGCAATCAAATTATATTGAAAGAGAAATAATGTACGTTCTATCGAGTAATCACACAAAAATAAGCTCTACAACTTTTGTTTTAATTCGCTAAGAGCTGTTTTTTACCGAGGACTTTAATTGACAGTTACTTTATTTTTAATCTGGTTAAATAATACAAAACAACAATTATATTACACTTTATCATTCATCTATAAACAATAGCAGTTTTGTCACAAAAACTTATGAAATGATATGCCAATCGCAGGGATTAGTTGAGTTTCTATGATTTTATTTCCATAAAAGTCTGTTTAAATAACCTCTCAAATCTTTTGATTTGGTTGACGTTTTGCCGGAAACTCATTCATATGTATCGCAGCCTTTAAATTACAGATACCGAGATACAAAAAATCGGTTAATAAGCCAGCTAGTGTTACTCCCAGATATTTTTCTAGGTGTTGAGGGCGTCCACGGCACAAACCTTGGGCAGACACCAGACAGCGACGGCTGTCGGGAAAATAAATAAATAAAGGGATGAAAGTTAAGAACGCGAGAGCAGCTCTCTCGTGATTGCGCAGCCTCCGACTAGACAAGTCGTCAAAGATGGAAAAATGCACATGTGTATAAATCTATTAGCCAATAAAATTACTAATGTCTTCACGATGCTGTGAAAAGTAGACACATTTGTCTAGTGACGCAAAAACCCATATGCACATGCAGTCAAACTGAGTATCAAAAACTCATTACATTTCATTTAAGCAAAAAACGGTTTTTAAATTTTTCAAACTCATTATTATTGCTAAACGTTCTTATTGTTAAACATGTTTCCCTTTCCGATGATTTTGTCAAGTTTTACGATTACTTTTATTAATGTTCAATGGGGAGGTACCATTGAACATTAGGAAACGTTGAAAAACGTAAACGTACACAGAAAAAAAATCAAGATTTGCTTTTAGACTGTAAAGGTTATTTAATCTTTCACTTGATTTCTTAGTTCTCATTTTCAAAATTAAAACCGAATTTTTCTCATAAAATTTTTATTGTCGAAACAATAAAATTGTAGTCCTTTTATTAAGTCCGCAACAAGTGAGCCCCGTATTGTTTTTATCAAGTCGTATGTCATAATTTCTTAATAAGAGCTGGTTGTAAACGATGTAAGTCTGTGAGGCTGACAGGCAAGAAATTGTGACACTACTGATGCAGCTGAATCACTTTCGAACCCATTTGGCAAACTCAACGCCAACATTAGACACAAATAACTATTTTTGTATTAAAATAAGAAATAATGTTTTAGGATTAATTAAGATTATAAGATCTTTTTGCCAGCGTTCTGAATGGTCTCAATGTAAGTAGGTTTAGGGTTCGAAGATGAAATCCGATTTTCGATTTAAGATAGTATCGGTTTTAAATGAAGCCTAAAGTCAAAAAGTTTTTCTGGAAGAACGTGGATTCAGGGAACGAGTTTAGAAAAAGTATAAAGTATAAGTATCTATATGGCACATATGTTTTTTTTACCGTGTAAAAGCTCAGTTTTTAATAGCTTCTAGAAAACTGACTATAAATTATTGTTTTATGATATTTTGCAATTTTATTTTAATCGGCTGACCCTATTCTTCAGCAGCTAATCGAAATAAAGTTTTAAATATGTTGAATAATGTTTTGGGGCTATTTAACTTTATAAAATTCTTAATATACACTATTGAGTGGCCTGGTAATTTATATTTTTGACCTGTTTAAAATTATGTAAGTTGTCTATCTGATAAAGATAATAAAAGCAGAAAACCACTATAAACCATCGAATTGCTGCAACTACTTTTAATATAAAAAAAAACTAACACACTTTTTATACCCTTGCAGAGGGTATTATATTTTTGGTCAGGTGTTTTGTAACGCCAGGAGACATTTCCGAGCTCATAAAGTATATATAATCTTGAGCAGCAACACAAAAGAGTCTGTCTGTTTCTGACTCGAAAAAGTACGTATTAAAAAATGATAACGTCGTTGTTTTTCAACATAAACGCATATACTCCACAATATTGTATTTACCATTTTAAAGGTACGGTTCTTATTTATAAAAAATCGGTCGCCTAAATTATATGGTCATAGGAAAAATTCAGCGGCTAACGTTATTGACAGCAAGTCTGTATAAGTACTACATTACAACATATCGTTTAAACACAATTTATATACTTTTTTAAAAAAGTGGGGGGGGGGGGGTTTGGGTGTTGTATATTTGCCCCCACTTCTAAGAAAGAGTGACAGAGAGCACGATCTGACAGCAGGAACTGTCAGCTGTTCCAGATCGCCGAGTAATTGGGCGTTGCCACTTAAAGTTGAGTCTCCTTGGATTTAAAGACAAAATTAATTAAAAAATTGGGTTTTCCTTTTGTGTCCTTTTTTATCTACAAATAAATGCTATGGACCATAAGAATTATTTATTTTCTTCCGTTTAACCATCCGTTGAGAACACTTTAGTCTTGAATATAAAGATTCATTTTTTCCTTCCGTTTTACCATCACTTCAAACACTTAAATCTTGAGAACGTATAAAAGTGAGCTTTCACATAGGATTGTTGTATCTGATTTTATTTCCATGCGAGTTTTATGTAAAAGCAACAAATTGTTACAAAGGGGATTTTGGGGGCGGCATTTTTTCGAGCAAGTCTCTGATGGCTGGAAATTGTTGATATTTTTCACTGTGCAGAGGAGCTTGGGGTAGGTGGTAGGTGGTAGGTGGGTCAATGGCAACGCATGCCCAGGACCCAGATATCCAGAGTAATTCTGGATAAATGTGCCCCACCGGGACACAAAAACAAAAAAAAAAAACACGTTCTTTAAGAAAGCGTGACACACTTAACTTCCACCGAGAATTAGTAAATTGTAATCCCAAAAATCGTTTTTGGAACTCCTTTCTCTGCGTGCCAATGCACTAGACAGGGATGGATACAGTGAGAGAGATGGGGTGGGCGATGGAGAGAGCGAGGGAGACAGAGATAGTGAGAGAGGAATGCTGAATATGCATTGGGAATACAAAGTGTGGGATAGCATAACAGCATTTCTGTATCGCTATTATTCATTGGTCATGCGCAGTCAGCCGCGCCTCATTTCCGTTCAAGAGTCGAGCTGGGACACTATATATTCGCAATAATAGTATGCTGGGCATGTGGTATGTTTTCACAAAAGTATACATTTTCCACACACCCGCCGCCACACTAACTATCCGTGTCCATCTGCCCTGTTAGCACCTTAGGTTTTTGGGAGCACTTTGGCCTTTCCATTATTTTCTCGTGTATACGCGTCTATATGTATGACTATTTGTACATACAAGTATAGTAGTACACATGTACGTAATTGCACAAAAATCATTATGCCTTATCTGCGCTCGACTTACCTACGGAATTTCAGAAAATTCACTCGAATCCATTGAAACAGTCGTTTAACTAGTTATTTATTTGTTATCCTTGCGTATTAATTTCCGTTTAATTTTACATTGTACTGCTTTATGAACACACTCAGTTTATTTTTTTTGGCCAAACAGTAAAAAAAATATGCAAAAAAATGTCATAAAATATGTATTTTATGATCTTTTCTCCTTACGCTTTCGCTTTCAGCATATATATATATATATATATATATATATGTATATATTTATTCTATATTTATTTTTCCCATATTTGATTAAAATGAGCTGGTTTTGTAGCCGATTTAGCGTTGGGTTGCGCTGCTACATATATCAATCATTTGATTCTGAGCAATTTGTTTTGTTGGATTTGGATTTTCACATTTTGGCCAACCCGTTCGGCGTTTTCTCATTAAATGTTCACGGTGTGTGCTAGGTAAATTTGATGATGATGTTTTACTGCTGCCCAGCCAATAATTGTGTTTTATTTCTCAACAATGGTGATGGATCTCTTTGGGGCGCCGACTCCGGGGTTATTTCGATAATTCCTCTATTAATTATGGCTCCACTGGCTCGAACTCGGCTATTCTTGCATCTTGCACTCTTTTCTGTTAAACTATCACCGTGTCTCTGCCTCGCTACCGCTTTCCGCTATTGCAAACAACGTTCTAAAGCTCTCGAACACGTCTGCAGGATTTGGGCAGGCCAGGCGAAAAACGATTGCCAGAGCTCGACGCAGCCGCACAACCGGAGAACTGGGAATCCCAATCCCGGTCATCCTCGTAGTCGTCCTCGTCCTCGTCCTCGTCCTCGTCATCGTTCTCGTCATCGTCATCGTCATCTCGGCCCTGTCATCGCAGCATCTCGGTCTGCTCTCTCTCTCTCGGGTGCTCAGATTCCGACGTAGCACACAGTTTCCTTTCCCATACGATTCCGAAATCCGAATCGGAATCCGAATCCGAATCCGAATGTGATTCCAATTCGATTGCTGGCTCTCTCGAAGGATTCGCACTCCGGGTACGTCTGTTTATGCCCGCTGCTCGTGGGCCAAGAGGGTATTTCGCATTCGTGCCGAAGTACGCGACCAGCCAACTGACCCTATAAAGTATATACACATGTGTACACTCAGCATCACTCATGGCTGTCTGTCGAGAACAGAATTGGACTAGACACGCAGTGCAAGTTTGTTTCTAAGTTTTAACCGAATAAGTTTGCATTCGAAATATCTGCAAATTTGAGAAGCACGCTGATTTCGATGCACAAAACAATGTAGATTGATGATAAATTTTTTGGTTTAAACACAAAAGGGTTAACTGTTGTTTAAAGGTAACGCTTAAAAGTCTTATTTCCGAAAAAATCAATGCAACCTCTAATGAACATAAGCTTAAGCATCGTATAATGGTTCTAAGAGATGCGGTGTCCAATAGTCGGGGCACCCAACTACAGCATTCTGTTTTTATTTTGATTGTTTGTATCAAACCCAAAAATTTTCACCAACACCATTGTGACTTTTGAAAGCTATATCATTAGAAATACGAGTTTCCGAAAATATATCTATCGAGGTATTCCTTTTCCTGATGAATCAGCTGTTTGCCAGATGTTACACTCAAATACACATTTCGGAAAATTCGTCGATTTGATTACAGTAAACAAAGAGTAACTGGGTCAATGCAACTGAACAGTTAAATATTTGAAATAACTTAAAAGCTTACAACATTTTGAAAAAAAAAATTTCTGCTTTTTTGTATTGTAGAAGAGGATAGTGTGGTAAGAATGAAAAATGAAAGAAAAATGTATATATATATACAATATAAATATTGTGATTGTAAATCCAATTTTCTTGGGTATAACTTTCCCAAATATTTCGAAGCTTGTACATCTTATGTAAATGTTGACAAATGGTTTCAATAAAGTTTTCACAAATTGGTTCGTTTGTGGGATACCAGTCTTTGGCCAAGTTAAAAAATATGTTTGCTTTTGGTTTTGGGACTTTTTCAATTATTACCAAATTTTTTACAAAAATATATTTTATATTAATAGTTCCTTTACTAAAAGAATCCTTGCAACACAGGAAACTTTTTTTTTTAATTTAACTATCTAGTTCTGAAATAAATAAGATATACGCGTTTGAAAGAAATTTGTCTTAAAAACAGAATGAAATCACAAAAAAATCGTTTGACAATTTAAAAATGAAAAAGACATTTATTAGTATAGAACCAAAGGCAATAAAAAACCCCTAAGATTCAGCGAAGAAGGACCTTGAGCTAACCAAACTCTTTGTTGGAAAATGCGTTTGATGAAAATTGTACATTAAACGTTTAATAATGTGGTGCTAGCGGTTTGGGTGGTGAATGTGGGTCCGGTATGCAAGCCCATTCTAAAATATTTACTGTGTAATTAGTGGAAATTATTGAAAGGGGTAATTTTGGCTCACAACAAATTCTCTTTTAAGGTTCGATATCATTTGCCTTTTGACCAACTATAAAAGTGTTGCAAGACATGGGAAAACAAGTTACTCGATGGTCAGAAAGACATGTTTTACTCTCATCAATACAAATCACTTCGATTTCCCATTCAGTGTGTTTGGCTCAAACTGAATGGCTCGTGGCCTTTATCGCCAACGTCAACAGAAAAGAGAAGCGAACCTTTTTTTGGCAAATCATTTTTTGCCACCGCTTATACAATATGGGCGTGGTACGTTATAGCTTCCGTTGGCATAACAATCAGTTATCAAACCGCTTTTCTGATTAAAAACCTATCGGATATTATAATTACCACGGAAAACTGCTGTACCACATTCATGGGGGTTCTGAACTTTGTCAGACTTATTCATTTACGCCTCAATCAACAGAAGTTTCGAGAACTGATTAAACATTTCTACTACGAAGTTTGGATACCAGAGTAAGACTTAAAATAATATCGAAATAATTGTGTAATTTTGTGAAATTCAATTTAAAAGAAATTAATAATCATATAATATTTAACCAGAAAAAACAATTGGTCCATTGGTGCTAAAGTGCATCACTCATACGTACTGTTGTCTCTAAATAAATATTTTATTTTCAGTTTGTTTTAATTTCTACCATACTTTTTTTTTCTCTATATTTTGGCTCTTATTTGGATAAGATTAATAAGTTAACAGGGTTAAAAATAGGGGAAATATTTCGATGTAAAAAAGCTATCTGGCAACATATCGTATGCGTAATTTTTTTTTTTTATTTAAAATGTTTTTTTTTTGATTAGTAGAAATGGTATGGGATGAAGTCGACTTACCATGTTTCTCTATACGTCTTTTATCTTCAACAGCAGTTCGAAGAACAATGTTGCTGCTGAGTGTCGTAAGCGGATGATCACATTTAGCATCATGACTGCTTTGCTATCGTGCCTTATTATCATGTACTGCGTCATGCCATTGGTTGAAATAGTTTTTGGCCCAGAACTAGACCCACAGGACAGGCCATTCCCCTACAAAATGGTGTTTCCATACAATGCCAACAAAAGCTGGATCAGCTATGTGCTCACCTACATATTTACATCGTATGCAGGCATTTGTGTGGTGACCACCTTGTTCGCAGAAGATTCCCTTTTCGGGTTCTTCATAACCTACACTTGTGGCCAATTTCAATTGCTTCACGAACGAATCGACAAGTTATTTACGGAACACAACGAAAACGACGAACAAATGCAACTAGAGCGCCTCAAAGGAATTGTACAAAAACAGAACAATATTATAAGGTTGGTATTTGTCAATATAAACACGGGCAAAAATCAACTTATCAGCTTCAAAAACTTTTCCCTTCTATAATACTTAATCTTGTTTCGCTATTAAACTGCGGAAAGATCAAATTATTTTACCTTTCTCTAGTATCTTGAAAAGGGAACAGCTGTATCTTTGTGGGTATTAAAACCCTTAAGGGAAAAAAGAACCTTAAAGGGAAATTCTTAAAACATGCAAAGTAATAGCCGAATGTTGGAATCATACCTTCTTAAATTCGTTATAAGATTTTCAATCAAGTTGCATCCACGCTAATTTTATGGAAAAAAAATGTAAAAAAAAACGATATCGGATGATGCGGATCAAGAATATATATACAACATTTTGAAAAATAACCCATTTGATATTCTTATTAGATTCGCAAATCGCTTGGAGGACTTTTTCAATCCAATTCTATTGGTCAATCTTCTGATTTCATCAGTTCTTATTTGCATGGTTGGCTTTCAAATAATAACTGTAAGTATACGTAATAAAATGAGTGCTTTTGGAAGTATAAAACATGATATAATATTATTTAAATATGTTTGACAAGTTTCCTTTTATTCTGAGTCAGAAAAAAAGTGTGTTCATAGGGGACTAAATAAAGATCATAATTAAGTTTAACCCCATTTGAATTTCTTTTATTTCTTCATATTGACAACCAGGGTAAAAATATGTTTATTGGGGATTATGTAAAGTTCATAATTTATATATCCTCGGCCATTTCACAATTGTACGTACTCTGCGAGAATGGAGACGCATTAATAAAGCAGGTAAGACCAGTAATTGAATTGCTCTTAACGCATGGCTTAAATATATTTGCAATACACAGTCCACTTTGACAGCGCAAATTCTATATAGTTGCCAATGGGAAGTCCCTGCTCGAATCCAGCCCCACTCGCGTAAATCGACAGGCAAGGATAATATCCGAAATCATCTATGGTTCATGATACTCTGCAGCCAACAACCCGTAAGGATAACGGCTTTTAAGTTCTCAACCTTGTCTTTACAAAGTTTTACGGCGGTACGTATGGTCTTAAATATAGCCAATAAACAGTGAATCATTTTGTTCCAGATATTAAGTACATCAATGAGCTATTTCACATTATTGCGGTCAGTTTACATCGATGACGAAAAGAAACACGGCTAAATGTTTTGTTAAATAAGTATCGATGATAAATAAATATATGTCAGTTAATACAGTTCAATACTGCTGGATGAATGCGACTTTCACAAATAACACGAGACACATACATATATTAATCCCAATTGCTGTTTACATTAATTAAAGAAGATGAGATTGTGCTAAGTTACGAATTTAGTAATTTTTATTTTATTAAAATTTGCTTAGCGTACAATAACGCTTTAGTGAAGTATTTTGTCCAAAATTAACATGCAATAAATTCGATAATTTTTGGGTATAAAGAAAATTCTTATAATCTTGTATTTCCAATCCTGAAATAAAAAAACGTATTATTATATATAATATAATTCATATAATTTTACCTTTTCTAAACTGGGTGGTGAAATATTTTCTTATGCTTTTTTTATAATACTGAAATGAAGCATAGCACTAAGAGTACAAATATTCATATATCTAATATATGTATTGAGGATCTTACAAAAGTGGCCTTTCAAATTGTTCACGCTGTTTTTCATTTAGTTTACCCCATTTGCGAGCTGCCATTTCTAACAATTCCTCGAAAGGTAAACGTTTGTTTAGTCTGCTAAATTTGCGTAGAAAGTGGATATAGCCACAAGCAGTGCCCGAATGACTTGCGTCATCGTTATTCCACTTCAGAGAACTTTTTGGCTTCGGCTTAGACCTTTTGGAGCGCAATAGGGCCCTCTCAGACGCCCTCTGTCGGGAATATGGAGAACCTATGCACATCTGGGAATCTTCTCCAATCTGCTCGCATTCAGACGACTGGGAAGTGCTTGCTTCGGGAAACACAGGATCGATCTAATATGAAATAAATATGTTAACAACATGTAACACCAGACATCTCGGGAACACTTGTTTGGTTTGGTTTAGTTCAATACTTACCACGTCGGCGTAACATTCCTGTTCACTGGGTGTTAGCCGAGCCCATTTCCTACTTGCAAAACGCAACAATTCCCTAACGGAAATAGGTAACCCGTGGCACTGCTCCTTGTATGCGTTGAAAAAGTTGAGGAATGTACTAGAACTTGATTGCTCTTCCTCCATTGTATAGTTTTGGACAAACGTAGAATTTTTGTTTCGAGTGTTAGCTGCCTTAAAAACTGATTGTGACTGAGAAATCCTATCGCCCCGTATGCTAAGTAGAGCTGAAGGCTTTCTCCACGCATACTATGTAGATCAGAACTTGAGCTATTGTGTTTCTAAGGGTCGATTTCTCGTCCCCCTTTCAAAAATTATTTAGTCGAATGTTGGAGTGGCATACCTCATTGAATTCGATATTACATTTCCAATAAAGTGGCATTCATAGATAAAAAATTATATTTTTCGAAAAATATCATGTCGGTACCCCTTATGAAAAATATTTTGGCCAAAATCCGGGAAAAATTAGCTTCGATTTTTCAATCAAAACCTTGGGAAATAGTGGTCGAATGTTGTCGTATCTCATGGAATTCGTTATTAAATGTCCAATAAAGTGGCATTCACAGATAAAAAATTAATCAAAAAACATCATTAGGGTAATCCTTATGAAAAATATTTTGGCCAAAAACCAGGAAAAATCGGATCCCCTTTTTTGATTCTTTCATTTAAATAAAAAACAAAATAATTTTTTTACCCGATTTGTCGACATGGACGGAGTTATGGTCACCGAAAAGCAGTATAACCAAAGTCTGAAAAAAACTGCCCAATAAAAATATCAAATTTAAAACTAGACACTTCCTTCTTCCTTTACTATACTATTGAATTAAATAATAATTTAGATTCTTAATTGAAAAGTGGAACCATCAAGGTAAGTATTCGCCTTTTGGGGAATATTATCCTCATATTGAGGCAGAAAAGGTGTTTCCTTATTTGATTTTGGATTTAATGATATTAAAGCCATTTATAACCCAAAAAGGCTTTATTATGTTAGACAAAAACAACAAGAAATCCAAAAATTCAAATCAACCAGGAATCGATATTTTAGGTCCTTAGCTGTACAAACCAGTCATTCTTTTAACTTTTAGTAGTATTTTGGCAAACTTAGAAAGTATAGCCCCTAAACAAGTGTTTTTTTTTGTCAAAATTCAGAGAAAATCAAATCAAATTTAATTTTTTGAATAATTATCCTGGGTGATAGTGGTCGAATGTTGGAATGGAATTGAATTTCTTTTTAAATTAAGGCAGGTAAAAACCAGTAATTGAATTGCTTTTAACCCAAGGATTAAATATATTTGCAATACACAGTTCACTTACAGATTACATCAATGACGAGAAGAAACACGGCTAAATGTTTTGTTAAATGAGTATCAATGATAAATAAATATATGTCAGTTAATACAGTTCAATACTGCTGGATAAAATGCGACTTTCACAAATAACACAAGACACATATATTAATCCCAATTGCTGTTTTTACCAATACTATTTAACATTAATTAAAGAAGATTGGATTGTGCTAAGTTACGAATTTAGTAATTTTTATTAAAATTTGCTTAGCGTAAAATAACGTTTTAGCGAAATATTTCGTCCAAAAACATGGTAATTCAAATTAACATTCCATTTTTGAGTATAAAGAAAATGCTTATAATCTTGTCTTTACAATCCTGAAATAAAAAAAGCATTATTTTATATAATAAATTTCTTATAATTATAGATAATTTTACCTTTTCTAAACTGGGCTGTGAAATATTTTCTTATGCTTTCTTTATAATACTGAAATTCATATATATATGTATGTATTGAGGATCTTACAAAAGTGGCCTTTCAAATTGTTGGCGCTGTTTTTCATTTAGTTCACCCCATTTGCGAGCTGCCATTTCTATCAATTCCTCGAAAGGTAAACGTTTGTTTAGTCTGCTAAATTTGCGTAGAAAGTGGATATAGCCACAAGCAGTGCCCGAATGACTTGCGTCATCGTTATTCCACTTCAGAGAACTTTTTGGCTTCGGCTTAGACCTTTTGGAGCGCAATAGGGCCCTCTCAGACGCCCTCTGTCGGGAATATGGAGAACCTATGCACATCTGGGAATCTTCTCCAATCTGCTCGTATTCAGATGACTGGGAACTGCTTGCTTCGGGAAACACAGGATCGATCTAATATGAAACAAATATGTTAACAACATGTAACACCAGCTTAAAGAGTTGGACTCGTCGAGATTAGATATATTATATGCCAGACATCTCGGGAACACTTGTTTGGTTTGGTTTAGTGCAATACTTACCACGTCGGCGTAACATTCCTGTTCACTGGGTGTTAGCCGAGCCCATTTCCTACTTGCAAAACGCAACAATTCCCTAACGGAAATAGGTAACCCGTGGCACTGCTCCTTGTATGCGTTGAAAAAGTTGAGGAATGGACTAGAACTTGATTGCTCTTCCTCCATTGTATAGTTTTGGACAAACGTAGAATTTTTGTTTCGAGTGTTAGCTGCCCCAAAAACTGATTGTGACTGAGAAATCCTATCGCCTCGTATGCTAAGTAGAGTTGAAGGCTATCTCCACGCATACTATGTAGATCAGAATTTGAGTTATTGTGTTTCTAATGGTCGGTTTACCGTTCCACTGTCAATAATTCTCGGTCAGACAAAATGCCTGATAGAATAACTTAGATCAAAAATATTCAATCAAAGCAACACTTTGCTTGAGCTTAAGTAAACCCAAAAGAATATAATTTCCCAATTCACGTTTTTATCACAGTTACAATTTCCAAGCTAATACTGTATATACTGGCCTAATTAAATTATTATGGTAATTAGAATGCTTTCCTGTAACTCACCGTTTTCTCTAAAAAAACTAATCCAAAGACAAGAAATGATTTTCTTATTTTTAATTAATTAATTTACCAGACAAACAAAAGATCACAAATAGTAACTATGAGTATTTTTAATTAAAATATGCACTACCCCATGCTTTATTTAAATATCATTTTTGCCGCGAGCGCAACTTCCGCCAGTAGCAGTAGATGTAGAGTTGATAGTGGATGCACTAGCACTGGATGCACAAATCCCAGTTACTGACCCAGCACCTGCCTCGCCGAGACCGGCCACCGAAGTTGGCCCCGACAGCCCATGCTGGACGCCCATGCCCACCAGGAAGTCATGCTCGTTCTTCGCCTGCCGGAGCCAGTTGCGCAGGTCCCGGGTGCGCTCCACCAAGCAGGTGGTGTAGTTCACGGCACGCGGACTCTGCGACACAATGGTGTTGGCCGTTAGGATGGCCGCGCCCATGGAGCTCTGCATCCGGCCGGCGGCCAGCTGGCGATATGTCTCCAAACGGTCCGCCAGAGTGGGTATCGAGTGGGGCATGTGCACCGCCCCACCACTGCCACTGCCACCAACACCTACACCCTCAATATCATCGGCCAGGGAAAAGTGCGTTGGTGTCGAACTGCTGGTCTGGAGCTGCCCTCCAGCGGAATGCTGATGCTTGAGCACATGCGACCAGCCCAGATCGCGTGGCGATAATATTGGAATGGCCGTGGCCGATTGCTCATGCTGCTTCTGGCCAAAGATATCCAGGATTTCCCGGATCTCTGCATTGAGAATTTCCAGATTCTCAATGCACTCGTTCGACTCCTGTTGATAGTACTCCTTTTTCTTGTGGAAATCGGCGGCACTGGCCAGTTCGGTGCTGCTGAAGCCGGAACTGGAGTGCGAGGATAGGTCGCTGAGCGTGGCCGCATCGTCCATGGCACCCAGGTCCAGGATGGACTTCTCCTTTTCGTAGATGCGCAGCAGGCTCTGCTCCAGATGCCTCAGCCGTATTATCTTCTCGCCCAGCAGGGAGCGGGTGCGGTGCAGGTTCACCTCCATCTCGGTCAGTTCCTTCTCCTCCTGGATGAGCTGGTCGATCGAGTGTTTCGGCGGTGACAGGGCGCTGGTCTTGCGTTGCTGGCCAATCTCCCGCTGCCTCAGCCTGAAATTAGTTCGCTGTGTCCGCAACGACTCCTTGGCCCGACGCACTGAATCCCGCTCAAGATGGATTCGATGCTTGAAAAATTCCAGCTCCGAGCCCACGCCATTCGGTTTGATGGAGATATCCGTGAATGGGTATCTCAGATGATAGGGGGCATCCAGCGTGTTCTCGGGAAACTGATCCTCCAGAGCCTCCAGCTTTTGCAGCTGATGACGCAAGTTCTCCACGGGAGTGCACGGTCGCTCCCCTTTGTAGCCGGTGTCCGAATTTAGACGCGAGGTCGATGCCGACTTGGTGCGGGAGAAGACGATCCTGCCAATTCCCGTTCCCGTTTCCTTCACCTGGTTACTGTTGTTATTCTTCTCGAGACTTCCGGACTGCAGTGCCACAGCGCCACCAAGTGGCTCCCTGGACAAGTTCCCATTGTCGCTCCTCGCTGATAGTGCGCCACTGGCAGACTTGAGAAATTTTCCATAGCGACCGTTGTTGTACGTATTCGATAATGTCGTATCGGATTGACTTATGGATGTGTTATCATCCTGAAGCTGTAACTGCCTAATACACGACGAGTTGTACGACTTGGATAGTTGACCTTTGTGCGGAACGGGTGGTTTCACTACCGCCTCACCGGCGATTGCCTGATCCGAGAAGCTGAGTGAGCGGTTGTCGCTATTACCGGAATGAGTGGGGGGCTTGTAGTAGATGGAACGCTCCATCTCCGTGTTCGACTTGGTGCTATTATTGGTGTGGGTGTGCTGGGGAACGAGCTGCGCCTCCCGTCGCCGATTGCGTCGCTCCAGTGACAGCTTAACGTCAGTCTTGAGTCGGACATACTTCTCCTTGAGGCACCGATACTTGTCCTCGAGGAGACGCTTCTCGCAACGCACCTTCTCGTATAGTCTTTCCTCGCCCTTCTCCCGAAACCGCTGTTTTTCCAAGTCCAACTCACGGGCGAACTTGTCGCGGAGTTGGGCAAGTCGAGCTGCCTGCTCTCGCCGGATAATTTCCTCCTCGTTGTGTAGTTCTCGTTCGAGCTCACGAAGAATCTCATCATGATTGCTCTGCAGGCTGTCAATCCGATTCTTGTGTTCGCTCACCACGAGACTTCGCTTGTTTTGCAACTGACGCTCCAGCTGAACGCGATACTTTTCTATTTGGAGCTCGAAAGCTTCCTCTAATTTGTGCTGGTGAGATGTGAGACGTAGATCGTATTCGTGTCTGAATCTCTTTAGTTTCGCCTCGTGATCCCGCCTTATTGCTTCAAAGTCCTGTTGCAGCTGGGCCTCGCTAAATTTACTATCAGAATTACCGGATATCGATTTTTCGGGAGCTGCCTGCGCGGATTTGAGCTGTAGCTGCTCTAGCTCATAGCTGTGCTTTCGACCCAATTCCTCCAGGTCAAAGGCATTGTTTCCTGCCAGCAGGGACGAGTCCTGTTCAGACTTGTTTATAATAAAGCTGCGCACAGAACTGCCCTTTGAATCGGAGTCTGTGTCATCGTAAAACAGTTTGGGTGCTTCACATTCGTTTGTCTTATCAGTTGGCTCTTCTGGCGGTGACTGCTGTCCACCGGAGACAGTAATTGATTTGTTTGAGTCCAATAGGAAGGGATTCAAATTGTATACTCCACCTTTCTCATTCCAAAGAAGATAATCATCTTCTACCTGGTCAACCGCCTCTTCTTTACCATCAAGATTGTCTTCAATTACCACTTGAACATCCTCGTCGTCATCTTCTGAGTTCTCTTGATGCTTACAAGTTTGAGTCTTCTTTGTAGATAAGGTATCCTCGGGTGATTTTTTCATTATCTCTCCCTGATCAAGATTAAAACGGACACTCTTTTTATCCTCGACTTCCAACGTTGGCTCAAGCCGATCCAATCTTCGGTTTATATCGGTTATACTGGAGTCGCGAAGAATGCCCTTAACACCCGATGGTGAGGTATATCCATCTCCCTCAAACTGCCGATGTGCCTTCTGAAACATTGATATAGTACTCGACACTTTACCAACTCCTTTGCGCTGCTCTGCTAACGATTTATCTTTTTCCTCAGAGTTCTCAGGTTTTCCGTTCAATTGTGTATTGGTTTGAGGTTGCTTACTTGCGATTTGGAGCTTGGTCCTGGTTTCATCACAACCAAGCTGATAAAAGCGTCCAAACTCCTTAGAACCAGAATCCAAAAATCGACTTTTACCTGCGCTTAACACACTCGGCCCCAAAAAGCTAGTTTTGTTAGCGATCGACCATTTTCTAGTTAATGTGTTAAGAGGCAATGGGCCGGGCGAGGGAATTTCATCGAAGCCCTGCATACTACGTATACCAGAATCCAACTGCGATAGATCATCGGAGTTGTCAACGAATTGCATATTTTCGCTGACTGCAGCTGAATCCCATACCTTTAGACGAGCCTGATTTACCAAATCGCGATATATGGCGTCAAGGGGATGATCCCACTGCGATTCTTTGGTACGAGTATTGTGATAGTAATGACCATTTTTTTCCTCAGAGTAGCTGTTAAGCAATTAAAAGAAAAATAGTATCATGCTAATATATTATTATTTCAATAAACATGTTTACCATATTTTCCAATCCAATGGCAATGCGGCCATCAATCCTTCCTTGGCGAGATAAAGCAAATGTTGTTCCCGATGAGGTTCGATTCCAATCAGGGAGGCATACTCATTAATTTCTGGAAAAAAATTGAACGTAACTAAACATTTTACGACAGCAGGCCTTTAAAACCAAATAGACGGAACAAGCCTGAAAATGAAGTTAATGTAAAAGAAATTGCCCGAAATAGTGTTGGTCGTGACAAGAAAAAATGAAAAACCAGCCTTTATTAACAGCATTGAATGTTTTTTTCAGTTTGCGAGGCTGTAATTCCCAACCAGTTCTACATGGAAATAACATGTGTTACAATTGCTGAAAAAGTCACTGATGCAATTATACATTCCACACCGTTCCTTGTTTTTGGAAATATTTTTAAATTGTTTAAATTTAATTATAAATTTCAACTGACACTTAAACCTATTTAAAATGTACTAAAAAAATACAATTTTTTTAACAGACTCTTGTAAAAGTAACAGATTTTTAACGCAGTTAGTAAATTTTAATTTTGATTTTAACAATCGCAAAATCAGTTTAAAAAAGGACATTAAAAAAAATTTGATCCAGATATAAAAAAAGGACACAGTTGTCCATAATCTTATTAGAGATTTCTGGCAACTTATATGATAACATATGTAAATGTCTAATAAGTTTCATATTGCCATTTTTATTTTTTTTACATTTTGTTCTGTATGGGATAAGGTTTTTCACCGACAGTTTTCTTTAAATAAGGTTTAGAGAACAAGCTCAAATCATCAGCGCACTATTGAATTGGGTGCGTTTAGCACTTAAACCAGGGTTTATAAAACCAAAGGTGATTAACAAAACCGTGTATTATAGAGTTTTTGCATGAACGTATGTACATACTTAAGTACATATGTCTATTCATACATACATATGTATATTGAATGGCCTTTTTTGCGGTAGAGACTTCTGATTAATTACGTTTAAATACATATATGAAATAATTATTTTAGGAAACTCGATATTGTAAGTGCCCATGTTACTAACAACTGAGAATGGGCTGCAGTTATTAAAGAAAACTCACCCTCTGATGAAGGAAAACAGGCATCGTCAAATACTTCCTCGCAAATAACGGATGTTCCCTGAGATGAGTGGCTTGAAGGCTTTGTTGTTGAGATTGCTGTGATTATTTCATTTGTTGCTGTTTCCGAGGAAATCCTCTTGCACGTACTGGTGGTTGTCATTATCGGGAACTTTCCTTTTAATTCACTAACCGTCGCAATTAGTTTATGCCGCCTGTAGTTTTTTAAGTTATCCGTATTCGAAATGTCGCTCAATATATTTACATATATTATTATATTTTTCCCATTTGGCAATCATAATTTTCCATTTTATTCCTTAGGAAATGCTGCCGACAGCAGAGTAAACGACAGAATATTTGGATGCAGTTTGACCTAAAAATGAAAATATAAATACCTACTGAGTCATCGTTATGCATGTGTGTGTGCCTGTATGTGTTCATGACGGAGCATGCTCGGAAGGAGTACCGTTGCTGGCCAATTATCTGGTTGGCAACAGGATATTGCACCGCGCTTACATGTCTGCGCAGCCCGACGACAACGGGTTCTCTTTCAACCACTAAAATAACCGAACAGAAACTCAGTTAAAAATTGTTAACAAACTATTACTATGTTTCACTCAAAAACTACTCACCATAAGAAGCTAAGGGGCTAAAAATCGTCGCATTTGTTATTTATTTGCTATTATATTTAAGGCCATGAAGTAAAAAAACTATTGTTCTATTCTATAATTATCTGTAAACAAAATCCGGTTTCCAAAGGACATATTTACACTCCACTCCACTGGGGGGTTTCACCCAAAAAGTAGTATTTTTCATTATCCTTAGCATATGATCCTACTGCCCTCACTGGGTTTATTGGATCTTATCGTTTATCGGAAAATTGATTACGCCTGGCTACGATGCCTTAAATACATGGGTGAATTTGTGTACAATTTTGAACATTACTATGATTAATCCAACAAATTTTAGGCCATTAGAATATTTAATTTTGAATTAGAAAATTTTGTTTTCCAGACTTAATATATTTCATCTAATTATAGTCTATTTAAAAGCGGCCGTGTAAGACATCGGATAGGTTGTTAAACATTTTCTCATCAAACAATCAGCAGAAAAAAGTAATTTTAAAACAGTTTTAAAAGTCTGCTTATGCCACTATTGACTGAACCGAAATGTTACATCTTCCAAAAATCGCAACCATTTCGTTGGAAAGTCCTCTTTGGGACTTTCGTATTGGAAACCTAATCTTAAGATAGTGAACTAACTGGGACATTTTTTGACACCGCACATCTCAGTTAGCAATACGAATATGGGAGTTTTTGGGATGTATGAAACATGTGCAGATCTAATTCCCACTAACAATTATGAAATATACGATCCTCCACTTAAAGATGATCTCTCAATTATTTAAAGTAATTACTATTATATACGTTTTTGTAGTGAACGCATAAATTGTTTCTGTAAATGACAGCTTAAGGGGGTATATACCTTTTTCATTTTCAAAAAATCGAAAAAAATTTTTTGCTTTATCTTAATGAACAACGTCTTGAGAACATTTCCCCAAATTTTCATAGAGATTTGAGCAGTAGAAGAAAAGTTACAGCGCTCCTAGCCGCGCGCCTCGTCCCTGCCCAAACCCAAACTTCAAACTTCAATATCTCGAAATGGGGTTTTTCGAAAAATGACTTTGCGTTGATATGGATTGGCGAAAAACTACTGAACCGATTCTCTTCAAATTTTTTTTTGAATGTTCGTAATTAATTTTATTAGTTCTTGAACGATCGTTTTTTCATGTAAAAATTTGTATTTCGCCGAAAAGATAGTTTTGTAAGAATTTTAGCGTCCAAAAACGTAATTTTTTGCATAAAACGTTCCCGTATGCAAAAAAAAAAATTTTTTTTTAAAACGTTTGTTCAAGTACAGGATAGTACTTTAAACTAATGAAATATTTTTATTTTTTCGGTATCACCGACCCGTTGATCCGCAAGGCTCTTTAAAAAAAAGGCGTTTACGGGAAACAGCCACACCTTAAAAACTATTAAATATTTTTTCAATATTTTTTGCATAAACATTGTCAACAATCTAAACTTTCAGAAAATATAATCATTCATTTAATAAAAACAATAGTTAGATACATAAAAAATCCAAACTTTTCTATTTTCTTCAACAAAAAAAGGTATATACCCCCTTAAGTCATAAATGCATCTAGGTGAGAATATAGTATAAAGTATTTTTAGTATACGTTTTTATCGATAATGCTCTATGAAGTCTTTCGATTTATTATTTGTCATATTGCCATATACTTTAAAACAATTAGATATGTTTAAAACACTTCTCAACCCTACTTGAAAATAATTATTTTAATAATAATATAGATATCGATTCCCCGTAACTACAAAAGAGGCCGTGAGCTTAGTTATGGCGGGAATATATAACTACTCTAGTTTAAAGTACGTATGTGACCCAATGCATAATAATAGCATTCTAATAAATAATGTCCTTTTATAGATTTCAAGCGGAGCGTGAGCTGAACGATGAAAACCTTCAAAAGGAAAATCAGGCTACGGATTTACCCTTGACTCGTAGCCCTGGCAAACGCCTGGGAAGCAGGTACAACCAAAACCCAAATTTTGCCTTCATCAGTTAAATTATATAAATTCCCATGACTTCATTGAATTAGCATTGATCGCCGCGAGAAGTCTGTTGTGGACAATATCAATGCCGACCAAGATGCCATTACAAGAATCCAATATGTTAATTCAGAGCATGCCGCCTTGTCGCTACCGTTGGGGAAACATAAAGTGCTGGACAAATATTCGGATAATCAAGAAGATGGTAAGCAATCAGGTTGCAGGACTGACCAATCTTTATATCCAATTACATAAATCTTACAGATACATCGGTTCGGAAATACCTAGTCGTTGGCGTTCAGTGGGTTTCCCTAGTCACTGAGAACCTATTAAGCCATCCGTTTATAGTACTGCGTAGACAATGCCAAGTTTACAATGCTTCAAAGCGGTACCACTTGCATCCATTTACACTTCTACCCAGCATAGTCCATCTTCACCGACGGCAGGGGCTAACCACGCTGTGGAAGGGCGTGGGCAGCTGCCTCCTTGTGCGGGGCATGACCTTGGCCATAGACGACTTCGTCTCGAAATTAACCAGTTGGCCCAAGGAGGTGGACAGTCGAACTACGTTGAAGCGATTTGGACAGCATGTTCTCCTTAAATGGTAATACCTGTTCCCATTACTGCCCATTATCAATGCCCCCTAATTCTTAATTCATTTAAAGTATAAGCATTGGGCTGGTTGTGCCATTTCATGCTGCTTCCCTAGTTGAGACTGTGCAGAGCGATATAGCCAGCGAAAAACCAGGTCTTTTTGACGTTTTCCGGGAGGGAAGTCTTCGGCTCTTCTATTGGAGTTCCCCGCAAAAAGGACGGATGCTGCCTGCCTGGGCGCTAATCGGGCCAAGTGTTTCGTTTGGTATAACCAAGTATCTCTTTAACTTGGTAATTCGAGGCGTCTCATCTCGCATTATGCGGCGGCGAATATCTCATTCTCAAGAAAACCAAAGCGGAAAGTTTCACGATAGTTCGCTAGAGCATCAAAATGCGGAAGTATATGCAAACCTTATCGCTATATTAACCACTGAGGCCATATTCTTCCCATTCGAAACAATTCTACATCGTCTGCAACTGCAAGGTACACGAACAATAATCGACAACCTCGACAATGGCTATGATGTCGTCCCAATCTTGACAAACTACCAAGGAGTCGTCGACTGCTATCAAACAACAATTGTCTCAGAGGGGGTTTGTGGTCTGTACAAGGGATTTGGAGCAATGATACTGCAATTTGCAGCACACATTGCTGTAATCAAACTGGCCAAATGGGTTGTGAATAAATTAGCTGAGCTCATATCCAATCGACCACCACCACGAATAGTCCAGTACTATAATCTCGATGGCATTGCTTGCTCGAGGTCTACGACATTATCGCCAAGCATTTCCAGTACCGAAATGGAAGACAACAGTGTGGGACAGAATTCACTAGATTAGTTAATTGGTAGTCCAATTATTATGCATATGTAAATTATATGAAACAATTTAAATGTCCAAATGTGTGTTTTAATTTCTTTATTTAATCTATAGTTGATCATCCCATGGCAAATTGTTGTCCAACCCGTATCGACGTAAAATAGAAAGAAACGAACTGATCAAAAGCAGAGAAGGAAGAGGTTGTGTAAAAATAAAAAAATCGGTTCTAGCAACTTTACAATAAGCCTATTTAATTAAAAAAAATAAAATGTTTAGCCCAACATCAGGGACTGGAAATACGGATTATTGATGTTTTTTAACCAAAAAATCAATCACTCAGAATCGACATACAAAAAAAAACAAAATTACCCTGGTAATCTTCCTTTGGAAATATACCAGATATCGTCCGATTTCTAAATTTTTAGTTTTCATAATATTTTTAAGGAACAATGATAATGTTCATTTAATACTTTTGATAAATTCATAAGAAATAATTGTCTATCCAGGAACCCAAACTTTTGTTTGTTTTTTGAGAGGCCTATCTTCTATTCAAGCCTGCTGTTGATTTTGAAGCATAGCTTAAAAGTTGATTTTTGTATCGAAAGCCATTTATTTGTAATATCCTTTTGATCCAAAAACGATATATACAACAACTGAACGTTAACAGAACAATATTTAATATAATTTCTGTTCAAAAAAATGTATGTCGTTTTATATTTCACATTTTAAGTTTAAGTTCTCATCGTTGCCTTATTTCCTATACCACATCTGGAGAGTCTTCATCCGTTTTACTTTCTTCTGCAGCTGCAAGACTCCGTACATTAATGCCTCGGCCGTTGGTGGGCAACCAGGTACATATATGTCGACAGGGATTATCCGGTCGCATCCGCGTACCACGGAATACGAGTAATGATAGTAGCCACCGCCGTTGGCACAGCTTCCCATCGAAATAACCCACCGTGGCTCGGGCATTTGATCGTAGACCTTTCGCAATGCAGGTGCCATTTTGTTGGTTAAAGTACCAGCCACGATAATGACATCGGCTTGACGCGGGGACGCACGAAAAACAACGCCATAACGATCCATATCGTATCGAGGAGCTGCGATGTGCATCATTTCGACGGCACAGCAAGCCAGACCAAAAGTTAGTGGCCAAATCGAGCCTTTGCGGCCCCAGTTCAGAAGATCGTCGAGTCGGGCCAATGACCACTCGGCGACGGAAGTCTGTTTGGTTCCGAATGGAGAGTATCCCTTCTTGGGCAAATTCTGCGCCGCTTCAGCGAGCGGAAGGGTTTGTTGTTGGCGTACCAAAACCATATTCAGTGCGGGCACAACAGACAGTGTATTCGAGTTCTGAGTTGCCCTTTGAAGACCCTTCGCCAGGGTCGATGACATGATCGCCGAACGCAGCATATTGGTCCTAAAAATCAAATATAAAGTTATGGTCGGCTAGTGCATTAAAACATTTAATACCTATTTATGTAACTTCAACTTAACACAATTTATAAGGGATGCGTATGGTATGCCCGCCGCCGGACTGCTGGAATATACCATCTGTCCCACAAAAATATACTAAAATATACACTATTTTTTGTAAAACTTTATTCCCACTGCGTCACATTCTCCATTTATTTTCCTAATGATCGACTCAATACCCTATTCCCACATATGCGCATCCTGATGTTCCTATAGCCTAGTATCCAGATCGACAAACGATTACGCTAGCGTAAAAACTTTAATCTTTCCAGTGTGACCAAAAGTTTGAGAGTTCATCAGATTTAAGCGTGCTACGGTCGTACTGTCAATCAGCTGGGTTTGTTGACAAGCAGTTAAAATTCAAATATCGTATTTGCGGGAAAGAGCCTTTAAAAGATATTATTAAATACCTTGGCAAGACAAGTCTTTCGCTGTACAAAGAAATTGAAAAACAATACAATTTAAATTTAACAGTTGTTTTTTTTAATTTACTGATAATTATTTGCTAATTTAAAGTTCATAGCTGCACTTTTATTGTGTTTTTTCGTACATTCTGGACCTAAAAAACATTTTGCTCTGACAAGAGGCACCCCAGATAGTATTAATGTTATTTTGTCCTCACACGTAAACACCTGCAATCGACTTTTGTGAGTTTTTTGAGTTTTTCCCTCCATTTCTTATAATGTTCAGTGAGAAGCGCACGCCAAAAGATTAAATTCTTTAAGCCTAGTATCCACTTCGACGTAAACCGTACGCCAGTCATGAGAGAGAGCGAGAGGCAAACAGCTGGCGTTCACTTTTCGTCGGGCCTTTTTTTCACTTCGGTCTCCTGATCGACGAAAAAAATACCAGAAAATTGCATAGCGTTGCCAGTCTGCGGAAATGAACTTTGGGTGAACCCTAGCGGAAAGATTAAAAAATTTAATCTTTTGGCGTGCGCTTCTCACTGAACATTATAAGAAATGGAGGGAAAAACTCAAAAAACTCACAAAAGTCGATTGCAGGTGTTTACATGTGAGGACAAAATAACATTAATACTATCTGGGGTGCCTCTTGTCAGAGCAAAATGTTTTTTAGGTCCAGAATGTACGAAAAAACACAATAAAAGTGCAGCTATGAACTTTAAATTAGCAAATAATTATCATAAAATTAAAAAAAACAACTGTTAAATTTAAATTGTATTGTTTTTTAACTTCTTTGTACAGCGGCAGACTTGTCTTGCCAAGGTATTTGATAATATCTTTTAAAGGCTCTTTCCCGCAAATACGATATTTGAATTTTAACTGCTTGTCAACAAACCCAGCTGATTGTCAGTACGACCGTAGCACGCTTAAATCCGATGAACTCTCGAAATTTTGGTCACACTGGAAAGATTAAAGTTTTTACGCTAGCATACTCGTTTGTCGATCTGGATACTAGGCTTTAATCTTTTCGCTAGGGTTCACCCAAAGTTTATTTCCGCAGACGTGGCAACGCTATGGAATTTTCTGGTATTTTTTTCGTCGATCAGGAGACCGACGTGAAAAAAGGCCCGACGAAAAGTGAACGCCAGCTGTTTGCCTCTCGCTCTCTCTCATGACTGGCGTACGGTTTTCGTCGATCAGGGTACTAGGCTTATCTCTTTATGTTTCACGCATTAAGCCTAGTATCCAGATCGACAAACGATTACGCTAGCGTAAAAACTTTAATCTTTCCAGTGTGACCAAAATTTTGAGAGTTCATCAGATTTAAGCGTGCTACGGTCGTACTGTCAATCAGCTGGGTTTGTTGACAAGCAGTTAAAATTCAAATATCGTATTTGCGGGAAAGAGCCTTTAAAAGATATAACCAAATACCTTGGCAAGACAAGTCTGCCGCTGTACAAAGAAATTAAAAAACAATACAATTTAAATTTAACAGTTGTTTTTTTAATTTACTGATAATTATTTGCTAATTTAAAGTTCATAGCTGCACTTTTATTGTGTTTTTTCGTACATTCTGGACCTAAAAAACAATTTGCTCTGACAAGAGGCACCCCAGATAGTATTAATGTTATTTTGTCCTCACATGTAAACACCTGCAATTGACTTTTGTGAGTTTTTCCCTCCATTTCTTATAATGTTCAGTGAGAAGCGCTCGCCAAAAGATTAAATTTTTTTATCTTTTCGCTAGGGTTCACCCAAAGTTCATTTCCGCAGACTGCCAACGCTATGGAATTTTCTGGTATTTTTTTCGTCGATCAGGGGACCGACGTGAAAAAAAGGCCCGACGAAAAGTGAACGCCAGCTGTTTGCCTCTCGCTCTCTCTCATGAGTGGCGTACGGTTTTCATCGATCTGGATACTAGGCTTTAGCATATACAATTTTTAGTCCACATCTAATATTTGTACATCAATGTAATTTCCAACAAATAATAATGCTGTTAACGCAAATTCAAAGTCAAAAACAAAATTTTGAGTGGTAGAAAATGTATACTAACTTGAAATAATCCTTTAATAATAATTCACATTTTTATTGATTACTTGAATGTATGTCAACCATCGTTTATTGTCTTTGATTATACAACAAATAATACACATGTATTAGCAATATTTTAAAAATGATTTCTGAACATATATTGGACTATTTTGATCCGTTTGCATTATACCAACATGAGTTTTTACGTAAGCAAACACTTCAGCTAAAGTTTGAAAAACAGATTGTTTACGAATTTAAAAAAATGTTGGCACAGCAGTATTTCAAGATAACGCTCGCATCCACCTATACTTACGGAAATAATATTTCTATCATGTTTTTATACCCTTGCAGAAGATATTATAAATTCAGTCAAAAGTTTGCAACGCATTTCCGACCCTATAAAGTATATATATCCTTGATCAGCATCACCAGGAAATTCGATCAAGCCATGTCCGTATGTCCGTCCGTTTCTACGCAAACTAGTCCCTCAGTTTAAGAGCTATCTACTTGAAACTTTCCCAAAAGTTGTCTTCCTACTGCAGGTAGTTTATAAGTCGGAACGGGCCGGATCGGGCGACTATATCATATAGCTTCCATAGAAACACTCGGAAAATAAATTTTTTAAATATGACTTTGTTGTTATACCCTTGCAGAGGGTATTGTAATTTTTATTTTTTTTTGTTCTTTGGGATTTGGTAATATTTAAAAATTATGGAATTACGGTTTTAATTAAATTAAAATCGGACAACAATATCATATAACTGCCATAGAAACGATTGCAAATTCCAGCGCAAAATCGGCATAGCTTGATTGTTTTTAGTAATACAGGCATATAAATCGAAATGTAGTCGTTTTGTAATAACTGCACGGGTATATAAACTTCGGCTTGCCGAAGTTTGCTTCTTTTCTTGTTATAATTTCGTTCAAATATTTGGTAAGAATCGATATCTTAATCCTTAATTAGAAAATAATTTATAGGTAATGTGTTTAAGTACGACCGGAAATACGAAACCATTCAGGCTATTTACAATGCGTGTCCACGGATACCAACAGTGACTTGGAGTTTCCCTAAGAAATTGGAGTCCCATTTCTGCGGATTCGTCAGGGGCTCCTCCAACAAGAGACTTACCTAAGTCACCAGCTCAAAAGGTGAAAAAGAAGCTGCCTGTACCTTTCTGTCCTTGAAACAATAATTGCTGAAGACGAGAAGATCGGAATGGTCATCACCAACTAATTTATTGGCAAAAAGGTCAATGGTAGGTGCCACACAAGGTATTAGCATTGTGGAAGTAGGTTTAGGTACTGTATGTGGCGCTTGCCATCCAATTTCGGCCACAAGAGATCGTCATTAAATAATGTGCATTGCTACACGATTATTTTAAAAATTAAAATGGGGTGTGCAATATTTCGAATCCGATTCTCTCATGCTTTTTGTTCTACTTATATCACATACCTGGGATCCATAGAAGACTATTCTAAAAGTCAACAAAATAGCTTAAATCGAATAATCTTAAGTGTCTGAGATAAATTAAAAGAAACCTTTTGCATAAAAATACATTTTCGCATTTCTTGCTTTTGCTTTTTTCCTTTATTTTGTAATATATGAGTGGTGTAATTAAGTTCAGTTATCGTCTATTGTTACAGCGGCTTGGGTAATGTAATGCTAGCAATTGAATGGTAGTAAAGCGATAAATCAAAATAAAGCAACCCGGTAGTGCTTAATAGTATTTACGATAAGCAATCTTAGAAACTAAAAATCAAAAAACCATTTGTTGATTTAACTCGCTAATTTATATTTCAGTTTGAATTTGTAGATTGCGTTCGTTTGATTTTTCATTCCAAAATAGTCCTGATTGAAAGTAGCTGTTTTTTTAGATTCCATCAATGTCAATCTCATCTTCCTCATTATTTTTCTCTTCAACATCTGAATCATCTTCATCTTCATCTTCATCTACAACTTCATCTTCATTTTTATTATCGTTATCAGAGGATTCTGATTCTTCTTCGGCGTTTTTAAGCCACAGGACGAAAGGCATAACTTTTTCGTGTATCTCAGTAGCAATTTTTTTTGGGACATGTCGTTTGCTGACTTTCTGAGCCCACTGCAGTATGACAGCTTCGTCGAGTACGTCTATATCATATAACGTTTTAAAGATTCCAGCTACCTTGGCCATTAGGGTACTTGTATGGAGCTCAACAGTTTGTTCAACTCCACCAATTAAATAACGCTGTGCTTTTGGATTATTAAATGTGAAGCGAAGAAGCAAGATTCGGTTACGATTAACATCCTTGATGATGTTTTCAGTGAAAAGAAGCTCAGCGAGGACCAGTGGAGCTTTGCTAACAATATCCAAACGTTCCGCTTCGATAAACAGTTCTTTATGGGTTACTAAATCATCTAATTGCTTATTGTCCCGCTTTTGCTTCACTAATTCATAGAAAATATCAATACGCTCTTTTTCAGTTTTATCATAGTCATCGGAAATAGTCATGCCCTTAGCACCATCTGTCAGATCTTGCAAACGAGCACGTATAGCCTCCTATTGGGGAAATGGTTATATTTATGTGCAAGATTAAATATTTAAAGGAATTTACCTTCGAAACATCAACGCTCCATCCTTCATCGTCCTCTTTAATATTTTTTTCCGGAATGGCAGCGCTTATTTCCGCCTCAGTTTGGCTAGCCTGGTTTGTTCCATTTCCGCCGTCCGATTCTCCGCCGGAGTTGTTGGCTAAAGAGTTGTTGGATATGGAGCCATCAGAGTTATCGTTCTTTTGCTTTTGTTTCTTTGCGCGTTTGCCCTCAGTTAGTGACGATCCTTGGGCGGCTGGATTAAGCGATGGAGGATTTTTCACAATGAACGTGTTTACTTTGTGGTTGACCTTCAGGAGACCATGGAAGCCACAGGCCTTGCATGACTGCGAAATAGTCTGATTTTTGGCAGATACAGTCAGGTTGGTTTCCGGATTGTCGCATTCAGGGCACAACACAAACTTGCGAATGAAGCCATCCAACAAATCTTGCAGCTTGTTTACATCGTGCGATCCATTCACAACAAAACGCTCGTTCTGAAATGAAATTTTTAATAAGCACATTTCAACGGCACATACAGATACAGTCGAATAAAGTTGGAAAATCATTAGTTACCTTATGATCAAACAGAGTCTGGGCGCCCAGCTCACATCCAAAATATTTAGTCGGATAGGTAGCCGGTCGTCCTATGGCCCGAGCCACTTCAGCCATGTTCACAAGGACGGTCTTGATGCCGTTTCCCTTTCCTTCTACCTTTGCCTGCAGACGTGGCATCTTATAGCGATAAAAGATGTCCGTCACACTGCGGTTAACGTTTACGGTGGCCATTTTGTAAGCTTTTTGGATCCAAGGATAATGCTAATTTGGCTTATAGTTCGGGTAATGATACTAATAGAGGAGGCCAGTGGTATCTATTGGTTGTATGTGGAAGGTAATTTATTGACTTCAGGCTTTTCGCTAGTTTGTGATTTTTCCAAGATACGTTTCTGTTCATTAAATTTTCTTTTTTTAGTATTGCCGCCGCTGTTCACTTAACAAATGAACCGAGAAAAAGCATAAATTGGTATTTTTCCGGAACCACGAATAAATTCTGCTTTACTCAAACAACGGTGTACTTAATTTGTTTGTAGATTCAGTTTGAATTGCTTTTGAATAATATTCTATTAATTCTTTCGCAAAGGTATTACTTTGTTGTTATTTTTCTGAAGTTTTGGTTGATTTTCGCCTTGGTAAATATTCAGCTATTCTATTCCTTCAGTCATTTAATGAATAATTAAATATATACATATATATCTATATATATATATATTTATGTATTTATATACATATATATATATATTTATTTATATTGTAAATTTACCAGTTTAAGTCTTTAAAAAATGGCAAAAACAACAGGCTCATGTGTACCTGAATGGCTGTAACTTCCGATGTCTGTTACTCGAAGTCCTGTAAAGGCAAGAGTTAAAGAGTTTTTTAATCGCTATATACATAATATACAAAACTCGATTATGAAATGGTCCTCGCAGTTTCAAATAACTTCTCAATCGTCTCTTCTCACAATACACTTTGGTCGAATCCTAATATTAACCTTTATAATTGCAATTTTTATTTGAACAAAATAGTCGAATGACCTTCAATTATTAAAATAATAGGCGTAACAATTTGACGAGTTCCGCAAAGCTTGGCGCCTTGTGATTAGTTAGTGCGAGACAATATTCTAGTGCTTTAAATCTCCTTATACACTTGCTAGCATATATATTATCTAACGTTAAATTACTCTGCCTTTCTCTATTAAAATAACGTTTCATAAATCTGCATGCAGCGAAGAAAATTACAATTATTTGGTCGATTGTAGTTTTGCTGTCTTGTCTTTCATTAGATATTTAATCAATTTTCGACGGGTATTACATGTATGTTGTGCTATAAAATCTAAGAACGAAAATAAATGTTCTATCTCTATTTTAAAAGCAAAAGCCAACCTTAAAATTGCCAAACCTTATACCCTTGCAGCTATACAAAAATGAATTATTTTATAAGACGACTATATTTTGATTATCAGGCCTATATGTTTAAAAACAAACATTAATTTTCAGATACATTTTTCTTTCGCTTTAATTGCAGCTAATCGTTTAATTTTTATTAAAATAAAACCGTGTTTATTCGTAAATGTTTAAAAAAAATAAACGAAAATAAAATATAGCCGTCCTTACCGACTTATATACTACCTGCAATGGAGTAAAGACTTTTGAGAAAGTTTTATCTAGACGGACAGGGCTAGACCATCACCAAGAATATATATACTTTATAGGGTCGGAAACACAAGGTTGCTCAAAACCGACCGAAGTACCCTGCATTTGTAGGCCTTCTTGGTCGAAAGCAAAGTTCTCTATTAAAACTAAAGAATACAAGTAAAACAGGCGGAAGGGTGAAGATTATCGGTTCGATTATAGTCTGTTCAATACTTTACGAGATACAAGGACATTTCTTGGAAACAATCGTCTTAAAATTGGTAAATAATCAATAAATGGTTTATAATAATGTCGTTGACTTACCGGTGACTTATGGTTCGCCCTTTTGAATTCATGCACAGCTCGAACCCTTTACTCCGTTTTTGTTGAATGAGACGTGCTGTTTTTTTTGCTGGTGTTTCTGAAAAATACAATTTTATGAATAAATAACTAACAGTTAATATAGCATTCGATATGAAAAGCACGCGAGAGATGTGTTCTTAAGTTTGCTCAACCCACAATGTATTTATACATGTACTTAATTTTAAACATAACAGAAAATTTCTTGAAGACGAACTACTACGAAAATTTTAGATTTGTCAAGGCTAGTTCCAACTAAATCTAAAGCCGTTCTCCTTTAATATGCAATAATTTAAACGAATATCTTAATCACAACAAATGGCGGTGCACTTAGCTCCAATTGTTCGTTCAACTTTACAGAACACTGTATGGTAGTTAGCGACTATGTTTTTTCTTAGAGATTAACTTGTGTAAGAAAAGGGACGAGAGTAACCGCAAAATAAATAAATACACAGAGAATTTGGGAGGATATTTTTCAAAAAGTTTCTATTGATATCCCTACTTGGATACTGATATATTTAAACTGACAGCTTTTTCAGTACCAGTTTTGATTTCGATTCTCAGTTCTTATTGCACAAATAAACACGAAGAAACCAAAAATGAATCATAAATAAACCATACGTTTTGTAAATCATTTTTGTCAGGCTTCAACAAGGATTGTAACAATTACTATGTTAGTATAGATTTCCTTAAAATTCCATCAAAAAAGAAAAACTAAACTAAGCTAAGCTATGTCTGTTATGTACAAGGGGTTTTAAATATATAAAAAAAAGACAGAATGCATATTTTTATGACATAATATTAGTACGAAATAAGCTTACAAAAAAGCAGATGTTTTAATTTTTCTGAATTTTAGTTGATTCTGAAATGCACTTTTTTTCAAGAAATAGCTGCAATAGATGTGGTTAATTTTTCTTACTATAAATTGGACGACCTTGCAAGCAATCCAAAATTAAAAATATATATTTCACTCCCTCACGCTTGTTTTAATGCATATCGCAACATGTGATCGAATAGTAATTACATTTTATATTCCGAACTATTCAGATAAACTAACTTACAAGTGACATGCAAGGAGATTACACGGGTTCTTTGTTACTTACCACCGTATCTTTCAAAAGTCATATAAGATTTTGTTTCCCCTCCTTGGGGTGCGCAATGCCAGTTCGCAAATTAGACAAAGATATCGTACTCTCGGGTATTCTTTGTTAAGTCAATCGGAAATTGACTCGAAAAATATATAAATTAAAAACAAACAAATCGCACTGCCACAGGAAATTGGTAGGTTTAATCAGCGATCCAGTGCTAATTTTACTGACGCTAAAGGCGCTTATATCGCAAAAATGTAATTTTGTTTTCAACTATTCTGTAAAGGGAAAGAAAATAAAATTAGGAATGCGCATGAACGAGTATATGTATACCACTTTGTATACTTTAATACTGACATTACTTAACTACTTAGTTTTAAAAAAAGGATAATATAATACTCAAGTGCATACATACATATATACATATATATATATTTTCTTATGTATTCAAATGTATAAAATATGTATGCAAAAATTAAAAATATTCTTTTAAATTTAAATGTGAATTAATTGTATTTATAGACGAATTTAAATTTCCTTCGGATCTAGTCTTAACACAGCGTTATTGAAAGTAATAGTAAGCTTTTTTGCCCAATAAAAGTAAATTTTCATGCACGTATGCATTTACATATGGATGGAAGCCACGCCATTAAAACTTTTGAGGTTGTGTTCGTTTAAGTCAATCATTTTTCTATACCTTTTTTTCAAGATAACATTAATGCGTTACTTGTAACAATCAAATAAAATTGATAATTTTGCTTAATAAACCATTTAGGAATATATATTCTCCAAAGTTCACGAACATACGACTCTACGTCACTGCACAATATAATGAATTACGTAGGGGTGCAATCCAATGTCTATCGATTGGGCAAATATGTTGATAATTATCTATGGCTACTTCACACTAACATTTCTGTATAAGCTTAACACCACTTTCTGGCAGTGTTTTTTCCACTGCAATTGTAAAGATCCAATTATATGTACATACATGATATATATTTTACGGCATTGCCCTCAGTGACAAATTGCTAAGTCATTGAATGTTTAAATAAGGCGAAACAGCGTTTTTTGTGTGACATATACAAAAAAATTAAATCCTATTTATTATTTATTCAAATAATTTGTTGTATTTTTTTCGGTGCAACAAAATACCCAAAAATATTATATACAAATTGTGTCCACCATCCAAATATTGCATTCCGCACGATATTATACATTTTTTTCGTTTACAGGAAAAACTAATGAAAACGTAACAAAAATAAGTGGCGATACAATACAAAAATGTTACAACTAATATTTTTATATTGGTAAATTGTGACAGGGAAGGCAGTCGCAAATAGATTATATAGACCTATTTGGCATATTTACGGTCTCCAAACCTTCACCTTCTTGTTTGTAGATGGGGCTTAAGTAGGATGCAGAGTTTCATATCTCTCAAATTCCTTATATAAGCGGAAAATATTGTGTTTGTATTTTTATAATCATGTTTTAATTTGTTTTTTTATCATTTAAGAATGATAAAATATGACAATATAAGACTCTAGTTCATATTAAACTTTCTAGAGAGCTATCAGGTATGTAAATTACTAATAGCATTATAATTATACATAGCTACATATTTGTTCCATGCAAATAGTGAATAAAGGGAGTTTGCAGTTTGAGGCTTTTCTGCTGTTAACTTTTCTAAAAGTTTATGTAATTTTAGATTTTATAGTTCAGCCACAGCCAAAAAAGTTGAAAAGTTTTAAAAACTCTTTGATTATTTATTGATTTCCGGTGTAAGGTTGTTTGTTCTTGAAAGATGGGCTAGATTGCGCTCAGAATAAATTTTGGAGTCACATCTTTGGGAAATTCAATCTGTACCTGCTGCAAAGTCGACAGCAGACCTTCGGCGGTGTGATTGCGCTATTAATAAAATAAAATAAAAATATCGATTTCTTGTATTTTGGCTTAGAAAATTTTGGATATAAAATATTCGTCACAGAAAATATTTATCGATATTTTCATACTCTCGACAATTTTTTCATATCGATTTATTTTTCTGCGTATACAGAACGTACTTTCATTTCGTTGTTTTCCAAAAAATAATTTATTTATATACTTGGAGATATTTAAATCGGCAAAAAATGTGTCGTTAAATAAGAGTGAATCTAAAATTATAGACGACTTCCCCAGCAAATATATAAAAAGGGCAATCACGACAAAAAACCGTGAGTACCAAATCTCGAATGGACGCTTCTAAATACTTACATGATACATACATGTTTACATAAATATGTATATCGATATGTACATATATCTTGTTATAAACAGTTACGAATATTTTCTGACGTAATAAACACCCATAAATGTAAATCTTAATATTAAAAAACAATTTTTTAACAATATAAAGATATATATTTAATAAAAATTGTGTGTGTATACATTTTTTATGTACATACATACAAACCCAGCAGGTTTTACTGAAGCTCCATAGTTTTTTTTTTTTCTGTTTTGCTACCACGAAACATACGTACTTACATGCGTATATATGGATGTATGTACGTGATGCGTTGTACATAAACTTAGCATTATATTTCTGCTTCCAATCAGATAGCAAAATGTCTTATGGGATAAGGGATTGGAACGTTTTCTTGATAAAAAAAATACACCTAGTTCATTAGTGCTTTTTGGATCAAATAATATAGCTTACAGTGGCTCACATGTATTAAGGAATAAGGATATCAATTTGGGAAAACATTTTATTCAATAACATTTATTTCCCGGGTAGCCATAAAAATGTTCTCCAAGTAAATTAAGGAAAATATTTTTGGTAAAATGATCTAAGGATTAATTTCTTTCTTGAGTTGCCGACTTGGAATTGATTTATACAACTGACCATATGTGTACAATTTTGAAGTACACATTCCTTAGAATCCTCAAAACCTTAAGGTGTTCCCCAATGTTAAAACATTACGTATCCTAAATTAGTTAAGTGACTTATTTCTTATTTTACTTGAACGTTAATTACTGGTGTCAGGACAGCAATTACATTTTTGTGATTTTTGACAAGGATAAATTTCGTCTGAAATAAAACTTTCAAATTTTAATGAGGAGAAAATTCTCGTCGGAAAAATATAATATAATAATATAATATTCCAAACTTTAAGCCCGTTAAGTTATAGTTTTTTTTTTATCAAAATGTTTATTTCCATATTCCTTATATTCGGTGTTTATGCGATGCCTGTTTGTATTAAAAAAATATAACATCTTTAACTTTTCTACAAAAATACATTCCTTAAAATTTACTACATTTTTAGATTTTTTTATTTCAGAAACAAGGCAAGCGCTTTGAAAATATTTGGTGAGTCATGGAGGATCCGAATCGCATGTTGGCTCACACCGGAGGCATGATGGCGCCACAAGGATATGGTTTGTCTGGCCAGGACGATGGTCAAAATACTGGCAACGAAAACGAGGTGCGCAAGCAAAAGGACATTGGAGAGATATTGCAACAAATAATGAGCATTTCGGAACAATCGCTTGATGAAGCTCAAGCCAGAAAACATACGCTTAACTGTCATCGGATGAAGCCGGCACTCTTCTCTGTACTGTGCGAAATCAAGGAGAAGACTGGTATGTTGAAAATATTAATCCTCTTTTAAACCTTTTAAATATTTACAAGGCAGATTAAACTTATTTCGAATTTTGAATTCAAATTTTAAAATAATAATTTGTGGACAATGTGAATAACGCAAATCAATAAGTGTAAGAGACTTTGTAAAGGCGGGAGACTCAGACATATCAAACTTTTTTTAATTCTAACTAAATACTTTGGCTTGCCGAAGCTAACTATCTTTCTCTTTTTTTCAACAACCACAATTACTTTCTATTATTATAGTCCTTTCAATTCGCAATACTCAGGAGGAGGAGCCGCCAGATCCTCAACTCATGAGATTAGACAACATGCTTATTGCCGAGGGCGTGGCTGGACCTGAAAAAGGAGGTGGCGGAGCGGCAGCAGCATCTGCGGCTGCAGCCAGCCAAGGTGGGTCCTTGTCTATAGATGGTGCAGACAATGCTATAGAGCATTCCGACTACCGTGCTAAGCTAGCGCAGATTCGTCAAATATATCATCAAGAATTGGAGAAATATGAGCAGGCATGCAACGAATTTACCACGCATGTTATGAATCTTTTACGTGAACAGAGTCGCACGAGGTTAGTATAAGGGAAAAGTGCGTAGTAGTAAAAATATAACAAAATATTGGTGCTGCATAATTATTTCAGACCTATTACACCAAAGGAAATTGAACGAATGGTACAGATCATACACAAAAAGTTTAGTTCCATACAAATGCAGTTAAAGCAGTCGACCTGTGAGGCTGTTATGATTCTTCGTTCGCGTTTCTTAGACGCACGTCGTAAGCGCCGGAACTTCAGTAAGCAGGCGTCAGAAATTCTCAATGAGTACTTCTATAGTCACTTGAGTAACCCATATCCATCCGAAGAGGCCAAAGAAGAGTTGGCACGAAAATGTGGCATAACAGTAAGTTCCAAAATAAATGCACTCTATTTCAGCATCTTATAATATCCGCTCATCTGCGCTAGGTCTCTCAAGTATCCAATTGGTTTGGCAACAAGCGAATTCGCTATAAGAAAAACATTGGTAAGGCACAAGAGGAGGCCAATTTGTATGCGGCTAAGAAGGCTGCAGGTGCTTCACCGTATTCCATGGCTGGTCCTCCTAGTGGGACAACCACACCCATGATGTCACCCGCTCCCCCGCAGGATTCAATGGGCTATCCAATGGGCTCGGGCGGTTATGACCAACAGCAACCGTACGACAACAGCATGGGTGGATATGATCCCAATCTTCACCAGGATCTAAGCCCCTGAGGATCAGGGCTGTGAACCACTCCGAATCGGAGACTCCCTCATACAGTTGCGGTCAAAATAACTTCACTGAAAATCTAACATGCAGTTTCTTCTTAATTATGTTTTCTTAGGGCGCTTGTAAGATGCACTCTTAAAACAAACTACAGTTTATATTTGCTCTTTTGCTAAGTCCAACAATTCTGAAATTAATAACTTGTTTAATTCTGCTTCCTTTTTTTTCTCAGTCAGTTAAGATTAAAATTCCCGTAAATTTAGATATAGTTCAGATAGACATACGTAAATAGAATAAAAATAATTTGTAATTAAATTCTGTTCGCTAGATTTTAAATTGATTTCTGAATGGCAAGTCTCCGGACATCAACGTGAAGCTATTCAACAATTTAAGCAGGATATAGCCAAATCGAGATATCATTATCTCGTAAATATCATGTTATCATTAAGCAACTTGATCAAGTATATGCTTCTTTTCATTATTGATACAAATGTGAACACGTTTGCAACATGTAAACTGTAAAATAAATAAATACGTAACTTTTGTCTTAAGCAAGTATATTTTTTGGCCAAACTGGAGTTACGTCATAACATAAATTCTTTAAATAATTATAATCAATGCAGAGACTTCTGTAGGACACAATTAGTATATATATTAACCATTGAAAACATATTCAAAGAAACTCAAATTAACTTATAGTATACGAATATTTTTACAAAGAATGGAGGCATGATTTTTAGTGCTTTTACTTTGACTGCAGCTGTGTATAAATATATTTTAATACATTTACCTATATTTGCGGGTATATACAAATATTGCATGTGTAAATCATACTATGACGGTTCTTTTTGGCTACATTACGTATACGACAGCAAAATAGTGTTTACTAAATTTAAATCTGTACGAAATTTTTAACTTGAACGATACGAAACTAAACCATGTATACGATGTATATCAAATAAATAAATAATACATGTTGTTGTTATCCGCACACGTCAACTAACTAAAAATATTTTAAATGTAAAAACGGTAAAGTCTTTGGAAAAATGAAATGTCCCATTCCTAACGAAAGGCGAATTTTTGCACTTTGTTTTAATTTAAAAAAACATTTCTTTTAATTTTAAATGTGTTTAAACTAAAAGAAAAGTATTTTATGTTGCCTAAGAATGTGCTGGTTACATTAAATTATGTTCGGTAAAAAATGCTGTCAATTAAATTAAATAATTTGTTAATGGTTTGAAAACAATTTTCTGTATTTAATTTTATTAGACTTAAAAAATAAATAAGTCCGAAAATTCGTCTTTCGCTTCGAATGAAATAATCGGGAATCTTTGCCTATAATAAAATGGATATTTAAACATATTATTTAAAAGAATACAAAATCGATTATAATTTTAACTTAAAAATTATTTTGTTTTTCGCCCGACTTTCGCTCACATGAAATGAAACCATTCAATGTATTTCAGTAAGATAAGGTACTGCATTAAAATTTTTGGATAACAATAGACAAATATATAAATACACAACTTTACACAAATAACTTAATAAATAAAATCAAAGTATTAATTATTGGTCTTAAGGGAACAATCGAGGTTAGATAGCTGTCCCCTATTTTTATAGCCTTTTAAAGGTTAGCATGACTGTAAAGGAGACATTTTTCAACCAAGTCTGTCCGCTAATGCGTAAACTAATCTGTCTGTTTACAGCCTAGTACTCAGATCGACGAAAACTGTTCGTCTGTCATAAGAGAGAGCGAGAGGCAAACAGCTGGCGTACACTTTTCGTCAGGCTTTTTTTTCACCTCGGTACTCAGATCGACCGAAAAATACCAGCAAATTACATCGCGTTGCCAACCACCTGAAATAAACTTTTATTGAACCCTAGCGAAAAGAATAAACAAATTAATCTTTTGGCGAGGGCTTCTCACTGAACCTTTTAAAAAATGGAGGGAAAAAATAAAAAAACCCGCAAAAGTCGATTGCAGAAGTTTACTTGTGGGGAAAAGATAACATTAATACGATCTGTGGAGTCCCACCCAGAATTGTGGGGTTTGTCAAATAAAAAACATTTTAATGAAACCATTATAAAAAGAGCGTTGGAGGAAATAGCCTGGGAAATGGATAAAGAAAGTAAGTCATTATTGTACATTATTAAATATTTGTTTACGAGGAAGTGTACAATATTTATGTTTAGGTAATAGTTGGAATCTGTCGCGGAAGTCGCTGCGGGACAGCTATAAATACCACCTAAAATGCAAGCGACCGAAGAGTTAACAACTGTTTAAATTTAAATTAAAGTTTTTCCGCTAGTGAACTCGTTTTTCAATCTGAGTAAAGCCTAGTACTCAGATCGACGAAAACCGTACGCCAGTCATGAGAGAGAGCGAGAGGTAAACAGCAGGCGTTCACTTTTCGTCAGGCTTTTTTCACCTCAGTACTCAGATCGACGAAAAAATACCAGAAAATTTCATAGCGTTGTCTGCTGAAATGAACTTTGGGTGAACGCTAGCGAACAGAATAAAAAAGTTAATCTTTTGGCGTGCGCTTCTCACTGAACATTTTAAAAAATGGAGGGAAAAACTCAAAAAACCCGAATTATCAAAAATAAAAATCTTTTTAAAAAAAATACTAACGGTATATTTGCTTTAATCAAATGGTATATTTTCGCAATTGAGATGGCATATTTTAAAGTAAAATTTAAACGGTTCCGCGGTCACACTGCTGGAAGTGAACAAGGGAAACAAGAGGACAGAAAGAAAGAACAAAACAACCGAATAAGCCAATAAGAAGCAACGCAACTTATTGGCCTGAAATGGCTGGATTTCTGAAGACACGGTTAGTAAGATCAGCCATGCTAGGGATTCATTCCACATGATAAATCCTCGAACTCTAACTTCTACACAGGAAACGCAGCCGGGAGGACGACCTGCCTTGCGAGTCCACGCCCCTCTCGAAGCGCATTAACAACCTGCACCTGAACTACGACGACGGTAACAGCAGCAGCAGCAGCAGCTGCAGCATTCCGCCCCTGCCAGGAGGAGCTGGTGCCCCCGAGACAGCCGGAACCGGAGTCGCGGCCGGGTACGAGTACAACCCGGAGTTGGGTGCCGAGCAGAATCCGTACTACTACGAGAAGAACAAGATGCTGTACGATCTGCACGTGGAGCGGATAAAGCGTAGCACCCAGTAGCCCGGAAACCCAGAATCCCGGAGTCCTGGCACTAGCCATTCAAGTGCCAATCCGAGTTTTCTACGACACCAACACTTTGTAGTCCTAATTTTAGAATAGATCGCGTCCGCTCATATTATTGTGTCCACAGATCTGGAGACGGAGTCCCTCAGCACTTGCATTTGTGTGATAAACATAGTTTACTTGCAGAGCATCGGATGCGGCAATAATACTACTAGAAATCGAGCCAAGATTTCCCCAAGCACGCACATATAGCCTAAGTCGTCTATTTATTAAGCGGGACTGTTAGTATACTAAGCACAACCCGAATTATCTTTTTTTTTTAAGTTATGTACCCAATAGAAGGAAAAGCTCTGCTTTCAGTAGAAATATGATTCCTTATCGGAGGCTAGTGTGGGATCGGATTGGGTCATTTGTTGAGTTACTGGAGGTGGATAAATAAGCTACAGCGACCTGAAAATAAACACGATGTGCTATTTTCTAAAGACAGTTGATTATTTATACACCCATAACATATTTTGCTTACTTTCGAGCTTTCCAACATTGGCCCGTGTTTGTGAATGCATAATTATAAAAAATTATAAATTATTAAAAAAAAGAATATATTATTAATCTGGTCAAAATAATATTAACAATAATATGGGCAACTTTAAAAAACTTTCAGTTGAATTTTGCGCTCAATCAAGTAATTAGCCATTAAAATTTTTTTTTTTAAATGGTTCGCGTTCGAGGTGGCAATGCCAAACGAATCTAGTATTTTGTGTTCCATTCATCTTGGAAGAAAAACGCTGAAATCGGTTTACTATTCATCTGAATGTTGGACATTAATTATTTTGGTTACTGTGTCTCATTTTAGTTTGTGGTCTGATTCCACCTGACATTGGTGTTTAATGTCACCATAAAAATACGTTTTATATTAGGACGAAAGACAAAGCTTAAGGGATCCCCCTAATAAATATTCCTCCGGATTTCATACACACAGTCATTGCCAAATGAGTATTTTCCCTATTATCACATCTGGCCACACTGATCACGTTCATGCCGCACACATCGCAAACTTTGCGAAGAATTGTGAATACAGTGCAAACAATTGACCGACTTGGACTCCGTCGAACTCGGTAAATGTGAAACGCTATTTACCAACCTGTCGGCTAGTTGCTCGACCTCAAGGAGACGAAAGTTGGTTAAGCACACTGCCCCCACACGCAGTTCTCGAATCGCGCATCCGCATGATCGAAGTGACTTACTCTTTCTTGCTCTCGCGCAGCCTTCAGCCCAGAAATTGTCATTGCCCGGAGCAATAACTTGCCAGGAAAATGAGGCAGTCCGTGAATAGCGAGGACCGCAGGAGCAGCAACCAGGAAGAGGGCCACTAGCTGGCACAGGAGCAGCAGTATTATCAGAAGCAAGTGGAGCAACAAGTTCCTGCACTCAACAAGTTATCACAGACAGCACTGGGGCATACATCCCCACTAAGAACATCCAAATCGAATCCAACATCATATCGAAAATAGCACATCACATAATCGCGATGAGCCTCTTCGGCACCAAGAAGAACCGCTCCCTGTCGGTGCGTGTGAGCACCTTTGACTCGGAACTGGAATTCAAGCTGGAGCCGCGCGCCTCTGGGCAGGACCTGTTTGACCTGGTGTGCCGCACCATCGGGCTGCGCGAGTCCTGGTACTTCGGACTGCAGTACGTCGACACGCGCAGCAACGTCTCCTGGTTGAAGATGGAAAAGCGAGTGCGCGACCAGCGCGTCGAGCTGCATGCCAGCAACAATGTGTACGTCTTCAGCTTCTACGCCAAGTTCTTCCCGGAGAACGTCAGCGAGGAGCTGATCCAGGAGATCACGCAGCACCTGTTCTTCCTCCAGGTGAAGCAGAGTATCCTCTCCATGGACATCTACTGCCGGCCGGAGGCGTCCGTGCTCCTGGCCTCGTACGCTGTGCACGTGCAGTACGGTCCGTACGACTACGAGACCTACAAGGACGGCATGCTGGCCGGGGGCGAGCTTCTGCCCAAGGGGGTGACCGATCAGTACCAGATGACCCCCGAGATGTGGGAGGAGCGCATCAAGACTTGGTGAGCATCACTGAACCTTAAATCAAGCCACTTGTTGAGAGTGCTTCCCCCAGGTACATGGACCACGAGCCCATGACGCGCGACGAGGTGGAGATGGAGTACCTGAAGATCGCACAGGACCTGGACATGTACGGAGTGAACTACTTTCCTATTACAGTGAGTAAAGGAGCAAAGGACCAATGTCTTCGGATGTGCCAGTTGAACCTAATCATTTTTGCGCTCACCAGAATAAGAACAAAACCAAATTATGGCTGGGCGTCACCTCCGTGGGCCTGAACATTTACGATGAGCGCGACAAGCTAACTCCAAAGACCACGTTCCAGTGGAACGAGATACGGCACGTCAGCTTCGACGACAAAAAGTTTACCATTCGTCTAGTGGACGCCAAAGTTTCGAATTTCATATTTTACTCGCAGGACTTGCACATCAACAAGATGGTAAGCAGTCACTTTTGAATGCCTTGGAATTTGTTACATGTCCCGTCCCTGCTCGGCAGATTCTTGACTTGTGCAAGGGCAACCACGATCTGTACATGCGCCGTCGCAAGCCAGATACCATGGAAATCCAGCAGATGAAAGCCCAAGCCAAGGAGGAGAAGCAGCGCCGCCAGATTGAGCGAAAGAAGTTCATCAGGGAGAAGAAGCTGCGAGAGAAGGCGGAGCATGAACGCTACGAGCTGGAAAAGAGCATGGAGCACCTGCAAAACGAGATGCGCATGGCCAGCGACGCACTGGTAACTGTTCCCTTGAAAGTCTACTCTTGTTCTACGATTGTGTGTTCCTTTAAATTTCAGCGCCGTTCTGAAGAAACCAAGGAACTGTACTTTGAGAAGAGCCGCGTGAACGAGGAGCAGATGCAGCTGACCGAGTGCAAGGCGAACCATTTCAAGACGGAAATGGACCGACTTCGCGAGCGGCAAATGAAGATCGAGCGGGAGAAGCACGACCTGGAGAAGAAGATCCGCGATGCCGACTTCTATGTGCACCAGCTAACGGTGGAGAACGACAAGCGGGAGGCCGAGACGGAGAAGCTGCGAAAGGAACTGATCTGCGCTAAAATGGCCGAGCGCGAAGCCACCGCCCGGCTGCTGAACTTCCTTAATAGCGGTCGCAAGTCTTCGACGGACAGCCTGCTGACCACCTCCAGTGTCTCGCATGTGGCCAACACGGCGTCTAGCATGGCGGCCATTAGCACGCCATCGCTGACCACCAGTAGCTCAACCAATGACATGGAAATCGCCGGCGGTGCCGAACTGACCACCCACTACCTGGCCCAAGGCGACAACTCCAGCGGCATCTCTGACGACTTTGAGCCCAAGGAGTTCATCCTGACCGACAACGAGATGGAACAGATAACTAACGAGATGGAGCGCAACCACCTGGAGTACATGCGAAACTCCAAGAAGCAGGTGCAAAACCAACTGCAGACACTGCGCTCCGAGATCGCGCCGCACAAGATAGAGGAGAACCAAAGCAACCTGGACATCCTCAGCGAGGCGCAGATCAAGGCCGGCGAAAATAAGTACTCCACGCTCAAAAAGCTGAAGTCTGGGTCCACAAAGGCGCGTGTGGCCTTCTTCGAGGAGCTTTGACCGACCTTGTTGCCTTTGTAACATGACTAACCCCTCATCTAGCTGTACGATACTTGTACTTGGTGTGTGCCTGTGCGCGTGCTAGAGTGTGTGAGTGCCTTAACCGTAGGTGTATTATACTATACTAAATGTTTTTCGATTGTTTACTCAAGCCGCTGCTGTAATAAACCAAAATTGCAAGGCCTGGCCCAAAGATAGATGACTCTGTATGATTCTGTGCGCAGGGATGTTTTTGGTTAATGAGAGATTTGAGTTTAAAAAATAAGGTAATATGTTGTTACATATTCCGCTCAGCGGAGGTGTCCAGCGGGCAGCAGCTGTTCACCACGGCGCGGGACCAGCTGCCCACACTGCACATGGAGTTTCCGCCAACTATCGCTCGCACAACACTGGTCTCCGCTGGCTGATCTGCAACAGCGACAAGAAGGACGAAGCGCGTCTGCGCGGTGATTCTGGCCGGCTACAATCTGACCTACTGTCAGCGCTCGACCGGCCGTCCGGACAACTGCACCACGGTTAAGGTGGACCGCTACACGAACAAGAACGTCATCCAGGACCTGGTGCCCTACACGGAGTACAGATGCTTATTTACTCGGAGTCGCGGAGTACAACCGCACCGGCGAGGCGCCGCGGGAGCTGCAGCTGCTCCGGGTGACCAGTGCCAGCGTGGAGCTGGCCTGGAAGACCCCGCTGCTGGCCAACGGCGTGGTGCGGGCGTACGAGGGCACCTTCCGATCGCTCCGCGACAACGTCACCGAGAATTTCCGGGTGGGCGCCTCCACCGAGGAGCTGCTGGACAAGGAGAAGCCCATCAGCTTCACGCTGGGCAATCTCACGGCCTTCACGCACTACGAGGTGAGCGTGCGGGCACGGACACTCTATCTCTCGGATCCCAGCAATGCGATTTACCCCAGCACGGCCATCGGAGTTACGTCCTCACAGATTTTTCTTGTTTTAAGTAATCTGTTAGCGAATTCCATATACTATGTAAAAATGTATATATTATATATTTTTCAATTTACAATCCAGCGACTTAAATATTTTATAATAATCTTATCAAGTAAAAGTGCTAAAAAAAAAAAAAACATGCGCAGTCGTGGTTCAATCCAGCGCCGCCACTGCCGCCGCTGCGTCCGCCTTCTTTCCGCCAGCCCACCTGCTTAAAAAAATGGACAACTACGTGCAGGCTTCGGACTTGCACAAGCTGAAGCCCCTCGTTGCAGCTCCCTTGATGCCATCCGGGGTAGACGTCCTGGCGGGACCTTCGCCAGCAGCCTCGACGTCGCCTTCGCCGTTCCAGCTGCCACCAGTCGGAGCAGCCGGGCAGCCAACTGCACCTACGCCCAAACATCGGCTACACCACCATGGAGCAGCTGCAGCGCACTGGGCTGATAAAGCCGCCGATGCCCGCCGCCGTGGGATCGCCGACGCACGTCGCCGGAGGAGCATCAGCCAGCGGACACCCACACTCTCGTCAGCAGCCACAGATCAATGGCTACGTGACGCCCCAGGACCTGAACGCCCTAGCTCACAATAGGCACGTCCTCTAAAGAGTCGGAGCGCCCATCATCATTGCAAGCACTCACGACGTGTGATTTTATCAATCCCTCGCGTTCGCATCCATAATTCAATTCAAACATCAACCCCGGAACAAGGAACCAAGAACCTGGCACAAGAAACCTAGCAACTAGAGCCTGGAACATCCAATTTCTTCGTTTGTATTTTTTTTTTATACTGTGCTTAAAAAGTTTTTAAATCCAGTCATTTAGTTCGTTCGAATGCTTGCGATAAGGGTCGGCCGGTCTGTCCTCTGCTCAAATTTTAAAAAAACCAGAGTCTGCTCAGTCGCAAAAATCGCTTTGAAGCGATCGGTCGTCTTGGGAATGATACAATAACATAAGATAGTCTCGTCGGATGTATAAACGTGGAGTTTTGGTCAGTGCGTGTTAGTTTTTTGAATAAAAGTTTGTTTGCGGACGAAATTGTTGTGTGCTGCAGACATGTGGATGGCGTGAAATTTATAAAGGTACCGAAATGTTAAAAAAAGAAAGCTTTGTGGGAGGATTGGCTGGGAAAATAAAAGAATTTGAGTTTATATTTTTACATTTCGTTAACAATAGTTTTAAAATAACAAGAAATGTAAAAGAGCCTTAATAATCGCAGCCGAATATGTTATCTGGTCATGTCAGTCTGTCCATCCATTTCTACGAAAACTAGTCTTTCAGTTTTGAAACTATCTGCATGCAACTTTCCAGAAAAAAAGTAAGTTCGGGTCGCACAATTATATAATATTTCTCCAATAGAAACAATCAAAAAATTAATGAGGAAACATATAACTTCGTTGATTTCAGACATACATACATATACGTTTTTACTCCGTGATGTAGTAATTTCCTACAATTTCAGGATTACTGTTTTAATTTTTTTTAAGTAATAGCTGTCATAGGAGCGTTCGAAAAATGTCTTGGAAAATCGACATATATTCGTTTTATAGCAAATTATCATTTTTTTTAATATATACATATATAGACTTCGTCTTGCTGAAAGTTTTTTGTACCATGGTGTCTTTCTCCTTGTGAATGAGTTACAGTATATAACCTACCGCTCGGCAACACCCTCCTCAGCTTAACTTATACAACCCGATAAAATTTTGATGCCACCAAAGTGATAAAAATTACAGATAATTAAAAAATAAGATTTACTGTATGTATTTTTCGGTATTTGGTCGGCCGCAATCCTTTTCAGCCCACTTATCTCCGATGAGAATAAAACAAAAATGACGTATAATCTAAAACCAAAGTAGCTTTATTACTGTTTTAAAACATGTGATCATTTACATTTAATTACTTAGTTTCACGTCCTTCACTAAACAAATAAACGTAGTTCCGATCGCTTTCGAATCGGTCCAGCTCCAGTACCTGCCCACCCACCCAATCCCCCGATGATGTTTGCTCACCTGAATACTCTTCCCTCCGACGAGCCGCGATATATAGTAATAGTACTTACAGGGTATACATTGATTTCATACTTTATATAGACAGTGAGCGCACGAAAGGAAACGTTTCGAAAGTGTTTGATTGAGGGATGCAATCGGGAATGGGAACTCACTAGATCCGTCCGAACTCCCAAAAAGTCTGTTTTACGCATACGAATGCTTAGAGTAAAATAAAAATTATTGTGTTTTGGGGTTTCTCTCTTTTACTAAGGAATTTCAAATAGTTTTACGTCTTTTGTTAACACCATGGAATATTTTGTTAAATGTATATACCCCTATATACACACATATAAACTTACAGTAGATATCGGTAACATGCAAATCCCTTGTATGCAAATTACGCCTATATGCAACGAACTTTGTACAGTTTTATTCTTTTGAACGGATAGGATAAATAACACTTGGAGATTACTCTTATATTAATGAATCAATAAACATTTTTACTATTTGTATTGCTTGAATGCAACTGTTTAAGCATATCACACAATGCATGCAAACACTTTGCCTCTAAACAAGTATCACTTATCCAGCCATTGCATATGTGCGATATCTACTGTAGGTTGTCCCGTTTGCAGTTGTGTAATTTAAAGAACAGTTTCGCATTGCGAGAGAGGGAGGCAACATAGCAGGGATGCGGTGCTGACTAACCATTGTAAATTAGCACCCGAACGGACCCAGACTGCCTGACCGAACCACAGGATTCTACGTCTATCCCCAGAAGCTCCGATGTCTGCACCGAGCGTTTGGATCTACACCGCGATTCTCTGTCAGGCACACAATAACATTGTACGTTCATTAATAATGACAAACGATAGCACAAACCTGTTCAAATTTATTGAAAAACATTAAAGTTCGCAGGAAAGTTAAATGCTTGAAATGTTACTGTTCAAATGTATGTGTGGTGCAAGATATATGCTGGATATATGCATATTCAAATTGATATTAGACTAACACATTTCCGCTTTAAGGGTTCTCAGGTGTCTTACAGGGCTTTCAGATCTCTCGTGAGCTCCCGAAAAGTAAACAATTAAAAAAAAAAAATGAACTACACAAGTGCCGACACTTTGGTATGCGATCTCTATCTAACCTTCTTACCGGCGACATATCTTTAAATATCTCTCCGTTCTCTAGGCTCCTATGCTCGTGTGGAGTTGTCTATCTGTGTCACGGGGTGTGTGTGGTTGTGTGTGTATAAAGGATTCAAGATATTCCCGGCTTGATGGGGAATAAGCGATCAGCAGCTCTGGCCGTGGAATTTGTGTGTGGGGTTTTTAGGAGAAGGACCCCGTCCCCCTTTCTCATCGTGTTCTCTTTGTGGTTCTCATTCGCGTTCTCCAGGGCTATAGTGGTAGATATATATGTAGTTCGTAGATATATAGACAGGTTGTGTACAGTTTGGAAATGGCTTAACGTTGTTAACTCAGGGATAACTGGTTGAGGGACAACAGTCGCTCCACCGCCGCATTGATGTCCCCAAAGGTGGCGATCAGAGCTGTGGAGTACGAGAGATCGCATTAGAATCGGGATGGTCAAGCGGCTAATTGTAGCAAAGAATCTCACCCTGCAAGTTGGCATCCCGGTTGGCGAAGCCCATCGCTTGCAGCTGCTCCAGCTGCGACTGGTAGCGAACCTCCGGTGGCTGCGTGCCGTCCGCGTTATTTGACATCCCGTTGAGCATGCGCATCATGAAGTCGTTAAAGAGCTGCGCGTTGGGACCACCGCCCGGAGCCAGACTCGGGCCGCCGGCGGCGGGGTTGCCTGCGGTGAGCCCACTGCTCGGCGAGACGTTGTTGGTGGTGGCTCCGCTGTTGCCACCGCTCCCATCGCCACTGGCTGGATCCGTGGCAGAGTTGACGCCCGGCGGCGGCGGAGGAATGCCAAGGGTGCCAACGAGACCTGGGGCCGCGCTGCGTAACTGCTCCATGCCCTGCTGGATCTGCAGGATGGCGTTCATCGCGTCCGGGTTGGTCAGCATGCTCATCACTTCAGGGTTTTGCATCTGGGCCATGAACTGCGGCATCATCTGACGCACCTGCTCCTGCAGGGCGGGATTGTTTGACAGAAGCGGGCTGCTACTGAGCAGGCGCGAGGCCATGTCCGGGTCCTGCGACATGGACTCCATCATGGAGCGCGTGTACGGCGCGTTAAGCAGGTTCTGCATCATGGCCGGGTTGTCGGCCATCTGCTGAAGCAGGCTCCGCATGGCCGGCGTGTTCAGAACGTTGTTCGGCGGCAGGTCCCCTGTCCGATTGCCCGTCCCAGTGCCGCTTCCAGCGCCTGTGCCGTTCGTTCCCGAATTGGCCCCGCCGCCGCCCCAGGGATTCGGCAGAGGATTCCGATTCTCGGTGCCCTGCTGCGGATTGATTACGGCCCCACCACCTCCGTCCACCAGCCCTGCAAAGGGGTTACGGCCAAAGGACTCGGTGGCCGCGTTCATCATGGGCTCCTGAATGTCGCGGTAGATGCGCTGCAGGGCGCTGTAGCCGCCCGGCACCGACTCCAGGTTGGACATGGCCCGGTCGTGCGATCGCATCAGTTCCTGCAGCATCGAGGGATTGCGGGCCAGCTCCATCGTCTGGCGCAACAGGTCGGGATTGTTGAGCATGTGCGAGATCTCGGGGTTCCGCTGCATCAGGTCCTGCATCTGGGGATTCGATGTGATCAGTTGACGCATGGTGTCCGGGTTGTTCATCATCTGCTGCACCAGCGGGTTGTCCATTAGGGAGCGCAGCATGTCACCATTGTTGAGCAGCTCGTTCTGCATGCGCGCCTGCAGGTCCATAAAAGTGTTCGACCCGGCGCCCAGTGCCTCCATTCCGGCCAATCCACCGAACTGATTCAGGCCGAAGGGCGTCTGGCGCACGTCCGCCGGTTGGCGGGCCGGGACCTCATTGTTGCGCGTGGGCGCCTTAATCACCAGGTGTACCGTGAGATTGTCCTTGATGTTATGCATTTTGAGCGTGTCCGTGTCCTTCATAATTTTGCCGGCAAAAATGAGCACTAGCTGCTCGGGCTCCGCCTCGAACTTTTGTGCAACCAGAATTTTGAACTGTGGGGCGAAGATGGTATGATTGGTTTGAAATTGGGAGATCTACTTTTCCCATTTTGATTCCCCATGGAAATATATGTCTGTACAGGCACACAATTGCACTTTGCCACCCCTATAATGTTGCAAAGGCAAAGTGCACTGTTCCAGCGCCATACGGTGTGGCTTAGGCAAGTTGCACTGTACCTAGCCCATAGTTATGGTTTAGGCAATCGCGCTGTACCACGATTACAGGCATTAATTGGCCCGCCCCGGGGAGCAACTGCAGCAGGGGAGGAGGAAGAATCGATCGGGATTGGGGAGTGGGAAAGGGACCAGACCAGACTTGGCCAGACAACACACCACGCCAGTGGGTCACGCGCACCGTTACTCACATCTTTTATTCCAGAATCTTCGTCAACCTCGACCGTCTTCTTGTCCTTTGGCGTTTTTACAACCACGTTGATGCGCTTGCTGCCGCCTTCCGCCATTTCGCTGGTGTAGTTGTCGTGTTTTCGGGTTGTTTTTCCTGCACCGATTTAGCTCGTAGTGTCTAAATATTGTCACAACTGAAATTTTTAAGCTGCTCTGGATAGATACGTGTTTTCAAACTAAATTATTTCCCATTTGATGAAAAGTAATTCGTCACTTTCTCACTCACACACACACACACACACTCACGCTCAGTTCGATTTTGATTGCTACACATGCCAGGGTTGCCGCGTCTTACGCTATCGATATATCGATGACTGAGCTGTAAATTACACTTTTATCGGTTTTCAAACAGTGCGCACTGTTTAAACAGGCAGTTTCTGGAAGCCATTAAGCAAGTGCATCAACTCTACGCAAAGAAATTCAAATTACGTACATAATGATAAACGAGTACACTTATCGCGCCCAATATGACCGTTCGCTCACGTAGCCCTTGTCATATCGCGTATCGAGCTGCGATAAGTTTCGATAAGCGGTCACACTGCAGACCAGAAAATCGTCGACAATAACGCGATAACGGGGGCAGGGAGGATAGCGATCGCCGTCCTTCGCCTTTTGAGGATTCGATTCTGCATCATCGAGACAGATTTAAAGGAGCAAACAAAAGTTATATAAACTATAGACATTAGTGCTTTGGTAGAGAAGAAGTGAACCCCCGAAAAATCAGCCCCACCTGGCAGCGAGATGTGTTAGAGCCAAAATTCCAGGAACGCAGCGTACCGAGAACTGCCTACTAATACAGAGACAGACTGACACGGCCAGCAAGGTGTTCTTGTGTGTGTGCGAGAGAGAGAAATAGAGAGTTCGGTGTGTCGGTGTCCGCGTGTGTGTGAGAGAGAGCCACCAAAGTAGAGTGGAACATAATAACAGCAGAAGCTGGAAAGGATTAGGATTAGGAACATGGCGCCGCAGGTGCAGCTCGGCCTGCTCCTCATGCTGCTCGCCGGCTGCCATGGTGGCGCACAGGCCGCCGTGGAGCCGGGCTGGCTGATTCCCGACAAGGTGGAGCTGGCCATCGGCGGCGACTTCAACATCAGCTGCACCCTCAACGAGGCCTACTTCAGCGAGGTCAACGGCTCGGAGCGCTGCACCGTCGATGAGCTATACTTTCAGACCGGCAATCTACAGTTTCGCAATTCGACATATATCCGAATGCTAAACAACACTACCATCCTGTTTAGCGCCCATAACGCCGCCGAGCAGGAGCAGGAGTACCTGTGCATGTGTCGCGACTACGTAATCAACACCTCAAAGGTATACGTGGGCACCAGTCCGCTGCTGGTTCGCGATTTCAATTGCCTGGACCACGACTTCCAGTTCATGGTGTGCAACTTCACCCAGCCGCCCAACAAGGTCATCACCAAGTACAATATCAGCTATAACACCAACAACGACTGGCGCTACAGCAACTCCCTGGACTGCAACTTCGATGCGGCGCCGGTGGTGAGTTGCAATCTGACGGACGACAACTACAAGCGCTTCAGCGAGATCTTCTACTTCCGCCTTTTCATTGCGAACGGCCTGGGCCACGAGACGCAGCCAATCACAATAAATCATTTTGAGCGCTTGGTGCCGGCTCGGCCTGGTCAAAACTTGACCCTGGTCAACCGGACGGAGAGCTCCGTCTGCTTGTCGTGGGGGATGCCACGGCGGTCGAACTACAATCGCGGCCTGGTCTGGCAGGTACGCGTCTCGCCGCACAACTTTGAGCCCCTGAGCCGGACCAGCTGGCGCAACATAAGCTCGACGATCAAGGATACCCTCTGCCTCACGGAATTGCCCTTCGCCGGCTACAACTATACGCTGCGGCTGCGCGTGCGCGCCAACCAAAACAACACGTTGTGGAGCGAGCCGTTGGTCTACGGCTTCGCCACCGCCCCGGCCCGACCACGCCGCCCGCCGCGCGTCACCTACGGCAGCTTCTACGTCTACTCCTCGGAGGAGGGCATGCGCTTCTACTGGGAGCCCCTGGAGCCGCACGAGCTCAACGGGCCGGACTTTCGGTACATAATCAGCGAGTACCGCATCAACGGGACCGTCGTGTGAGTACATACACATAAATAAGCGACATAAGATAAGGGCATCTTGACATCTTGGCACTTTGGCACCTAATTAGTCATTGGCAAACCTGTCTGCTATCAATAAATATGTTCTGCGGCGGAGAGTTCAGCGGAATGTCGACTTCTTGCGAATCAGTATCGCAAGGCATACGGCGTAGTATTGGCACAAGCACACACGCCGAGAGCCACATTTTCATTGTGGGGTTCCGTAGAAAATGTTTATTTTTAACAATTCGTCCGAAGTGCCGCTGTACACATGCACAGAAGCAGAAGCACTAAAGCAGAGGCAAAAACCCGTTCATTAGGGGTAAGATGGGAGGCGTTTTATGCGAATGCATTTCCAGAGAAATCGGAGGAAGCCCATCCGCCAGCACAATACCCTGCACTCATCTTCCTGCGGTGTCTGTATCTCAAATTGTGACACCATTGTTAGGTCTTAATACTTGGCTACACATTTTGTTTATTTAAGAACCCAACGAGAACAGGTCCTTTTAATTATTAATTCATTTTTTGTGTGTGTTTGAAGTTTCAACATATTAATTATTTCCATTATACCCCTCTGCAGAGGGTAACGCTGTGTTTATGTGGGAATTTTCACGAAAACATACCCCATACCAGGCCGAAATTCTCTACCCTTCCACAAAATATTTGGCTACTTGAAGGCAATTAGAGGAGGAGTCGTATCGGAATCGACAAAATATAAATCAAATAGCGTTATTAAAAAGCAGCCAATAGGTATACACACTTATGTATGTATATACAGTCAACACAATATTTATTCGGACACCCGTGATTTTGATTTTGATTCATTAATAACTCAACAAAAACGTAACGAAAACAAACAATTTATATTTCATCGTGAAGGTTAACATTCTTAGAATATATTTTTACAAAAAAATAAGGAACTTTCAACAGTAAAATTAGATATTTTCTTAAATTAACTTGAAAAGTCATAATTTTACGCACAGAAATTATTCGGACACTTCATATAATATTAAAAAAAAAACATATTTCTTGATGTTTTAATATTTTTAATATTTGGTGGGTCCTCCACTAACATCAATGACAGCTTGTAAGCGTCGACCCATGCTTTTACCAAGTTGCTTGTCTCATTAGCGCTAATTTGACCCCATTCAGCCATCAATGCAGTTTTTAAGGACTCCCTGGACGAAATGACGTGCTTCCGAATCCTTTTCTCAAGAATATCTCAAACATGTTCTATGGGACTTAAATTAGGTGACTGGGGAGGTGTTTTCAGCTGCTTGCAGTGATATAAAAGCCACTCTTGCACCAAAGACGAAGAATGTTGTCTTGTTGAAACAACAATGTCTTCGGATCTAGACCAAGTTTTATATAACTTGGAATCAAATTTTCGCTTAAAATGTTTTTGTAGATATTCTTATTAATTTTGTCGTCAATAAAGACCATTTGACCGACTTCTTCTACCGATACACACCCCCACATCATTACATTCCCGCCACCATGCTAAACAGTTGGAATTAAGTTCTTCTCATTCATGGCTTCATTTGGTTTCCTCCACACTTTCGAGGGCCCATAGTGTCCAAATATGTAAAATTTGGATTTGTCGCTTAAAACTACGTTCTCCCAAAACGAATCCGGGAGGTTATATGCAGTTTTCCAAACTCCAAACGCTTTTTTTTGTTGATGGCAGAAAATAATTGCTTTCGACGAGCAACTCTGCCATGTAAACCAGCCTTGTACAGGTAGTTTCGGATGGTTTTGGCCCAAACTTTTTTTATTTTCGCTTGCTCTACATTCTTTTGAATTGTTGTAGATGTTGTTTTCGGATTTTTCAGGACTGTAGACATAAATTTCCGTCCCTCACGTGAGTACAAAATCTTAGACCTTCTAGCTTTCTTGTGATTTGAAGCTCATTATTCCGTTTTTAAGTATTTTTGGATTATACTATGTATTGTGGAAGGTGATTTTCCATTAATACGACCGATTTCGCGATAACTACGATTTTCCAAAAATGAATTTAAGATAGGTTTTCGAAAATCTAGTGACAAATCTTGAACTCCTTTTATTTTGACCAATCGTATCAAAAAAACACATAAAAACTAACAAAAAACAAAAAAAAAGCACGCCTAAAATTACTCCGAAGTAATTTCAACTAAACTACTTTAAAAAGAATCGCCTATTACCGTTGTGCTCAGAAATAAACACAATAAATGAGAAATGTACGAATAATTTTTGTGCAACATTTTAGCAACTTTTTTGCTTTTCTTTTAATATTTTTAAGGCTAATTTAAAAAATTACATTTTTGTTTGTGTAATGTCTTCTGAAAATCACTGTTTCTATGATAAGTAAAAAAAAACCTGCTAAAATTACGAAAATTCCGGCAAATAAGCTGTTAAACTTGATAATAGACAGTGTCCGAATAAATTTTGTGCTGACTGTATGTTTTTTTTTAAGAATCGATAATTTCAAACAATAACACCTTTTGGCGCGATAAGAAACCGGTGTCAATCGCAATTTCTAGACTTGAAAGTTCTGATATCAAATATTGTGAAGAAAAAAATAACAAAAAAAAGTGCAAGCAAACGCCACCTTGTTTAAAATACTCTTCTAAAGCTCTAAAAAAACGTTAAAAAAAGGTTTTTAGTTGTTTGTGAATATACAAATTCGTCCAAAAGTATGCAACAAAAAATGGAAATAAGAAATATTAACATTTTACAACAAATATATAGAGCTGTGTTCGCCGAAATAGCAGTGCGACAGAAGAACAACTACAGTGGCTCACAGCTTATTTCGTGCACACGTAAACTTAAAATTCAAACTCATATAGCTGGCAAACTATACTGAATATGAAAAAGATTTAAATGCAGTTATGTTTCGTAGTATTTTGGCATTTATAAAGTCACTTTATTATTTTTAAGTTCCTTTGGATAACACTTAAAACTTAGTTTTAAACTAAAAATACAGACTTTTTTAGGTCAGCTTATTTCGTGCAAGGAACTCAATGTTAAATATATTGACTATTAAATAACTTAATTCTTTGTGTGGCCTTCCTTCTCACGATGGGATCGAGGACCAACATGCACACATACATACATATGTACAAATAATAAAAACTGTCATGCAGCAGGAAAATGATCCTAAACATACTAGCAATTTGGCCAAGTAGTAGTTTAGTAAAGAAAAGTTGATGAAATGCCATGGCCAGTCTTCTGATTTAAATCCATTGAAAACTTATGGGGGGACATTAAGCGCTACGTATCACAGAAGTCCCCGACTTCTAAGCCGCAGCTTTGGTAATTTGTGCATCAGGCATGGGGCCAGATTCCCCTCAAGCGTTGTCAAGATTTGGTGGACTCCATGCCACGTAGGTGTGAGGCTGTGATAGCTAATAAAGGCTATTTAACCAAACACAGCTGTAAACAAATTAGCTTTAACTTTTGATAAGCCATATATGTATAAACATACATACTTACAGCGGGCATGTATAACATTAAAAATGATTTGGTTTAAAACTAAAACGATTTTAGCTTTAAAATTTATCATTATACCATTTAGACGATAGAGACAATTATGTGTGCGCATAAATAATCATTTAACCAGTTTAAGCAATGCTGTATAAAATGCTACTAGCCATTTGAATTGGTCGATGTGTCCCAAAAAAAAGTTAATTTGTAATATAGGCACATTTCCAAGCAATTCCTCTAAAATCTAATCTTTAGAATACACCTTAAAATACACCACATTTTTGTGTGGCGTGTTATATAAATATATAAAAAATATGTGTCAGTAAACTAATAAAAATTCGAAATAATACTTTTACGACTTTTTTACGAGACTCTATTTTCGTGGAATCTAATCACAATTGTACAAATAGCATTTCAAAAGAATTTCAGATTAAACATAAATTGAATTATAAATTTGTATTTAATCTGAACTTTGTTTTTTTTGAAATGCTAGTCAAAATCTTAAACGTGAAATACTAACCTTCAAAAATTTTAACAGAGTACAAAGAAATGAATAGATAATGTAAACGTACTTAAGTACTTCATATTTTTTTTATTTACGGGACGGCAAAAGGGGTGTGTCTTTATTTGAATCAAGCTTGATATTCGAGTGTTGCATACAGTGGACCAAAAAAGTTTAAGTACACCATAGTCGTGCAACTTAATACAGTCAAAACGCTATTAATTAAATCAGATATAATTTTCAAACAATTTCGGTTTGGTAGGTTATAGATTTTTAGAACATAAAAGTCTTTTTGTTTCCTTATTTTATAAAATAACAAGATAATAAAAAAAAATCGGAAAAATACTTCAAATTCATAGTCAAAAAAGTTTAAGTACACCTAAGATAAAATTAGCTCCTAGCTCGTTAATATTTGGTTGGACCTCTTTTTGCAGCAATAACTGCTAGTAGACGTCGGTGCCTACTATGTACCAACACTTTTGTGTCCTTTTTCTCAATTTTTTCCCACTCAAACTGCAAAATCATCTTAAGGGACTCTTTTGACGATATTTGGTGTTTTCTGATCCTTTTATCCAACAAATTCCAAACGTGCTCAATGGGATTGAGATCTGGAGACTGTGGAGGTGTATGCAATTGCTTGCAGTTGTAGAGCAGCCACTCCTTGACCAAAAGGAGGTGTGTTTGGGGTCGTTGTCCTGTTGAAACAGAAATGTAGTCTCATTCGCGCTGGATCTCGCTGTCCTTAAGATTATCCTTTAAAATTTTAAGGTATAGATGCTTGTCAATTGTAGTGTTTATAAACACAAGTTTCCCAACTCCAGCTGTCCCAACACACCCCCAGACCATCACGTTACCTCCGTCATGCTTAACGGTTGGTGTTAAATTTTTAAGCTCCAATGCTGTGTTGGGTTTCCTCCATACTTTTTGGGAGCCATCTGAACCAAAAATATAAAATTTTGACTCATCACTCCAGATAACGTTGTCCCAAAATGAATCCGTCTCGTTTACATATTTGTATGCCTCTTCTTTCGATTTACCAAGGAAATCAATGGCTTTCTACGAGATGTTCGTGCGTTGGACCCCTCCTTGTGGAGCACATTTCGAACAGTTTGGGGGTGAACTGTTTTGCCTGAGCTTCGAAATATTTCCTCCTGTATTTTTGGTGCTGAATTTTTAGGATTGGCCTTTATTGAGCCAAGGATTTGGCGTTCATCCCTATCGGTCAATATTTTGAGACGACCGGAACTTGGCTTTACTTGGAGGGTTCCAGAGTTCCCGTAGGAATTCATAATAGTTTGCACGCTGGATGGAGGCCTCTGAAGCATCCTACCAATAGCACGAGCCCCTTTTCCTTCCAAATAATGTTTTAAAATTATTTTTCGAGTTTCAAGTGAAATTTCGCTGTCTCGACCCATTTTGACCTCTCACTCCAGCAAAATCAAATGAAATGAACTTAAAATGCATAAAAATGCAAGCATCAGAAGTAGACTGAAGGAAGAATTCGCGATCACCGTCAGATTTGAAAGGGGAATTCCAAAGAAACAGAGAGACGACGAGTGTACCTAAACTTTTTTGTTGTGATTTTTAGCCATTTTTTTTGGTTTTCTATGAATATAATGTTCACGAAGGAGTGACGTAGTTAATTTTGGTATATTCGAAATCCTAAAGATTAAGTTTATTGAAGTTAAAAAAAAAATATTAATTTTGATAAGTTTTAATACATATTTTTAACAATAAACACTGAGGTATGAAGTGTACTTAAACTTTTTTGGTCCACTGTAAGTAAATCATCTTATTTTTATATTACCACTTGTAAAGCAACTTTTCTTCCGTTTTCCTCTTTCCTCTGCAGAGATCCTAGCCTTATCAAGGTGGAGTCCAACTCGGCGATGATCGAGCATTGGAACAAGAACGCCGTCCACCACTTCCTCATTCGAAGCAGCAACAGCCAGGGCCAGTCCGTGAACGCCACCCCGATGTCGATTGGCCCGATTAGCAACCTTGACTTCCGCCAGCGGGTGCCGAAGAACATTCGCAGCGTTTACCATCCGACCAACAAGAGCTACACGCTCAGCTGGGAGCCGCCGGAGGACCAGGTGGAGCTGAAGAACTACACCGTGTTTTGGTGCGTTCCCAAGCCGGGCCTGTTGTCGGAGTGTGAGGGGTCGATCCGCTTCGCGGAGGTGTCCAGCGGGCAGCAGCTGTTTACCACGGCACGGGACCAGCCCTCACTCCACATGGCAGTGTCCGCCAACTATCGTTCGCACAACACGGGTCTCCGCTGGCTGATCTGTAGCAGCGACAAGAAGGACGACCTGGCCAAGATGGAGCCCTCGATAGACGTGGCCACCAGCACCACGCTGACGGTTAGTTGGGGCACGGAGCGCGTCTGCGCAGTGATTCTGGCCGGCTACAATCTGACCTACTGTCAGCGCTCGACCGGCCGTCCGGACAACTGCACCACGGTTAAGGTGGACCGCTACACGAACAAGCACGTCATCCAGGGCCTGGTGCCCTACACGGAGTACAGCGTCAAGATGCTAATGTACTCGGAGACGCGGGCCAGCAAGTACAGCGATGAGCTGGTCAACCGCACCGGCGAGGCGGCGCCCAGTCAGCCGCGGGAGCTGCAGCTGCTCCGGGTGACCAGTGCCAGCGTGGAGCTAGCCTGGAAGCCCCCGCTGCTGGCCAACGGCGTGGTGCGGGCGTACGAGGGCACCTTCCGATCGCTCCGCGACAACGTCACCGAGAATTTCCGGGTGGGAGCCTCCACCGAGGAGCTGCTGGACAAGGAGAAGCCCATCAGCTTCACGCTGGGCAATCTCACGGCCTTCACGCACTACGAGGTGAGTGTGCGGGCACGGACACTCTATCTCTCGGATCCCAGCAATGTGATTTACCCCAGCACGGCTATCGGAGGTAAGTCTTCACAGATTTGTCTTGTGCTAAATACTCTGTTCGCAAGTTTCAGAAATATATTATATGTATTAAATATTTTTCAAATTACAAAATTCATAGCAAAATTATTGGTCTTATAGAACCAGTTGATTCCAATTTGAAAAATCAGTTTCCAATATATATGTACATACATACACTCGCCCGCATATCTCTACACCCCAAAAAATGTTCAATATCTAACTTTAAACCCTAGCTGTTCGGCCATTTAAGCATATATTCAACCCATTCTTTTTTTAAACATAATTATAGTTTATTGTCTTCATTGACGTATTTTTTAAGAATTATTCAACAGGGTCTTATATTTTATTTTTAATTTTAAACTTAACACTACCAAAAAATGTACCCGGAAAAGTCTGCGTACAGCAGTTTTCAACTTCTTGGAATGCAGGATTGTGCGATTACCGTTAATTTTGTTGTCGCCGATCTACTTTAGAATGTCTAAAACTTTTTCATTACAATAACGAGCATATTGCAACATGGAATAAAAAGGCAAGGAAATTTCTGTTGAGGAGCGGAAAATTATAATAAAAAGGTTTTTGGATAGAAAATTTTATAGAGAAATTGGTGCTTTAGTTGGTAGAACCCCCTCAACCATCCAAGAGTGATAAATAACTACAACTCGACTGGAAGTATCTTGCCAAAGGCTCGTTCTGGCCGTCCGCCTTTGCTTACAAACCGCGAGCAGAGGAATATTATGAAATCTATTCAGCTCAATCCAAGGACGACAGCTCATCAGGCAAAGCTGAAGGTCGAGGATAGATTTTCCACCTAACCTAACCTTTGCTAGTGAGTATATTTCCAAACACCAAGACTTCCGGAATAAGGTTATATTTTCCGACGAAAGTAAATTCTGTAAATTTGGAATCAAGGGAAAAGTTTTGGTATGGAGGAAAAGCGGAGAAGCCTTTAATAAAGAAAATTAGGTTGGCACAGTAAAGCTCGGAGGAAGCGGAATAATGGTGTGGGGGTATATGGCAGCAAGTGGCGAGTCAATAATGGATCAGAAAATCTATATAGACAATAATATTATTTATATTTAAAATAGGTGTACGCAGACTTTTGCGGGTACATTTTTTGGTAGTGTTAAGTTCAAAATTGAAAATAAAATATAAGACACTGTTGAAACATTTTTGAAAAAATATGTCAACGAAGACAATAAACTATAATTATGTTTAAAAAAGAATGGGTATAATATATGCATAAATGGCCGAACAGCTAGGGTTTAAAGTTAGATTTTGAAATTTTTTTTGGGTGTACGCAGAGATATGCGGACGAGTGTAAAAAAACATTTTTTTTTTCATTTTAAAAATGGTACGACTATTGATTCCAATTAGTATTCCGGAAATCCCGAATTCCATGATTTATGAAGGCAGATTAGCAAAAAATTTGGGGAATTCAATGAACTCATTGATAAGCACAAATCGGGAAATTTCATGAGTTTGTTAAGACCCAACATATGCATCTCACTATGACTCAATATGATTTATTAAGGCAGATTCCTACTTTGTTGACCCCAAAAGTAATTTTGAGAAAAACGCTTTTAAAGTTCCATTGAAGTATGAAATGAGCGCGACGCGGACCTAAAAAGTTCAAGTCGTTATTCCTGCTAAACTAAGAAAGATAACAGAAAAATTTAAATACAGTATTTTAAAAGGGTATATTAACTTGTTTATTAAATTAAAACGATTTCCTTAATCATAAAAACAAAACACTTATTAAATAAAAACAAAATGTGCAGGCTTTTTTCAAGCCGCAGCTTATTTCGTGCAGTTCATTCTTCTTAACTTATTATTTGTAAATTAAAAGCTAATATTTTGTATGTCCTCTTTTCTGGTTCAGGACAGCTTTGAGACGATTTCCCAAGGAAGAAACTAACTATTTAGTGGTTTCTACTGGAATTTTTGGCCATTCTTCCATAAGAACACTTTTCATTTCGTTTTTGTTCGAAATCTTCCTCTTCCTTATAGCGATGTCCAATATTTCCCATAAATTTTCGATCACATTTAAATCTGGAGACTGTGCTGGCGTTATGACGACATGAGGGCAGTTCCAGACAAGTTAAACCTTCACAATTCCTGCTGAATTCGAAATCGATCGCGTTTGCCCAGTTTTTTAGCAGTTTGGAGCAAGTTTTCCTTTAAAATCTGTATGTACATCTTGGCCATCCATGATAACTTAAAACAAGAAAGGAAAGCTAACTTCGGGCGGAGCCGAAGTTGATATACCCTTGCAGAATATTCTGTAAATTATATTCTCCAAAATCGGATCGGTTATTCATATGATGCATTCTTAATACTCATAAAAAATCCCAACTTCCTAACTTTAAAAACACCAAAGTTATGTCATTTCCAATCGTTCAGTTATATGGCAGCTATAGGATATATTCGGCCGATCCTTATGAAATTTGGTAGGTCGAATTGATTGTCCAAAAATAAAACCCATAGATAATCCCAGCTTCCTAACTTTACAAACACCAAAGTTATGGCATTTCCGATCAATCAGTTATATGGCGGCTATAGGATATAGTCGTCCGATCCTTATGAAATTTGGTAGGTCAGACTAATTGGCCAAAAATAAACCTCATAGAAAATCCGAACTTCCTAACTTTAAAAACACCAAAGTTATGGCATTTCCGATCGTTCAGTTATATGGCAGCTATATGATATAGTTGCCCGATCTGGCTTGTTCCGACTTATATACTACCTGCAGTAGAAAGACAACTTTTGGGAAAGTTCAAGCAGATAGCTTTAAAACTGAGGGACTAGTTTGCGTAGAAACGGACGGACAGACGGACGGACAGACAGACGGACGGACAGACGGACATGGTTAGATCGACTCTCCTGGTGATGCTGATCAAGAATATATATACTTTATAGGGTCGGAAATGTCTCCTTCACTGCGTTGCAAACTTTTGACTGAAATTATAATACCCTCTGCAAGGGTATAAAAAACACGAGGTTGCCCCGCCAGAAGCTGCGATACAGGCCCAAGCATAACCATAGCAAATGATTAAAAGGTCAACGGATTTTTTTAGGTTGCCTCCCAAGTTTAGATTAAAAGCTTTTGGATTTAAGAGGTAGTGGGATTGTAATTAAAGCAAATTACAACAAAAACAAATTAGAAAAGGAAAATTTTGCTGATATAGATTTCTTATAAAAGTTTATCAAATTACCTGTGTTTTGCTATAATTAGTGTTGAGCATATAATAATAATTTTAGAAGATAATATTGTGGCCTGCTTGCACTTCTTTATAGAAAGCCCATATATGTAAATTATGTTTCCTTAATTAAAGTGTTACCTTGTCCACAGTGCCCTCGCCGCCAACGCTTCTGGTGACCAACAACAAGGACCAGAGCTCACGACTTGTCTGGCAGGCGCCCATGACACCGGCTGGCCGCATCGACTTTTATGAGATCTCGCTTCGGGACAACAACGCCAGCTGCCTGATGAGCACCATTCTACCGGGCCGTAACCGCTCCTTCGTGATGGCCACTCCGCGCTGCACCAGCCACAATCCCTTCCAGCTGGCAGTCCGCGCCATCAACGTGGAGCAGCATCCGCAGTTCGACGGACCGGATGGAGTCGGCGCAGTGCAACTGGTTTCTACCGGTTCTCAGGGATGTGAGGCAAGGACCGACGCCCTCGACGAGGAGCATCGGCTGCAGTTTGAGACCTACGCAGCCAACACGAGCGCCTACCGACTCTACAGATCCGACTGGGGCACCTACGGGTTCATCTGCACGCCGGACACGCACAGCGTAAAGGCTATGTACCAGACCATCGAGGTGAGCGTGGCGATCCTGGTGCTGGGCGTCATATTCTACCTGGGGTACAAGAAGTACCGCAAGATGTCCGATATCCATTTGGTGCTGCCGCAGGGAATTATGGAGACCCTGAAGAAGCCAATGGACATGGGCGGCCTGGGCCTGGGCATCGGACCAGACTCCTCCGTCAGCGGAGGAATCGTCTGCACCCGGGTCGATGATTCGCCGCCGTACACGCCACAGGATCTGCCGCACGACTTCAGCAGCTGCGGCAGCGAAAGCTCTAAACTACTGCTGCGCACAGCTTCGACCGGCGGCTGTGCGGATCGCGATGGATACCCGCCCACCACTTACTTGGCCATGCGCCACGGCCTTCTCGTCCAGAATGACAGCGAGCGGCAAACGGAGTGCGAACAGACGAGAGAACGGGAGCAGCAAAATCAGCACGAGAGGGACATGGACAGGCACCAGGAGCAGGAACTGGAGCAGGAGCAACAGCAGAGGAGCTCCACCAATGGCTACATCAAGCCCACCCAGATGAAGAGCTGGGCCGGCAACGGTCCTTCCGCAAATGGTCACGCCTTGCCAGTTCCTTCGACCGCTCCGATGTCCTCCCCGCTCAGTGGTTATGTGCCGGTCCCCATTCCGCAGTCGCGGTTCAATCCAGCTCCAGTTCAAGCCATTGCGCCGGGATCTGTACCGTCCGCCGCCACTGCCGCCGCTGCGTCCGCCTTCTTTCCGCCAGCCCACCTGCTTAACATGGACAACTACGTGCAGGCTTCGGACTTGCACAAGCTGAAGCCCCTCGTTGCAGCTCCCTTGATGCCATCCGGGGTAGACGTCCTGGCGGGACCTTCGCCAGCAGCCTCGACGTCGCCTTCGCCGTTCCAGCTGCCACCAGTCGGAGCAGCCGGGCAGCCAACTGCACCTACGCCCAAACTGGCCGACATCGGCTACACCACCATGGAGCAGCTGCAGCGCACTGGGCTGATAAAGCCGCCGATGGCCTCCGCCGTGGGATCGCCGACGCACGTCGCCGGAGGAGCATCAGCCAGCGGACACCCACACTCTCGTCAGCAGCCACAGATCAATGGTTACGTGACGCCCCAGGACCTGAACGCCCTAGCTCACAATAGGCACGTCCTCTAAGGAGTCGGAGCGCCCATCATCATTGCATGCAAGTGCATTCACTCACGGCGTGACATTTTATCAATCCCTCACGTTCGCATTTATCATTCAACTCACTAACCATCAACCATGTCAACGGATCACCCCGGAACAAGGAACCTAGCAACTAGAACCTGGAACCTGCAACATGCAACTTGGAACCACTGTCGGGCAGCTGTTTATAGTAATTAGTGGAGACTCCTCGGACGAATGCAGTTTCTTCGTTTGTATTTATTCAATGTAGTATTTTTTTTATATTTTCGTACTGTACACCAACTTAACTATCCGCGCGTCGAGCAGATCGAGCTTATAATTAATAATTAATGATTAATAACCTATGTAAACCATACATACGCACATTAAAAATAATTTTAACTAAGTTTTTAAATCCGGCCGTGGGTTTTAACGATAAAAGTGAAAATTGAGTGCTATCGATAAGCACTAACCAAAAGAGAATTAAAATGAGAATAAGAATGAGAGCGCAAAAAACTCGAACGCACACGAAGCGTCCGATGCCTGCTGCTCAGAGCCCTGGGGCCTGTCGCTAAGAATTTGTATACCCTTGCAGAGGGTATTATAATTTTGGTCGAAAGTGTGCAACGCAGTGAAGGAGACATCTCCGACCATATAAAGTATATATATTCTTGATCAGGATCACATCTTGAGTTGATATACCCATGTCCGTCTGTCTGTTTCTACGCGAACTAGTCTCTCAGTTTTAAAGATATCAAATTGAAACTTTGCACGCACCCTTCTTTCCTTTGCACGCAGTATATATGTCGGAACGACTATATCCTATAGCTGCCATATAACTGATTGATCGGAAATGCCATAACTTAGGTGTTTGTAAAGTTAGGAAGCTGGGATTTCCTATGGGTTTTATATTTGGCCAATCAATCCGACCTACCAAATTTCATAGGGATCGGCCGACTATATCCTATAGCTGCCATATAACTGATTGATCGGAAATGCCATAACTTAGGTGTTTGTAAAGTTAGGAAGCTGGGATTTCCTATGGGTTTTATATTTGGCCAATCAATCCGACCTACCAAATTTCATAGGGATCGGCCGACTATATTCTATAGCTGCCATATAACTGATTGATCGGAAATGCCATAACTTAGGTGTTTGTAAAGTTAGGAAGCTGGGATTTCCTATGGGTTTTATATTTGGCCAATCGGCCGACTATATTCTATAGCTGCCATATAACTGATTGATCGGAAATGCCATAACTTTGGTGTTTTTAAAGTTAGGAAGTTGGGATTTTTTATGAGTATTAAGAATGCATCATATGAATAATTTTGGAGAATATAATTTACAGAGTATTCTGCAAGGGTATATCAACTTCGGCTCCGCCCGAAGTGAGCTTTCCTTTCTTGTTTGTGTCCATTTTCGTTTTATGAAATGAATTAGTGCGATAAGGCCGGAGATTCTGATTTACGATGGCAGTCGCAAAGATTGCTTTGAATCAATCGGTAGGGTTGGTTTCAACAAGCTCCCAGCTTCCACGTTTGACGATTTTCATGTGACTGATAAGACATATACACATGTATATCGGGTTCTGTTTTTAGAGCTTACTTACATTTTAAAACTCCTGTGATCGTGCTTCATCGCCCTTTTTAATTCCAGAGTTTAGATTACCGGATTAGGATCTACATAGCAACAGGAAAGCGAAAAAAAATCAAACTCTATGGGCTTGGGGACGCGGTTGTCCTGGCTTTTCGCGGCGGCGATACTGTTCATGGCAATGGCCAGTGTTCGGACGGAGATAAAGTCCCAGTGCGACATGGTGGCTTGGGACTCCAACGAAACGCAGTGGCGGCAGGGCGGTGAAGTTGAAGTTTTCTGCCAGTGTAGAAACGGCTCAAGTGATTTGGATATGGAGCATATGGTGACAATAGAATTGGAGGACCACCAGTTGAAAAATACCGAGTTTGACAGCAAAAACGCCACTATGAAAGTGAAACTTGTAGCTCTTACCCAGACCTGGATTCGAAGTTACCAGTGTCTTTTTGATGGTGTTTTAAGACAGGCGAACTATTTTAGAGTGTATGCTCTATTGAATGTGAAGGATTTTAAATGCCAGTACATAAGGTTTGACGAAACCAAAACTAACATCACTTGTACTTTCACCCGGGCGGAAGGCAAAACCTTAACCGAACTAACCAATTATGAACTAATGATGAAATCCACTCGACTCGACTGCCAAACAAATGAGGAAAACACTAAACAAATAATTTGCACCGTAAATATCAACTCAAATGACATAAAACCAAAAATTATGAATTTCAGACTTACCATGTTCGACACATTAGGCAACCAGACACAGGATTTCAATCTAACTCAGTTCGAGATGACAATGCTGGAGTGGCCAACAGAGCATAAAACTTTTACATATAACAACCATCCTTGCGTGTCGTGGAACAGGAAACCCGTGGTCAAGGATTCGCCCGCCATTAAATGGGATGTGCAGCTGCAGCCCGTTAAATATCCGAATTTGGTCAGGAGTTTAACATTATTCACAAAGCCCCAACCGAAAGACACAACGGATACGATCTGCTTTGAAAATCTGGAAGGCAATCAGAAATTCAATGTGCTGGTTAAGCGTCGCATCAACGAGACGGGTGCACCCTGGTCAAAACATTACCACGAGTTCGCAGTACAAACAGAATCCAAGCCACCAGACCGCCCACCAAAATTTTTGCCATTGGGCTACCGTTACAAGGACCAAGAGCTGACGGTTTATTGGGAGCCGCTCAAAGAACTGGAATGGAATGCTCCGCACCTGGAATACTTTGTCAACAGCAAGAGCAACAGACTGAAAGCGAGGTAACTTTACTGACATCTAAGAAGTCATCTATTAAAACCCAGCTTTAAACAATGATTAAAAGTCGGTATTGAAAAACTTATTTTTCTCGTTGACCTAAAACTTTTCAAGTACATTTCAGTATAAATAATTTTGATGGCCAGATTGAGATTCATCTACTTTAACTTGATACACTCATTACTTATAAATTGAAAATCCATTAGGAATATATAGGGATAGAGGAATCTCTTAAAGATTCAGATACATATATTGTATTCGTGAAATTGCTTGTATTAGTAGGCTGACTTGCTTGGATTTTACAGGGGGTGCATGGGAATTTTTTGCAAACAAATTCAATTTCAAATTCGCAATTCAAAATTCAAATTCAATTCAATCAATTCGAATCAATTCGGCCCAGTCTGAATAAAAATAGGAATAGTAACAAATTGAACTTCCTTCGTTTATTTTATTTGTTAAAACTGTTTTAATTAAATACGTTGTTTTATAAAAATCACAAACTTAGTTGACAAATTTCCCCCCTCTCTCGTTTCTTTTTTGCAAATAGGTGCGCGAATGTAGTATGAATAGTAAAAAGTTCTGCAGCAGCCATAATTTTAAAGATTGGAAGCTCGGACTCAATGGTACAACTTTAATTTTGTTTATTAATTTTTATTGATATATATTCATAAATCAAGTTTCTGAAAAATTCTCTTCATTTTTCCAACAGCAAAGTTGGCAAAAATTTCGCGGTATTTGGGAAATGGAATTACAAGAAGCCGGACACGGTGTTTTTATGGAGCAAAAATGAAAAAGGGCTTTCGGCAGAATGGAGCCGGCTAGAGGTGCCTGAACTGACTGACGCCATGAATCGAAAAGCCCAGAATTTGACCCTTGCTGACAATATTCTAACCTGGGAAAAGCCCGTGGATGACGAAAATCTAAATGGTTATTTTTTCTATTTTTGCAACGGAACCGATGAAGTTTGCCACTCGAACTATACCACCAAGCTGGAGTACAACGTAACCGGACTGGGCGCGATCCATAAGGCCGTGGCGGCTAAATACAGTGACCACAAGAGCGGCGGCATGAAGTGGTTATCTGACCGCGAGGATACCGCTAATATCCGGTACGTGGAAGGGATCATTGCGCTGTTAGTGCTCGGTGCGGCCTTCCTCGGGGCCAGAAAGCTGAAGGATATGTCAAAAATCGGCGTTAGTGTGCCCCCGGGACTGCTGCTGCCTAGAACCCCCTCAGTGCCTGAGCTAGCCGAGCCTTCACAGCCCTATGCGGGAGTTCCACACCCTAAAACGCTCTTTTTTAACCTTATAAACATGGAACCCATTGAACCCGCTGATGAGCATATAGAACCAGAGCACATGGAGGAGGAAACCTCCATGACAGTGGCAGAGCAGGTGGCGCAGCCCAGTGGATACGTTATGATGAACGCAGTGAATCCCACATTGTGCAATGGGTATATAAAGCCATCGCCTCCACGATGATAATTGTGAGTACGCTATAGTCTTGCCCGCATTGCATCATTGTGTGAGTTCACTGTAAAAAGCTCTGAATCGCAATTATTCATTTAAATTCCACTTAGGGCGGGTCTTAATCACTTTTTTTTTTATCACATCCTGGTATTATAAGTTATTCAACATTAAAAAGCAGTGGAGTGAAAATTCACAACCCGGAAAAGGGTATATTTATGTTCCTGTTCAGCATCACATAGCGAGTAAATATTTGAGCTAGAGATTAAGGTTGGATAAGAAAAAAAAAAAATGTAAAAATAGCGCTTTATCTCTGGGGTAGTGGATTATAGCGTGGTTTTTTGGTTGCCATATGTTGTTTCTAGAAAAACATGAAACCACAAGAGTATCGTTGGAAAGTGCTCTATAATTTATAAACTAGATATTAGCGAGTTTAAATGAGGAGAGCTCAGGTCTAACGCTATTTCATAAATTTAATAAAAAAATTCTTGTACAAACCAAAAAAGATTACAAATAACCAAAGAATACATATAGTTATGTACATGCATGTGTAAGGACAGAGAGATGTATCCTGTGTGAAGTGAGCCCATCCCGAATCGGTGCGGTCCGATCGACCGCTCAGAGATTGGACGTGGCCGGCTTGCCGCCGTGCCACTTGTAGGAGCCGGAGTACTTAAAGTTGTTCTCCTCGCACTTACGGTCCGCCTGCTTGGGACCGCGGGAGCCGTACTGGTAGGTGATGGGCTGGACGCGCTCGCGCTCAATTTTGTGCAAGATGGGCGTGAAGATGCGCCACGCCTCGCGCAGCTCGTCCGAGCGGACGAAGTGCATCTGGGAGCCGCAGAAGACGTCGAGGATGAGCCGCTCGTAGGCATCCGGCAGGTAGGAGTCCTTGTAGCGGTGCTCGTAGGTCAGGTCCAGTTCCGTCTCTTCAATGTCGAAGGTGATGCCGGGGCTCTTGGTCATCATCTTGAAGTACAGCGCCTCGCCCGGCTGCACACGGATGACCAGCTCGTTGCGCTTCGTGCTGCCCTCGAAGATGTCGCCGGGCACGTCCTGGTACTGGATGCGCACCTCTGCCTTGCGCTCGTTGAGCGCCTTTCCGCATCGCAGGATGAAGGGCACGCCCTGCCAGCGCTCGTTGTTGATCTTGAGCACGCCGAGGGCGTAGGTGGGTGTAGTGGAGTCATTGCTAACGGTAGGGTCTTCCAGGTAGCCGGTGCGGGCATCGTCGGTGGCACCCTTCGGATCGCCCAGGTATTGGCCCAGCACCATGTCGTCGAGTGTGAGGGCCTGGATACTCTTCAGCACCTTAACCTTCTCGTCGCGGATGTCGTCCGGGTGGCAGCTGACCGGCTTCTCCATGGCCACCAGCGACAAGATCTGCAACAAGTGGTTCTGCATGACGTCCCGGATGATCCCGAACTCGTCGAAGTAGCCACCACGTCCCTGGGTGCCAAAGGGCTCTTTGAATGTGATCAGCACCGAGGCGATGTTCTCGCGGTTCCACGTCGAGCTGAGGATCTTGTTGCCGAAGCGGATGGTCATCAGGTTCTGGACCATCTCCTTGCCCAGGTAGTGGTCAATGCGGTATAGCTGATCCTCCTGGAACAGTCCGGCCAGGTGGTCGCTTAGCGCCTGCGAGGAGGCGTCGTCGCGACCGAAGGGCTTCTCGACGATCACGCGGTTCCAGCCGCTGTGTAATAACAGTAACACATGTAGTAATCTATTACGATTTCCCTTTGATCCGCTACTCACCAGGTCGACATGCATATCTGCTTGATGTTGACAGTCACTTCCTCGAAGACGCTGGGCGGTAGGGCCAAGTAGAATATGCGGTTCGCCTTGTTCTTGTTCTCCATCAGCTCCAGCTGCTGGTTGAGCAGCTCAAATCCAGTGCGTCCGTCGTAGCTGCCGGCCACGTACTCATTAAGGGCCCAGAACTCCTCGTACTTCTTCTGCTCGTGTGTCTGGAGCTGAAAGAATTCGGATGGGTTAATCCTAATGGGCATTGGTCAGAGAGCGGAACCAACCTTCATGTACGGCAGGCACTGCGTCTTGAGGCTGGAGACCGTCAGCTTGGACCGGGCATATCCGCAGAATTTGGTGGGCTTGGGCAGCAGGTCATCCCGGTAGAGCCACCAAAGCGTGGGGTAGATCTTCTTCTTGGCTAGGTCGCCCGACGCTCCGAAGATCACGAACGTGTGCGGGATCTTGCCATCGAAGTGGGTGCCCTCACAGATCATTGTGGGGGACTTGAGAGACTTTATTATGAGATCCAGGGCGGTGTGATCTGTGGATTAAGCGGGGCTTATTAAAACTTTTTACCGTCAACTGATAAATTTAGCTTGAAAAATTGAAAGCTATAGGAATACTGGGTTACTGGGGTGGGAATATCCTTGGAAAGAATTCAACTATCCCGATCCCCTAGCTCCTAGCCCATATAGTAAAATAATTACAATACCGCAAAGTCTCTAGAAGTCGAATTAGCTTTTCGGGCAAATAGTTGTTTGCTATATCGAAGTTCGACTGTATGTTATAAGGTCAGAAACGCCTCCCATTGTCCGAATAAAGAATCGTGAGCCTTCCTTTTAATGCGAAATCCGAATGTTTAGGAAAACTATTTTACACTTCTTTTATTATTAGATATTTTTAATAACCTTGCACATGAACTTTATTTTATATTCATAGATCTTTTATAGATTTTCTGCGATCAGTGAACACGCACTTGCCTTTTGGTCCGGATGTTGAGGATGATGAGGAGCTGAGGACTCACCAAGGGCCTGAAGCAAAGTGAACGTTCACGGCCGAGTGCAGACTTTATTAGAGTTTGTCGGAGCGGGAGAGCGATAAGTACTCGATAAGACCTGGATCCGTTGTCTAATCATCGACGGTAGCCGATGACTAGTCAAGTAATCCGCTAGAGAGAGCTCTGCCAGAGGTCACCCTCCGAGCCCGATTGTCAATCCGGTGAAGGTGAGGGTGTCAGTCGGCTTCCAGATCTCGGAGCAGACCAGGTGGTGCCAGGGCGGAACAGTATCAGGTGCGGAAGCTTGGACAGGTGCGCGCGCCTATCTTTCGATGCGGTTGCACAAACCGAATAAACTGCTGCGCTGCGGTTGACTTTAACAAGGTGTAAGCGATGCACCAGGCAGCGACGTCGACGCGAGCGTCAGCACAAAGTGCAAATGACATGTAACAGGTATATGCGAGTTTACATATATCCAAAACTTGGCTTCGGAATAAGCCCCGGCAGTCTGGGCTGATCGTGAGGCGAGAGTACGTCAACGGACGATCTACACCCCTTAAGGTTTATACTTTCAGCGTGAAGCTATCAGTTCCACAAAGACCAAAAAAGTTGCAAGTGAAAAAATCTTATCCCATTTTACAAGAGCTAATGTATCTATTCTCGAAGAAATAATATATTCAAAAATTTTAAGCTCAAAGCAAAAAAATCAAAGAAATGGTAAATTTGCAGATGACTATGACTTATAAGTTAGTGCAAGTCATTATGAACAAAACAACTTTTTGAAACCTACGAGATATAAATATTTGTACTTAACGAAAACAACTGAGTCCGCATTACACAGCGAGATCTTTGGAATCAGGTCAGGATAACTACAGGATTAGGATTGGAGATATATTTATCTAAAATATCCCTCAGCAGGTTCATTTAACACTTTCGAAACTCTGTAACACCTAATGGTAAATACAAATTTCATAAATCAATAATTTTATCAAATCAAAACAGGAGTAGAAAAATAATTTTAACTACATCAGCAAAACTTTGAATCTACTAATAATAACATTTTTCTAAAAAGCAGGAGGTTAATAAAACTTTAATGAGATGTGAAGTAATGCATGGCTGAAATAAAATATTTTAGTTTCTGTTTCATCGTAAGTCATTTAAAAGTCAGACATTTGTATGTATGGGACCATGGGGATCGGTCACGTGATAATACGGACAAGGGTAAACACACTTAAACTCTTCAAAGAGAACTTTCTTAGTTGTGAAGTAGACAGCATGAGATCTGGAAGATCTGTGGAGCAAATCCAGATGGGATGACTAATCGGCTGATTGTGGGTTCCTTCGCATACCTAGAGCATGACTCAGAGACCATTACTTTACAGTAGAGCTTTTAGAATTCGAACTTTCTGAAATCGATAACTCTGTAACTGAAACTTGTCGCCTATTAACAATTGAGTGTTATCATGAACACTTTGATCTATTCGAAAACTCGAAACTTTCTTAAATAGGTGCAATGGTTCGCGTTAGGGAAGTGCTACTGTAATCTCGGCCGGATCGCATTTGACATTGACACAGACGAAAGCGAAGGCATTGGGGCAAGGAGAGTCGCAGGTCGGAGAAGGAGAACCGGAGGAGAAGGAGAACCAGAGGAGAAAGAGAGACAAGGCGAAAGAGAACAAGGTAATGTGTTTGAATGAATTATAATGCCAAGCGGGTTTTTGTTTTGGAAAGGCTTTTCGTAAAACTCCACAGGTGGGTTAATTATATGTGCGTAGAATGCATGTATGAATGCATGAATGTATGTATGTACATGCTCCAATGTCATTGCCATAGATAATGAGAATGGAAATTGGAAAATGGAGAACGGTGAGCTCTCTCGACCCGCGAAAGGTTATTGCCGGGCTCTAATCTTCGGGCAGTGGGTTTGGGAAACAGAACGACTGTTTGTTTGTGATGGCCTATGGCCAAGAGCGGCCACACGTCATCGGTTGGTAATTGGAATGGGGGAGTGAGAGTAAGAGTGCGAGTGAGAGGAGAGGGCAGGAGAGAAGAGAAGAACGGGAAGATTGAGCGGCCGGTGATAAGACAGGTTCCGTTGTTTTTTGTAGGTGACCCCAGACGAAGAAGGAACACATTTGAAGGGCGCAACCGCAATCGCCCACCTGACGCGACAGTGATCGCGGAAAGTATCCACTTAAAGCCGAATGTAAAAACTTCAAATTTCACTACGATACTTACCTTCCTTTTGCGTTGCCATCTTGACCCGAGCTGTCCGCACAAAGAAACAAAAAAATAAACACTTAGCCGCTTTTTCTGACAATAAACCCAATGGTTTTTCTGTTATTTGGCCTGGAGATTTCACCAGTAAAACGCTGTTTTGACGGTCGTCGGTTTAAGCAACCTTTGTAATTACGGCGAAGAGTTCACTATTGAACGTTGTTGTGCTATGTTTGGGCTGTATTTAGCAATTGAGTGCGGAGTTGAATTGCGGAGCCCTCGGTAGCACAGTATTGGAGCCAAGCACGATCATTCCCTGACTGACTGTAGCATGAAAAAAAGCGACGGCGGCGGCAACGGCGACGGCACTGCCAATGGCAACAACACCAACCGACGCTTTGTAACACCGACTGCGAGTGCCGATCGCAACCAGGGGCGGATGCGGATCTACGAAAAAGCGGTAAGTGAAGTTATTTATGATTTTGAACATTATTTGATTTGACCATTTTGATAATATATTGTGAGTATAATACAAAAATGTATATTAATACTACAAAAATCTGAGAATTAAAGCCCTTTGGCAGCACGAACCCCCAACTTATCGATCCTTTTTTTTATTCAAGCCTTTGCTTGAAATATTTTAATAACTTCCAGTCATTTCATTATTTGGGACTAGCGACAAAAACATCGATGAAAAGCTTTAAAAAAGGCTCTGACAATTGTCATTTCTAAAATGATTGAATTTAATTCTTATGGTTTTTAAAAAAAAACCATAGAACATTTTTCCGTCTTTTATGTCTTTGTGTAAAACGTTTTGGCAAAGCTTAAAATGAATCGGTAACGATTTAGAAATGCCTGTGTTTTTTTTTAAACAACACAAATATGAGCATTCAAAAACGAACTATAAAGTATCTTTACTAAGTGACATGATATTGTAAATGTACATTTACATTACAAATAATTAGATGTTAGATTTAATAATGGTGAACAAATTTCAGATGTCAACAAGAAAGCCGCCTCAATTGGCGTACGTTTTTATTCCAATCATTACAGTGAACACAATTTACGTAGTCAAGACCCTTGAATGGTTTATTAATTCACCATATCGAACTGGCACTGTATTTAGTTTTGTGTATTGGCGCCCGTTTCAGGCCTTTGGCTATTTTTTAAAACGCACAGTGATCTTCAGCTACCAATTTAGGCTATGAAAATGGCAGGCGTGTAGCCCTGTCTGAACAACTCGTAAAACTATGTTAGATTATTAACTACGGCCCCTGCCTACGAGGGCCCAATCCCGGTCCCAGTCCCGATCCGCCCCTGGCTCCATGCTCATTCACACACGCACACGCACGGATTTGTGTGCTGCGAGTTTTGTTTACATACATATATAAAACTGATCGGATCGGATTGGATCGGCGCGGAGAAAGGAGAACGGGGAGCCAGATGTTTGGCCCCTGTTGCCAGCTGGGGGAAACGAAAGCCAGTGATAAAAGCCGGGGACGACGAGCAGAACGACCGCGGCTCGACGGCCGGAATACAAGAAATACGGACACGTACATATACTACATTCAAAGGGTTTCGTTTCGGAGCCTCACTGTTGTAATGGACGCCAATTGTTGATGTGTGTTAATTTCATATTCAAGAGCCAGTGCTTGCAGGTGAAGTGTGGATTTTGAATCGGATGTGGATTTGGATGCGTGCATGTGTGTGTGTCCGCTGCAGCGATGGCCCCTCTCTATGTACAAAATTCTTAGATACTAGGCTCCCAATCCGGGACCCGCAGCCCTACGTCCTATGCTCCGCGTTCGGTGATCCCGGTCTTCGGGAAAAAAAACCAACGGGAACCACTCGGCGCAGGGAGCGCAGGGAGTCTACGGGATTCTGGTGTTGGTATTGGAGCTGGACACGAACTGTTTAACGTCGGTCGTCAGTAGAAGAGCACCGAGTGCAGGATAACCCGGTTGCGACGCTCCTCAAACTCCTGGATCATTTCGTCGATGTCGTTGTCCAGGTCCATGGACTTGGCCATCTGAAAGGTGCACGAGAAGAGGGGAATTAGGGAAATTCAGAAACCAAAACTACTACGCTTGCGCATCGTACCAAGTTTATCATGTCCGTGATGAGAAAGGCGCCCATTAGCGCGTCCTCCGCGTTGTCCACCACATCCACGTTGATAACGTGCACGGGCCGGTTGTCCACAGAGGTCAAGGACTCCATATGCAGCACCACCAGGTCGTAGACGCGCTCCTCCACGGTCACGATGATGTCGAACTGCTCTTTGGTTTCCTGGAAGCGCTCGGGGCACTTCTTGATGCGCCGATTGCGGTCCAGCATGTGCAGCAGGCCGTTCTGTGTGTAGCTGCGTGGAAGAAGAGGCGAGGATCGGATTAGCCAACGGAATGCGGACTGGCGGGCGCCACACTCACAACTCCTTGTCCTTCGCCTCCAGGTCGCGGTAGATGTCCTCGTAGCTGGTGCCGAACTCGTAAACATTCGGCTTGTCGAACGCGATGCCCGGCAGCTTGACGCGTTCGCCGGTGCCGTAGGAGCGCACGTTGAAGCCCTTCTTGGCCAGGAAGTTGTGCGCCTCCATCGAGCGGTTCATGTTTGAGGAGCAGACCACGGCCACGGAAAGTTTGCTGGGATCAGTCATGTCTCTTTGGCAGTGCGGTGCTGTAGCAGTCGGTTTGCAAAAAAATTGTTCACCCAGTGTTACCGTACGACACCAGAAATAAAGCCTTTAATAGAGACGGAAAACCACCGATAACGATTAAGACATCGGTGATATCGATGATTGGCGGGGTGTCATCAATGTTTGTTCACCTCTACAAATCGATTGCTGGCTCTACTCGCTAGTTGTGGAGTACGTCTCCGCTAACTGTGGAGTAAATCTCCTCTAACTGTGGAGTAAGTCCCCGCTAACCTACGGAGTAAGTCGCCACTTACTGTGGAGTAAGTCTCCGCTAACTATCGATAAATGTTGTATATTCGATAAGTTTTTATTAGTACTCGGAGTGTACTCCAGCTGGCAGTTTATCAACACTGCTGACCAGTTCAACGCAGTCTGGCAGCATTGACTGTCTTGTTTTTAAATGCAGCCGAAGCGAGTTCCGATATAACAAGCGCCACAAGTTTGAATTCTTTAAATCGCGATTCGTCAAAATTGGCATGCTACCGTAATACACTCAGGAAAGGGCAGCCAAAGGTACTGCATGCAGGCATGTACAGTTGAAATTTGCAGCCCCAATCAAAGCAACAACCACAAAATAAGAAACAGCAATAATAACCAACCGACAACAACCTTCCAGTTTGGAGCTCGTGGAATGCGGCCCAGCAAGTTGGTGCCGTTGCCACCAACTCTTTACCTGTGTGTGGCTGTGGTTGAGGTGTGCGGTGTGTGGTGTGCGGTGTGTGGTGTGCGGTGTGAGGCAGGAGCAGCCGCATCGCGTGTGTTGCGTGTGCTTGTGAGTTGAGCAGGTTTGCAGTAGGCACAGTGGGTCGCATTGCTTGCCATGACGAGTCCTTTGACTTCGATGCACCTCGAATCGGTTTCGAAATCGGCAGCATCCGTATAAAACTCAATATTCGACTCAGTGGCGTGCAGTTTCTCCTTGCACTGTCCAACGAATAAACTTTCAATTACTAAAACCTTTAAGCAAAGCCCAATATTCTTCAACTGCTTCTGAGTTAAAAACCCGCTGCGCAATGCTCAATAAACACATTTTTGATATTTTAATTAGATATTGTTATGTTATCAAATCAAAATGCTTCTATCAAGAAGAAGAAAACCGCTCAATGTAAAGCAGATACTGGGGGGTCAATAATTTTTTTGAATTTTTTTATAAGGGATAAATATTAAAAAGTACGTATACTATTTTCACACTTTACTTTATTTATTTAATTTTTACATGGCAAAAATGTTTTTGTGAACATGATCCCTTTTGATCATTTGGGTGCCACAGTACCGAGCGGCGCTTGAAATTGGCTCGTTCCCCTGCATCTGCCTCTGCTCACCTGTCCGTGAGAGCGGTGTCTGCCTGAGTGGATGAGAGCGGAAGAGCGGGAAAACGGGAAAAAGAGAGTCCGTGTCCATTCACTTGCCAACTGGTTGGGCGAATGGCCATACCACAGTTGCCGGCGGCGAGAGCCGAAGCGCAGTTATAGTATCCGAAGTTATAGTATCCATATTAGTCGTACTTTGTCACTCGATCGGTCACCGCGTCGTCCACTTGTCGTCCGCTCTCTGCTCCGCTGGGAGGTCGACAGATCGGCTCGAAATCGACTGGATCTGGTGCGGATGAGGACCAGAAGGAGGCGGCACTTGGGACCGCACTTTGTTGATCCGCCAATTACCGATTGTCCGGCGCTTTCTTCGCACGGCGACGGCCATGTAAAGGTCACAGGTCAAGAACGGAAATTAAAGTACCAAAAAAAGAACACGGAGGTAAACCCGTTTTACAACCCGCCAATTGCAATTTGTCTTTCGTTTTTAGCTTATTGGCCAAAACCGCAAGAAAGGCAGGTGGTTTTTGGTGTAACAGTCTATATACATATATTCTTGATCTGAAGATACATTCTTGATCAGTCTGTCCGTTTAAAAATTAAGATCTCTTGAAGTAATCAAATAAGAGACGCTATAGGGCTAGATCGAATAGAATTCGACTAATCCTACGCAAACCGCTACAACCTAGCAATGTTTTGGTTAATAAATTAATTAGATTGGTTGAAAATTCAGAAACATGTTATGGGTTGAAAAAATCGGAAATTTAATTCAAATGCTCTTCATTTATAGATACTGTTATATCTTGTTTATTTAAACCAGGTTATATTATGTCAATATTTTTGGGTCATCTCTTAACATCTAAAAAAAATGGATCGAATTTGTTGACACGTTTGTTGTTCACATATGTATGTATTTTCTTTGTGCTGTGAAAAGCCGTATGGTCAGCAAAAAAAGAGTTTCCAAGTAACCATTAGATTTCCGTCGAATCTGACTGGTACAATGGGAACCTTACTATCCTTCAAAATGTAGGTATTAAAGTTGTAATTGTATTTTTATTTTATTGTATATAAATTTGATGGTTCGTAACAATTTTAAAGCTCGACACGAGTGTAGTTTAATGGTCTACTAATTAACCAAAGTTTATGGAACAAGTAGAAGGAAGCGATTTCTCATAAAGTACATATATTCAAATGGATGAAAATCCATTATAAATATAAGCATATTAAAGACGGTTTTATTTTAACTAAGATCTTAACTAAAGATATTTTTATGTTGCTTATACCTACAAATCCTGAATGTTCCGTTCGAACAGGGTCTTTAAAAATGGTTTGTCTACCTTTTTTCTGTCTGCAATTTAATAAAGGTGCATGTAAATGGCTCAAAAAAATGCAAATTAGATGAAGTGAATGGAAGTACCGGGTATCTTATTGTCGAGGACTTATACATTGCCGTACTGCAGTTGCTTTTGCTTTTATCCCCGCATTCAAAGTGCTGCTGGTGAAAAGTTCTTCGCCATTTCTAATTACACAATACATGCGATGCACGATGCACATAATTTATGGGAAAGTTTCGCACATGCACGGCCACTGGCGAAATGAAAGTGCCCATCAAGCGATGGTTTTTCAGAGCTACCAAACTACCGTTACAGATAGCAGTTAGTTAATACTCAGTATTAAATATGCGAAAAACAGTTCTTATATAAATTTCGCTTACCCTGGTTTATCTGTTTAATTTTTTTCAAAAGATTTTGCCCTTTTAGTTTAGTGCTAAACCCGTTGCCCTTTACGACATCCATTATAGAATATGAAAAATATACATATAAACAATTCTTTTTATTGATTAACTATTCTTATGAATTAAAGTTTTGTATGCTTATGACCCTTATCGTTAATGCAATCGATATCATCCCACTCTATTATTTAATAGAATATTTATTCATCCTTACAAATTTAATTTTACAAACTGTTACTATTTTAAATACTTTTCTTTGCATTCAGTTAAATTTTTTAATTATATTGGTAATTGATGCTAAGAAAAAAGTGATTCTTATCCCTTTTTTCCATTTATTTCTTTAATTTGTAGGTCGTTTAGTCCTGATTTTGCGCAAGTTCCTTGGCACGCAGTCCAGAATGTGATCGGAGTGAGGGGCCAAAACGCCGGAAATGCTGAAGCACGCCTCGACTACAAGCAGTGCCGCTGCGACCGCCACCGCTGCCGTGGCGATAAACCCGCTCTCCACTTTGCTGGGCGGCCAGCTGCTGCGCACCGCCGCCAACAGCAGCAGCAACATCAATTGCAATGGCAACAGCAACAGCAACTGTAACAGCAACACGAATAGCAACAGCAGCAGCAACAACCACACTGGAAGCAGTGGCAGTGGCCACAACACACCCCCAGTTGTGGAAGCGGAAGCGGCAATTGCTACAACTGCCACTGCCACCACCACTGGCAGCAACAGCAATAGCAATGGCAACGGCAACAGCAACACCACCACCAACGGTGGCTCACCAACACCCGCAGCAGCTGCTGTGGCCAGCACGGCGCGTAACATCCACCTGCGACCGCCGCAGCCGCTGAACATATCCGCCCTGAATGCCTCCGCTTCGAGCACGCTGCTCACCGAGAACGCCGGTCGCGTAGGCAACTCCTCCACGCTGCTGAATATCGCCACGCCCAGTACGCCTCTGAAGCCGCTGACACCGCTGACGCCGCTCACCCCGCTCAACCAGCTGACCCCCAACGGACACTTTCTGGGCAACGGTAGCGTGCACCACCACACCTACACCAACCAGCACATCCTGGCCAGCAGCGGTGGCCATCAGCAGCAGCAGCAGCAACAGCAGCCGCAGCAACAGCAGCATCATGGACAAACGCAACAGCTTGCGCAGGCGCAGACGCAGACGCACAACCTCAGCCATGTGCCGCACAACTACAGGAACTACAGCCACCTGTCCGCTAATCCGTTGCACCACAAGCTGCCCAAGTCGGGACCCTCGCCCCGCGAGGCACTCACCAGCCTGGGACTGCTATGTTTGAGTGAGTATTCTTCAGAAAGAGTCTTGGAAAGATCCATCCAAAATTCTAATTTCTACCTTTTAAATAGCACTATCAGCATTAGGTTTTTAGGTTAATCAAAAAAAAAACAAATCTTATAGCTGAAGTGAGCTTATTTTCTAGTTTTATTTATAAATTTATATTGTATTTCAATTAAAATTAACATTTTATATTGAGACTTTATCTTATCTTTATCTTTATTACTAATAGTGTTTACCCCAAAAAAAACTATTGAATTGTACAAGTTTACTAGCAATTTAGATTGCCAAGATAAAGTCTCAATGGGGTTTAAAGATTAATTCGCTTAAATTAATGTTTTAAAAATAAAAATAAATTAAATGTATGTAATAGTATTACCCAACATTTCGCTCTAAAGCCGTAATTAATGCCCGTCTTCCTTGCAGTTTCTCTGCTCCTGGCGCTGCTCTCGCTTATCTTCCTGCTGAGGATCTCGCCGAACGGACGCGAGGAGGCCTTGGGCCGAGGTGCCGGCGAAGACTTCATCGTGGTCTACGACGTGACCCTGGCTTTGGGCGCACTCTCCCTGGCGCTGAACCTGTGCTGCCTGCTGGTCTGCGCCATCCAGTTCCTGTTCGCCACGAAGCTGCGCGAGCCGTCCTTCGAGGGACGCGAGAACCAGTACCTGGCCAAGTCCAGTGCCAGTCGCACCTGCGCCGTCAGTGGCTTCTTCATCTCCATACCGGTCTTTCTCACCGGCCTGATCCTGTACACCTTCAGCCACTTCCACTCGACGCCGGCGATCGTGACCAGCCTGTTGATCGGCGTGGGCATAGTCTTCTGCGGCGGCGCCATGGTGCACAACGTCTTCGTGTGGCAGCGCGAGAAGACCATCAGCTATAGAGGTGCTCCGCAGGGACTGGCCCACAACCTGTCGGTGATATCGGCCGCCCAACTGCCGATGCATCTGCCCGTGCCCGTGCCACTGCCACTGCCACTGTCCATGGCTCCAGGTTCGCCGTTCCACGGCTACCAGGGCCACCAAGTGCCTGCCCTGGTGCCGCCCTCCGTGACGGCGGTTTCGCCCAACCACTCGCACGGCAGCTTCAATCCCCTGCTCAGCAGCAACCTGCAACCCGGCTGCTGCGGTGGAGCGGTGGGGGCCATCAACTCCTCCTTCCTGGTGCGTCCTGCCACGGCCACGCCCCCCACGCCCACGCCCAGGAACCTGGCGAACAGCAGCTGCCTGACGGCCGGTCGCGAGGCCAGCGGATCGGTCAGCCCCGGCATCGGCATCCCGCCCACGCTGGACATGAGCAACATGTCCGTTCTGCTGCACGAGCTCTCCACGCTCGTCTAGATTCCGAGGTAGACCTAGCATAGACTTACAAATAGACGATATCCACCGCCCGCCCACATCTTGCCGAAACCTAGCTATAAGAACGCCTTTTGTAAATATATGTACATACGAACTATCGAGCAAATAACATTAGTATAAGTAAAAGTAATATACAACTGCAATGCCATTTTAATTTATTAAACCTACCGGTTGGCGGCAAAATTTAATCGTAGTTCTTCTACCCACTTTCTCTTTACGTTTCATACGATTTTTGCTCCGCTCAAAAGTTATCAACATAAAATCTCTCGAACAAAAAAAAATTATATTGGATGGAATTTCTAAAAGTTATACAAATTTGTATTGGTTCCCAAACCACAGAGTGTTTAATTAAAATTAAAGTATTTGTTCGCCTTTCAAAGTACAGTGTTCACCTATTTTCTTAAACTTTTTTCAAACGACGGAAAATGTACTGCTTTTTGTACAGTTGCAGAGATAAGCAAAGCCTTCAAACGCCAGTTCTAATGATGATATCGGATAGATTATAGAAAATCGAATAACTATATGGTACAGCAACTATTTCTATATGTGTCGTACTGATCATCATATCCTATAGCTGCCATTTGAATGATCAAGTGAAGTTATGAAAATTTGTTTTGTTTTGGAAGAATTGCTCGTTTTAAAGCAGAGTTAGATCAAAGTCGTATTAATACATCCTTTTGCTTTCATAAATGCACGCTGATCAAGATCAAAGTCCTCGACGATCGGGAATGGTATGGACAAATACACTCATCAATTCATGGTATATATTTGCAAAAATATTTAAACTTTTTTTAACTTCAACTTATTTATTTTCAATTTGGAACTTAGGCCAATTAATATTGGTAGTTAACGTGAACAAAACAAAATGATTACAGCGGTTTGCTGAAAAGTGCTTTTTATGTCGCCTAAAAGTTCTTGGTATTGTCGAAAAGAGAGATAAAAATTGAGCTTGATGTATCCCACATACCCTCCATGACGGATGCACTTTTTGACTATGGTGACCTAATCCTCCGACTTCTGGTTGCGACGCAGGCGCGGACGCAGCTCCCGGTTTCTAATGCTGGAACTCGAGTTGGAGCTGGTCCTAGAGCTTGAGGCATCGGAGGCAGTGGCGTTTGCCGACTGATCGCTAATCTCTGAGACGCGTCGTCTTGCGGTGCGTCGAAGACGAGGCTTCTTCTCCTCCGCCTCTGGTTCCGCCTCCGCTGAATCGGAAACCAAAGCGGGAGCATCCGCCTGGGTCGAAGAAGCTGACGGGGATGGCTCACTGGAACTCGACTTGCGCGACCTCACACTCCTCCGTTTTCGGTCGAGCGGCAAAGAGACCGCGGCAGGCGGCTCACTAATACCGCGCAATAAACGCCGGGCACCGGAGATCTGCGTTGTGGGCGCCAGCGAGGTGGCTCTCTTGCCCCGCGCCTTGTTCGTTGGCGTGGCGGGTCTGGAGTTGGGCGTCTCCAAGTCCATGCTGAGCCGCGAGCGCGAGCGGGTGCGCGGCAGCGAAGAGTTGAGGGAGCTCTGTTCGTCGATCACCTCCAGCACGTGCTTGTGCTGCAGGGTGCGGCGCTTGGGCGTGGAGACGGGCGGAGTGGCCGAAGAGGGTGACGCGGTTAGGGCGTCATTACTACGCAGACGCATCCTGAGGCCAGCTAACGGAGCCGGACTGTCCTTGTGCTCCGCGGAGTCGCGACGCGGGCGCAGGGAACGCGGACTATCCCGCTGTTCCGAGGAGGAGCGTCGAGGTCGCAGGGAACGTGTCGTTTGCGGAGCCGCCTGCTCCTCATCCTCGGAGAATACTAGCGTTAGACTCAGCCTCGAATCTTCTTCCTGGACAGATGGCAATTCTGGTTCATGTTTGGATTCCGCCTCGGGACTCTCTTTGGCCTCCTCCTCTTCCACCTCTAGTATGACCTCCATTTCGACCTCTTGTTCGACTTCCAGTTGGACCTCCTGTTCGTCCTCCTGTTGAACCTCCAGTATGACCTCTTGTCCGACCTTCTGTACGACCTCCTGTACGACCCCCTGTACGACCTCCTGTACGACATCCTGTACGACCTCCTGAGTGACCTCCTGTTCGACCTCCAGTTGAACCTCCTGTTGAAACTCCTCTTCGACCTCCTGTTCGACAGCCTTTTCGACCTTCTCTTCGACCACCTCCTCACCATCCTCTTCAGGAATTTCCTCCAAGGGCTTCTGCAACAGTTCCACGTCCTGGACCACTTCTACTTCCACATCGTTCTCGGCCAGCGGCTGCTTGTGCTCGCTGAAGGCCACTGTGGCCACAGAATCGTCGCTAGCGGCCTCCTCTTCCATCGGCCACTCTTCTGCTTTCTCCTGCTCCGGCTGACGATCCTTTGCCTTATGCGACTCCTCATCGCTATCCAGCACAATAGTCTCGGCCACCTCCGAGTCGCTGTTGACCGTGGCGCCCAGCGAGAGAGATGGACAAGGGCCGCTCGTCACCTCCTCAGGACAGTCATCCTTGAAGGCGAACAGCTCGGCACTGCTGCAGGCCGTCGTTTGCTGGGGACGGGCGACGTAGCCGCGCACCTCAGTGCCGTCCAGTGCAATGACGCAGTCATCCTCGTCATACTCCTCCTCCTCCTCCAGCGAACCCTTCGTGGTGTCGAGGTCATCAACCGTTTCCAGGCTATTGGCGCGGTACAGTGAGATCGGCGAGCCATCTCCGTCACCGCCGTGTGGTGCCCGCGGACTCGAGGTCTGCGAGACGTTAGTGTCGCTGGGCAGGAAGGAGGTGGGCGTGTGCGTTACCGATCGGGACGTGGTGATAGAGCCCGTCGACTCCACGACGATGGAGTACATGGGGTCGTCGTTCTGCAGGGTCGGCATCAATGGACTCTGGATCCCAGCGGCCGAGGACATGTCAGACTCTTCGCTGCTTAGGCTGTAGGTGGGCGAGGAAAGGGGCTCCTGGGCAGGTACTTCCGAGGCGCTGAGGAACGCCAGCGGGTAGCCGGTCGTCGAACGCTCCTGCTCATCCTGTTGATTGTTCTGTTCCACGAGCTCCTCTACTTCCTGCGTCTCCCCCAGCTTCAGTTCCTCCTCTTGATCCTGATCCTGGTCCTCGTCCTGGTTTTCTTGCTGCTCAAGCGACGGCACGTCGTAGGTGGACATGCCCAGCGTGGTGTCCAGCATCTGGAATCCCGCGACGGCCGGACGCGCTGCAGGCAGAGACCACTGCGAACTGACTGCGGTTGTTAACTCTGGACCCAGGTCGGTTGATTCCATTTCTCCACAGATGGTGGTGCGCTCGGAGATCTTCACCACAGAGCTGCCGCTGGAGAAAACCTGCGACTGCGTCTCGCACATCTTCGAGGAGCAGATGGTGGGCACGAACTGGGAGTGTGAGGTCGTCTGCGTCGGTTGGACGGTAGCAAAGCTGCCGAACCCGCTGCTGCGTTCGCTTCCAGTCGCAGCCCCAAATCCACTTCCACTTCCGACCCCGATTCCGATTCCAGATCCGGTTTTTCCATAAAGTAGTGAGCTACGTGGCTGTGGGCCAGGTGGTGGGAGCACGGGTCGAGAGGATTCTCGTGGTAGCTCTGCCAACTGGTTGACCAGCGACACATTGGCCGAGGGCAACGGCGAAAGGAACTCCTCATCCTCATCGGACTCGACGCTGCAGACGCTCCTCGGCTCGCTTCTCGACTCGATCTCCACGATGATCTCGTCGGTCCCCTCCTCCTCCTCCTCCCCTTCTTCCTCCTCCTCGGCCGCCTCCTCGCTGTCCACCTCCATCGATCCGTCCAATCGCAGGGGAATGGGGGGCATGAAGCGGAACCTCTTGGGCTCTGCCAGCGTAGTGGATGTGGCCACTGGCGAAGTGCCTGCCACCGCCTCAAGCGCTGAGTGTCGCTTAAGGATCGTGAGAATCGCCTGGGGCGAACTGCTGCTTTGGCGTGTCGCCGGCTGACGCGCCTGAAGGAAAGTCGGTGGCTGCAGCAGATCAATGGCATCACTGCGTTCGGTATCCTCCATCTCCGACTCCTGCACCTTATTGTCTAGAATGGCCCTCACATGGCCTTGTACATCATCCACCAGTTGCTCAGCCAACAGTCGACGGCGTTTGCGGGGCTGCAGCGAGTACTGCTGCTGCCTTTGCTGCCGCTCCTCCCGTCGCAGTTCCTCCTGCTCCCGCTGACGCTTCTCCACTACCTGGTGGGGCACGGGTCGCACCGTGTGCCGCCGGTGGGGAAGCTCCGAGAGTCCGTATTGCGCGTGCCGCAGGAAGGGAATGTTGGTATAGCCTATTTTGTTGGGGACTGGAACGCGTGGCAAGACTGGAGGCGCCTCGAAGTGCGTTGCCCAGTGGACACTGACGGCGGAGCTCTGGAAAATGCCGCCAACCTGGCCGCTGGCGTTCTGCTTGACCAGCTGGCAACTGAAGGGCTGCAGGAGACCGCCGTTCTTACCATCCTCCAGGCCGTCCAGAGTGTCGCGGATGCGGAGGTAGGTGCCGGCAATGTTCTGCGCCACCGGTGCCATCGTAGAGCGGTAGGCAGAGATGATGGTACTGGAAGACTCGTCCTCCCGCTCCCGCTCGGCGGCCACGTCATCCATGAAGGAAACAGCCTCAATGAACTTGCTCTTCTGCAGCAGCAGGATCAGCTGCACGCACTCCGCCTGGCGCGAGCGGCACTGGCGCAGCAGGTGGTACAAGAGTCGCTCCTCTGGCCCTCGCAAGCACAGCTCAGCCAGCACCTTGAACCGACCGCGTCCGATGCAGTGGCGGAAGAAGCGCTCCAGCAGCGACTGCCCATCCTCGTCGTCATAGAGGCGGGCGATCTGGAAGGCCTCCGGCATGCTTTCGTTGGCCAGGAGCACGCTCATGTGAAGCGACGGAGGCAGCGGTCCGGGCGGTTGGCTGGCCACGCGCATGGCCGCCTTGACAGCGCCGCCATCCAGCAGCGTCTCGAGTAGCAGTCGCATCTGCCACTGCTCGTAGTTGCTGGCAGGGGCGGGATCCTTGTAAAGCTCCTTGACGCATTGCTGTAAATATGCAAAAGAGAAAGAGTTTAAATCCAATTGAATACATCGCGGCATAAGGGTTTGAAATCAGTTAGACAAGGCGCTGCACTCACATCGTAATCGCCGCGGTCCAAGCACCAGAAGGACCTCACAGACTTTACCAGATCTTCGCCCAGCTGGAAAGCAGTCTGGAAGCGCCTGCCCAGCCGTGGGTCCAGGTCCATCAGCAGATACAGGACGAGCGCTTGCTTGCAGGCGACCTCTGTGTCCGGAGCGAGCATCACAAGCAGCAGGGCGTGCAGAGAGTCCGGCGGATAGGCGTTCGTAAGGGAGGTGTGCTCTACCAGGGAGTCGATGTATAGGCTCTTGCGCTGCGCCCGCCTCTCGGAATAGAAGTGCCGCAGACGGACGAGCGGCTGCTCCCGGTGCTCGCGATGATCCTCGTGCTGGCCCTCAGGCAGGAGGCCATGCTCGATGAACCAGTAAAGCACCCTCTGGTACTCGTGCACTGTCTGCAGCGCTCGCTCGCTGGTCTTGCACTCGGCCAGCATTGACGGCGTCAGCCTGCGCTTGCCCAGTTCGACGATGTAGGACTGCAGGCGCAGCAGCTCACGTAGCTGGGCGGAAAGCACCTGGAATTCGCGCCGCTCCCGCTCGTCCAGTGAGTAACCACCGTAGTCGAAGATGCCCTGGCAAAGCTCTGAGCAGCGCGTCTTGATCTGCCCGGCGCGCCTCACGATCCAGTTGGTCAGCGTACCCAGCGAGAGCTCCGTGGGATCGAGCATGTTGCACAAAAAGCTCCCGTCCAACCAACTCCGAGCGCAGTCGTTCAGCAGGGCCACGCACTTGTGCTCCAAGGCCACCGAGAGTATGACTTCGTACATAGCAGTCTGGAGAATATGGAATACAAAGAATAAAATATTTTTTAAATGATAAGGCACAAGATTTTTTTTAAGACAAGTAAAACGAAAATATAAATGAAATTTGAATTTTGATCTATAAGTTTTATAAAAAACGACAAAAATTATGTAAGAAACAAATTTGTGCGATTTTCATTTCATTTTTTCATTTAAAAACTTAATTTAAATTAAGCATTGCAAATATAACTCATTCCAAATTTTTCAATAATGAATACATTTTAATAAGCCTGACAATATCGTTGGCCAACTTAAGTACAATAAATTGGATTTTGACTGAGGTTTATGGTTCTGGCTTTAAATTCGAATAATCAAAATGTAAAATTTACTTTACATAAATCTCCTTATCCTTTTGTCCTATGAGCGTTTTATTTAATTGAGAAAATTACGTTTTAGGTCAAAAATAAATGCAAAACTAAATAAAATTCTTCTTTAGCTCAATTGGGGTTTGCTGGACTTTTAAATTTGTATTTTTCCCAGAATATTTTATGCGAAAACGAGTCATGCCAGGAACAAATTAAAACCAAGCAAATCTGGGCTTTCATACCTTGGAGAACGTGGCGTTGGGGTTCAGCTCGCAGAACTGTGGGAGGAGTCGCAGGCGGACAATGTCCTCGTGGTAGGCTTGAGGACGCAGGAAGAGCGTGGCGCGCTCCCAGCGCAGGGCGTTCAGGAAACGATGTTGTACTCCGTCCTGGGCGTAGTACCGACTGCCAGTTGGTGTTAGCAGCGTGCAATCTAAAGCATTGGGACAGTAAAGGATTTTGAGTAAACGCGATCCAATGGCTTCGGCTCCAGTTACCCATAGCTCTTACCGAAGGTCAGTGAATCGGGATAGAAGTGCTCATCATAGCGCTGCAACGAGACATAGTGCATAATGGAGTTGGATCGCAGCTGCAATCCCAGTCCCGTGGGCAGACCACTGAGGATATAACCGGCCACGTAGTGGGGAATCTCGTATTGCCGCAGGCAAGCGGGCATCTCATCCTTGTACCACTGGTTAACATCAAACAGGACGAGCTTGTTTTTGCGATCTGTGTGCGAGTACCAAGAAAGGATGATCAGCAGCGTTCCGCTGTCGCCGGCAAAGCTGAAGGTAGACGCCGTGGTGCAGGCTATAACGGAGCAGATGCCTCTGTCGAAGAGTTGGTGGTTTCGCACAGAACTGGAATGAAAGTGCTGCGGAACAAGAACTTATAATTCTGTGTTGAACAGCGGCACCACGCGTAGGCTCACCTCGAAGCGGAACCCGTCGCCCTCCTGTTCCACGCGCCTGTAGCTGACTGAGTGCAGCACCATGTGAAGGCGATCGGCGCTCTGGTACAATCCACTAATGTAGAAGCATGGCTTGGGGTCGTCCGGCGGCATGACAAGACACATTCGCTCCACGGGCCCGTGAACACATCCCTTCTTTTCCGGCGGATGCAGCGTGGTGGTCACGTGGAAACGAACCAGGTCGTATATGACGATACGACCATTCTCGACTCCAGCGGCGAAGCCGGGCGCAAAGCAGATGCCCATTAGGCTTCGAATTCCGTTGCGGCTCACTGTCAGGGAAGAGGATTAGCCAGCTTTGAGGGGAACACACTCGCATTCGCACACTCACCATCCACCCGCACGGCCAAATGAGCCACTTTGGAGCGACATTCGTTCAGCAGGGCTTCGACCCGATGGTGCCCGGCCTCTTCACAAGGAACGGAGTACAGCTCCCCGTAGGACGGCTCGCCTTCGACCCTGGGGATGGCGAGACTGCGTGGGCCACGCTTCTCCAGCAGTTTACCGAAGTTGAGATCGACCAGAAGAACAATGCCTTCATCGGAAGCCACAGCCAGGCAGCCGTCGAATCGCCTCAGTCGTGTTCCGCTGCAGATGCTTTCGTCGAGAAAGGTCAGCGCGCTGCAGTGGAGGCCCTGCAGGTCAAAGCTGCGCAGGACCTGGCCGGAAGCGATTGAGTAGATGAGCACCTGCGTGCTAGTCATCGGGCAGTTGTCGGGCTGGCGCTCCCCGCTGTCCCACGACTCCAGGCAGACGGCCAGCAACGCCGGTAGCTCGGACCGGCCTGGAAAAATCTCCTCCACACAACGGATGCTGCTGCGCTGTCCCTGTCCCTCGTCGGCGGACTCGCTCCAGAAGCAGTGCCAGGAGATGCACTCACCGGTGGACATGGTGCAGACCACCAGGGTGGCGTCGTTCGCGTACCGACAGGTCACCCAGCCCCACTGCCCGTTGCGGATGATGCCGCCCAGGTAGTCGTCTGCAAATCCGAAGCGATATTCTTGGTGAGAAGGGACCATCCCACGCCGCATTGCCCATGCTTACCGGTTTCCGCCGGCTTCTGTCCAAATCCGGGAACGGTGCGCTCGGGAAAGGATGCCGTGCGGCTGCCATCCAGCTCCACTTCATGCCACTCCATATCTACTGTTCAGTGCCTGCGGTCTGGCGCAGCAAATCTAGAAAATCATTAATTCCTTATAAAAATATATAAAATATAAATACGCGCTTCACACTGATTATTTAGGAGTGTGTGTGCGAGCTCACCGGCGTTGCCGTTTGATTTGACATTTAAAAACGGTTGTTTTGATGTCGTTTTCCTGGTGCGCACGCTGGCCAGCTCAGTGTTGATTAACGTTCCATTTAAATTCGCAAGTCAAAGGTTTTCCAAGGTGATACTAGTTTTACGGTTTTTATGACTTTACTGCAATCTCACATGGATAATTGTCAGTGACTAATAGCGGTAGGTAAGCCAAAAAGGATTACTACTTTGGACCGGCATTGGCAGCTAGGCAACTCTCGCGGTCCGGCAACGCTACTGTATTGCGAAAATATCGCGCGAGTTTCATAAGAAAGTTGTCCGCTAGCCTCTGAGATGGTTGGCATCGAGGGAAAAAAATATCTGAACTGGAAACGTTGAAGGCTATACCATTTGGACATCCTACTCTTTTCGAAAACGGTAAAAGTCCAGGAAGTCCGTGCGATCTGGCAACTTTCATGAGCCGCCTGTCAACCCTGTCCCGTGCGATTTGCTGCACATTGTTCTAAAACAACCCAGCCGGAAAAGCCGTTTCAGGAGGCTATCCTATCTATATGCGATTCAGATGTGAGACACCCAACTCGAGGTTGTGTTTCAGGCAATAGGCGCTACTCAGGCCGATCATCCGAGTTTCCACGCGATCTGAAATAGAACCCTCCAGGCAGCCCACAACTCACGCATTCCCCATTCCGCACACGCACACAGGCAGCTCTTCTAATCTCGGAAACGTTGTCTGGCTGGCTCCAACCGAAGCGCATTGGCCAAAGAGAAAGCACAAGGGGATCGAGGAGGTCGAGAGGCTAGGCGAGATTCGGGTTTCGATCGGCGGGCAGGGGCAAGCAGAGGTAAGTGGAAGGAAGAGAAGGCATTTTCGGGGGGCAGCCGGGGGGCGGGAGCACATGTCGCCACTAGAATGAACCTAAACCGCACCCCATCATAGAAAACTCACCAAAATCCTCTTGCAGGGAGACAGGTAGGCAGCAGGGACAGCTAGCGATGGCGATGGCACAGCACGGAGGCACCGAGGCTCTGGCTGCCGAACTGGCCACGGCCGTCGACCTGATCATGCACCCGCTGACCCAACAACAGGCCCGCCTGGAGGCGTACATGGCCTGCGAGCGGTTCAAGGAGGAGTCACCGCTGTGCGCACAGGTGGGCCTGTTCCTGGCCAGTTCGCCGCAGTCCAATCAGCAGGTGCGGCACTTCGGGCTGCAGCTGATCGAGTACACAATCAAGTTCCGCTGGAACTGCATCACGCACGAGGAGAAGGTGTACATCAAGGACAATGCCATCAAGATGCTGAATGTGGGCGTGGGCCCGGCGGAGGACCGCTCGCTGCTGCCCACGAAGGACGCGCTCTCGCGCATCATCGTCGAGATGATCAAGCGCGAGTGGCCGCAGCAGTGGTCCGACCTACTGCCGGAGCTGAGCCAGGCCTGCACCAAGGGCGAGGCGCAGACGGAGCTGGTGTTGCTCGTCTTCCTGCGCCTGGTAGAGGACGTGGCTCTGCTGCAGACAATTGAGTCGAACCAGCGGCGCAAGGACATGTACCAGGCTCTGAACAACAACATGAACGACATCTTCGAGTTCTTCCTGCGCCTGGTGGAGCAGCACGTAACCGCATTCCGCGAAACGACGCGACAGTGCAACTTTACCAAGGCCAACGCGCACAGCCGGGTCGTCGAAATGGTTCTGCTCACGCTGAGCGGCTTCGTCGAGTGGGTCAGCATCCAGCACATCATGTCCAGCAACGGCAAGCTGATGCACTTTCTCTGCATTCTGCTAAACGACAAAGCATTCCAGTGCAACGCGGCCGAGTGCCTGGCCCAGATCACGAACCGCAAGGGCCAGGCCAAGGAGCGCAAGCCGCTGCTGCAGCTATTCAACGAGGAGCCGCTGCGCTACATCTACCAGGCCAGCCAGATCCCGCCCGACTCTGGCTCCGCGCTGGCCATTGAGCAGCACCACAACTTCCTCAAGAAATTGCTGCAGGTGCTCAACGGCATGGCCCAGCAGCTGGTCGCGCTCTGGGGCAAGGACGACGCCACGCAGCGACCAGTGCACCTCGAAGTCCTGCTCGAATGCCTCCTGCTTCTCGTTCAGCACCAATCGCTCACCGTCTCCCATGGAGCGGCGCTTATCTGGCAGCTGCTGCTGAAGCACGAGCCCTGCTCCAAGGACTTTGCCACGGTCAACTACATTCCCAAGCTGATCCACACGATTGCGCCCAGGATCGTAAAGCTGCCATATCCTGCCTCTACTAGCTCGCCTGCCAGCCTCTCCACGGAGGCCTACATTCGACTAGAGTACGACAGCGAGGAGGAGTTCGCGCTCTACTTCTTCCGCTGCCGGACCGACTTTCTTGAGATCTTCCGCCTGGCCACGCTGGTGCAGCCACTGGTCACCTACGGCTACTGCGAACAGTGGCTGCAGCAACGCCTGCGTAACGCGGTGGCCGAAGCGGACGCGGAGTCCAAGAGCGGCAACGTGTCGTGCAGCGTACTGGATCCCGTATACCTGGAATGGGATGCACTGGTGAGTGTATTGGATGGGGTCCTAAGTCGTATCCTGCTCGTGGCGGAGCGACCCTCGGTGCCGGCGGGGCTGCGGCTGCTGGAAGAGTGCCTCAAACTGGAGACAATCAACCCGCTGATCTACTCAATCCTGCTCTCCTGCATTTCGGCGCTGTTCGTCTTCCTCAGCATGTCCGCGTGCCAAATAACGGCCACCAACTGCGTGGCCATGAGCGGCGTCAGTCTGCTGCCACGGGTGCTGGACAAGATCTTTCGAGCGCTAGTGCTGAAACCACCCAATGAGCTGGAAAAGGTGCAGGCTAAGTCGGCGAAAAACCTTCGTCGTCACGCCGCCTCGCTGCTGGTGAAGCTGGCTCACAAGTACCCGCTGCTGCTGCTGCCCGTCTTCGAGCAAATCAACGGGCACGTGGAGCTATTGCTCAAGGAGCCTGGCCAGCACCAGCTGTGCCGTCTCATGCGCACCACGTTGCAGGAAGCCCTGATTCTCATATCGAACCACTTCTGCGATTTTGAGCGCCAGACTCTCTTCATCGAGCACATCGTGCAGGACAAGCGGACCGAGTGGCTGGCCTTCGGGGATGCGCTCAAGTCGCCGCTGGACTTCATGAGCTTCGTGGGTCTGGACAAGCCTCCCATCTTTGCCGTGGAGGGAGCTGTCACGCTCCAAAACCGTTCGCGCCTTCTGGACGCCCTGCATGTGGTGCTGGGCGTGGTCAAGCGGTGCACCTGGCCAGATGACCCGGACCGAGCCCAGCGCGGAGGCTTTGTCATCGGCTGCACGGAGCTGGGCAACCCCATTTGCCGAAATCCGGCCACCAAGCACGTCGTGCCACTGCTCTCGCATGTGCTGAGCCTGATGCGTGTGCTCAACGAGCTGTTTGCCCCCGAGGCGCTACTCGCTCTGTCCGAGGGATACCGCGGAATCCACGGCATGCTGGAGCACGAGAAGAAGCTGCTGATGGGCATTTGCGCCCTGCCCACCGACCCGCTGGACACCACCATCCGCAGGGAGCCGACTGCATTTGAGAAGATGCAGACTTTCATGATGATGGTAACTGAGGGCTGTTACCATCTGATGGGCTCCGCAGGCCCGTCGCTTGGACGCGACTTATACCAACTTCTGGGCCTGTCCGACGCCATCGTGACGAATGTGTTCAGCCGAATGGATTTGGTGCCCGACTACCGACTGCGCCCGATCATACGCGTCTTCTTCAAGCCCTTTGTCTACTCGTGCCCGCCCAGCTTCTACGACAGCGTCCTTGTGCCTCTCTTCGCGCACCTGGCGCCATTGATGTGCGATCGACTAACGCGCCGCTGGCTTTACATCGCCTCGCTCTACGAAAGCGGGCAGCTCAACGGCGAGGTCAACGACACGCAGGAGGTTTTGGAGGATCAGCTCAATCGAACGCTGACGCGCGAGTACCTGGACGTGCTGAAGATCGCGCTGGTTGGCGGCCAGATTGGGGCCGATCATGTGGCGGCTGGCGCCAACGCCAACAGCAACTCGGTGGCCATGGAGAACGAGGAACACTCAATGGACAGCGCCCCGCAGTCGCGAGCAAGCCAGTCGGCTTTGCTGTCCGACATTATCAGCGACTTGGGCGGCAAGCTGCTGCGCAACGGACTCATCGGCAACTACGTGCTCATGACCCTGCTGAAGGCCATCGCCTGGAACGACGGCATGTGCAGCATGAAGGCAGTGAACATCGCGGCGCCCGTGATGCGCTTCCTGGCCGCCGAGAAGCTAATGGACGAGAATAAGGCTGTCACGGCCTTCACTGCCGTCCTGCAGGGCATGCAGGTGCACGGTCAGCATGAGGCCAACCAATCCGGCCTTGTAACGCTGGGCGTACAGTTCTACGAGCTTCTGCGGCCGCAGTTCCCCATCCTCAGCGAAGTGCTGCAGCACATACCCAGCGTGAACGCGGCCGACATCCAGAAGTTCGACGAGAAGATCGCAGTGGCGCCCGTCAAGGGCAACAAGGTGGACCGCGCAAAGAAGGACATATTTAAGAAGCTCACCGCCCAGTTGGTCGGACGTAGCGTAAACCAGTTGTTCCGACATGAGGTGCAGATCGCCAACTTGCCGCCCATGCAGTCGCACAAGGCCAAGGGAGCCATGGGCACAACCGCCGACATTATGGACAGCAATCAGAACGCCAGTCTGGCCCGGCTCTTTGGCCCGGAGAAGTGACAGGGACCGCAACAGGAGCAGGACCAAAAGCAGAGACACACACAGAAACAAAGGAGCAGAAGGAGGCGTCGCAGCCGAGGCGGCGCCACCAGCGACCAGGCCTCGGTCTTGGTCGAGGACCAGGATCAGGAGGATCACGTCGAGACCACGGCCACCTCAGCTGCCAAACTAGCGACGACTGAACTTAAAGTAATTGTAAACTAGCTTAGACGATGAGCCCGCGCTGTAGCAGGAACCGCATCTCACGTCCACGACCTCGCCCGTGCCCATGCCCATGACCCAGTCCCACACCCAGTCCCAGTACCCAGTACCCAGACCCAGTTTCAATCAGATCTTAAAGTTATTAATTTATTTATTTTACAAACTAAATTAACACCCGCACGTAACACTTTTTTATTAGTCTTCCGCGGCCATCGCTTCGTTTCGATCCAAACCGTTTCCTCTGCAGGAAAGTGGTGACTCGCGACTTGTTACTGCTTTGTTATTTATTATTCGGAATTTGTTAAACTTGTTTGCACAAAAAAAAAGTAGAATCGATAATTGTCAATACTCTCCCTAAATCGCCCCGATCCCTTGGCCCCGCAGCATCGCCAGAAGCCCTTTTTATACATAGTTAAATAATTAATTAATCAATTGTGCTTTTCCCGGTTTTGTATAGTTACCTATGCGCAGGCATACTGTAATTTATATATATGTACACATTTATCCTTTGGAGAAACATTTCTGAAATTACGCTTAGGCTTAGTTGATAGGCAAAGAGTTATTATTATATAATACATCAATCTGTATATGAACACACATCCCGCATCGCATATGCATTACCCTAAAAACCCCCACAAACACACATCGGGATTCTAAGAATTATAGTTGCGTGAGTATGTAATATTCAAACTGAAATTATATACTACTATTTATAACTAAATGAAATCGAAGCGGAAAATTTCGCAAAAACACAAAATCGAAATAAGTTAATAAATTTGAAATAAATTTACAAATTCGACATGATATAGAGTTGTTTGTGAGGATTTTGAATTCGATTTTAATGATGGTGAGGACAAACCCAACGATGAAGTTGCAAACACACAGAAGAAGGATTGCTCGGCTGTTTCCGATCCCCGAGGACTCTTCAACTTATTAAAATTCAAAGGAGGACAACATTTTCAAGTTGAAAATATCTGAAAAATCTGAAAATATTGGGGCCATATTGACAAACCACACACAAGGAAAACCGTTATTCTGTTCCCACTGCCTAAAGATTGTTCAACTAAACAAATTCTTAGGGTCCACTTGCGAACCGCCACATCTTCATTACGATCTCAAATATAATTCGGCTTTATCTGGATAGTTTTATTTTATCTTGTCCTAAAGCTTAAGCTGTTTTTGATCTCCGTTTATATGAGTTGTCATTAAAAATATATCTTGTTTGTGAAACATTATAAAATCAAACTTCTGGGGTTCGAAAATTAAACGTTATATATACTGGAATTTTGATCCTGATCTTATGATTCGCCCAAGCCAGCTTGAAAACTTGAAGATTTTGTACACAAAGCTTACATTACTTAAAGCTTACATTAAAGATGTGAAAACTGACCCCAATAGCGTTAGTGGAAATAGGCTATTAGCTCAAATCGCGGAAACCGATTGTTTTCTGCCGCTCCGTCATCGATAGTTGCTTACCTGCGGCCTAGCCTCCAATAATTTGTTGGTCTAATTTAATAATAAATAACTTGTCTAGTCCGTCGAAGTGCAACTAGCCAACATGCCCATATACGAGAGCGTGATGCAGGAGAAGCCGCCCATCGTCCTGGACATTGGCACCGCCTACACAAAGTAAGCAATGATGCGGCGCAAGAGAAGGTGAAGTCATCATTGCCCCATTTTCAGGCTGGGATTCGCAGCGGAGGCGTATCCGCGGAAGATAATGCCCACCGAGGTGGTGATGACCACGACGGGGATCAGGAAGCGTCTGTTTGACTACGGCACGCCGGAGGAGCTCTACGATCAGCTGGTGGACTTCCTTCAGACGATTTTCTTCAAGTAGGTGGTGGCCCAAATGAAGCTCGGCGGTGAATACATCTACATCTTTGCCTGCTTTCAGACATCTGCTGGTTAGTCCCAAGGAGCGGAAGTTCGTGCTGGTGGAGAACGTGTTCGGGCCCACTGTGCTACGTGAAACCTTGGCCCGCGTCCTCTTTGTCCACTTCGACGTCTCCTCCGTGATGTTCGTGCCCGTGCACCTCATCGCGCTTTCCACTTTAGCTGTGCCCACCGCCCTGGTGATAGACATCGGCTACAGCGAGACCAGCGTCATGCCCGTCTTCAGCGGGGTGCAGATAATGGGCGCCTTCAAGGACCAGAGCTACGGAGGCAAGGCCGTCCACGCGGAGATCAAGCGCCAACTGGTGGAGACGGGTGTCAAGGAGAGCCTGCTGACTGAGAGCGTGCTGGAGGACATCAAGGTGCGAACATGCTTCGTGACCACTATGGAAAGGGCCCAGGCACGAGCCAAGGGTGGCGAGGACCAGCCGACTCCGGCTCCAGGTGTGGACTACATCGTCAGCGACAACGATGCTGTCATCCAGGTGCCCGGCAGCCTGCGGGAGGCCGTGTACGAGATCATGTTCGAGCCAAGCAACGAACGGGACAGCCTGCCGCACCTCATCCTGCGCTCCATTCTCGACTGCACGCTGGACGTGAGACGTGCCCTGGTCGAGAGTGTGTTCTTGGTGGGTGGCGGCTCCATGGTTCAGGGCCTGCTAGCACGACTTCGCCAGGAACTGCACCATCTGCTCGCGGAGGATCCGTTCTACGCCGAGCGGTTCCACGGCGAGCTGCAGTTCAAGTTCTTCAATGCCATCGGCAAGCAAAACTTCACCGCATGGCTGGGTGGCGCCTTGTGCGGGGCGACGGATCTCATCCAGACACGATCACTGGTCAAGGAGACGTATCTGAAGAGCGAGCATGTCCCCGACTGGAGCAACCTGTGCGACAATCGGCCGACAGGATCATAGATTGGGAGAGGACCCTAAATAGGGCGAGATGAAGCATGCACTTCACCACTAACGCATATTAATTTAATCTTGATTATATTGTATTATATAGGCTTAAAGTTAACTGCAAGTATAAAGTATAGAAAATATATAAAAAACCAATTTTTTTGAAGTGCTTAGATATTCCAGAGTTTTTTGTTTAAATGTAGTAGAAGAGTAATTGGTTACATTTTTCCAATACATTATTTACTGAACTTACATTAGTACAACTTAATTAAATTGCTTTCCTAAAAAAAAGCATTACACAAAGTTTAAGTCATGGTATCAGTCAAAAAGCTAGAACTTTTAATATTTTCACTTCTGTAGCCAAATATAGCCTAACATAACAATTATTCCTTTACTATAATAAGTTTTAATTAGTTTCTTATCTTTAAAGGCAGCTAGCAAACTTGCAGAAAATTAAAAAAATTATTGGAATTCCCCACTTAGAAACTTATAAAAACATTGCTAAATTTAGAAATTCTTAAAAGGAACGTTACAGGTCTTGGCCTATAAAATACTTTATCCGTCGGTAGTAAAGACATTGTGATTCTTATTCCTATCCAAGCTAGTCGAGATGTTTACATTCATCAAGTGTTTTCTGCTGCTATTGGCATTCAGTTTCCTGTCAGCAGGAAGAGTTCCTCGACCGGAAGAACGGATTATAGGCGGAAACGCGATTGCAATCGAAGAGGCTCCTTGGCAGGTGTCCTTGCAACTTCATGGGCATCATTATTGTGGTGGCTCCATTTACAGCAAGGATATTATCATCACTGCAGCCCACTGCCGTTTTACAACAGCTGGATTGCGACTTGAGGCAGAAGACTTTTTAATTCGTGTTGGATCGTCATTGAAAGACTCAGAAGGAACTCTTGTCAAAGTGGCCGCTATATGTTCCCACGAGGATTATAGTTTTTTTAAAAAAAACGACATTGCCGTTATGCGATTAAGTGAGCCACTTAAGTTCACCAACAAAGTTCAGAGTATCCCTTTGGCTAAGAAGAATCCTGCTCCTGGAACAATTGCAATGGTTTCCGGTTGGGGAGCAACATTAATTTATCCTTCTTATGATGGCTCTTATCAGTTTCTCTATCCTATAAATCTTCAAGGCGTTTACAACTATGTACAAAGTTGGAATACTTGTATTCGGTCTCATTCTATGACAGAGAATACTTTTTGCGCAGGACATTTTGGACAATCGGCGTGTAATGGGGACTCTGGAGGCCCATTGGTTGTTAACCAAACACTTGTGGGTGTCGTTTCAGAAGGAACAATATATTGCATTGATTCTACAGTCTACGTGAGTGTGTCTGACTTACGAGCCTGGATTCTAAATGCCATTGAATCTATTTGATTGCATGTAAATGTATATGAAAAATAAATACCTATTTTTTATAGAAACGTTATAGCAATCTTATGCCTCTTTTAAATAAGGACTTATAAATTTTACGAAATATTAATCCAACTAAAAAAAGGAATCCAATAAAACACAGGTATTAACTAACTTCTGACGCCAATTTGTAAAATCTAAAAAAAATGTTTATTGACGATGGGGAATTGACAATGGCCAATGTCTTAAAGCATCACGCGACCTTTAAATTTTAAGTCTTCATTGTCAACACCTCTCTTAAATTCCACTTTTCGTAGCCAGTCCCAGTAAAAAGAATGACATTTTTAGTTGAAAAATCGATTTAACATTTATTAACGGGTTCACAAGCCCACCAACAAATGGGATGAATGTTTTTACAATTGGCTCTTATTAACTAACTTGTTCATGCACCTCAACATAGAGTTATAAATGGAATTTTGAAAATTTACAATACGTTTTCACATGTATGAAAATTCTGTAAGAAAGACATTCGCTGAATGCACATAGTTTTTCTCTATCTATATAATGCATGTTAACTAAACGAAAAAAATTTATCTGACATATGCTAGAATGGATGATTTGAATTTGTAATCTCAACCGCACTTAGGAGCCCACGATGATGTTGTTGATGGGGATGTGTATCAGCTTGACAAAGAAGCCAATGAAGCCCATGATGCAGAAACCAATAGCGGTGGCGATTGCGATCTTCTGGAACTCCTTGCGGTCGGGCTTGGTGCATCGCTTGACCAGACGGATCGAGTCCTTGGCGAAGGCGCGTCCAGGCTCGGCGAATTTAACAACCTTGTCCATGTCTTGTGAAGTGTGCTGGGTTCTGCAAAGGAAGAGGGAAAGTGGTGATTAGTGATTTGTGATCGGTAATAGGGCACTTTCACAGCACGTCAGCTGTGACGTGGCAAATGGTCGGCGCCGTCACAGGTGAAATCCGGTGGCGCCTTTCACCAAAATGTTGGTCACTCCAACAGTTTACTGTTTACACTTCATCAGCTCAGAAAATATAAATATAAGAATGCACACTAAAAGAAAGTCTTGAACATCCCCAAATTATATTATATGAAAAGCTATATAAATAAAAAAAAGTGTCAGGCCGAAAAACCGCAAATCGCACAAGGAAAATAAACCTGTGCTGGTCTTCGGAAATGAGGCCTTTGTTTATTCACTTGATATTTTAATTGACAAATTACACTGGAGCAATTAAAGCTAGAAGAGAATCACACGCACCTCTGCTTTAATCGAAAATTTCTACTTAAATGAGCTAGTATCGTCTGCTGCCGCGTCGACCCTACTATTCGTTGTTGTTCGTGTCCACGTCAAAGTGTCAAACGCCAGGGTTGCATTGCACCCGAGCTGTCAACAGCAGGGCTGCCAACTTAGCTATTTTAAAATAATGAAATGTAGTTTTTTAGAGCTTGGTGCACTTGCACTAAAGTACCAATTGTGGCAATAAATAACGGCTTGAATAAATTCCGTAGCTTATTAAGCTTTTTGTGGTTCCTCGGTTTAATAAAAATCGGTAAAATTTCAATGATTGTTGTTTTGAAAATTTTCGCGAATATAAGCTATTTTAAAATTTGGTCATTTATACATTACTATTGTTATCATATTAAGAAAGATACGAAAAAACACCGAATACTCTCTTCTACTCTATTCGAATTTTGAGCTCTCTGATTGAAAGTCATGGTGCAAGTTGTTTGCCCGCTTCGGCGTAAAAACTTTAATCTTTCCAGTGTGACCAAAATTTCGAGAGTTCATCAGATTTAAGCGTGCTACGGTCGTACTGTCAATCAGCTGGGTTTGTTGACAAAGTGAACGCCAACTGTTTGCCTCTCGCTCTCTCTCATGACTCGATCTGAGTACTAGGCTTAACTTAGGGTATTAATATTGTTTTTTCCGTTATTTACATAAATTAAACAGTTTTTTCTTTCAACCAATTAGTCCATTGTTTTCTTCTCTTGATTTTACAGTTTTTTATTTCGAAAAAAGCTGAATTTATAAAAAAATGTCTAGAAACTCAATTGTTACAAATATAAAAACCGTTGAGATGTTTTGGGGGTATTACCACACAAAATAAAGCTTTTGAATAAATAATATTTCAACTTTAATCAGAAAATAAGCAATCACAATTTCCAATCCCACATTAAATATTAAGCATATATTTGTCTTTTTCTTTTTTTATTTGTAATTTTTACTTAAATACAAAAAATACTCTTCATTTCCTCTTCTATTTTTTTTTTGTTTTTCTTGTTATGATAAAAATATTTAAATAAAAATTAAAGGCGAACAAAATGGCAACTTGCGCCAGGGAGCAAAAAAAAATAAAAATTATAATTTTGAAAAAAAAATTACAGATTTGTCTTTAAATACAAAAGAATAAAAGCTCCTTGCTGAATACAAAATACAAAATTAAAGAACATGTTGTAATACCGAGAAGCGGCCCTTTAGGCAATCGTTATATTTTAATTGACAAAGCGAGCTATATATGCCTGCGTTTGCCTGGACATCTGTATGTCAAATACAAATGGGCTATTATTTATTAAGAAAAAATACATGCAGGCGGGCAAAGTAAGTCAAAGCCTGCTCGGTTGGTTGAGGCTGGTGTTTAAATAGGTTTTAAATTAAGCATAGCTAAAGAAAGGCAACGCGGCTGCTAAAAGAACACTTGTTGTTATGCTTGTTATGTACTCGTTATATATAGTAGGTATATATATATAATATATGCTTGGGTAATTTTATCCGTTAAATATACATCTATGTATAGTCCTCAGAGTTGCTGCTGTTGTAAAGTTGTCCAAAATATTGTGGTTGCTGTACTATAAGTTGATGTGTGGCTGCATGGCTCTGCTCCTTAGGAAACCTACTCCGAAATATCAATTGGAATGGATGTGGTAAACGTGGGCATCTCTAGCTCTTCGTGCTTCTTCATTTTGAGACTCTGCAAAAGGAGAGTGGGAAATTGAGTTGGCGAAAGGTCGTAAATAGAAATAACTAGATTCGCACCTGTTGCAACTTGTAGTGATTAATGATGTCCTGGTCGGCCGGGCACGATTGTGTGAAGGCATCCAGCTGGTACATGTGATACATGTACCGCCACAGCGCCGTCAAGTGCGTCTGCAAGGATTCCATATAGTGAGAAAGGTGGGTCATAACTGCCTAATACGTTTATTAAATCAATTCTGACACTAAGTGCACTTTGCACGCCTATAAATAACACTTTTGAAACCTGTTTATGGCTAGTGACTGCAGCACAATTTCAAATATAGCAGCTAAACTTGGCATTGAGTGCACAAAATAATCGATTTGTAAATATTTTCGCTGGCTATTTGCAATTCCCTGTCCAATCGGTATAAACTCGATGTGCTAAGCAATTATTATTTTGCATCTTATTCCTGATATAAACCCTAGACTTATTTGAGTTGCAGAAACCAATGCTTAGAGATTTAAAATTTAATAATATGACTTCAGATCAACTGTATGGTTTTGAAACTACAGAATCTTCCTTCTTGTTCAAACTAAAGTAACCCGAGAAACTAAGAAACCAGAATGCTCACCGGGATCTCAAAGTCGACAAAGTACTTGCCCGCAACACGGATGTGTTGGAGGCGCGGCATCAGCTCGCAGTCGAAGCAGCACATGGTGTCGCCGGTGAGGAATCGCGTGTTGCGCGTGGCAAGGTGATCGTTGATCTTGCGGAGATGCGAGAGCAGGGCGTTGTTCTTGGCCTCGTCCTTCTTTACCAGCATCAGCTTCAACTTGACGTACAGGTTCTCGATCAGCGTGGCCACCTCCTTGTCCTGCACGAAGAGATTGTAGCCGCCCGGGATGTTCTTCATGATGTGCCGCTCGATCTTCTCGTTCTCGAGAATGGCCAGACCGTTGTCGATAAGGATTGGCGGGTGTGTGGCCTCAAAGTTGGTGCGAAAGTCTGGCGGGGGCTTCTGCATGTCCACCGTCGTCACCTTCAGGCTGATAGTCTTCAGCTCGGCCAGCAGGTACAGGTCCATGAAGTACTCCTGGCAGAACAAACAGGCGCCCTTCCGCCGGCCATCGATGGTCGAGGCCTGCAAATCGCAACAAAAAAATATACTATTAGATTATAAATAGATAAAACGAGAAATTACGAAATGTTTTCGAACATCTTCATTAAAATTTCTATTCTATTCTTCAACAGCAAATGTTTACTTGTCAAGTTTTTACTAATTTGGTATTATGTTAAACATTATGCCTGCGATAAAATCAAGTGTTAATATGGGTCACATTCCGTGGACTGGGTATTTTTCCAGCGAATGGACATTGACTTCTGACCACTTAATGGACATAATGCCACATCGCGTGCCGGCAATTACCGATAAATAAATCAAACAAAATTTAGCGAAATAAAACAACATGAATTCCATCATGTGACATCATCATCATAAACGTTCTGCGTTCACCGTCGCGTGATGAGCCATCGAGGTCTGTTTGCTGGCGTTTTAGGGACCGGAAGCGACCCTCAGCTAAGACGGTGTGGAATCAAGCCAAGTCAAAAGAGAATTCTGCATCGCTGCACTGCCAAGGCCAACACAGGAAAATATACATTTGTAGATACACAGATAGAAAGATTGATGGAGACTTCCCAAACGCAAGGCAGTGCCAGCGCAACGGCTACAGTAAGTATAGGCTAGTAACGATCTAAAATATGCAATCCAAGGCAGTGCTTTTTTAACGCACTTAAATACATCAACTTGTAGATGATATATACATCTAAAGATAACGCATGCATTTACTGATTATTTACAGAAACTGTGGCAGTTATTCGTATTCATCTACGTGATTCATTTATTTATTTAAAGTTCTTGTTCTGATTAAAAAAAAAAACAGGAAATATTAAATGTCTAAATATGATTATGAATAGAGAAATGGTTGTTTAAGTGGAAAAGCTTTAAAATTATTCACTAAATGGAATTTTTTTTTACTTATTTCTGAAGGTTAATCAAATATTGATTTACAATTTCTCTTAAAAACACAGTAATATGTAAATATTTGTCAGTTTGGTAATATTATATTTTTATATATTTTATTATAGTATAAATAGGAATTATGAAATTTGGTTTTTGTCGGGTTTTAATACATTTTAGAAGCCTTTCATTCAGACTGAATATTGTCAGTCGTTTAGCCGATCTTTACTGTAGATCAGAGGCAGTGCTGCAGCTGAGAAGCAGCTAAAAACATCACTTCAAACGGCGATGTCGATGCGATGGCGATGATGTCATCAACCGTGTGCGAAGTTTACTTGTCGATTGCCGTTGCCAGCCTTTTTTATTTGCTCATACTTTTTTCCATTTCTGTTTCTGCTGGCGTCGACAGCCGGCTTAACTTCAAATGGCCCCAACGCCAGGCAATCAATGTGCGTATATGGCTGTGTGCATATTTGTATTCGTTAGATAAGCCTGCACTGTTGGTTTTACACAGTTGGCACTACAGAACAAAATATCAATACAAAACCAAACGCAAATTATTGCCGGGGAGGGGAGGGAGTTTATGAATCTACAGACTGATCGGGAACAAGGTTGTCAGAAGTTTGGCATTCGAAACTCTGCTGGGAATCTCCAAAAAGCAACTCAGTAAAGATCTAAACACGGTAATGAGGTGCCTATTAAGTACTACAAGGTATTTAAACTTTAAGTTTTCAAAAAAGTGAGTTTGTCTAAATGTAATAAAACATTGTTGTAGGTAGTAGTTCTTAATGTTTAAATATACGTTTAGAAGCAATCATAAATACGATAGCGAGGCGTCAACAATTATTCTCTGTTAATTTTAAGAGCGTTAGCTCCAGTTTGTAAATTAAATTTTACGCACCAATTGCAGGCAATTAAAACATTATTTCGAATGCGGAGTTAATTATCATTGCCCTGTGTGTTAATGGCTTAATAACCAAACCAAACCGAACTGAACCCAACCCATTTTCCAGCCCACATGGCCGCAGCATAATCAACTATGGAAAAAAAACTGAAATGGTTGTGGGAGCGGTTTTCCGTATCATTTTTTGCCGCGGTGCTTAAACGGTTTATTTGTATTCTTTCACACATTATTAACTGTGCACGTTCGTTTACCTGGTCTACGCACATTCATAGCCATTCCATAAATTCCCAACTGACCCGGATTACTTTTAGTTCACTATTTGTTTCGCTCGTATTTATATCGTATTTTCTTGGCCCGCATTTTTGTCATACTTTTTGGCCCGCTTTCTCAGTGATGCCATAGGTTATACATTCTATAACTTAGCTGTTTATTAATATTCTTGGCTTGGCATGTTATGGCAGGCAAGGTTAATACCCAACATGTAAGCTTCGGTATGGTAAAATGTACTTATATTATTTAATAACCAGTTTATGCAACCTTATTTTTTAAATAAAATATGTGTTTAGAATTTTGTTGGTCAATAAATGTAGGATAACATAGTTATTTGAGGGCTTTAAAACATCTTTGAACTCCTTTGGGGCAGAAAAATAAAAAAAATTTTAAATAAACCTAAAAAATTAAGAACCTTGTTTATTTTTTTTCTTTTTTTTTTGTAATATTAATTTGTTGGTATAAAAGAACCTTGATTTTTATATTTAGCTCTTGGTGTGGAGTAAATTAGTTTAATGTTGACCGAAAAATTGACGTGACTTAAACATATAGATTTTAAACTCATATTAATATTTTATAGTCAGCAGAATCGTCATCTCCATATGACATCAGACATCATTTTATAGTAAAAGCTTATTTAACCCAAAAGTTAATTATGTACCAGATTATTTGCCATCACTATCGCCAAAGTGGTGTGCAATATGAGTTGCAGAAATTGGAAATGGAAATTGTAAAACCCGAGACAACGACGTGTGGCAACGTCAAAAGGTCAGTCGAAGTCAGTCAGGCAATCATCTCGAGTTGAGAGTCCACAGCGGGATACAGATGCAGATACGAACTATACCTATAGAAAGACTACAGATACAGATACAGATTACCAACTACCAATACAAATACCAGAGACGACGGTTGCAATTGACTTTTCAAAATAGAAATGACGAGAGAAGGCGAACCGAAAAGCAGTTAGCAAATGTCAAGTGCCATTCACAGCACTCGCACACGTATGCTTCAGATATACTATATATGGCACATCTGGCTAATAAAAACTGCCGGTAAAATAAATACCCAGCCAATATAAACATTCGTCTTTAAATACATTTTCGTTGAATATAATAAGTTGTGGTGTTAGAGCTGGACGCAAATGAGGTCAAGTGAATAGAGCAAAAGCGCTACTATTCAGAAATTAAATACATATATCTTTAAAAAAAAAAAGTATAATCAATGATTGATTATTAATGATGAAAATAGGTCAAACATTTTATTTTTGTTTTGATATGTGTCATTTACCCTTAATAGATAGTAACTATCTTTTATTATTTAAGTTTATCGACGAATGATCGGTGGCCATATTTATTGAAAGCAAATAGAGAAAACTGATATGTTTCTTTTCTTTATTAATAAAGATTACTATGTTCCCCATAGAGACATCAAACAATAAAATCTTGTTTAATTGATTATTTGCAAATACCCTTTTCTCAGCCCTATAATTTTGTTTGCAACTGTACGCTGTACACCTACACACGTAAATATAGATATGTGCACTCAACAACTTCGATTTGTTTTTCTTTTAATTGTATATTCGAACCGCGATAAGATAGAGACGGACAAGTTGAGTAAAGTCAAATAAAATGAATTTTGTAAGCTTTGCCCCAGCAGCAAGAAATCGTAAATGTAAACGAAAATGAAATTAGTGGAAATTGCTGCCCCATTCCTTTTCCTTTTCCGATTTTAGCTGTTGGATGGGTTTTATTTTTGGAACCGGTTCGCTGACAGCTGCAGCGCAATAATTTAATTTTAATCATGATGATGTTGGGGGCAGATATCAACCTTGGCAAGAGCATTCTTCGCACTCGGAGAGCGATTCTCGTATCCCCGTTTTTCATTCTTTTTTGGCCAAACACAGCAAAAATTAAAAAGCACACGCACACCTAGATTGAGATGTACTATATACCATATCTTATCAGAAGTCGGGCGGAAGTTATCGCCGCAGTTTGTGATGATGATGGGCTGATGAAGTAATAGCCAAAATAATAGAATTATAATCAGGCCAAGTGGTCGCATGGCAAGTGAAGTCAGCTGGCATATCTTGGGCCACAAATTTTTAATGGGCTAATGGGGTTTTTAAACGCCTTATCGCTTCTCATTAAAACTTCTCCTTTTATATATAAAATATTATCATAAATACAAATTATGAAAATGGTAAAAATTCAGTTTAAATCAAAATGAAACGGAATTTGAGTTATTGTGCTAAAGCAACAAAAATGCAATAGTGTTTTAGTTTATTACCAGAACTTCTCCGACTTAATTGTTGGACAACAGAAAAAACGTTAGGCAATTAACAGAAATAAATAATGTAGGAAGTAAGTTACGAAAGGCAGTTAAGAAACGCAAATACACTGAGCGAAGCGAACAAGAGAAGATAACAAAAACAAACGATTGTTAATGAAGACTTTTTGAAGGCGAAGGGGATGTGGAAATGCATAAATGTGGGGGTGGAGGATGGCAAACCTTTGCGTGTTTTTCTTTGCTAAAATGTCAGTCACACACCAACACACACTGTACAAACCCATAAAAAGCACGTGCGGGCGTGAAGAAAACAACAAATCAACGACTCAACTGTCACTTTTGCACATTAACAGACAAAATAAAAAACAGTAAGGAAGACACGTACAGTGGTTCTTCAATTATAATTCAAAAATTACATTTGCAATTTAAATCTAATCAATACCCATTGAAAACAAGATCGCTCTCAAGTCATTCTTTTTTGATTTCTTAAAACCCAACAAAATATAATTAAAATATGAATGTTAATTATTTTGTTTTTGGTAATACATCTAAGTTAGGTTGAACATTTTGCCATTTTTTTTATAAATATTGATTTCAAATCTTTAAAATACTATTTCAACGATTTGTCAATTTACTTGATATAAGTTCACAAAAACATTAAAAACATATCCAACCTATGTTTTTTATTTTTAGGTGTAAAAAACCCATGTAGGGCTTTTAAAGTGAGAGCATGTGCGTACATTTACATTTAAGTGCAGCTTTTCATCTCGGCTCTTTACTGCAGTTGAAGTGGCAACAAAGAAGCGCATTTTCTTCAACTCAGCACAACTTAAACCTCAACAATTGCTGTCGTTGTTGAGATCCAACAAAAGGCACTATATTAGCTTGAGGTTTTATAATTGGTTTGGGTTGGTTTTTATAGAAGGGTATTGCCACATAGAAATAAATATAAATATTTTTAAAATGATTATAGATGAAGAAACTCACACTTAAGCTTTTCTCTAGATATTGGAAGTACGTATTGATAAAGACAAAAAAACGGAGTTTAAGATTTCAAATAGCATTTTGCTTATAGATTTTTAAAATTTCTTTTTAATTCTCACCTACCCTAGGTGTAATGATTAATTTGATATCAAATTAGTAATCCTAAATTGATCAGTGCTTAAACTGCAATAGCATATGATAATAGCAGTTATTTTTTTTTGTGTGCACTGGATTTCCTTTTGTTTTGATTACCGCTTTGTTTTGATTCGATTCGATGGCATGGCCAATTTCTGGAAATCTCGCGTGGGCGATGACTCGAGGGTAAGGCATTGGCTTTGGCCTGGCATGTTTTCCAAGCCAAAACCGTAGTTGATGCCATAAAGCCAAAGCCAAGCCAAGCCAAGGAGGCGGAAAAGCGCGGGCACGAGAAAAACCTGTTTAGCGTTCAATGATTGTTTTGTTTCCCCCCCCAACCGACATCCGAACAAACGAAACAAGAAAACACATTTGTATTTGTTTGTTGCCTGCACGCGCGGAACAGAGAGGCATGCCACGATCCGATCCCAAGCTATAGAGCTGGATCTATAGCTCCCACTTTTAGACTCCAACACCAACTACAGCTTTCCTCTAGCGCGGCAAATTGAACTTTCACTTTTTGCTGGGAAATGGAAATGGCTTTTCACGTACATACGCCTTGTACGGAGTGCGTTGTTGCGGAGTTATGTCAAAGATGCTTCTGTCACTCTTCTGGAAAAGCAAACTTTTGCTTTTAACTGGCTAAAATCCAGGTAAAAACCAAGCAAAGCATCAACAGGTGCCCCAAAGCACTTTCTCCCACAAAAACAGGAAAAGGGAGCGGGTCTCTGCACACAAATTTTGGCCATGGCTCATCGGATTTGAGTTTGTTTTTTTTTTTTGGGATTGGGAATGAGATGATGTGATATCTGGGCACTACTTTCGATTATCTCCTTCTTAATCTAGGGACAATCAATAAAGTTATCATTCTCAATGCTAAAATCTAAAGTTAAGTTAAATATAAAATGCACAAGAAGTATTATAACTAACGAAACTTGTTCCCCAACTTAAAAAAAAGTACTACCGTTCCCACCACTGGATTGCTCATGGCATTTGTTGTGCGTCGAGTGGGTTTTTTTTTTGGGAATGGAATGGTACAACATGGTATTGTACTGTGCAGGGAGGTGCTGCAAGGTGAGGAATTAGTCATGGGCAGACGACTCGAGGTGCGGCCTCCATTTGCGTGGGCTGGATGAGTGGCTAAGTTGAGTTGAGTCGAGTTTGCCAATAGAATCAACAACAGCAGAGCTCTAAAGTGTTCCAAAAACAATTACAATTACTTCGGCAAATAGTGGGAACCAACAAAAAATAAAGTTCAGAGGAAGTCATGCTCGAGTTACAATTGAGGAAAAAATGATAACTCACAAATTGCGATCTATAAATAGAAGGCTTTTAATCGGCAAAAACAATATTCTTGAGGAAGATTGAAGTAAACAACTGCTGTAACACAAGTTTTTTTTCAGCATGTAACAAAATTGATAAGCAAAGCTTTGTGTTCTATTCTCAAACACAGAATGTATCTAGTTTTAGCAGTTTTCGGAAATAAATATCACTAATTCGTAAAATATGAAATAAGGAAAGAGATAAATCATTTATTTATTTGAAGTATAGCTTTTAGGGAAGTATTTAAACTTGAATTATAAACAAACGAAATGTCTTTTAGTCACGAATAAATTCCTATATATCAAGAGTTCTTAGAAATTTACATGTTTACTGATATGTTTCATAAAATTAATCATAATAACATCAGCAACCGCAACTTGTCATCAATGCTATTAATTTGACCGCAAATGTAGCTAGCTTTTTGTTTTCTTCGATTCTTTGGAGGGGCATGACGTATGCGTCAAGAAATTTAGAAATCACTAAAAGATAAAAAAAAACCTCTAATTCACACAGACAAATACTAATAAACTTGGGGTTTCGGGAAGGCATGTGTTAAGGGGGAACAATGGAGAAGAAGAAGGAACATTTGTTAAGCAATTGGCGCAATGAAATGTGATTAAAGTTTATAACAGATAAGAACCACAGAAGTATGTTACGTTTATAGAATTGCAGACTTTGCACATATGTATGTAGAAAGACACAAATGGAAACAAAAACAAAACATGTCGATTTTCCAAAACATTTTTGGATTGTTTCTATGGAAGCTATATGATAGTGTCGTCCGATACTGCCCATTCCGACAAAAAAAGGAAGACTTTTGGGAAAACTTCATCCATATGTATATGTAGCTCTAAATCTGAGAGACTAGTTTGCGCAGAAACGGACAGAAGGACGGCCATATAGTTAGATCGACTCTCCTGGTGATGTATACTTCATATGGTCGGAAACGTCTACTTCACTGCGTTTTAAACCTTTGAGTGAAATTATAATACCCTTTGCAAGGGTATAAAAACTTAATCACATATGTAGAAGAAAAAAAAGTGATATTTGAAACTTGATTCCTTAAAACTAATAGAGCAATATATTTATAATTTATATACATATTTTTTGGAAGCCCGATGTTTGAAAATAAAAAATATTGAACTATTGTTTTTAAAATCATGTAAGATCAGCAATAAATTAAGATAAGGAAACCTGTATGTTGAAATATGAGGTTTAATAATATTGTATCCTGCGAGTGTCATTTGGAAATCATAAATTATATTAAATGCACACTATTTATAAGAAATATCTAAGATCTTCGGAGGCTTGAAATCACCTAAAAAGTGTCTGAAAGTATGTTGCTAAAAATATACCGTTACCTTTTGTCAGATAAACATAGCAAATCCTTTACAAAAATAAGGATCATTTTAAATGACTATGAAGGGATTCGGAATAACAACATTTTATCAACATTTTCGTTCCGTGCAGATGTTTATGTCTGTATGCGATAGGGAGAAAAGGAGAAAACCGGTTTTGGCGATGCTTAGGAATCACAAGACGGCGAAAGGGGTCGACGAAGGGGGGAGCGGGTGCTAAACGTATTCTGTTCGTTTTAACCAAATGTGACACACTGCAAAGTGCCAGAGCGAGAAGAAGAAGAATATAACGATGAAGAAGAAGAGGAACGAACGGCAGTTTTCCCACTACGCTTCTGGTGGTTGCCTTTGTTTGCTTTTGCTTTTTGCTGCATTTTCACTTTGCATGGACATTTGCGCAAAGCGAAATGGGAAACTCTGCAGAGGTATGCATGTACATATGCAAATTTCGCTATGCTCGCTATATACGCTCACCTTTATGATCAGTTCTATCTCGGGCACATCAAATTTACTGGTTCCATTTGTCTCCTGACTTTGCTGCGATTCCGCTTCGGTCGACATTGCAAATTGCGATTATATTACAGACGATTTCTGATCGGATCGAATAGTTTTATCCGCGTGACGAGGTGAGTGCGTGTTCGTTTCCTTTTCCTTTTCGCTTTTGTTGTGCTAATTTCCTTTGCCAATACACACACACAAACAAACACTCGGACGCACTCACACACACACGGAGACAGTGTTAAAAAAAATATGCCGTTCGTTCTTCGATTTGCGCGCTGCCAAAGCGTATTGATGATTGAGTGACCGTTCGTGGTAACAGCCGAATATACCAAGCATGCGGCGATGGCCAATGGTTTAGGACTGCCAGGCGAGCGCAGTTTTGAGCCGGCAAATAAATACTAATTCTGGATATTCTGTGCTGTTAACAGTATTTCTTCTATTTGGATATACATTTCTGTTAACAATGCAATGCACTTTAGAAAAAGTATCTTTAATAAGATCTTTATAAGATTTCGATATTCTAAACTTCATCTCCAGGTAACAGCCCTAAATTATAGTCCCTTTGCAAGACGAGTTTTCCGTTGTACGGAGAAATTAAGAAACAATACAATTGTTATATCACTGTTTTCTTTTAATTTAACTGATTTTTATCTGACAACAGGCACTTCATAAGTTAATTTTTTTTAATCCTGGATTTCGTCGATCGCAAAACATCCGATTTGTTAGGGGATATTTATTACTGGCGCGAAAAAGTTCGGAATTCGAGAGGCGTTGGCCACACTAACACGCTCCGGTGTGCGCTTGGATATTTTGTTTTTTATAGCGCCGGCTTTTAATCCAAAACATGGATCTGGTGGAGCTTCTGCAGCAGGCCCAGCGCCTGGCGAACGATACAAAAATGGAAATGGAAATGGGTGTGGAGCGGACCATGTCGCAGGTGCTGCAGGCCACCCAAGAACTCCACTCGCGTGTAACCCAAACGGGCACCAACGACCTGCAGGCGTAAGTAGCATGTTCTGTATTTATGGATCCCAATCATTGAAGCCTGCTCTATTTGACAGCCACATACTGCTCGGCTCCAAGGGCGTGGACCTGCCAAAGCTGACCCAGAAGCTGGAGACGCTGAGCGCCCGCCAATCCTTCGAGCCACTCGATCCCGTCACGGATACCGATGTCCAGGGCTATCTGAAGAACGAGCGCGAGAACGCCATTCTGTCCGTCATCGACGAAACGAACCGAAGTGTGAGTGGCCAACGACACGTCTTTCAGGGTTGAAGATTTTTCAATCATAAATTTCCTTGCAGATTTTCGAGTCCGTGGAACGGCAGAAGTGGCGCTGCATCTACGCCGAGTGGGGCGAGGAAAAGGAGTCGCTGCTGAACGCTCTGGTGGGTCCTGGCCAGCAGGACTTTCCCGACGTGCAGCGCCACATGGTGCCCACGGCAATGGCCGACGAACCCACTCCGTACTCCCGCATGAATGTCATCCAGCAGCTGTACGCTAAACAGATCACCGCCTATAACGAGTCGGTCATCAATGGCAGCCAGCGGAACAACTTGGTGTCGACCTTTGCCCATTTGTCCCACGATTCCTTCGACGATTCGCTCGTGACCGAAATGTGGAACGTGCTGGAGTTCATGACCGCTGTGACGCCGCTGTCGCGCAACATCGATCCCATCAAGAGCCGCCAAACGGCGCCGCAATTCATACAGCAGGCGCGCACCTACTTAGAGCGCAGATATAAGACTTATATGAACAAGGTTATCGAGCAGAACCTGGTTCTGGCCCGACGCGGTGGAATTCCCAATGTCTACAACGTGGTGGGCTCCTACGTGGGCGTAACTTTCCAGCAGCCGCAATCCCTCTACGGACTGCACGACGTGAGCAATGGCCGGCCGTTGTGGCCCCTGATTTACTATAGCCTGCGGAGCGGCGATCTGGGAGCGGCTGTGCAGTACCTCAAGGAATCGGGGGTCTGCCCCGATCTCCTCAAGCTGATGACGCTGCAGAAGATGGGCGACACGGATACCTCAACGGCAAAGATCGAAGGTCAGCTGAAGCTGGAGTATAACAACAAGCTCCACGTCTGCACAGATCCCTACAAAAAGGCGGTGAGTAATCGGGTCTATAATTGATATGGTGCATTAGTTGATGATATGTTTTTGTCGTTGGCCATTCAGGTTTACGTTATCGTGCTGGCTTGCGATCCGCACGATTCGCACGCGGAGCTGATGCGCAGCATCGACGACTTCCTGTGGATGCAACTGTCCATTCTGCGCGGCCAGGAGAAGCGCGACTACAACATCGAGCAGCTTACCTACGCCGGCCTGCAGTCGCTGATCCTGGACAAGTACGGCGAGAACTACTTTAATGCTCGCGAAAAGACGCCGCTCTACTTCCAGGTCCTGGCCCTGACCGGTCAGTTTGAGGCCGCCATCGAATTTCTGGCCCGCACTGAGACGAATCGGCCGCACGCCGTCCACATGGCTATTGCCCTAAATGAGCTGTCCATGTTAGGAGCACCCAGTTCAGTGAAGCAGCCGCTCCTGAGCTCCGAGCCCGACGACCCATCGCCAATGAAGCGTCTAAATCTGGTGAGGCTGATCGTCATGTACGCCAAGTGCTTCGAGCAGTCGGACACTGAGCAGGCGCTGCAGTACTACTACCTGCTGCGCCACTTCAAGTCCGAGGATGGCAGCAACGCGATGCTCAGCTGTGTCTGCGATCTGCTCGTGGAGAACTGCGACGACCGCATGCTAGAACTGATCTTCGGAGTCGAGGATGAGTTCAACTCCTTCCGCTTCACAGGGTAAGTCATTTCTTCACCTATTTCAAACAATAAGCTAATGGGTTCCTCTCTCTCTTTTCCAGCGGCATCTTCGCCGAGTTCCACACAATGGACTACGACAAGTACTCGCTTGCTGGGATGGTGGGCGATGAGCTGTCGAAACGCAGCAACTACGAGTCGGCCATCAAGCTCTACTTCATCGCCGGCCAGCTGGACAAGGCGCTGCGCCTGGTGTGCTCTTTGCTGTCTCAGGTGGTCCACCAGCAATCGCGACCGGGAAGCATGCGGGAGCGGCTGTGCGGCGTTACCAAAAGACTGGACGCAGCGCTGGCCGAGCGCAAAACGGATGTGGAGGCCCATGTGATTGTCACCTATACGGTGTTGTCACAGGTAATGGAGTTCTTCGATTTTCACCACGCGGGCGAATCGCGTTTGGCCTCGGAAATACTAGCCAACAATAGGCTGATACCCGCCAACTCCTACGAAGTGGACGAGTGTGTGACGAACCTAAAGCGCATGGGCCCGGAAATCATTAAGGTGTTGCCTGACATCCTGCTGGCCGCCATGGATATTGTCTACGGGGAGTATGTGAGCCAGAGGGGCACCAGCGGGTCAGGTTCAGTCTTCGGCGACGAGACTAAGAGCGAAAACAAGGAGGCCGTTCTGCGGCAGTTAAGGGCCAGAGCCAAGGCACTGACCAACATGGCGGCCAGTGTTCCGTACCGAATGCCATCGACCACCAACCAGCGGCTCGTCCAGCTGGAGATCCTTATGCACTAGCACCAGCCGCATTGAGTCCCTCAATTAGCTATCGTTTCGCTTAAATCCATTTGTTTAGCTTGTTTAAGATTATATTGAACACTTTTTAAATAAGCTGATTGGGATATTTTCTTATTGTTGAGTTTAAAAACACTAAGCCGTTAAATACAAATGTCTAATGAGGTGCCAGCAAAATATCTGGCTTTATTAAATATACTTTAAAGCACTCCAAAACTAAGCTCCAACGTTTTAGTTTTTGGGAAACAAAATTCAGATTTTCACGTTAAGAAAAAAACAAGGTTATAATGTTGAGATGCTTGACAGAAATTTTGTGTTCAATTTTGGGTTACATTTTAATTAAAAAATGAACTTTAATTTTAAAGATAATTATGCTCTAGCATTTTTGGAACTTTGAATCCAAATGTTGTAAAACTGGTTTTGACACTTGAGAATTTACAAGTGTTTGAAACAACCTGGATTTTTTAAACATGAACCATAGCAACCAAATAATACATAAGACCGCCAAATCAGAATAAAATAATTTATTGCATTTTTTGAGACACCGTTGCTATTGCTAAGAAACCTCAAGAGGTATCAGAAACACCCCAGGGCATTTGAGAAACACATTAATATATGAGAATAGTACTGCCAACAGTTGCTGCCAGTTTTCAGATATTTCAGGAATCCATTACATAGTTTTTAACAGATCCGATTGGAGATCCTTAAACACTGCCATAAAAATAAAAAACCACTAACTTAGCGATCGTTTCGTATAAATGCATTTGTTTTCACTTCTGTCTGTTTAAGATAATATCGTTAAGTGGAATAAGTTGATTGCGATAGTTTGTCTGGATTTGTGCGCGATACTCAGTCGGATGTGAGAGGTCGGAGCGCACAGCTTATCCCATGTACTGGTAAGAGGCGCAGACCGGCTCCTGGTGACGGGCATGCGGCGAGGACTGCAGTGCTAGACGCTGCAGGTGGCATCCACGGCAGAGCAGGCGCCCGTCCAGCGGGTAGCAGCGCTTGTCCGGCTCGTCAGTCAGCTGCATGCCGCACTCCTCGCAGATGTAGCAGTCCACGTGGAAGTCCTTGTCCATCGATACCACACGCACGGTTTCGTCGGTGCCCTCGACGGGGGTGATGCCTGGTTTGGATTGGGGAGCACACTAATTAACACCGAAAATACGCAGGTACAATATATAGGCTCACCTTTGCCGCAGCTAGCGCACTTGGGCGCAAACATTCGGTGGTAGTCATTGACGCAGTAAATCTTGTGGTCCACGTCCACGGTGAAGGGCACCCCATCTAAGCACTCATTGCACACACAGCACCGGAAGCACCCCGGGTGATACGACTTGCCCATGGCCTGCAAGATCTGCAAGAGAGAGAGAGTACGAAACCAATGTGAGCGCCTCATTTAGAGCGGGATGGATAAGAATGGGCAGTACGAACCATCTCCATTATTAAGTGGCCGCAGATGGCGCACTTCTCCGCCGTCTGCTGGAAGCCCGAATACTGCAACAATGAATTCTTATTATTATTAAATAATGTTAGTAAAATAATAAGTAACAAAAGAAAAAATTTATATATGTCAGGAAGCAAAAATAACGATTTTTTACTTTTGAAATGTTTGTTGATTTTGATTTGTCTCAAGTTTTAATCAACTCTAAGCTTTCAGATCATTATATGCAGAAAATTGGTGGTTACACAATTAAATTTGTATTGAGCTCACTATCGAGATTGAAAAAAAATAAAGGAAATGTAACTAAAAAGTTCATTGTATCAAAAAAGTGTCGATACAATTTTATTTAAGCAATAAGGGGAATCAAGATTTTTTTCTTTTTATAACATTCAGAAAATCTGTAAAGAAATGGGGTCGATTTTTCAATGAAGTGCAAAAATTTTAAGGAGTACTGCCCTATCGGCTAAAAATCCTGATGTAAATAAGAAGAGCTTGATATGTAAAAATCGTTATTTTTGAATTCCGACTAGACTACAACAATATTCTTACCATATAATCCTCCTCGCAATAGACCCGTCCATGCACATTGTAGAAGGCCTTGCCTCTTAGCGCGCGTCCACAGGAGCAGCAGATGAAGCAGTTGGTGTGATAAAGATTACCCATTGCCTGGCAGGCCTGCCCGGCACCCTTCACCTTCTCGCCGCAGGTGTGGCAAATGCCTAACAATGGTTGAACATTTCATTATAGAGTGTTGATAATGACTAAGTGATTCATATATACCAAAGTATTCGCCGTGCTCCTCGCTCTGCTCGATCTCCTCCTCCAGCTGCCGGGTGAGCTCCTCGATCTTGCGCTGCGCCTCCGTCGGGCCAGCCGGACGCGGTGGGGTGACGCTGTACGGCAGCAGATTCTTTGTGAGACCTGTCAGAGTACGAGGTAAATATTAGGTCATGCTTTTGATTTGGGTTGGCAAGTAAGACTTATGTTGGCTTAGTCACCGATAAAAAAAAAATATACGGGTGTATTCGGAAAGAAAGACTTCTAAAGCAAATGATTATAGGGTTATTAAATGTCTCGAACAAAAAATAAATAGAATAATAGAATTACTTAAGTGGTTAGATTTAAAATGATGATATAAGTAACGAAAACTGCAACGTATCATTACTAAAAATAAAACAGTAAAGGCTCAACAAATTTTAGAAAGAAAAATAAATTTTGTTGTTATATATTTTGTATTTAAAAGCACATTACTAAATAACTATTTTTAAAATTAATTTAACTGTTTCATTACGATTCGATTTTTAAATAATAAAATATGAAGATAAACTTTTGTTGCCGTGTACAAAATGTTTTTTTTTTAAATATTGTCAAAATTAATTCGATAGTGATATAGAAATCTCTTCGGTTGAGTTGTAATTTTAATGTACATCATACATTTGTATGTTTTAAAAATCGAAGAGATTTCTGTTTCACCCTTGTACATGCATTTCAATTTCAAATGTGAAGTGTTTGCTGTAATTTTTGACCGATTAATGCTTTCGAAACAGTTTCAATTTTATGTGAATCGGTTCGGGAAAAGGACTTGAAAATAAACCGGTTAGCGGCAACCGTTTGACCAAAGTTTGTCGCCCCGACAACCGGTTTATGATTGAGCGATGAGTGATGACACAAACGGAACCCAACTGGGACCCAACCCCTTTTGGGAAACGAAACCTAGCCCCTCCTACCTCTCCTGGGTTTCAAGGCAGCATTAACGGCTGCGTGCAAGCATTTTTTAGTGGGGGAAAACGTTTGGATTTATTAGTTTGATTAATACAACGTGGAATGGAATGAGCAGTGATGGGATGTATCTAGGTATTGATTGATATTTGTAGTACTCTATACCATACCTAGGTGCAAGACAATACATTGAATTTCCCATCACTAAACATGAAGAACCGCTTCTGTTTCTGGAACAGATTTGCTCACCTGTGCTGCCCTGCGAAGGCGTGGGCGATGTGGCCACTGCCAGAGGAGCTGTCATCGCGATGGGCGTGGCTCTCAAGGAGGCGTTGGATGGTGGTTGTGCTGCTGTGGCCGATGCACTGGATGTGGCTGGCGCCGCTGCGGTGGCCATTCCCATGGCCAGGGAGGACGATATCATTGCTGGTTCCTGGACCGTTCGCTGGGCAGTGGCTCCCGTTGCTGCCGCCCTGCCCGTGGCCAGACCCGCTGCCGTATTCCTGTGCAGATTCGCCGTCATGCACACGTAGTCGGAGCTGTTTATGTCCTCTATGTAATTGGGATTCACGGAGACATTGATGGCGCCAGCGGGCGACTTAATGGGGGTGTGCTGCTGCAGTTTTGCCACCGATTGTGCCGTGGGCACGGGACTCAGATGGCTGGGCAGCGATAGATTTCTATATCTCTGAGTGGGCGATCCCAAAGAGCTGGAACTGGCCGTATTGCTGCTGATGCTGCGCTGGTGCATGGGCGAGGCCAGCAGCGCATTGAGATCCAGGCCGACCGTGGAGGATCCGCCCGAGGAGTTGGACGTGGGCTGCATCTCCTGGTACATGGTGGCGGTGGCCGGCGAGGCCTGTGGCTGAGCACGTTGCCCGGAATGGGGAATGATGTTCTCGTAGATCGGCGCTGCGTGCTCCTCCAGGTCGCCAGTTGGTCCCAAGGCCACAGATCGTCCTGGTGGGGGCCCTCCTGGTCCTCTGGCTGCTGCTCCTCCTCCCAATCCAGAGCCCGGGTTCTCTGGCACCGGCGTGTGAGCAAATCGTCCTGCACCGATGGGCTGCATCAGGAGATAATCGTTGAGCATGGCGCTCTGCCTGCTCCCGGGACTCTGGGGCTGGGCTCTCTTGTGGTTTGAATCGAATTGGCCGTAAAACTCGAGGTTCTCGTACACCGGCGAGTGTTTCTGAGGGGCAATCCGCTGGCCCAAAATTTGAGCGGTGGGTGCATAGATTTGGGCACTCCCATTGTGGGCGTGCTGCTGCAGCTGCTCCACCGCACGGGGCGTGGCGTACTTGGAGGCGGCTATGATGTTACCGCGTTCGTACAGCTTGTAGTCCTGGTTTTGGTGGAGGTGGTGCATCTGTTGATGCTGCTGCTGCTGGCTTTCCTGCAGGAAGTTATCGATGGCGATGGGCGAGCGCTGGTAGCTTCTCATGACCACGCCTCCGTCCCCATGGACTCCGCCTCCGCCCCCGCCTCCGATGTGGAGACGCTGCATCAGTGTCTCATAGTCAGAATCGGCATTGCCCGGATTCCTCGCCTGCGTCCGCTGGGTGGTCATTATTTATATATATCCTCCAGATCCTGCTTCTCCTCCTCCCTCTCTTGCTATCTCGCTCTGCGGGGGGGACGCCGCCCCGAAAACAACGACTTCCTCGCTTTCCCCGGACGGAAAAACGCCTCAGCTAATCGTGCTGGGCTAGTTGGTAATCAGTCAGTTGGCTTTTCCTTTCCTCTTTTAGCTTTTCTGCATTTTCTTTGTCGGAAAAATCAAAGATTCAATTCGGACCGTGGGAACAACTCAGGTTGCAGTGAGACCGCCTCTCGCAACGCTGATAATATTCCATCCGGCAAATAGACAAAACTACCATAAATATACCATAGTCGATTGCCGATTTTTTTTCCGTGCAACCATGAATTCTTTGCGGGAAACATTTAAACTTACATGCTCTTTAAAATACTCTCTCTCTAAAATACTTTTGGCCAGTAGAATATTAGAAATAAAAAAGGGCCTTGGAAGGCAGCAGGGCCTTTTGATTTAATTTTTTATTTCCTGTCGCAGCCGCTTTCAGAAATTTGATGCGGAATAGAGGATGTGTAAAGCGGATTTAATGCGAAATTGTAAGCAAATCGTCGAAGAAGTTAAAGTGAACATTTCGAAAATTTTAAACATAAATAGGTTGCATTATGTTCTATTTTTAACTAGTACGATGATTGCACACACAATTTTTATAAGCAAACCTCAAAATTTCCTCCAACCATAAAAAAAACAACTATAATTAAAACTTTTTCGTATGCATAAGTTTATATTTATGTTTAACTTTTATTGTTTCCTCGTTTGATTTATTTTTGTTTTCTTGTATAGTATAATTTCGTATATATATATGTATATATATTATATTGATTCTTCATTTATCTGTTGCCGGGATGTCGTTATCATTTCAATATTGTACAATTATCTTAGGCTACCAACTGCACACAGAAAGTGTTTCGTGATTAGAATTAAATCATTTCATATCGGATCTTTGCAGCGTACAGTTAACTTATATTCGTGGATTACAATTGGCTAAATACGTTTTATTTAGGGTCGACGGGTGGGTATAATTTTGGGGTTACTGGAAGGGTGCAGTTTAGTGTAATGTATAGTTCCTTTGAGCTCTGATTGTCTGTCAGCTGCAAGTAGATCGTTAGTTCCTCAACATCGGTGTTCGGATTCCTGTCCTAACTGCAGAATTTCCACACACAAAAAAATGTTACAATATATATGGTACATGTATATTAAGAGATTTATACATATTACATAAATACACGGGTAAAACTGAGAAAAAAATGCGTCTTAATAGCTAGCAAAAATAGTTTACGTTTCACAATTACCACATTTATATTTTAAATATAGTGTACATATCCCATGCGTTCACCAATCACAAAACTAGATTTTATAATTGCGAAATACACGGTGACTACACAAAAACACATTTATATAAACTTTCCTTCTTTACGGTTGACTTTTTTCATTTGATTCTCTTAGCTATTAGCAAGCGGGATTTCTCATCGCCACCATCAAATAAACTTTAATTTCCTCTAAGCAATCATTTTTTCTTAATTATTGTCAGCAATTCTCATTTCATATCATTAAAATTAAACACAAAAACAAACATTCGAAAAGTTTTCTTTGAGCGCAAAGCTAACGGCAAGTAAGTACATAATTTATCCATCCCGTTCGCACACACACAGCAGTTAGGACGGACAAGGCTCGTGTGTCTGTGTGAGTGTGTGTCTGTGTGCAAGGATCTCCTTCCTGCTAAAAAAAATGTATGGTTATAACCAAGAAAAACCCACTTCAAATTCAAATGGCTGAGTGAGATGGAAATGTTTTTAAATGAAAGTATAGTTTGTTTAAAATTTGACACATATTAATGTTTTAATTCAACATCAAATTGAAGCAGTCTGTCAAAAAGAGCTACTTTTGTGCATGGTCATGGTAAAATTATTTTTAATGCAAGTACAGTCTGTTCAAAAGGGTGCATTCGTTGCTTTCCTCGTTCTACCAAAGAAATATATTATGACCATTTGAATTTGAAGTACATTTTATAGACCAAATGATTAAGCTTAGCTAACTTTTCTTATTCTTCTCTCACATTCACGCACACATAAACATTTAAAATCTATTTAACCTTCATATACATTTAGACATTCAGTTTAAGTTATACATTTATATATGGTTTAATTAGATTGGTTTTCTTTACATTCAGTCAATTTATTGCAACACAAAAAAAAAGTTTACAAAAATGTATTATTTCTATACTAGTTCACGTCTTTTTTTCTTTTGTCATTAGCTGCAAATATTTCATATGCGATTATGGTTATTTAACTAAACATCTTAAAAGCTCTTTTCGTTAAAGGTTCAACACTTCTAAATGGGTTTCGTTTTGTTTTGCTCTACCGTTTTGCAAACTATAAACAGTGCTTAAGGATCTATTTTTATGTACCCCATATAAACCTATAAAGTTTCCTAGACCACAATGACAAAGTTCAGCTAGAGATTCATTCGATAAGTGGGAAACGTACTTTAAATATTTATATTTTATATACACAATTACCGATACAAAAAAAAAGTGTTTCTAAGTGATAAACCGACTCAAGTCTCTCAAAAAAACATTCGTACAAAAAAAGGCTTAAGACATCTAAAATAAATGAAAAATTTCTGAATTATATCGTAGAGGGGGTCGGTGAGTGCCTGCAATGACTTTCCTGCATATTCAATATTGCAATTGTGCCTTGTTCTTTCTTGGCTTTCTTTTCTTCACGCAACACATTAATTAAGATTTAGGCACACAGTGCGTTTCTTGACTGTATGACGCCGAGGAAAGGGTTAATGCCAACTGTTTGATTAAAAATTAGACTGTCAGATATAAGTCGCTTTTAAATTAGAATATAAATTGCATTAAGTCAATGCTTTAACTAAATTACATTAATGCAATATTTCAATTAAGTACTTTATCAACTGAATACGATTAGCTGGTAATTAAGGTAGTAGCTAATGCAATGACCATTAAAATGACCAAGGGAAGCAAGTGAAGTAATTCATTGCACAATAAATTAAATAATTCAACGCCCAGCCCACATTAAGGTAAATCCAGTTAAGAGATATTAACGCATAAATTAAATTATTATGTATTCAAGGGGGAGGGTGGCGGCTGTTAAATTGGCATTTCTCCCTGCAACTTTAAGTCTTTTCGTCACGAAACGTTCTGTGGAGGTTTAACTACTTTTGTTTAGTGTGTTTTTTTTTGGTAAATTTAAGAAGCATTAATACAAATACATCATATGCATATACACATATCAAGCGTGTATATGTCCCAGCTAATACAATTTAAAATTGGGTTTCTAGCAGCAGCAACAGTTATCATTATCGTTATCCTTATCGGCAGCCAAGGTCCCAGGTTCAATGCTTGCCACGCGGCAGTCTTATGGGTATGTGCGGATATCATGTATCCGCCATGGGGTTCTCGTTATTGTTGTTGCCGGCTAATGGCAGCTGCTTTATCGTAATGACATCCTTTGGCTTTTGATGCAACAATTGTTGTTCTCGATCCGGTTCCGTTTCCCTTCCCGACTCGGTCTCCTCCTTAGTTTGCTCATGTTGTTCTTGTTGCTGCTGCTGTTGCAGATGTTGCTGATGTTGCTGCTGTACATGTTGCCGCTGTCTGCTGTGTTGTTCTGGTATAATTTTATTGATTGTGTACTGATTATTGTTGTTATCCTTATTGTTGCTATTGTTGATGATGGTGTTGGAGTTTTCATCCTCGCTGGACATGTGCATCATTTCCTTGGCCTTACTCTCCCACAGCATTCGATTGGCCTTTAGCTGAAAGTAGACAAAACCAAATCCGTATTCAAATTAATCCACTCATAATGGGCGCATTTCTGCGTAAATAAACATATATGGCTGCTACCAAAGCAATGGAATCGTGTATTTCCCATGCAACTGCAGCTGTTGCTGATGGCCCCCTCATTTTGGCCGATGTTGCTGCTGCAACCGCCGCACAATATACCGTACACCATTAGCAAACATCTGCCCGTTTCGGTGGCAAAATGTTAAAACATCGTTTGAGTGGCAGTCAAAGCGAAAACTTTGGGCACAACACATTGTTGTTCAACTTTGCGACGTCGCAGTGTGCAAATTAAAGTGCAAAAAGTTGCAAGACAAAGAGTTCCAAAAATTCATTGGCTATATTTGCTTCTCGTTTATATTTTTGTATTTCTTTTGGCACCCCCTTGGTTTTAAAAACAGTATACTTTTCTAATAGATTTCGTTGTGCTAAATTTTAATACGGTTACAATAAAATTTTTAGCACGCAAACGTTTTGTAAAAATTAAAAGGTTAGAAAATTGCTATTCTGATTATTTTTAAATCTATGATTTTTTTAATAGGAATTATTAAAAGAAAAGAAATATTCAAAAGCCAATAAGTTTCCCTTGGCCATGAGGATAAACACGAATCCTGTTGTTGAGATGCAAACATTATTACAAGTTGAATTTTTTTTAACTTTAAGGTCAAAATTTCGAATGGATTCTTTGCTCATTAACTGATATTAATGTTCCAAAACTACTTTACTCGCAAATGACTTAGAATCTTGTTACCTTTAATAGATTTATGCATCCTTTCAGATTTTTGCGATTACTCTCAATAAACAAATTCGTTTAATTCCTCCATTCCTTTGCTCGTTAAATATTTTAGATTTTCATTTGATTTCTGTTTATCTTTCGCTATGCAAACGTACCCGCAGAAAACCTCTTGTTTTTACAGCGCGAGCGTAATTTTCACAACATTTTCTTTCTTTGTGCGGTTTTCGTTCAACTCCCTCAGTATTTTCCTTTTCGCCTTCTGTTTTCCCTCCACCTCAGGGTATTAACGTTTCGTTATTTGATTTTAATTTTCCCGCTGCAACTGGCGTTCGCTTTTTAATTTTTGCATAAATATTAAATATGCAAATATGTTTAAAATATTTAATGTTTGCAGACACCTCTCCCGATAAACGGAAATGGGGGCGCGTTGCGGCGCAGAGCCGTCAATTAATTAAAATATTTGCCATTAACATAAATTAAGGAAAATAATGAAATTGGCAGACTTTCAATTGATATTAATTGCGTGGCACGTCGCGTGGCTGCGGGGGGAATGGCATAACTGACCGGTGTGGCATCAGGAAAAAGGGTTTGGGATTGGGGTTGGTATGGGATCGAATGCCTGTCAGGCTGGCGGGGATTGCGAAAGTTGACTTAACTTTGTCCGGCACTGTTGGGCATAAAGCCCCCCATCTTCATACGTGTGCCGGTGGCATGCATGTATAAATTGCCACTTATGCCATCATGCCCCCTCCGCAGATGCCGCCCATCGACGGCAGTAGCGCGGAAACATTGCAATTGCAACTGTCAAACAGAAAGTGTCCCTGTGACAGTGAAAAAAACGCACAAAATCGGGGACATCATAGAATACCAAAAAACCACTGGTGGCATCGAAAAATAGGCCAACGAATATTCAGTAAATCGAGAGAAAATTTTCATTTTTCAACATCGCTTCCTTAGTTTATGTGACACTTCACATGATAAAATATTTTATTAAAAAAAAAAACGAGCAAAAAAGTGCCAACATAACGAGTGCCAAAGTCAACAGGGTAAAAATAAAACAAGCTTATAATAAAAATGAAAAAAATCAAGCTTTGGCAAGCCGAAGTTTATATTCCCTTGCAGTTGTTACTAAAATTTAATATTATACGTTATGATTATGATGCTTCAAAAGAATGAAGCTAGGTCGATTTTCCGATACATTTATTGATCGTTCCCTTTTTATTTCCCATTTTGTCCCAATCGTTCCTATGGAAGTTATATGACATGCGACCTATATACTATATATATATATATATATATATATATATATATATATACCACCTGCAACAAAAAGAAGACATATTCCAAATAACTTAAAAACTGAGGGGTGATGCTGATCAAGAATATATATATATACTTTATAGGGTCGGAAATGTGCCTTCACTGCCCTGCAAACTGCAAAAAAGGTTTAACTTAATCTAAATGTTATAATCTATGAGTTGGTCTAATTAAAAAGAATTTACACTATTGAGCGTCCGTTATTCAATGGGTTATACCGTAGGAAAAGCTTAAACATGAATTAATTAAGTTAAAAGATTTTAAAACCTATACAAAAAGGCCACATAAGCATCCAACAATTATTTGAATATATTCTTTCTTTTTTAATTCCAGCTGCCAATCAAGTTAGTTTTATTGTTTATATTACCCATTTAATTGATTAAAACCTTCTTTAGCCGAGCTCAAGGTCAGAAAAAAATAGCAAAGCAATTTAAAGTAATTGGGGGGCGAAAAAAGGCAAAAGGTGTAAAAAACGAATTGCTATCCACTTTATTTTGTATAGGTATCTCGACTCGCAGGGGCAATTTAAGTTTATGAGAAACTCCTTTAGCTGGTCGCCAGAACAAACAAATATGTGAAGGAAAAAACGAGGAAAAAATCAGCGCAGAGATAACTCAACTTGAGTTAACTTAACGCCACTCGAGTCGAGTAGTGCGGAGTAACGCGGAGTGGACTAATTAATTAGCAGCTAATTTAACGCGTCGCTGCGCCGGACATAACTCAGCAGGATGCACTTGCAAACAGAGACAGCAGCTGCTGACGGCAAAAAAAAAAGGAAAATGGAGGGGACCCGGGGTGAAAGGTCAGTAAAAACGGCCAAGTTAACCGAAAATTAAATTTAATTACACGTTAGTCGAAAATTCCGTTGGCCAGCTAGCGACGACAGCTGTTGGCCCAATAATAATCAGTGTCTTGAAAGGAAGTAACCAGGCAACGCTTTTTATTCTTTGCCCACATTATGAATACTAATTATATTCTGTGGGAAAAGACAAGAGAGTCAAGCAAACTGTGAATATTAATTAAATTTTAATAATTTACTGAACTATTCCTGTAAGTAAGGTTATAATAACAAAGGCTATGTAAATCAAGGTTATTCAGAAAAAAGAAAAACCAAAGTCTATAAATAAATATTATAACGCGACTATGTAATTTACTGTTTTGGAAAATAAACTGTTAGAACTTTAAATTTTATTGTAACGTTTTTGAATATTACAATCCCCAATATTGTATTATTTAATGGAATATTTTGTAACATTCAGAAAAACAATCACACTCGTAACTTGTTCTTCCTATGTGAGATATTCTATAATATAATATTAATTATTATATAAAACAAACGTGTAATTCACACTAGTAACTGTAATATCAACTGAAGAAATAAATTGAATTGTTTAAATATTTCATCAGAAACACAAACCAAACAAAACAAATTATTTCATCGGCCATATTGTTTTATTAACGAAAATCGTTGTTGAGACCTATAATTCCTTTTGGAAGCTCGTTAAATAAATAATAAAATCAACTTTTTTAAAACCCTTGACAATAAACAAAAATGTCAAACTTAATAAAAATGCGTGCGAAAAATATGCGACGGAAAGGGCTAATTAAATAATGAAATTATATTTATTTTCCGATAGCTCGTCCATTTTGCTGTGAAAAACAACATATTTTTCGGCTTGCCCTCGATGGACTACTATATTTCGATTAAATTCATATTTACCCATTTATTTCAGGAGAGTCAAATAAAAACCGAACATGCTACAAATAGTTTTTTTTTATCTTTTTGCGCGCGCAATGTGCATAACATCGTCAATAAATGGCACCACCACGTGACCATCGAATCCCCATCATCATCGTGATCAATGATATTCCTTTCAGTTTCACGGCTTTGTAACCCCAACCCATATATGAATCAAAGTAGCTGGAAAAAGAATAATACAAAAAAAGGCAAATGGGACAAAAAAAGAAGGAAAATCGCTGGGTGCAACCAACAAACGAGAAGGCAAAGTGCAAAATACAAAACAAACAAGCAAAACACAAATCGCACATACAAAACGAAATCGAGTAGAAGGATAAAAAACCTTGCACAATGTGTGATGTAAGTGGGGGAGGGGGGGGATTTGGACGGTGGGTTGGTGAAACACCATATAGGGATATGTGAGAGGGAAATGCAGGGAAGTGCAAAATATGCCAATGACACAGGCAACTGGAACGGCCCAGAGCCAAAGGAAAAGGTGAAAGATAACAAGAGCCTGGGAAAATGGCAAGCAACAAAAACAAAGGACTCAAGTGGGGGGTTCTAGTGGGTGGTGGTGTTATAAGGATGAAGTGAAATTGCCTGTGTTTGACAGTGATGCCAATAAAACCAAATTCTGGAGAAGTGTGTCCTTTTTAAAGATCCTTTAACTACAATATTTTGTTGTTTTGTCTGTTTTGATTATCTGAGAATTAATAAAATAAGAAAGTATCCAACAAATTGGATAATACGATTCCCCTCACATACACTCGTTTTAATTTGCATGCGTAGCACAAATTTTAATTAATAAAGCATTGGAAATTTAAACTGAACTTTGAAATAATACCTAAACTAACTCTAAATATTTTTATTTTTTTGAAGCTAGTGACTTACGTAAAACAAAGAAAGAAATGGTGAATGTTCTACTTGCATCAACAATGTGCTTTTGTGTATACGTGTATTAAACAATATTTAAACAAATTGGAAAGAGAAAACGATTTAGAAAACAGAGTGTCTATAAAAATATAAATGTACATGCAATTCAGACTACAAGTATTTTAGAAAATAAATTATTATTTGAACTAGGATGCCAGGACATCACTGGTGTGCTAGGATGAGGTGGTAAAGTGGTAACATGAAAAGTGGCTGATTCGAAGTGTTTTGAGTTTGTTTTGCATTCGGGAACCGACGGAGTTGCACCTTACCTTCAACGTGTTGTCCTCCACCCATGCATCTGGCTTACCATAGTCCGGCGGATTCGCGTACGGATCGTAGCCAAGCACGGACAGCATGGGCGCTATGTCGGCCATGTCGCGCACCACGTCGCCGGGTATCTGGCCGACCCACTTGGACATCGCCTCCAGGTTTACCGGCTTGATTACCTGGTCCGATGATCGTTCCACCCTGCGATTTGGTAAGTTATAAATTATGCATTCAGAACAATGGGTATCCTTTCTTTCGGCTTACTTGGACAGCGGCACGCCATTGGGTTTGTTGATAAACTCCTCGTGGTGCAGCACCGCATCGTTCCATGGCACGTCCAGGAATTTTAGGATCTTTCGCATCCACTCCTCCGGATGCAGGACCAGTTGTTCATAGTAGACCTGACAGAGGTAATAGTAAATTAGCAGTTACTACATATAGTTCACAAATAAGAACTAAAAACTGTTCCTAAACCAATAAATTCAATAAGTAAGAATACGAGTACTATAGACAAACGAATAAACAAAATTATTTGTAAACAAGAAAGGAAAGCAAACTTCGGGCGGAGCCGAAGTTGATATACCCTTGCAGAATATTCTGTAAATTATATTCTCCAAAATTATTTATATGATGCATTCTTAATACTCATAAAAAATCCCAACTTCCCAACTTTAAAAACACCAAAGTTATGGCATTTCCAATCGTTCAGTTATATGGCAGCTACAAGATATAGTCGGCCGATCCTTATGAAATTTGGTAGGTCGGATTGATTGGCGAAAAATTAAACCCATAGATAATCCCAACTTTCTAACTTTACAAACAACAAAGTTATGGCATTTCCGATCAATCAGTTATATGGCGGCTATAGGATATAGTCGCCCGATCCTTATGAAATTTGATAGTTCAGACTGATTGGCCAAAAATAAAACCCATAGAAAATTACAACTTCCTAACTTCAAAAACACCAAAGTTATGGCATTTCCGATCGTTCAGTTATATGACAGCTATACGATATAGTGGCCCGATCCGGCTCGTTCCGACTTATATACTACCTGCAATAGAAAGACAACTTTTGGGAAAGTTTCAAGCAGATAGCTTTAAAACTGAGGGACTAGTTTGCGTAGAAACGGACGGACAGACGGACAGACGGACGGACAGACGGACGGACAGACGGACGGACAGACGGACAGACGGACATGGCTAGATCGACTCTCCTGGTAAAGCTGATCAAGAATATATATACTTTATAGGGTCGGAAATGTCTCCTTCACTGCGTTGCAAACTTTTGACTGAAATTATAATACCCTCTGCAAGGGTATAATAAATGCTGTTGTTATTACTTTAAGAGGTTCCTCTTGACAATTAAATGCTAAATATAAATAACTAAAATAGTAGTTTTAAAAAAGCCTTTGAACTTTTTAAAGCACTGAACAACTTTTTTAATTTCCAGGTGACAACTGTGAACAACAATAATTTTTAGACCAGCCATCAAATGGAATTTAGAAGTCATTTCGCTCAATTTCCTGCGTCGTACTGCAGCACCCAGACCAAGTTAATCAGCATTGATTGAGTTGGGTGACTAGGTGAGCAGGGGGCTAGGTGGCCAGATGGCCAGGACTCACCATCATGCAGCGGTCCTTGCCAATGTCCCGGCACTGCTCGTGCATCACCTCGATGGCGTGGTTCCACTTCTGCATGCACTGGCGGTAGCTGCTCAAATCGAAGCCGGTGATTGTCACCTTGCGCGATATAATCGAATGAACTGTCGCTCGGCCGTCGCGCACCATGAAAAGGAATTTAGCCTGTAACAACCAGAAGTTCACGGGAAAAAATTGTTTTATTAAATTTTATTTGACATTTTAAGATATTGTATTAGTATTTTCAGTACCAAAATGTCGCTTTTAATAAGTGTAAAATAAAAGGTTTTGTTTCTTTTTTGTCATTTTTTGTGTGACTTACAAATGTTTTCAATAAATTAGATCTAATATTTTGGAAAATCCATGCCGTCATAGAGTTTTTATACCCTTGCAGAGGGTATTATAATTTTGGTCAAAAGTGTGCAACGCAGTGAAGGAGACATCTCCGACCCTATAAAGTATATATATTCTTGATCAGGATCACCTCCTGAGTTGATATAGCCATGTCCGTCTATCCGTCTGTCCGTCTGTCCGTCTGTCTGTTTCTACGCAAACTAGTCTCTCAGTTTTAAAGCTATCGAGTTCAAACTTTGCACACACCCTTCTTTCCATTGCACGCAGTATATATGTCGGAACGGCCGGGATCGGCCGACTATATCCTATAGCTGCCATATAACTAATTGATCGGAAATGCCATAACTTTGGTGTTTGTAAAGTTAGGAAGTTGGAAATTTCTATGGGTTTTATTTTTAGCCAATCAATCCGACCTACCAAATTTCATAAGGATCGGCCGACTATATCCTATAGCTGCCATATAACTAATTGATCGGAAATGCCATAACTTTGGTGTTTGTAAAGTTAGGAAGTTGGAAATTTCTATGGGTTTTATTTTTAGCCAATCAATCCGACCTACCAAATTTCATAAGGATCGGCCGACTATATCCTATAGCTGCCATATAACTGATTGATCGGAAATGCCATAACTTTGGTGTTTGTAAAGTTAGGAAGTTGGAATTTTCTATGGGTTTTATTTTTAGCCAATCAATCCGACCTACCAAATTTCATAAGGATCGGCCGACTATATCCTATAGCTGCCTTACAACTGATTGATCGGAAATGCTATAACTTTGGTGTTTGTTAAGTTAGGAAGTTGAGATTTTCTACGTGTTTTATTTTTGAACAATCAATCCGACCTATCAAATTTCATAAGGATCGGCAGACTATATCCTATAGCTGCCATATAACTGAACGATTGGAAATGCCATAACTTTGGTGTTTTTAAAGTTAGGAAGTTGGGATTTTTTATGAGTATTAAGAATGCATCATATGAATAATTTTGGAGAATATAATGTATATAATATTCTGCAAGGGTATATCAACTTCGGCTCCGCCCGAAGTTAGCTTTCCTTTCTTGTTTTTTATTAATATTTAATGTTTATTGGACAACAAAATCGGCAGGTGAGTTTTCTTTATTAATTCTCATTGTTACACAGGTATCTCCATGTACTTTTAAAATATTTTTAAATCCCTAAAAATTAAATTTCTTATTAATTTTTAATGACGCAAAGAAAGATTTCTGTGACATCAGATATGTTTAATGTGAACGGCATTGATATTGTTATGTTTTAGTGGGCTGAGTGTGTGTGCGGGTGGGATGGTATGATGGTAGGAAGTGCAGGAATGGGTAAACTGTATCGCTGCGGGTGCTTACGTTCGGAAAAAGCTCGATGACATAGGAGCCCATTTTCAGCGTCAACGGATCCTTGTTGCATAAGCGCGGCGCCGGCTCGCCGTGCTTGGCGATGATTTCCAGACAGAACTGCGCGATGGCACTGTTCATGACCTCTTTGGTGATGCCGGCCTCCTGCAGGCGGAGCGACTCCTTCTCGGACTTCAGCCAGTGCGAGCGCAGTTGCAGGATGCGCGGAATGACGCGCGTTTCCTGCCCGCAGCTGCAAGGATCCGAAAAAAAATACAGATGAGAATACACAAAGCGGCGGGTTAGTGGCTGCGGGGCAGCCACTATTCACGTGGTTAGGGTGCCTCCAACTCGGATTACAAAATTGTACCTCCAAGGACTTTAAAAACATCATTTTTTTATGCCATAATTCTAAGCAACCAAAAGAATTAAAAGTGCTATTTCTTACATAGCAAGACAATATTTTATATATGCACTCGTTTGTTTTATAATTTTGAAATTCTACCCCTTAAGATACTTTCATCACTTCCCAAATCAATGGCATTAATTTTGATAAGAATAAAATGAATACTAATTTATAACCTGTTTCATTAAAGTGCAGTCTTAAAGTTAGTAAAAGAGCACCCCAATATGCCAGTTTGGTATCGCCGGGCAACATGTGATGGGGGCTTCACCTCCAACCACCGCTTTCTAACGCAATCGACAAAACGAAATGGGATGCCATCCGCTGTGAGCTCTTTGGATTTCCCCCAGTGGATGTGGGGCCCCGTTGCGATACCATGTCTGGTGCATGGGTTCCCATTCGAGTCCTTCCTCTCTGGTCGCTCCGATTCCCTTTTGGCTGCAGGACTGCAGAAACCACTGAACTATGAAGGGCTTCAAACGATTCGTTTGCCGTTCTAGAATTTCCCGCCGGCAGCGCACCGTAATCAAGTTCAGAGCACACACAAAAAATTACTGCCTGATTGCGTAAATTATCATAAATATCCCACACTGCAGTGCCAAGCAAACGGCAATTAAAAAAAAGGAGCTCAAACCCATCAAACCCATGACCCCAGAGGAAAGTAATCAAAATCGATCAAAGCCTTGTTTATTCAACTACTTTTTTGAGCCAATTGAAAATGGCTTTGGGTCAGTAGCCAAAGTTGATTTGAGTTTTTCTTTATGCTTCAGAAAAAGTACCAACAAAAAAGCATGAGCAATTTGTAAAATCCTGGAATTACAACTGTTATGTTCACGACTAATCGAAATTATAGTTATATTAGTTACGAATATAAATTAATTATATTTAAAAATTTGGTAAAGATATGGACTTCGAAAGTCCAGTTATGGGCCACCTTGTAACAACACATCGGAAACTTGGAAATAAATGACATGAAAATGGGTCAAAAATTGGACCAAAGCTAAAATGAAATTTTTTTTTTGAAGTCCAGTTGTGGGCCACCTTTTACCAACACATTGGAAACTTGGAAATAAATGACATAAAAATGGGTCAAAAATTGGACCAACGCTAAAATGAAAAATTTTGATGCAGATTTTTTGAGAATCAAATTTCGATTTGGTAAAGTTATGGACTTCGGAAGTCCAGTTATGGGCCACCTTTTAACAACACATTGGAAACTTGGAAATAAATGACATGAAAATGGGTCAAAAATTGGACCAACGCTAAAATGGAAAATTTTGATGCAGATTTTTTGAGAATCAAATTTCGAGTCTTTAGAGGTATGCCACTTTGAAATCGGATAAAATTTGGTAATGTTATGGACTTCGGAAGTCCAGTTATGGGCCACCTTTTACCAACACATTGGAAACTTGGAAATAAATGACATGAAAATGGGTCAAAAATTGGACCAACGCTAAAATGGAAAATTTTGATGCAGATTTTTTGAGAATCAAATTTCGAGTCTTTAGAGGTATGCCACTTTGAAATCGGATAAAATTTGGTAAAGTTGTGGACTTCGGAAGTCAAGTAGTGGACCACCTTTTAACAACACATCGGAAACTTGGAAATAAATGACATGAAAATGGGTCAAAAATTGGACCAACGCTAAAATGGAAAATTTTGATGCAGATTTTTTGAGAATCAAATTTCGAGTCTTTAGAGGTATGCCACTTTGAAATCGGATAAAATTTGGTAAAGTTATGGACTTCGGAAGTCCAGTTATGGGCCACCTTTTAACAACACATCGGAAACTTGGAAATAAATGACATGAAAATTGGTCAAAAATTGGACGAACGCTAAAATGGAAAATTTTGATGCAGATTTTTTGAGAATCAAATTTCGAGTCTTTAGAGGTATGCCACTTTGAAATCGGATAAAATTTGGTAAAGTTGTGGACTTCGGAAGTCCAGTTGTGGGCCAGCCATGTCCGTCTGGCCGTCCGTCCGTTTCTACGCAAACTAGTCCTTTAGTTTTAAAGATATCTGCTTGAAACTTTCCCAAAAGTTGTCTTTCTAGTGCAGGTAGTATATAAGTCGGAACGAGCCGAATCGGACGACTATATCATATAGCTCCCATAGGAACAATCGGAAAAAAAAATTCAAAACAATTATATCTTTGGACAACAATATCATATAGCTGCCATAGAAACGATGGCAAAATGAAGCGAAAAATCGACATAGCTTTATTGTTTTTAGTAATATAGGCATAGAAATCGAAATTTAGTCGATTTGTAATAACTTCAAGGGATTATAAACTTCAGCTTGCCGAAGTTTGCTTCTTTTCTTGTTTAAAATTCATTCTTCAAAAAGAAATTTGGCAATTATTAAATTTAACCCAACATGTGGGTATTGTTGTTACAAAACGAAGTAAATATTTACCTACTAATTAACTCACATTGAACCAAATTGAACAATAAACATTAGCTTTCTTTTTCTGTCAAGTAATAATAACCTTTTGAAGTTGTAGCTCAATTTCTTCATCGTTTTTATCAATTAGTTAATTAGCCTGCTTATCAGCTATTGTTATTAGCAACCTTCTTGTCTGCAATAACAGAAAAACCTAGTCAAACTTGTAAGCATTTTTTTATGAAAGAATGGCTTATGTAAAAAACAGGGAAATAGTAAACATTTTTGAAAGAATGGTAATTGTAAGTTTTAAATATGCTGATTGTTCGCTAGATTTGAACGTTCAAACGAAGAACATTTTCTTATCATCCCGTTTAAATATTTCTTGTGCCTTGACATATTTTAAAAATACAAATATATAAAGTTAGCAATTTCTGGTACAGCAACACAGAGAAATGCCTTTAGCTGTTTAATTTAAAAGCCTAACAACATAAAGTCACCTATTTGCACCACCTAAATCGGGGTCACAACTTTATCTGGCCTCAACCAATTACATTTGTTCGCACCTCGACATAAGAGCTCTCTATCTCGGCGGGAATCCTTCTATCCCTATCCCGCCATGCAAATCCCACAAAATTGTTTCGGGGCTTACCCAGACTCAATTAGTTGATGCCAAGTCCAAATGCTAAATGCTACCAATACTAAACCAGATTTAATCTGGAAAACAGGAGGGAGCTGTGTGGATACAAGAACGGGAACGTGGACGACAACGAGAACGAGAACGGGGCTGACCTACTCCACATACGCTTAGGAAAGTTTTACACTTTGCCACCACCCACATTTTCGGAGTCCTGCAAAGGCGAACAAAGGACGAGGACCTATTCTGTAACTAAAATCCGTGAGATCCTTGAGGGAAAGGGAAGTAGGTTTTTAAATAGCGGAAATTGCGCTGTGCAGCCATCAGAAAAAACGACCCTGACTGCCTGCCTGCCTGCCTGCTGACAGGATCCAGGATCCAGGATACAGGACGCAGGATAGGCCACGGATGCGATGCGATGGGACAGGATGAAGCGAAATGGTCTGGAAATGGGCCGGCAGAAAGGCAAATTGTTAATAAAATAAGGAGCTAAAAAAGACTCCTTTCGGTCCTCGGCCATTTCTCATTTTCAGATTGCGCAAATTTTCGTAACTAATTACTCATGCGTAAGGGAAACTTAAGAAATTATAATATATCGCACAGCAGCCAGAAGGTAAAAGGCAGGAAGATAAAAACCCAGACCAGGACCTGATACGCAAATGGAGGCGGCGCAGTACCGACTACCGACCGTAAAAAAATATTAAAATTGCCAAAGGGCGAAACAGAATATATCGAATTGGGTTGCTGTCTGTTGGAGGTGGAAGATTAAAATTGGGGAGATGGACCCACAGCAACCACCCAAAAATGTATATATTAAAATTTACAACATTTTCCCCATAGAGCGGAATGGAAATACACTTTATGGCAGGGCAAAAAGCAGCAGAAAAGGTCCCCCGAACGGAAGAGAAATTTATTAGGAATTGGCATGTTTTTTTAAGGCATCGGCAAATGTTTGATTTTACTGAAAGGAAGTGTGAAATTTGGTTAGCAGATTTGAAGCTTAAATGATTTTAAGAATATGGAAAATCTTAATGTGTGTGATATGCAAATGTTTTATTTTCCAGTTGGATTATATTCCAATGAAGTTGGGGGGCAGAAATTAATAAAATAAAAGTTGATTAAAGCGGATAATAATACTCCTTAATTCAGACAGCTTATTTAATTGATGTCGGATAAAACTGAATTAAATTCGCTGCAATACAATAAATCACTTAAAGCCTTTTAAATTGGTTGATATCATTTACATAATAAGCTCGTTACTTGTGAAACAGAAAAAAATAAGAAGGAAACATTTATACTTTAGCAAAATTTAACTCGTAAATTTTAGTAAATAATACCATAAGTGGAGGTCAAGCTTGTTTTCGTTTCAATACAAATGAATAATAATTTAAGAAAATCAAAGACAAATGGATTAATCAGTTTCATATTTCGTATACATGAGTTCGATTTTTAAACGACTCAACGGAAATGCACTTTTCCTCCACAAACTGTTCCTTGCATTCGTAGGAATGGCAAAATTCCATCTCAATTAAGGCTCTTATTTAAGTAGTTTTTTGACATTTAAAACTTTGGACGACAGTCACACTAATAGTGTTCGGAAGGAGACTCATATTTATTAATTAATCTCTTAAATATCACTTTAAGTCTCTCTCATATTACAAAAAGTATTTTGTGAAATGGATATGTGATATGTGCCAGAGTTCCCAACAACTCGAACGAAGAAAGAGGACCTCTCCCACCCAAAGTGACAAAAGAGAAACTTTAAATTGAATTTCCTTCGTGGAAAATTAAATGTTAATTGAATTGACAGCCATGATTTCGAGCGTTTCAATAAAATGGCGACACGAATATCCTTTTAAATGAAATGAAACGATTTAAGGTATGGGAAAATGATTTAATTTAAGATATACTCAGGAATATTGTGAAATGTGAGTTAATTAACTACTCGGTAAAAATCGTAAATAATCTGCATAAGATATTTAAAAAGTAAAAGGATATATAATCATCCGATTATGATAATCCTCAAGGTATTGATCCAAAAATGGGATTTAAACATTATATTAGACAAAAAGCATAATCATGACCATGCCAAAAAATGTATCCTCGATTACTAGTGCAATGACTTAAGATATATTGATGTATTGAAACATATACATTTGACATCATGAAACCCCTTGCATATTACTACACATCCCTTCACGTGCTCAATGCCAAACCAGTACTTCCCCGCGACTTCCGGGAAAGGAAGAGGAAGTGGAGCGTTGCCCCCAGACCACGCATTGTGGCAAACAATCAAATCGAACAGTGGCCGGGGAATGGGAAAGGGTATTATCCGGTTACAGGGGGACCCGGACCCAGACCCGTTCCCGGACCCGGAACGCAGGAGCCAGGAGTCAGGACCCAGGACCAGGGGCTTCCGGGCAGCAGGACTTACCGCACATCGGGATGGGCATCCAGCATGGCGCGCATCAAAGTCGTCCCAGATCTGGGCACGCCGCCTATGAATATTAATGGCATCTCACGGTTGTATGAATAAACGCGTTGATTGTCATCTGTGAGGTATTTCTGAACGTGTCCGTATTCCGTAACCGTAACCGTGTCCGTGTCCGGGATTTCGCATCCGTATCCGCGACGGCAATGTAGGTGGAGACAAAAAAATGAAATTAGAGAAAAGTTGCAGGCGCAAAATAAATGACATGGCTCGTGGTGATGGCCATGTTGATGATGATGATTATTATTATTATTATTATAATGATGATGGTGAGTGGGAGATGGGAGATGGGAACGGGGGGATTGTGATGGTTTGATGGTTGAGCAAGCGCAGGTGTTAACGCCTTCGTGGGCATTAGCGTCAGAAGAAATGAAAAGCGAAGGCGACAGACAGGTGATAGGCATTACTAAAAATAGATTCTAGCTATCCATATGGAGCCCCAAAGGTGTTGCAGCCTTATCATTCTCTAGCCTGAGCCCTGTGATAAATTGGAACCTTATCAAATGCAAACAACGCAGCGGCGGTGTTTTCAACCAACTAATGGAAAGTTGATCGGCTTTCGTAAATCATAGCTTTCCTTTATATCTAATCTACATTTTTTTAGTTCATTGATAAGAAGATATTCGAAAAAACACTGATTCAGTATTGTTGATGATAAGAAAATTACATTTGAAGTAGTTTTTCAACCAAATATATTTAATTGTCTTACATTTTCGAATAAAATTTAATATACTTCAAAAAGTTTATTTATGAATATATTATGTGTATTTTAAAAATAAAATTGAAGTTGTATAAAAATACATTTCGTTGCGTCAGAAAGAACATTTAGAAATCCTATATTAATTGCAAATGATTATTTTCATAATTACCTAATGTTTCAATAATATTTTAATTTATTATTTACACAGCCGAATTCGTGCGATTAAACGATCAACAATTATATTTGCTTCTATGAATTAAATGTGATTTCAAAATAATTCTCTTTTGCTGTTGATATGCATGTCTAATAATAGTCGCTGAAATATAAATCCATTGTTCGAAGTACATTGTTTTATGAATTAGCTATTTGGTTGAGATTTACCAAATTTAATCCACGGATTAAATTGCTCTTTGAAGCTGAATGATAGTAAATTGTACTGGGTTAATTAAACCATTGGTTGATTTTGCATTTAGGAGTGGCATGATAGCCATTATTAGCCAAACCGATTTTTGCTTTCTACCCTAATTACACATACATATATTGGATCATTTGCATTAATTTATTTTATTTGTTTTGGGTACAACATTGTTGTTCCCATTAAATAAAATGAATTTTAGCTCTTGCAATGCGTACGGGATTTATTGAAATGCAATATAAATCCATTGGTCCAAATAATTATGCATTGCGAGCTGCATGATAACAGAATTAAGCCGTTGCTCCACATTTCCCATAATTGCTCTCACAAAATCCCCGGAATTAAAGCCCCTTTCATGGCTAAAACCAAGGATGTGTTAATGCTCTGTGGAAATGATTTGGCTATCTCGGCACACACATCTCGGCCCCATTGTCTTCCTTGTGTGGAGTCATCTACTGCCCTGCCCTGGCCCATCCCCTTCCGTTCTAAGCTGCTTATGACCACCGCCTCCGATATTCCCAATGCTAATCAATGGATCCCCCCACATTTCAACTCCAACGAGACCATTTTGGTCTCGACTAATGTTTACAAAATAGTGTTCGGTCATCCGATAACCAGTTAAATTCCCTCAATGACTTTTGCTTTGGTTTTGCGTGTGCGGTCGGTGTTTTCCGGGGGCGGCAGGATTTTCATCTGTGCTCAGCCAACATGAAATTAGTTATCCAGCTTCGGTTCTACTCCCATGACTTTTTCCTTTGATTTATCATTGCAAATTTTTTTGTTTGGCTTGGTCAGCACGAGAGGAGTGGACGCCACAGTGTGTCACACAAATGTAAGGCACTGCTGGTCGAAAATGCATCAGTAAGAATCAAAATTGGTATAATAAATGTATTACTATGACTTTAAAGTCAAAGTAAGCCTTGTTTGAACGTTGTTAATATCTAACTTATTTTGAAATCAAAAATAGATTATTAAATAAGTCAAGCCTGGAATCTGTCAAGTCCTGATTGCTTATCCGGTTTTCCATTTTGCTTATTCCCCCTTAACCATTTGATTAAATTTAAATATTTTTATTGACATCCCTACATTTTTGCTACGCACCTTGGGCAAAGGATGGAGATGTTCCGGGGTGTGACTATGTGTGCTTTTTCTTTTTTCCAGTATGGGATGTGAATAGATGCTGGGTGTGAGGCAAACAGATTGTGTTCGATTTGGGGGTACATACCTCAACGCGGACCATTTGCGGGGATAGCTCGTTGGTGGCGTCCACCTTGAAGAGGCATGTGGGCCGCAGTTCGGTGAATTTGAATAGGAACATGGTGATGACGATGATGCCGAAGAGCACCCACAGGGTGACCTTCTTATTTCGGTATGGCAGTCGCATTCTGGCTGTGGAAAAGGTGTCGCAGCTAACTGGCTTTTGATTCGGCGGATCCGGAAGCGGATGAGGATGAGGATGTTGGCCTGGTCTGGTCTTCCCAGAGGCGCCCACTCCTTCTTCGCCCAGCTCCTATTGATTGCTCCTAGTTGCTGCTCCGCTTTGTGTTTGCCCAAAGCTTAAATATGTAAATTGGTTTTCTTGAGGTCCTCAAAGCGAGAGTTGTTTTGCTTTGGCTTTTGCTTTTGCGGATACTTTTGCAGTTGCCGTTGTCGTGTTGCTCCTTGTGATGCCGGCTCCTCTTGTTTGCGAAGGATATGGGGAGTTGTGGTGGGTGGCTGGGTGGCTAGGTGGCTAGGTGTCCCTACAGTGGATCCTGATGCTGCGGCGGCGGCTTGGCGGTGCCACCACAATAACTCCGTCCACGGTCGTGGTGGTCCTGTTCCGGCTTGTGTTCTGGTCTCTGTTCCTTTTTCTGGTCCTGCTGCTGCTCCTGCTTATGACGTTGATTGCTTGGCATCGCCTCGCCTTTTGTTTGCTCCTTTTCGGCCAGCCAGCAGCACAGCAACTCGGCTTGGCCAACACAACACAGCACAACACGATCCTGGCAATCCTGGCAGCTGCTGGACCCCTTTTTATCACTCCTCTGCCGCTTTCTAGTCGTCGCTTTTCACTTATTGCATTTTTACTAAATATATATACGTTTATATCACGCTGCAAAGGAAAAAGCACAGACTACGTTAAGCATATTTAAAAAGTTTGCCACGAATTATTGTTTGCCGCCAAGTTATTTGTTGCTCTTCTGTTGACGGCGTAAAATGGCTGCCAGTTTGTAAATTAAAAATATAATAATGAAAATAATAATAATAATAATAAAAAAAAGTTTTTTATAATATAAGTTTAAGTTCCTGTTAATTTTAAACTCAAAAACCTATTGATATCTATTGCTGTTGTTATGTTCTTCATGTTATGATTGTTACTCTTTCTAGTCCCTACGTTTTATAGCCATTTAATTGGCTTATAAACGTAATAATAACATATGTTATATAAAAAAAAATATATGTTTAGGTATATGTTTTTAGGATTACTAAATCTAAGCCTAGGGTATTTCGCACTTCGGCATTCGAAGATTGTTCCTCTTTTCTCTGTTTTTTTCGCTGGTAACTTGCAACTTTCAATGCTTGCCACTCGACGACTATCGACACTCGACTTTCGACACTCGACCGCTTCTGGCTGGCAACCTCAAGTGACTACGCACCTCTTTGGCTCCGGCTGTTCGACTTTTCCTCGACGGACTCTCCTGATGACGGCTGCAACTCCAACTTCAGCTTCAGCTGTTTTGTTTGCTCAGTTGTTGACGAAGAGCTGCCAACCCAGTGACTTAATGAGCCGAAATGCCAAATAGACTGGAACCAACGTCAGCGATATATACACGTAATAGCTCCAATCGCCGGTTATTTCCTCCGTCATACCTGCAGATGATACGGCAAACACAGTAATATTATTAATCACCTCGTATAACAAACAAAAAACGAAACGAAACGGAACGAAACGAAAAAAGTATCGAAAAGTAACAGAGAAAAGAAAAGTGCAAACACAATTTCCCTGGCAGGGCGACGGAGCACATGATATATTTGATTAGAAATCATCCACGATACATTTGTTCTTTTCCTTTTCCAATATGACATATGAACGTAACTCCCAAGGGGGTCAATGGGGGCACAGGGGGGAGGGGGTGGAGGGGATGGAGGGAGCAGTATAAGCGGCTTACACACAAGACATTTACCAGCTGTTTTCCCAGAGTCTAAGTGCCTAGCAGTACAGTGAAATTTAATGGATTCCTATTTGTTTATTATACATATATCCAAGTGAAATAGATACCACACACAAATTGGTGCAACCAACCTTTATTATTTTGGGTTTGCTTTCTTAAAGAGATAATTTTAGAACAATAAATGTATAAAACATGAATGTATATACTTTAAAGGGTCGGATATGCCACCTTCATTGTGTTGCTAACTTTCGACCGAAATTATAAATTCTCACTGCAAGGGTATACAAATAACATTGAATTAATCAATTTTATATTACAAACCCATTAAATACAGCAACATTAATCTTTACCATTAGCCATAATAAAAATATTAAAAGAGAACCACATTTATTATTGATTGCTTATGGTTTTGGATATCTATCAAATTTGGAAATTCGTATTTAACAACACCCAAGTTCATGACAAGGTTATCAATTTCTAACCATGGAAGTTGGACTGTAATTGCCCACATTCTCGTAGGAAATCCCTCAAACTATTTGCCCTCTAGGAAAAGGAGTGCATATGAGTTTCAGGCGACATTCGTCACTGGGTTTTCCCTTCTCCAGAGGAAAAACGGGTTGGAGAGGGCGGTTATAGGAGAGGGATTGTGAGTGGCCGGAGCACACTTGACAACTGCCAACTGCCAAGTCCCCGGCAACTCTCCCAAGTGCGGCCGACGTGTCAGATGCTCGAGTACTTATAATTCCTTTAAATTCTCAACTTTCCCAGCTCCAACATATGAGCGGAAGTGAGGTGACGCAGGCCAGGATGATAGACACAGAAAGCCGGAGCGATACCAAATGGATACCAAGCAGATAGCAAAGTGCCTTAAAGCGAAAAATTTGCCATGAAAGAGTTGAGCTTGGTGAACTTAAAGAGCTTAAGGCCATTGAAAAGTTTATTTATTTTTTTTTTCTAAAAATATGAGAAAACATCACACTTCTTATTAATAGGCTGTCACTCAGCATAAACATAACTTTTTAGTCTATACTTTATCACTACTGTTGGCTTAATGTTGAAATATGTTTTGTTACTTAAGGGTAATTAAATTAATATTCACAATCTATACAAGGTCCTAGTTAAAAACTTAAATTCGATTCTGATTCTCAACCAGTTATAGCATTTGTTACTCTAACTGTCGTACCATTAAAAATGTCCTTAAATTTCATTTTAAGCACGTTTTTCTAATATATTTAGCTTTACCTTGACTTTTGAGAACGAATTTGTCGTTAAAACATTTTTACAAAGTACCGAAATTTCTCTACGACTTCCGATTCCCATTCTCAGTAATTTCTTTTCATTTGCCCTGCACAAAATCTAAAAATAAACTTTTACCATTCCACAAAACTTTAATTAATTTAAAATTTCGAATTATTTGTTGGAAAAAGAAAAAGCACCCAAACTCGTACACGCACAATTTCCCGCCCACACAGACAACAAGTTTTCACAAATGATTTGAGTGTGTGTTCGTGTGCTGCTTTCGTCACTCGTTCAACCTTAGAAACTATTTTCTTTTGGCCTGGCCAAACTTTCAAGAATCTGGCAATTTGTCGTCGCCGTCGCAGGAGTTTTCCTTCATCCATTTTTTCTTGGCCTTTCCTTTGGCTTTTCATTTTCCATTTTTCTTTCACATTTCACCTTTTGGCTGTTGGTGCAAACATATATCCCGTTATTCCCAATTACACATGCACTTTTCCAGCGGGTGTGTTCGTGTACTTCCTGCCATCTGATCCTGCCAACTTGTTGGTCACTCCCACTCCCAAGAACCCGAAAAGCGGGACCAAAACAAGCTCCCCAAGAGGGCGTGACTGCACTTAGAGAAAACAACGTTTCAAAATTTGAATCAGTCCCAAATTCTCAAAGATTTTACTTCTAAGGCTCTGTTGATAAGAAAACACAAAAGTTACGGTTTCTGGAATTTTGTAGGTGCACTCTAAGCCTTTTGTTTAAATTAATATCTTAATAATAACACTAATAAAAAGGTTAATAAAATAAATCAAATACAAATTAGTTAGTACTGCAACAATTTAATTGTGTTTAAATTAACGTTGTTTCAATAATATAAGCCCTTTAATACTAAACTCTATTGACAATTAAAATGTCTTTTGGATCAATCTGAAAAAAAAAACACACAAAAATTACTTTCATGTTTAGGTTCTAGGAATAAAGTTTTAAAATGGAATCTGTTGGTAAGCCCGGTTTTACTTGACCTTTTATAAAAATGTACTAAACCAATTTTTGGGTCATAACTTTATTAATTTTTAACAAATGGCAAATAAATAACTTATTTACATATATATGGACAGCCCCTAATATTATTTTTATACTTAGTTAAACTCTATGGATTTCAGGTCCACATTTAAGAACTATATCGAATTGGTTTACATCGAGTGTGATTTTACTATCAGTAACCATCAGATTTTTGGAAAACTTTTGTCTTTGTGCATAAACACACAAAATATATATTTTCACATATGACAGAAACCCCTCAAGGGCCTTGCTTGTTCTTCGGCTTGCCACATTCTCCGCTTTGCTGCTTTTCGTATGTCAAAAAGTTTTGATATTAAAAAATAAATAAAAATAAAAATTCCTTTTGGCCATATTTTGCATGCTAAAATTGTGGCTTATATGTATATGTATCCTCATCCTCAGTGCTCCGCTGAATCGGGTGCCAAAACTTTTTAGAGCAAAGTTACTACGGCAACAGAGCACCCCTTTTCCCTATTTTTTTTTTTTACTGCTCCCACGCAAATAATAGAAATAGCAAAAACAAAAAAAAAAGAAAACAAAAAAACAAAAAAACCGAAAACCAAGCTGAATTTTTGTTTGAAGAGGTGCGCTGTGTGTGTGTACATGTTGGTACACACATTGGAAAGCATTCGCTCCAGTTTTGTTGCCTTTGTTGTTGGCTGTTTGTTGTTTGGCTCAAGTGTCGGTTAAAGTCTTATAAAAATTAATAAGCGTGTAAATTGTATTGTATTGCTACACACACCCTACACCCACACTCGCACAGAGAACGCATTAAATTGTTTATGCATACGAAGAGTTTTTCCTACTTTATTTTATGGGACTTTGTGTTTTTTATTTCCACAAACAGTTCTCAGATGTTTTTGTTCTTATGTTATGCTCAACTTAAGCTTAATGGCATTTTGTTTTCGGCTCTGCGTACAGTGGACCACAAATGGAAAATGTGGATTAGGTTTGTATAATGTTTATTAAGTCCTTTGGAAGTTTGAAATCAGTTAAGAATGCATCTATGTATCTCTCATTAGTGTTGGGTGATTAGTATAAGTGATTTTGAAGGTGTATTTTGTATGTTAAAATGAATTTCAAACCATATAGATATAATCAATGGAATCAAAATTAAAATGTTTAATCCAGAAAATTTGATGAAAATAAACTAAATTTGAGCGTGTTATTTTTGTAATTAATAGATTCATAATATCATGGGTTTGTCCCACTGTGCACGAGAAATAGCCTGGCGCTAGTTCACACGCTTGTTGCGCCCACTATCTCTTGTCTTTTGTTCCTGGGAAAAGCGGGCAAAAAGTATAAAGAAAATCTGCATAAATAATGTTGAGCCACGCTTTCTGCGGGAAGTGTTGATGATTTGATGGAAAATTCCGAAACTAAAGCGCGCAAAGTGCGAAAACAAAACGCTGCGGCTTAAGCACAGTTAGAAAGGCGGAAGAAAGTGGGTTGTGGGGTGGAAATGTGGGTTGATCCCAGCCGGCGGAGCGTAGCCATTCTATTTTTCCAGCAAAACGTGGCTCTCCACATTTTTTGCCACCACCCTCTTGACTGGCGAGAGTTTATTATTTAGCAAACTGACTCCGTGGCGACATTCGGCTCATTTATCAGGCAAAAGCACGTCACGTCGTGATATTATAAATTACTTCAGACAATATGCAGCAGTTCCCCAAGTTTTGAGTTGTCTAACTTGGCTATAATCCCGTCAGTTCTGGGTGCTTTCAAAGGTCGGGATGGTGATAAATCCATAGGATGAGCAATGCCAAAACATCAATCACCAAACCCGGCAAAAAGGAACCAAGCGAAAGCATTTTTAATTTGATTAAAACGGTAATCCATTGACTATTATGATTTGTTTTCAAAAACCAAATAAACATGCATTTTGGTGGCACAAAGCTTCTGTGCTTTTCCATGGTTTATTGTTTCCATTTAATTTCCATGTGAAACGAAACTCTTGTCGGGCTGCATTGCCAAATATTCCAAACCAAAATGAAATGTGGCTATTAAAATAAAATTAGATATTTGTAAAGCTAAATTAAATACATTTAGGCTGGGGCTTGCACTTTTGTTTCGATTTAAAAACATGTTGAAGGCTTTAAGTGCTATTGGTTGCAATCTACTGAAACGTCTTGTGACACATTCATGATTTTTGATAAATAGGAAATAAAATGTGGAAGTTTATGGTTGAACAGTCAGCTTCAACTACTGTATTTGCTTTCTTGAGACAGTTTCTCTTTGGCATAAAATAAATAGCACAATTGCGATATGTGTCAATAGAAACACATTTATTTTTATTTTTTTAGAAATATTTTTTTTACGAGAACAAACACACAGATCACAGTTGTTGTTATTTATCCAAGCATTTTGCTGTTGAATCTTTATCAATGTTGACATATGTACATAATAAAG